AAAATTATTGGGGGGGGGAAACTTTCTTTTTTGGTAGAGTGCATGGGGGTTGTCGTATAAACTGCAGGTTCCAATAGTGAATTTGTGCAAGCAAACCTGCACTGTTTTTGATGCCTCTGGTAAAATTTGGCCAACTAAAAATAAAATTGAATAACATGTCAACATGCAGATCAATGCGAACCTCTGGAAGCTTGCTTGGAAAAAAGAATGGCTGTTCCGTTTGTATGAACTTTTAAATGTAGAGCATTTCATTACAGGAAACAGTACAAGGCCAGAAATTGTTTCCCATTGAAGTTAGTACATGTACATGTACCGGTAGTAGAGTCATATTGTTTTGAAACTGTACAATTCAACACTTAACATGGCCAAAAGGTACAATTGTTGCTCTTCACATTGGATGCATGTATACATTGTACGTGCAAAGGTTTTGTGGTATTCAGAACGGATGACGGATAAACACGCGACGAGCGAGGCCGGATTCATCTGTCAGCGACAGATATCGCTGCGAACTCATTAATACATTAATTTAGTATACATTGTACATTATTAAATTTGTTCATGATTTTTTTTACACATAGACAGCACATGGACTTACCTGACACTGACAGTACACGTTGTAAATTTCTTGCAAAGTTTTACGTTCCAATTCTTAGGAACGATGTCACGGATATTATAGCCTGGGTACATGCACTTCGGGAATATAAACCGACAATACGTGTCACATTAAAAACACTTTAGACATTTAAAGAACAACATATTTCCTCAGTGCGGTTATCTCCACCGGGCATATTGCATCATACTGAATCAATTTGACTTTTGCAACAAGACAACCAGGAAGTTGCAAAGTGCAATATATTTGCGTCTGGAAACATGACACATGTATGTATACGTGTCTTTTCAAAACTTGAAAATGATATAGTGAAACCATATTCAGACTTAGGCCAAAAAAAAAAAATATTCGGTCTCTGGTCAGACCAAAGTTCTGGAATTGACGTGGCCACGCGGCTTTTTTTTTCGTTTTCTTCAAGCTTGGATTGTACAGACAAGGTGGGTACTATTTTGCTTTTTTGGTGTCCTCATGTACATGTACGGTACATTGGTGTCCTCCATAATTTGCCTTGGTGCTTTCGATCATTTGCCTTGGTGCAATTTCCCATTCCTTGGTGCTCTTTGGTAAAAGAAATTGAGGAGGTGCGGAAATAGAGGGCGCTGTTGGAGCTACCGCGGAACATTTTGGAAAAAAAAAAGATCGACGCGCATGATTAAAATCGACGCGCGTGCTGACCAGAGACCGACTTATTTTTTTGGGGGGGCCTTATAATCACAACTGTATCCTTGTTATTGTTTTCAGGTTTAGGCTAAGTAAAAAATAAACCAGTTTCTTGTCCCCACCCGCTTCCTTTTCCCCCCGCCCACCTCCTTTTCTGTTATTAATTGATCATAGACTAGTGCAGGGCCCGTCGAAAATGTGCCTGTTCAGAAGGGACAGAGAACTGCTCATACAAATAACACACGAGACAATGGTGTTGTTTTCACAGGTTTAACGCACACTCACACGTGGACAGAGATTCCTAGTAGGAAAACATGAGGAAGAAAAGTGTGCTATTGTTTATTTACCCATAGTTGATGATGGAATAGCCCCCCCCCCCCCCCCAGTGAAGTATCCATTGTTGATAATGTCATAGGCCCCCAGTGGAGGTCAGCTTTCTTTATGCTATGGCATAGACACACAAATGACGAGACAAATATAAATGGGGCCAGCTACGCGTCTCTTTTGTCTACCAAACTTTATGTACGTAGTGTTAATTGTGACGTCACGCAACTTCAGTGGCGCCATATACGCATGCGTACACATGCAGGCCAAATCTTTCATGAGACAAATCATGCATGGGGCAAATGTGCAGCTTTTTTGCAGCTTTTCAAGAACCGCTCGTCCAAACAACTTTAAACTTGGCACTGCACATTCTGTGGTCCCGAGCAATACACCCGCTGATTTTCAACTTCATACGGTGCCCGGTTCTGGAGATAATCGACGTACAGACAGACAGACACACAGACACACAGAGATTCCTGGAATTATGGTAAGGATTTGTTATCTTTTGTATTTAGTTCGTTTCCAGCAAAACTGTAGCTATGTAGATGCGCATTTTGCAAGTTGACACTCAAAATGCCGATCGATGCACTAAGCTGGTCTGTAGGAAATGAAGTCATCTGAGAGAGACCTACCGGTAGGCCCAATTTAAAAGGATTTTTCACTCAAATTCACAAACTCTATCTTTCAATTTAATCCATGACAAATTTCACATGCTTTTAACAAAACCAATTGTCATTTTTTTAATACCGGTACCATTCAATTTTAAATTTTGGGTCACATTCTTTAGTCACTGGGTTGAGAATACACAAATGTATTCATTATTACGGATCAAATTCGTCAAAGTTGTTGCCGAATGGCAGCATTCAGAGAATTCGTCTTAAAAATCAATTAGACAAATTTGATTTCTGAATAACAAGGTTTGGCGTAGATGAGACAAAATCAAATACTCCGGGATGAAAATGTGTGCTCATTGTTTGAATTTGCTTGAACTGAATTTGAAACTGTCTGACAAAAGACGAAATTAAACATTGGGAGTGCACTAAATCGATGTTGATGGACGAATTTGAATATATATCATGTATAGAAACGGTGAATTCGAATGATAAACGTTTTAAAATAGCTGGGAAAACCTATATTATACAACAGGTCAATAAAATTGGAAACGGCAAATAAATTGCTTTTAAATCCCCACCCTCACAATGTTCACAACAAGTGTTTGACAATTAGTGGCAAAACAAACAGTTCTGCGTTACATTGTAATCATCCCCGTTATTTTTCACTGTTGCTATGGAGACACTGATGTCAAATTCCAGTCAGTGTCTCTCATGGTAACAAGTCATTATCCAAAGCAAATTAACAACCTCCCTTTGCTCGTAATTGCTTGCTCAACTTAATGCACTTTTGTGTGGATACACTTTTTTTAAACAAAATTTCAATCAATTTTGAGCTGTCATACATGTATGCACACTATTTTGAAGTACATGTACACAAAATTTGTTCTGAAAATTATAAATGGTCTAAGAGCCATTGATCAGAATTTTCACTAATCGTTATAGTGGAATTCCAATATTGACACTATTCGATATGGATTATCCCATATCAGAATTTTCACTAATTGATTGGAAATCCAATATCGAGTATATTCGATGGATTATCCCGTGTAAAATGTTAAAGACCATAAAGATGACACTTTCATAAAAAAAAATACACAAAGTCCCACTTTTCCATGGCCTTCTATCTGGAGCATATTGCTCAAATTTTTAAAACCAAATCTCAGCAGTGCGGGTTTGTCCGGAACATGCGGTTGCTTTTGAGGTTTCACATTGGGGGAGACCACGAATTCTAGCGAACGCAGAGCACAAAGCGACGCCACTAATTTGCGATATTTTCATTTTGAGTCACAAGCACAAGTTACGTCCAAGTTTTATTTAATTATGTTACACACAAAGTAAAAGCACAAACCAGAGATTTGTTTTGACAATGATCTGACGCATTCTCAAAATGTTCGATATCGTTCTTCAACGACGAAAATTTCGATATTTTGATACGATTAAAAAATTGTTATCGGTGATATCGTTATCAAAATAATATTGAATAATCGAGTAATATCGACTACTACGACTTGAATCTGTTCAATTGAATTTTTGTCACGACTATATCCCTATCTCCTTATGACTATGTCCCTATCTCTTTATGAGATTACTGACAGAGTATTGACACAATTGATTGAGTACCGACACAAAAGACCGAGATGCCATAACGGCTCCGAAACAACAGAGTGACGTCATCTTCGGAATTTCATGCTGTTATGGTCATCTCAAAGTCGCCTACTACAAAAAAAATTTGGCTGACCATGTATGACCACTGCCGACCTCATACCAAATATTACGATTTTGTTACGAATTCGTTGAGACTTCGTTACGACAAAACCGTTTGAGTACAGACAGACAACAGACGTTGATCCGTTTTGGATTTTTTGCCGACCATCACGATACGTTTCAACTGTTGAAACTAATCGTGGCTTTACTGCCGACCATGCACCACCTGTAGGATGCCGAAACGACGCTCAAGAAGTTATTTCGATAAAGTCAAGACATCGTTCCGAGTTTCACCGTGTCGTCGAGTCTTGCATCTCAGCGCTGTCTCATCGTGATCGGGAGGCTACATCGCGACAGTGAAACAGGCGCCTAAATCCAGTGTTAGGTAAGGTTCTATATAAGTTCAATAGTAGGGCCCCCTCATAAGATTCTGAGAGAGAACGGCTCAGTAAAGTTTACGCAACAAATGACTTTCTTCTAGCCAAAAGTAATCCAAGTGCGGATGCACGGTGGAATACCCACAATGGAATGTTAACAATAACTCACAGTAACTTTTTACACAATAATTAGTGTGAACGCAGCTTTAGTTGTTAGTGCTCAAAAGTATTACTGGTACTTAGCAAAAAGATTTAACGGCACAAAAGGAGGTAACGCCCAACAATGTTACATAAATGATGTGATTGGTTTTGAGCTAACTTGTGTTTTGCAAAATGTTGGCAAGATTTTCTTAACACAGAAAAGTGGTCCCTGGATGACACGTGGGCTGTATTTGAAAGGCTATTCAATAATTCACTTCAACCATTTTTGTCTCCAGTTTTAGATTATAAAAGGGTCACTCAAATAAAAACAAATTCTAACTGAATCAAATCTCCTACGCACTTTCCGAACTGAAGGCAGAGGCGCAATAGCATTTGTCTGATTATTGTAAGTACATATGGTATTATTGTTCGGCATTTTACAAGTACATGTAACATGAGCGGCGCAAACAATGAAAACAAATACTTGGAATAGCTGTCGCTTGCCAAAAACTCTTTCTTTACAGAATCTCCTATTATATTTCAACTCAACGGATAACAAGAGATTTGTACCTGTTTACAAGCATCCCCTCAGAATCGTGCGCTATCAGCATGCCCCTGGGGAATAGCACTGCCTGGATCTTTCAACTACCGTCTGCAATGAGTACAAATACAAGAACAATTACTGAGGATGGAAAGCCGGCGGGGGCGTCAAAGCCATAATTGTGTTGTTTTTCTTTCCGGTGTAGCAATGAATTGAATTTTCCAATCTGCAAGCCGTACGTTGTTTGCTTAAATTGCTGTAATTTTTAGACATGGATGGATTTGGGGGTAAGTATTTTATAGCAAATATGTTACACTGACCTGTTTAAAGTTTTGTGTTCATAGCTGCTGGAAAAACCAAGGGGAAAAAAGTTGTTCTTGTAGTCGGGTACCCTGACCCTACTTGAGACGAAACGGAGCAATTTATAGACGTCGGAGAATTGTCAGGTCAGGGAACCAAACTAGCTGGCTTGCACCCTTTCACTGATGTGTAACCGATTGCAAACAAAATGTAGACAAACTAAATTTGGTAAATTTGGAAAAAGACAGCCCACCAGGTGCCATGATTTCACAGGAAGCTTGAGACTACACACTGCAAAAAGAAAGAAAGCCCACACTCATTGGAGGGGACATAATTTTGAATTTGATCATCTTATGATGACGCCATTTACATAGACCTTTGGGGAATTGTGTTAGCTACATTTTGATAACCCATTTGCTACCAAAGACTGTAAATCATCCACGATTGACAACAGTTTATGAAAAAACGATGCAGTTTGAAAAGTTGCAAATTTACGGCTACATCATCTACCAGGAGAAATTGCTAAGCATATCCACACATGCCCGTAATTGGCCCCCATCGACTGCACAGTGCTCGAACAAAGCGTGGGAAAAAAAAATTGATTCGCGTGCTCCCATGCATGCAAGCACTAGCTGTGCGATCGATATTTCAGGTAGTGTAACATTGTCACGCAGCAATTTCTACTAGCGTAATCTTGAAATTTGCAACTTTTTTCAAACCGCATCATTTTTCATAAACCATTGTCGGTGTTGGACGATTTACAGTCTCTGGTAGCAAACGGGAAACGGGGTATCAAAATGTAGCTCACAACACTCACCAAAGGTCTATATAAATTCGTTCGTATAGGGCTCCACTTTTTTCCCTCAAAATTCTTTGGAATGACAGATCCTGTGCCAACGGAAGTTCTTGGACATGCAGGTGCTCGTTAAATTTCGGAACTGTAAATAAAATTCATCCAGGCTTTCAAAAATCTAGACAAATATGTGACCTGTTCTGTCAAAATCAGACTTTTCTGGGCCTAAGGTCAAAAATTAGATTTGTGCATATTGTTGAAATATGTACATTTTTCTTTTAATAGGTGGTTTAATTTTTGAAATTGGTCATTCCTGGGCAAAGTTATGCTATTTTGAAGTTCATCGTGTCGAAAAGTAGAAAATGGAGAAAATGGCAGTTCAAGTTTGGGGTCTATTTTAAGACTTGTTTAAAACTTGTTTTAAAACTTTTATTGTATATTTTAGACATGTTCAAGATTACAAATATACAAAAATTTGAAAAAAAAAACACCTTTGCCCAGAAGCGTCTACTTTTGACAGAACAGGTCACATATGGCCATGTTTACGGGTCTAGAACTGCCCAAACTATAGTTGGGACAGCCCCAACTATAGTTGGGACAGCCCCAACTATAGTTGGGACAGCCCCAACTATAGTTGGGACAGCCCCAACTGTTGGGACAACCCCTAACTATCTAGGTGGGCACGGACATCCGGCAATTTTTAATAGGCTTTCCTATTTTGTTGCTCCCAGACCTACCAGTACATGTAAGTTCTTGAAACTCAATTGGTTCTTAACACACAGCAACTGATGAAAACTGGTGTGCAAATGAATAAATGTTTTCATCAGATGACGTGAGCATGCACGCCCCTACCTGTAGTTGGGGCATATAACGTGTAACAGATATGAACCAATGAAAGAAGGAATACATGTAGGCATATACGGTATATTTCCCATTTATGTTAAAGGGAATGTACATTTGCTTTTGCTGCAATTTTCAGAAATAAATGGATTTGGAGGATTAGTATAGCAAATATTGTTACACTAACTTGTTTCACGTTTTGGGTTTGTAGATGTTGGATAAACCAAGAAAGCCAATCATGTTATTGTAGTCTTGTTCCCTGACCCCACTTAAGATGAAACGGACCAATTTACAGACTTTGGGGATTTGTAAGATCAGAGAATCAGTCTAGCAGGCTTGTAGTCTTCACAGATGTGTTATCAATTGCAAAGAAAATGCAGACGAACTAAATATGAAAAATTAGAAGCACTTTTTGAAAAAAGCCAGTTTTCTCCAACGCTGATCGGCCGACCAGCGTTGGAAGAATACAGCTTTTCTTGAAAATGTCAGCACACCAGGAGCCACAACTTTACAGGATGCTTTAGACTGTCATTCCCGAACAATCCAGTAAGATATTTTGTGATACTTGATCGTTTCGTTTTTTTTGACGTTTGCAAATGTTGTATCCTCCCTTTAACAGATCAAATCCAATCCAACCCTTGTTTTTGCCAAACCTCATCAACTGTTGAAGTTGAGTAATTAAACAAGAACAATTACTGAGAATGGAACGCCAGCGGGGGCGTCAAATTTCAAGCCATAAATTCTGTGTTGGTTTTTTTTTCCCGGTGTCTTTATTGAATTACATTTTCCAATCTGTATGGCGTTATTTGCTTTTGCTGTAATTTTCAGAAATGGATGGATTTGGGGGTTTAATAGTGTTTTGTAGAAGTAGAGCTGTTACCTGTCATTCAGTAATCATCAGTCTGAAGTGCGCCCGCATACGTGTACTTTTGACCAGAATTGAATGACTGGCAACAACCGTCGATGCACTTTGGCGAGGTCATGAAAGTTGACGCACGCTCAGTGGAAAGCACGAGTGTCACGACCCATGACCTCAAGCAGATTACAGGAATATGGATGCCAGTACAGCCGTCCAAATTCTGCCCCAAATTACAGGATAATTAAGGCCAAGTAAAAAAAATTCCATTTGGTCTTCCCCGCCCGCTTCCTTTTTTGAGGCTGCATCATTTTTTTTTTTTTTTTTAAATTTCAGGCATGTAACATTTTCTTAAAAGATGTTTCAGAAGTTCAGATGCTTCTAATAGCTTTACTAATGTTCAATTTAGCACTTTAAGAAGGTTTTGTGGTCATCAACTAGTAGACAACTACCCAGAACTATCAAATAAAAAGGGCATCCTCCTTTTTAAGGCACATATCGCTTAAGCTAAATATGGCTATTTTAGCCTATTTTTCAACAAAAAAAATAAAAAATAAAAAGGCCCTCATCCTCCTCTTTTTGAAAAACCTGGACGATCAACTTGTGTTTTTTTTACTTGTCCTAAAACTCTGGGGTACGGAATTCCACTTCTTTTTGGCTAATATTTAATAAGCAGTTAATTATCCACCTGGGTGATTAGGCCGGAAAAAAAATAGTTCTGCTTCCGATTACATGCATTTCAAAAATAGGGTCGGTCATTTTTTTGTTTTTTGGGGGCCAATTTTTGCATGCAGATTGAATGGGGTATTCAATTATATGCGAAGTTTTAGCCTGAACTATTTCCATTGCACTACGAAAGCTATACACAAAATGGCCACAAAAAGTGAATAAAACCTACCTTAATTATTGTCAATATATTTACGTTCGATAATTCGTAAAAAATAATGGAAAATTCAGGTCGTTCGCACCATATGCACAAAGCTAGTCAAGACGGGCAGCTGGCCAAAACTCCGAAGTGTGTGATGCACTGTGCATGTGTGGCGCGGCCAACAGACCTCGTTTTTACGGTCAAAAATTTCGGGAAACACGCTGCATTGTATCACGTCAAATACGAGTAGTGCGATCTCAAAATGAAATCTTGAACACGGAAAATACATACACAGACAAGCTAGATCAATTCTGTGAATTAACTTGCAAAAATGTTCTTTCTCCATCAGTGTTTTCTTGGCATTTTTACGATGTCGAATCCGACCAGTTGACAGTGCACGTGCCCAATGCATAGCCATGCTAGCGCTATCGATCGCATAGTTGGCACAGACTAGTTACTGCATTTTCATCATGTCTTCTAAATTGGCCCCTGTGCGGCGCGGCGGGAACCAGTCGTCGCCGCATTGAGCTAGGTTACGCACGTGATTATTGTCACCGTGACATCGAATTGCGAAGTAGTTATATCGCGAAGCGAATTTGTAAAAATAACAGAGGTTTCTTTTGAAAAAAATAGCGAATGTAAGTAAGAAAACAAATAAATAAAAGCATTTTTTGATGCAAAAGGGTTGTTGAGAGGTATTTTGTGAAGACAGAAAAGACAACAGGTTTTTATTTTTATTTATTCAAACATTATTATTTTTATTTTTTTGGAATTGCCGATAAATTTTTTAGGGTCACAGCCTAAAAATAGGGTCGGTCGGGTAAGGCCAAAAAAAAAAAAGTCTCCGGTTTCTGGTATGCGTGCGCGTCGCCGTAGCCATGCGCGTCGGCAAAATGAAAAAGTTTTTTTTTCAATAAAAGATGATGTCTCAAAACCGCCAAACTCACTGGTTTGACTGGAATCCTGCTGCTGCACAGTTTTAACGTGTTTTTAGATGGGGTTATGATCGAGAATAAGCTTTATGTAGCTTCTCTGAACTCCCATTATATTTGCACTAAGTTTAGTCGGGCACCATTTGCAGTCATCAGCCGACATTTGAAGCAAAAAAACAGGTAAAAAAAAAAAAAGCCGCGTCGCCGCACCACTTTTTGGGCAAGCTCCATACTAGAAACCGGAGACTTTTTTTTTTTGGCCTAACCAGAAGCAGAAGTATTATTTTTTTTGGCCTTATCAAGTGACAAAATAATTCCATTCTTAATATTACTTCCTGTTCAACATGGTTGTGTGACTAGTGAAAATCACGAAAATACCGAAGCAAATCGTATAGTTTAGGACCCCGTTCCATATAATTTAGAAAATGAAACAACATTTTGAATGTTTGGAGACTGATATACAATGTACATTGCAACTAAGTATGTCTTTGGAATCATCTTAATTGTTCGCTAAGAAGTAAGATACCATATAAATGAATATATCAGCTACCTTATTGTGGAAGAGTCTTGTGAACGGAACTTGTACATGTTGTAAGACATAAGAGGTGTTCTGAACTACAAGATTACCAATTTATAAATAAAAGTTTGAAATTGTAAAAAAATACAGGTGTGCTAAACTACATGATTGCCACAAAGTACCAGAATATTTATTCCGGGCAACTAGGACTCCACGGATCGCCTTTTGTAACATTTGACCATGTCCAAATGTTAAAAAAGGCGGGCGATTTGTAGAGTCCTAGTTACTCGAACTGCAGAATATTCCAGTAATTCTGGCATGTCTGATTTCTATGTAAAAAACTAAAACTTAAAGTTAGAATTTTTAATTAGGAAAGAATGTTGCATCCTGACACCACTTTTTTCATCATATCATCTGAACAAAAGGTCAGTCATTGCAAAAATGTTGAAAAGACATGAATCTGGGCGATCGTGAAGTGTAGGGCCCCTGTTTTGTTTTCATCAAATTAGAGTCAGAAATGTTTTTTATTGCTCAAAAATCACCTTTACAATCAAAAGCAGACTTTTTCTCAATTCTATTGACACCCCGCGTTACTTTTGCAATTTTTAGCAGAAACTTGGGGTAGAAATCACAATTTTCCTGTGCGGTTTGTGCCTTGTGATTCATCGCGCCGTGCGTGCTCACAGTACATCACGCAGTGATCGCCATCTTTACTTTTGGGTCGCGTTTTGTCGCCGCACTGTCATCGTCATTTTACCCCCAAATTTCCTTAAAAAAATTTAAAACCCTGCCATCTATCTATGACATACCTGTTTATTGAGAATGTCGCCAACTAGTTTGGTAGGTCCAATAATTTTAAAGTGAATTTTGTTCCCTTATAGAAACTGGGCCCTACACTACACGATCGCCTGAATCTGGGACTGAGAAACATTTCTAATTTTGTTGGAAAAACTTGTTTAGTTGTTAGAAAATGTTCTTGACTCTCCATAGACTTTGTACACAACCGCTGACATGGCTGAAGTGGCTTAGAACGGGATGTGGTGTCTGGATGGATCCTACATTCTTTCCTTGAAGGAACATTCTTATAAGTTCTAAAGTAAAAACGAAAACCTTACTTAGCCTCGTGTCGCCATAAAGAAAGCAAAAACAAGGATAATTCGTTCATAAAATCATAGTTCCTTCAGACGTTTACATCACGGCCACACACTGCTTACTTCCTGCTGCGCTGTCAAGTTATGATTGTGTATTGTGTTATGTGTACATGTACTTCGTTATGGAGAGCGAAATAGTCAAGACATCATTATGGCTCGAATACCAGAGTAGGCCTAATATACAATCGAAAGAACCCCGAAACGAAATATATCCGCTCTTGTATTTCACCCATTAAATATTTCGAACTTTAACTTCAATAATTTCTTCTTCGTTTAGTCTGGGAAAACAAAACCAGGAAAAAAATCCTGGACTACATCCATTTTTGAACATCGCTCCGGCCTATTGTTGTTTTCTTAACAGCCATGAAGGATCTTTTGCTGAACTGGTCTAATTTTCAGGGGGCACTCGAAGATTATTGGATGCATATATTATTTCATAGTCTTCTCAAAGGATTTCAATTATTAAAAAGCTCAAATCTCCAAAAAGAAAATCTGTATCCCTCCGGGCACCCCCCCCCCCCCCCCCCCCCCCGCCATCACACTATGTACAGACACATCTTCACTTTTGCTTTTGGCGTATGTTTCTTGCTCAGTTTGAGAGAGATAAAGATCCTAATAATTTAAAATTAGGTTCAAAGCCCGCTCCAATATCAGTTTCTTTGTTCTACCACGGAGGAATAAGAACATGCAGTGGCCTAGCCAGGGGGAGGGGGGCTGCCGGGGGGGCTGGGGGGCACGTCCCCTCCCACAATTTGCAGTGCCCCCCCCCCCCCCGGTGGACCCCCCCAAAAAAAAAAATCTGAAATTTCGCACTTGTCAAGGAAGAGTCTGTTGAAAGTATTTGTATAAGTTATTAAAAGGAAGAGGAATCTAGATGACATTTTTTTGACTTCCCTGAACCGCAACACGTACCTTTATGAAATGTGAAAAAAAAATTGTTATGAAACAAGAGCGGCCTGTAGCCTCAAAAGAGGTCCAGCTTCCCCCCCCCCCCCTTTTCGAATTTGCAGCACTTACGGTGGCCTGGAAACTTGGGGAAATGTTGTTGGGTCCACCCTTGGTGCCCCCTCATAACATGCTGGTATATCCCACTGAAAAAAATCTTGGCTAAGCCACTGTCTCCAACTTATTTCACAAATTGTAACATTTTAGTATTTTAAATCTTTGATAATGTTTATCTTGTAATCTTCTTATTTTTGTCAGCCAGTGGAAGAGCGTAATAAACAATGTACTTTTCAAATCTTATAATGTACCTGCAGTTCAGGGTTTATTTGATGTTTTGATTTGGATTATAGTTTTGTTATTTTGCGCCCGCCATACCATTCACATGCCTGAACACGCATGCGTGGTAAACTTGGTGATCAAAATGGCGGACATAAACAGGACAAACTCTCCCATGAACTTGTATCGAGAAGATATTTTAGACACCAAAGAAGAGCTAGATAAAGCAAGAGAAAAGCTCATCGGAGAGCAGAAAAAGACCGCACGTATCCTTTGATCAAGTCAAATTGAAATTGGCGAATAAGATGGAATGATTTCACCCAAAAGCCGTAGACGGATTTTAACGTTAATTTTTGCGATTGCTTTCGCACATTTAAGCTTTTTCGTGAAAAAATATCCGGGTCCATTTTGCTCCCATTAACATTAATTAACTTTAGTTGGCATTAAAATTCATAATTAAATTTATTTCAATTTAGGACCGCTCGGGACAGTTCTTTTTTTTTCGAAGTGGCTATCGTTATGGCAGCCGTTGTTTAGCGCCCTCTACGATACTTTTTTGATACGCACGCAGGTATATAATTATTTGTTTCCCCACATTTTAGCGAGTAGTGCGACAGCTCAGTCGATAGTGGGTAGGATTTAGCACCGCGAGGTTGCAGGTTTGCATCTCAGTTTTGCACTCCAATTTTTTTCCTTTTCTAACCTGAGGCTTTGGAGGATTTTTTTTAAAAGGGAAATAAAGTCCGAATTTCATAACGTTCAAATTCACTTTTTTCCTTCTAATTTTATATTTTCTTCTCATGCTTTTATAAAAGTTGCAGTACTACCGTAACGATAGAAAATGGGAAATGCGTTACGGCTGCCGTAACAATAGCCACTGCGTGTTTTTAAAAAAGTAATCCACTTGGTTCATCAAATGTTTGTGAAATTGTAACTGAAACTGCAATTATTTTAAGCATTTTTCTTTTAAAGTTAGGCCTAATCATCTATAAATGAATTTTTTTTTAGATTTGCAAAATGCAGATCAAACAATTTGGAAAGGCATGTGGCCTTTTCCTTTTTCACTATTCACATTTTTTTGGTAAACATGTAGTTTAGGACCCTGTTCCATATAGTTATGTTTTGTAACAAACATCATCTGGATAAAACTTTGATACAAAGTCAAACTCAAAGCAGGAAAAGTCACTTTTTATGTGTTTGGATAAAACACGTAATTTTGTGGAAAGAGGGCAGGGTTTTGATTTGAACAAAACTTGTAAAAACATAATATTATACATGTAAGAGGGGTCGTAAACTACACGATCACTATTATTATTACCTTTTTTTTAAGCGAGTTGTTTCCATCAAATTTGGATTCAGATGTCTCTTGTCTTACATTTCAAGTTAGACGAATCAATACATTGTGTTGTTCTTTCATAAGGCTAAATAAAAACAAACACCAGTTGATCATCCAGGTTTTTTTCAAAAAGAGGAGGATGAGGGCCTTTTATTTTTAATTTTCTATTTAAAAATAGGGTAAAATAGCCATATTTAGCTTATGCGATATGTGCCTGAAAAAGGAGGAGGCCCTTTTTATTTTATAGTTCTGGGGAGTTGTCTACTAGTTGATGACCACAAAACATTCTTAATTAAAGTGCTTATTGAACATTAGTAAAGCTGTAAACTTCACCTATGAAGTTAGCAATAACACTCAATTGAAACTTTGGAAGAAGTAAGAAGAAAGCTAGTATAAGGAGCGTCTGAACCTCCAAAAAAATGTTATGCCTGAAATAAAAAAAAAAAAAAATAGATTGATGCAGCCTCAAAAAGCAAGTGAGCAGGGACGATCAACTGGTATTTTTTTTTACTTGGCCTAATGATTAGTATTTTAAGCATACAAAATATTGACAGATGTCTAAGTGGAGTGTTGTTTTTGAAGTTGCTTCTGTGTGATGGTAAGTTTTGTGAAATAGTTATTCTTTTAAATAATGATTTCTTTGGCTTAGCTTCAAGGGGATGGCCCAGAGCTGCCAACTCTCCCTGATTCTGCAGAAAGTTCCCTGAAAATAAACCAATAGGCCTATTTCCATGTTCTGATGAACAAATTTGAAAATCTGGAAAGATTTCCATACTATACGAAGTTCACTAATTTTCCTCTGTATTGACTAACAAACCCCCAGATAACAATTTCATGTCATCAAAGTCAATTTGAGCAGAGAGAAAATACAAGCATTTTCTTAGAAAACACTTAGAATTTTTCAGTCCAATCTCATAGGGTTTGTACACAGGGTGTTGAGTGAACTTCGTATATGGAAGTCTTTCCGAAAATCTCCCTGATTATGGAAACCTTTTCCCTATTATGTTGAATGTAATTCTAACTATCTCCCTGTCAAGATTGTAGTACACAATCTCCATGATTGCAAGATGCAAATGTTGGCAGCTCTGGGATGTGGGTGGTGCAATCAAATTTAAAATTCATTCTCACTCATGGCCTTAGACTAACACTACAAAGTGAGATAGTTTTTGTGTGGTTTTTCGTAACTGCCATTGCTCAGCATTTCTGGTTGGCAGTATTGAGCGAGTTAACGAGAGGATAGCAACCTTAGACAGGGAGCTTCAGGGGTTCTCAGAGCTTGTGATTGAGAGTAAAGCCACCAACGTTCCTGATGATGTCCTGCCAATGTCGGCAAGGTTCCACAAGGGCCCTCAGAAAGGTTAGCACCCATGCTGTTGTTCTTTGATTTCAGATTACGAGTAAATAAAACTCAAAAGACAATGACTTCTCTCAGGGTTCGACCTTAGCGGTAGCCTGCTTGCCGAATGCGAGTAAAAACGGTGGCAGACTAGTCAAAACCATTCTCAAAGTAGTCCACTTGGCGAATTAAAATTTTTGTTAATAACATGAATGTTTATGACATTTTGGTGCAAATTAAACAATTCTATTGCGGACTCGTGAAAAGAGTGTTTCACTAGTCTGGCTGGCTAGTGACAACAAAAGTTAAAGGAACCCTGGTTCTCTGACAGTTCTATTTGAAAATTAAACAAAAATTTTGTATGAAATACAGCAAAACTAATTAGGCCAAGTATAAAAAAAAGTATTCTGGGCTTTTTGAAAAAGGGAAAAGGCCTTTTTTTATTCTTTGTTTTCCCCCAAGATGGCTTATTTTTCAAGATGGCAGATTGATTCTTCCATTTTCTTGACTTTTTGCCGATACTTTTGTGTCCGAAGGAACCGTCGCCCTTTCTACCAGATTTGAACTTGCATACATAAAGTTTTGCTTTAAACAAATAAAAAGATGAAATATACATGTATTGCAAATGTATGAATAAAAAGAAAGAGGCGGGTGGGAAAAAGAAAGCAAGCGTTTACCAGAAACTGGTTAATTTTTTTACGTACTGTAGCCTAAAACTGAAATGTTGGAAATTTACTAATTGTCTTGTATTTTAACTTTTTCATACTGGCAATAAAATCAAGGGGATCTTTAAAGGCACTGTGGAGTTGCTTAGAATTCTAATAAACCTAATAAAGAGAGAAGACCATCAAGAAATATTCAGTTTTGTGGATGACTCAGTTGATAGAGCACCGGTATGGTGTTCCGGAGGTCACAGGTTCAAACCCCGCTCCAGTCAATTTCTTTGTTCAACTTTGAAAGTTTTGGGCTTAAAATGTCAAAAGTGTTTTCTGACTTTACATAATAAGTAAATAGAAGCCAAAATGTGTTTGTAACAGAGTACAAATTTATGTGATGATTTTGCAACGTTATGTTTCCAATTTTGTTTGTTTAATTTAGTGTAGATGGATACTTTTTTGCTCTTTTTTTTTTTTACTTGAAGATCTTGTTTTTTTCAACTTTCATGCTGCTAAGCTTGTTTTCAACCTAATATAATAAGCTTTTACTTTGTACTTTAAATCTGCAAATCTTACTAAACTTGCTTACTGCTGCCGAAGCTGCTTAGTCTTAAGCCATTTATGCTGTGGTCTAAAAGAAAGCTTTCTATTCCTTGCTCTTCCCTTGCAGTTTCTCGTAAGTTGCTTGTGCAGCCAGCTTGAGCTAGCTTTTTTTGTGATATGTGTGCTCGCATACACACTGTGGTAAAAGCTTTTTGAGTGTGCTGTGAATTTTCCTGCTTTTCTTTTTGTTTCTGAAGAGGTGTCTCCATTGTTTTCTGGGAGTGAGCTGGCTTATAATATATAAAAAGTTATAATGTTATGTTGCCCACATTAGGGTAGGACATTGCTGGTTGGTAGGATTTGTTGGGGAAAAAATTGGTGTTTTTGAGAAACGAAAAGGGGGAAAAAATGTTAATGAAGTTTATTCCCCCCCCCCCTCAAATTTAAGTACCTGCTCCTGGGCTTTTTGACTTCCTGAACATTGTCAAGTCCCTTCGTCTCGATCTCTAAAATTTGGAAGTTGCACTTTTAGTGTACTGACGAAGTACAGGGTGAGTAAAAAGAAAAGGGAAACCCAAGTAGCGCCCCCTATTTTGTAAAGATCTAGGATGTGAAAGCCCAATTAACAAGCTTTCCTTTAGTACAAGAATCATTCAAATCACTCATGTACTTTTGGAGTTATGGAATTTTGAACACAAACACAGTTTAAAAATTGTGTCCACGTGTCACATTTAAGGTACAGGTGTACGTGATATTTCAGTAAAATGAAACCATGTCGTATCATTAAAACGATATCAGAATAATCCCATAAGTCTCTGGGTAGCCAAGTAGAAGGCAGGGCAAGATTTTACTCTTGACATTATAAAGCCTGTTGTTTTAACATTGGAAGCAGAACGTGTTTAAATAAGGGTTATGATAAGTGCCAGTTATCATGGTTAAAGAGAGTGTTCAGATGTGTTTTTTTATATGTATGTAAATTGTTTTCATTTTGCTGAAATATCACTTTATACCTTTATTGTGATCTGTGATCAAAAATATAAAACTGTGTTTGTGTTTAAAAGTCCATAACTTGAAACGTACATGAGTGATTTGAATGATTCTTTTACAAAAAGAAAGCTTATAATTGGGCTTTTACATCCTAGAGCTTGAATGCGCTACATGCAGAACTACTTTGAAAAATAGGGAGCACCATTTGGGATTCCTTTTTTTTTTTACTCACACTGTACAGGCGAAAGGCCAGTTGCACTTTCACTTGTAACTTTGAACATTGGCAACAGCTTTCAGCAGCCTAAACCTGCCATTTTTGAAGATGGATGGATGTTTCAGGGATGTTTCAATGACAATCATCAATTGTGAAAAAAAAATCCATATTCGTTACACCTCATTCAACATATCAAATTTTTTCCCCCCTGAAAACAAATGGGGACACCGACTTTCAAGACTGTAGAAAAGTCAGTTTAAGGTTCAATTTAAATGAAATCTGTAGAGTTTAGACATTTCTGGTTTTTAACGATGCTGCCTATCTCTCACCACTGTTGAGTTTTGTCTCAAATTGGAGTTTCCCAATTCAGAAGCTTGTTCTAAATTCTCTTCATTAGTCAAATTAGCGATTATGCAGGATAACTGAAGTTTTTAGAACTTTTAGAATACATTCAATACAACAATAATAACACTTTGTTGTTACATTGCATAATAACTCCATATCATACAATGTACTTAATGCACTGTACTTGTACAAATTCATCTTTTCAATTTTTTTTTTTTACATACATGTAGTAAGGCCAAAAAAAAAAAAATCTCCGGTTTCTGGTATGCGCGCGCGTCGCCGTAGCCATGCGCGTCGGCAAAATGAAAAAGTTTCTTTTTCAATGAAAGATGATGTCTCAAAACCGCCGAACTCACTGGTTTGACTGGAATCCTGCTGCACAATTTTAACGTGTTTTTAGATTGGGTTATGGTCGAGAATAAGCTTTATGTGGCCTCTCTGGACTCCCATATATTTGCACTAAGTTTAGTCAGGCACCATTTGCAGCCATCAGCCAACATTTGAAGCAAAAAAATCAGGTAAAAAAAAAAAAAACCGCGTCGCCGCACCACTTTTTGGGCAAGCTCCATACCAGAAACCGGAGACTTTTTTGGGGGGCCTAATATACAAAGTAGTTTTTTTAGCATAGTATGTTCTAGATTTGTAGATTACATTGTACATGTACTTTCATTTACAGTCATTAAAAAGAATTCCAGTAGATAAAATTGAATTTGGGAATGTGACAAACTTTGGCATTTATTTGAAAAAAAGATCGTTAATGTCCATTTCCTTACAGTAATGTATGCACATAACATGTACACTGTAATGTAGTATACTAAAAATAAGTCATTATCACCACTTTCATGTCACCTACATGTACATACAGTACTCATAATCAAAAGGGGTCCTATCCACTGTAGTTATACCTTTTTCAACTAAGAAAGAATACCAAACTGATTTACAAAAACACCATGAATTAAGAAGCACTTTTATCATCCCCTTTATTGGTACATCGTTGTACATTGTTTCCTTTGTTCTCTCTTGTTCATTTTATTTCATATAAATTGACCACAAAACACCAAACAGCACCAAAAAAGCTCAGTTGTTGGAGCATTTTAGTTTGAAATTGTCAAGTTGTTTTGACGTGTCTATAGGGTGCCAATTGTTCTAATTTTCTAGTGTGTCCACTTTGGGACCTTTGAATGAAAAAAAAACTGAACTTATAAACATGTACTTGAGGGTCCTAAAAATACAGAGCTAGGAGTGAAACTGTTCAAAATCAGTCAAAAAAGTAAAATCTTCAGTCAAAAATATGAGTTAAATTATGAATCAACAGTGAAACAAAAGCCGGAAAAGATATTGCAACCTGACGGCACTTCGGCGGTTGTGTACAAAGTCTATGGAGAGTCAAGAAAATTTCTAAGTATTTCCTAACAAAATTGGAAATGTTTCTCAGTTCCAGATTCATGTATTATCATCATTTTTGCAATGACTGACCTTCATGATAGGCCTATATGAAGAAAAAATTGGCGTCAGGTTGCAACATTTTTTTCCGAAAAGCCTTTTTTCAAACCCTGACTTTATCTGAGCTCTTACTTAATTCTGTATTGAACCCAGAGCCTTTTTGGAAACTACAGCCTGAATCCACAGCCACGGTTTCAGAAATTGTTGAATATTAACCAAAATGCAATTGTAGTGATTAGTGAACAGCAATGTGGTGCCTTGCTGGATTGACTAACGTACTTTCATCCTTGCATTTGCTGTGACTAACAAACTGTTACAAATTGCTGGTAAAAATGTTGGTGGATTAATGAGTATTCCTTTATGCAAACGTCTACCCCCGGACAGCCTCCGATGTGAAAGAACTGAATCTATTTGCGGGTGTCTTTGCTGCTAAAACCAGTAAGAAATATTTTTCACTAATACAACCCCCTCCCTAGAATTCTTGTTTAGCATTGTACTTAGCTACAGTTTTTTTCCCCCAGAAAGTAGAGCTTGAAATAGCTACAATACACACAAAATTTGAGATTCAATTTAAAATTGACAGAGGAGTATTTTGCAACTCCTCAAGTTTGTGTTTGTTGGTAGTTTCTTTTGGTGAAATTTGGTGAAAGTTTTTAAAATCAAAACTCCCAATTTTAGGAAAGGTGAAACTACAACCCCCCCCCCCCCGAAAAAAACACAACATGTGTGAGGCTTTCTGGCAAAATGAGACAGAACTGGGCAGAGGTCAAAATGAGGGTTTGCGGGTATTAGGAAAGGGTAAAATTCTCCTTACAATACTGTTTGTTGAACTTCAATCAGACATTCCATTGACAAGTTATGGCTGTTTAAAGTTTGCATTTTATCAACATGTCAAAAAGTAAAATACTGAGTAAAAGACCTTTAAAGTTTCGAGTTTTGTATTCATGAAAATGAAAGACGCCAATTGTTTTTTCCTTAAAAAACACTTTCTTTCATTCCATGATTTTTTACTATTTAAAATATGTGTAGTAGACATATCAAAGACTATAAATACATGTATCAATACTTCTGAAAGTCGAAAAGAAAAAAAATTCCTTTTCATTTTTTTGAATTTTTCTCCACTAGGCTCTAAAGTCTTTGCCCAGTTCCATCTCATTTTGCAAGAATGCCTCACATGTCACAACATCAACTGTTTATAGACATCAAAGGAAGCAATTCCTTTCCCACTAAACTCTCGTTCATTTTTGGCATTTAAGATTTTAAGTCATAGTGGCTCCAATTTTACGCACTACAATGTACAATGTTATTCATGAATAATATAATAAAAACATTTTATGTTATGCCTCAAACACTTATATTTTTTATTGAATATTAATCTGACTGCTAATATGCTTGCTTTTGCAAACAGCAAGAAAAAAAAAAGTTATAACAAGTTCAAAAACTTTCCAGCAGGATTTGTTTTCATTAAAATTGCATGCTCAAATAAGCTGGTGAATTTAAACAAATCAGAAAAAAATAACACAATTAACAAAACATGATTAAGTTATTTACTGATATGATATTTGGACAATTTATTTGTTGGACTGTTCTCAAATAAATATATTTCTTTAGGTAGTGTACCGGTATGTAGCATGCGCATGGAATGAGATTGTGTACAAAATGCATGTTTATGCATGTTTTTATTTTGCGTATCTGGGTCATTCTATCTGTATAAGTTTAGGGTCCAAAGTTTGACATATGATGCGATCAAGCTACATGAGTCGTTTGTGGGGAACTTTCCTTTGAAAATTCAGGCCAAAATAGGGCCACTTCATCACATTACTTCATCACATCTCTTGGTGTTCCGACTTCCATAATTTTTGAACTAAAGATGGAACCAGCATGCAATTTTCACAGCAGTAATGCTGAGATTGTGCTCTTTTGAAATCTCTAAAAAAAAAATTGACCATGGTCAACAAACGACTCATTTAGCTTGATCACATTACATATTTCCTGTCCCTGCTACCTTGGTACTTTGTAATTTGCCATTCAATATTCAGTATAATTACATAGAAGGACTTCAAACAATTTTGTTATTTGTCGGTTAGGTAGTTTGCTATTCATAATCACTCTTGGAGGACGACTGCATTAAGGAGTGCATCAGAATTATAAAATCATAGATGTCAGACGTGACAGGGACAGGAAAAAAGTGGACCTAGAATTTATAGAATATGATCCAGCTAGAAATGCTTGAAATTGCTTATATTTTCCTTTTTTTTCTTGAGTATATTGTTTGTCTTGAAAAATTATTTCTGAAATGCATCTGATAATTATCTGATTAAATTGCCATTTTAAGATTTCTTGTTTTTTTCCTACAGTATAATTTTAAATTCATAAATACCTAAGACAGTTTACCCATTTCCTATTGGTCGAGAGCCTGTCACGTGGCTGGCTTTGAACGGTTGATAAAGACCGGCTGGCTGGCTGCGCGCTTCGCCGAATAACAAAACGAACTACTAATTTGAATTTCCTACGGTGCTTCTTAAGAAGCACCGTTGGAAAGGCCTTCTTTTGTTGATTTCTTCAAAATGACAGCTTGCCAGAAACAAGCGCGCCGATATCCATAAGGAATTGTTTACCACATCTCCTGAGACTGGACATACCATAATATAGCTAAAGGGGTGTCCCAAAAAACATGAAGTAAACTTGTTGACATTTTTTTTTTAAAACTTGTAATTTTTGACTTGTTTTGACTTTTGGACCGAAAAGTTTTGATTTTTTTTACCAAAAAGGTATTTATGAATGGGAATAAATATGTCCTTGGTCGGTATTAAACACTCTGTTTATTACCAGTTGGAGTCTGGATGCTGATAATTACCCTCGCATTCGGCTCGGGTATACAGCATCCAGACTCCAACTGGTCTTAAAACACAGTGTTTAAAACAGCCTGGTATATATTTATTCCCTTAATTATACACCTCATTTATCAATTGATTAATTAGGCCTAAGTCCTTCCACCTCCCACTTTTATAATTCATCCACAAGCCCCACCCACCCACCCTGCCTCCTTCCCTTAAAATTTTCAGAGAGATGTCATTGAAGATTAGATCTTTTATCCATCTCATCTACTTTTTCATTCCACGTTTATCATTTATTCAGATGTGTCATTTTGACTTTTATTATTTTTTTAAAATTTGTTATCAGTGTAAGTAGGCCGACTTGTACCTTAACTCGGATTAAGTCTTGAAGAATAAAAGTCAAATACTATTTTTCGCAACCCTTATGAATCGTTAATGATCGGATTTCTGGACAGGTCACCATGACGATATTGTCTTACAGTTTCAATTATAGACCCTAATCAGTCAATAATACCCATGCACGCGGCCGACGTATGTCAGACCCTTCGAAATTTTGAATCAATTTTTAATGTGTTTCGGAAATTTGAGCTGGAGCTTAGGCTACAGGTAAAATGTCGTTCGTCCTGGGGCTTCACGCCTAGTAATCGAGGTCGGCGTGTGAACGAAATGTGAGGGGGCGACTTACAGTCAAGCCGTCATCGGCGATGAGGGAAACAAACCAATCACGGGAAACCCATCCCAATGGACTAGATTTCCTTTGAAGTAGTGGTTTTGAAATCAAAAACAGACTGCGGTTTTTGAATAGATGAGTTAGGCCTACATACATTAAAGGGAAGATACAATATTTGCAAACATCACAAAACGAAATGATCAAATTATCACGAAATACCTTACTGTATTGTTACGGAATGACAGTCTAAAGCATCCTGTAAAATCGTGGCTCCTGGTGTGCTGTCATTTTCAAATGGGATTTTTCCAACGCTGGTCAGCCGACCAGCGTTGGAGAAAACTGGCTTTTTTTTCAAAAAGTGCTCCTAATTTTTGCATAATTAGTTATTCCGTTTTCTTTGCAATTGATTACACACCTGTGAAGGGCTACGAGCCTGCTAGACTGATTCTCTGACCTTACAATCTCCCAAAGTCTATAAATTGCTCCGTTTCATCTTAATTGGGGTCAGGGAACCAGACTACAAGAACATGATTGGTTTTCATGGTTTTTCCAGCATCTACGAGCCCAAAACGTGAAACAAGTCATTTTAACAATATTTGCTATAACATAACAATCCTCCAAATCCATTTATTTCTGAAAATTGCAGCAAAAGCAAATGTTGTACGAGATTCAAAACAGGTGTTGGTTGGAACATCAAGATGCATTTGTAGGGTTGTAAAATAGAAGAAAATTGAAAATTTGTTGCAGTAAAATGGATAGTGAAGTTAAAACTGTGTGGTGACTTTGTCTATGGGTCATTCTTTAAATTTGGAGTGCACTTTTTTTCCTGTCCCTGTTACATCTGACATGTGCAATTTTTGAAAATTCTGGACGTACTCCTACGGTAACTATATCTTTGTGTTTGCATTTTAAAGCAAAACAAAACAAAAATAATTTGGGAGGCTGTAATTTGGGAGGCTAATCATCCTTTAATACAAGCAGCTGAGAAGCTGAATTGCGAAGGATATGCGGCTACAACGTGGTAGAACTGTTTAAAAGTGCCTTCGGCAGCCAGCCACATCAACCCATATATGACCACAGAGCACAGCCCGAGATCGAAAGTGTTGGATTTTTCAATGTGAATCGCATTCAGACATATCTTACTTGTGAATTCAAAAAGTTGACTGATTGTTAAATTTCTCTAGTTAAGTCATTAAAGTTATAGCATTTTTGAAATTGCAATATCTGAAACCAAAGTAGAAAACTGATTTATATTTATGATGTAACAGTCTTGAATAAACATTCAAATATATAGGATTTTCCACATATATGATATGTGTTTTGAAGTCTTGATGAAAGTGTACTGTGTATTAAATCTAAGAAACATACTTGTATGTATATGACTTACAAATTTCCCCTTGTGCTTGTGTAGCCTTGTTTCCAGTAGTCACACCCAAGATGAAGCACCTCTCCAAAATCAACGAGTCTAGCAAGAAGGTAAAGGGAGATTTATTTCATAAAAAACAATCAGTTCAGTTTGTTCAAAGATAGCTCTTTTGTAATATAGCCCTTTTTCAAATTTGCAGTACGTTTTGGTCATGTAGGCCCTATGTTAGTTGGGACATTCAAATTTAGTAGAATCCTTCAACTGCCACTTTGTATAATTTACTCAAATTGTGCTATTATAGATTGTTTTTTCCCTAAAATGTTGAGGGTTAGTATTTTTCCTTTTCAGATCACTAAAGACAAAGGAGACACCAAGCCCAAATTGGTTGAGGTAAGAACATTTGTGAGGTGTTCTGGCAAAATGAGACAGAACTTAGCACAGGCCGTAGTGGAGAAAAATGAAAAAAACCGAATGGGTGTGATTTTTTTCCGATCGTCAGATTTATTGATATTTGTAGAAATCTGTGTCTACGACACAGTAAAGAATGGTATAAAAATTGTGGAATAAAAGTATTTTGACATATTTGAAGGAAAAACAAGTGGCACCATTCATTTTCACGACTGCAAAACTCGAAACTTTAAGGTCCTTTTTCTGAGTAGTAATTTTCAACTATTTTGGGATGCGGAACTTCAGTTTAAACAGCCATAACTTGTCAAGGGAATATCTGTTTGAAGTACAACAAACAGTAATGCGAGGAGAATATTATGCCCTTTCCTAATCACCACAAACCCTCAATTTCGACCTCTGCCCATTTCTGTCTCATTTTGCCCAAAAGGCCTTACATTTCATACACACACATCTGTTACACTAGATTTTTCCAACAGCCTATATACATGTAATTAGCGCGTGTATAGCCCTGTGGTCTGGTGCTGTGGATTGTGGGTTTGAGTGTCCTTGGGCAAGACACTTTGTCACTATAATTGCTTCTCACCCATGAGTACAATGGGTGCCTGTGAGGGTAGAGGTGCTTATTTTGTTTGAAATTAGCCATATATGGCTGAATCAAGCTATCTTGGGGGCTAAGATGGTAGAGGGAAGGTGGTTTAGATGGTAGAGGGAAGGTTTTTATGGGCTCGATGAGCAGCGGTGATGATAAGGTAGGGTGCTTTGAGCTTTGTTAAAAGCAAATACTTCTGATTGTTATTCTTATCCGTATAGATTATGTACTTTCTGCTATCAAATGGCATACAGCCTTTACAGGGGTATAAGTCCTCAACCGAGCATTAGTTTCTTTTTATACAACTCAACCTATCAAACTTCCTTAACACTTCTGACATTTCACCATTATAATACTCCATTGCAGTAAAATACTCTTTTGCAAGGTTTAATGTTTTGCACTTTAATAGACCTTATTCACGAGGAGGCCATTTTCGATCATGTTTCCTGAATGTATTTGATACATTGTAAGCTGTTGCATGGGATGGTGCCAGACTTTATATATGCGTTCCAAGCCTCACTTTTCAATTTTTTTTTTAAAGTGGCTTAAAACATTTGGGTGTGTAATCACAAATTTTAAATTATTCATCAGAGTGGAAAGGTATTAATTTGTAATTAACTTTATTTCATTGCTTTCATTTCTATTCGAAAGTTCCAAAAATGAAGATTTTACCTCACTTTCACTTTAATATGGCGGACCCGTCAATAAAGCCTATGGCAGCACAGGCTAAAAAAAAGAAGACAACTTTCCAAAACAACTTTTTATTTGCATTACAGCCGAAAGAGCAGATAACATTTGAAATTCTACACCTTGTCAGAAATGTAATCGACCCCAATGTGCTTCTAAACTCCCTGAGAACAGAAAATGAGACGATCATGTATCAGATTTTCATTTGAAGAGAGTTTTTTTGGGGGGCGCATGCGAGTATTAATTTTCAAGCTGTATCATGGTGTTTTCCCTTTGGGTTCGTTGTTTTATTGTTTTTGCCCATAACCGATCCCATCGCTCACTCTCCACGACACTACTTTTATTTTTCCCCCAGCTTGAAAGACAAGTTAATTTCCTGTCAGCTTTGCTGGAGAAATGACAAACGTATCTAAAAGTCTACATGCAGTTGAATGCCTTCTGGGATATAGATCACATAACCCATTTTGTAAATGTATACGATTTGTTAGGATTACTTGAGGCTTTGTGCAGTGGAGTTCAACGTTTTGAGAATTTTGTGGATATGCCATTAGACATGTCAGAGCGATGGTTCTGAAAAAAACCTGAGTTGGTTGCCAAACATTTCGAGTCATTAAATAGGCCTGAAGTGAGTAGGCCACAGATGTATCGCTTGTCATACCGGGTAAGTGCGAAATGCATAGAACAGTGCTGATTTTCACCATCATCTTGGTTAATTTATTGAGTCATGTGTAATTTGATTCAAGGCTTAAAGGGGCATTTGCAATTATCCCAAAAGTAACGTACTGAATTACTATTCTAAGCTCACTTGGATCAACTTGAAAATTTTCCATCTAGCTTGCTGTCACTTTAATTCAGAAGAAATCAAGAAATGAAGGTGATTTCCAATAATCAGTCAATTGACTGATTTTTGGAAATAAAGAGTGCTATTGACAAAATCCACAACCTGCATAATGATCGGCAGACCACGAATTCAGTGCTCAAGACCACAAGGTATGGCACTCCCCTAGAATGCCGACGGCAAATGAAACCTCTCTTCTATGCATTGACCATTACCAGGAAAATAATTCTGAAGTTCTCTCGTCCCATTAAAGAAAAAAAACGAACAACCTTTTTTTTGTCTTTCACAGAAAGTCACCTCGCATGGACAAGTCTGCAAATAATGCAAATTGTTTTGTTTTTTTAGAATTTCTTTTCATTTTACATTTGAAAATCCCTTCCTATAAAACACAGCTTCATCAGTACATGGGCTACGACCCCCACCAACTGACCCCCCTGCCAGACCTGGAGACACTCACCATCATCAAGAGGGTGACGGAAGCCCAGACAGGTCTGCTGCGCAAGCCTCAGTACAAGCAGGAGTTCAAGAGGCTGTTCTTCTCCAAGATGTCTGAGGCCGTCTTGGTTGTAAGTTGGAGATGTTGTCTCCTTGTGGGTTTCTTCTTCATCAGATATTGTGCACTGTGGATATGTTTTGTTTATTCCCCTGTGCGGTTAACAGAAACATGTATGATTGGCTATTGTCAAATTTAAGAATCCAATTTGAACTTCACTTTGCCCACAATCTTAAACACAACTTATACAGTTTATGATGAAGTCGTACTTTTGCTTTAGGGCCCGTCTCATTTCATATCCAGTATGAGTTTCAGACGCTTAGCAAATAGAATCATTCACTTTGTCCGGAGAAGCTCTGCATTGGGGGAAGATTGCGGGGAAGCTCGATACAATGTCCGCCACTTGTCCCTTATTTCTGGGCATTTTACTACATATTTTTAAAATCCTTGAAATACAAATCAAAATAAAAGACACAATTTTACTAAGAAAAACAACAAAAGCAGTGTGAAAGACAATCAAACAAAAGAAAAAACAAAGTTTAGGGGTCTGTTGCCTGAGAGGCCTTTTTTATATAATTAACAAATCCAAATTTTCATACTCAGAATTGTAAGTGGGTACCAACAATTCCAAATGTATGTGTGATCTTTTTGCTTAAAGGTATAGTCCATCATTTGTAAATTGTGCATTTTGTTCGTTTGAAGCAACAAAAGTGCTCAATATCCGAAGAAGGATGCTGCACAACTAACCTGATGAAGTTTCAGCTCAGCTTCAGCTGCATATTTCGAGAAAAACAACATTCTAGGATCTCAATTTCAAATCGAAAGTTGCTGAATCATGTTTTGAATTGTGCCTGAATCCAGCGTCCGAGACACGTTCTGACTAGCCAATTGCAGCTTCACGATGTCGTGCACTGATCCGACAAATTATAGCAATTGCGCGTGCATGTGCGTCGTGCCAATGCTTGCGCGCGCTTCGCTGAATAACAAAACAAACTACTAATTTGAATTTCCTACGGTGCTTCTTAAGAAGCACCGTTGGAAAGTCCTTCTTTCGTTGATTTCTCCAAAATGACAGCTTGCCAGAGAGAATAATTTCACAGGGAGTTTAGTCCCCTTACTATCTTTCAACCAAGTATATTTGTCAACAATAATTACATCAGTTACTTTTTGGATAGTTGCAAATGATGGACTATAGCTTTAACCATGATATTTGCTTGTGAACATTTTTTGGTTAACCCTTCTGCTATTTAAACAGTCACAGACAGTCAAAATTCACTTCACATCCCCTGCTATACTTAACAAAGACTAGTCACCAGCAGTCAGATCATATGTCAAGCAAGCACTGTGACTAGTCAAACTACATGTAGGTCAACAGACAAAGCAGGCAAGTTGTTTTATCACTCACCCGGAGTCAAAGCATAGCCGAATCAAGTAACTTAAACGGTCCCAGCCAGTCAATCCTGCTTTATACTGGATTGACTGCATAGAGCATTGACTGCATAGAGCCGGTAGGCTGGGAATTCTGAACTGTTATAAACAGTCACTTGATTGATTTTGACTGAAGGACTACTTGGCACAGAATGTATGTTTGCATAGAAGGGTTAAAAAAAAAGTCTTGCAAAGTTCAGGACTTCATGCACCAAGTCCATTGTCTCAACCTTCCTGTATTTGTTTCATCTGTCCAGGATACATTCTGGTGGTTTTTCCTTCATCGTTACCACCCGAGCAAGAAGACGCAAGAGCGACTCTTCAACCGCATCGCCCACAACTACGTCAAGCTCCTGCTGTTTGCAAAGAACCCCAAGCACAGGGATGTCTTCTTCCAAGTAAGTTGGACTTTGGTTTAAACATGTCAAAGGATCATTTGCTTTGCATTCATTTTGTTCATTTCCGATAATAACATAATTCAAAATCGAATGTAGAATGTTCAAAACATAGGCTGTTGAAGTTTCAAATCAGGAATATTACACTTTTCGAGAAAACAAAGAGAGACCATGTACAACCTTTTTATCAAGAGACACAGTTTCCACCATAGTACTCTTTAGTTTCAAACATCAGTCAATTGACTGATCGTTGGAAATCACCGACATTTCTTGATTTCTTCCAAATGACAGCAAGCCAGACGGAATAATTTCACAGGGTGTTTAGTACCAGTGCAATCTTTAATCCAAGTAAGCCTTTTGATAATAATTTGGTTGGTTACTTTTGGGGATAAATACTTGACTAGATCTGCCTTTAAATCGGTAGGTACGTTTTTAGGTACATGTAATAGCCAGTGTTCCTACGTGCCTTTCAAATGCTTCTTTTTTTCTCATAAAGGACTACAGTGACACCCTAGCCCAGGCAATCTACAGTGCCTTCTGCGCCGCCTTCCCCAACTCCTGGCGGCAGTTTGACCCAGACTTCAAGAGCGACCTTTGCTCTTTGACCTCCCAGTGGGTCGTGGGGACCAGGCCGGCGCCAAGGACCTGGCTGCGATGGAACTACCCGGGGCTGGAACCACCCAACATGAAGAGGGAGGAATTCATGAAAACGGACAATAAAAAAGGCAACAGAAATGTTTGACTTTAATCATTAATACACATCTCTCAAAAACCCACAAAGCAACCACCATGGATCAACATGTAAAAGGGAATATACAACATTTGCAAACATCGAAAAATAAAACTACCAAGTTTTTACGAAATACCTAACTAGGATGTTGGTAAATGACAGTCTCAAGCATCTTGTAAAATTATGGCACCTGGTGTGAAGTCATTTTCAAGAAAATGGTATTTTTGTAAACATTTCCAACGGTGGTCGGCCGACCAGCGTTGGAAAAACCTAACTATTTTTCAACTACTGCTCCAAATTTACCATTTTTTCAGTCCAAATTTTGTTTGCTATTGGTTACTTGTTCATGAACGGGTGCAGGCCAGCTAGACTGGTTCCCTTGCCTTACAATTTTCCATCATCTATAAATTGATCCATTTTATCTTTTGTGGAGTCAGGGAACCAGACTACTTGAACATTTTTGTTTTTCATGGTTTTTCCAACCTTTTCGAACACAAAACTTCAAAAATGTCAGTGTAACAATATTTGATCTATTATACTAACCCCTCAAATAGTTCATTTCTGAAAATTACAGCAAAATCCAATGATGTACATTCCCTTTAAAAGTAACGGACACCATTTGCAAAAAAATGTACAGGTTATTAACCACTTCGCGCCGGGATTATTTTGACATTGACCGGACCCAGACGCAGGGTTGTTTTTCACGAACCTCAATGCCAGACGTGTTCAGGCCATCATCTGTGGGTAGCACACCCTGATATTTCTGGCCTCACTCGCTGCGAGCAACAGATATTTCCAGCCTTGCTCGTTGCGTGTTTGTGTCCGTCATCCATTCCGAATACCACAAAACCTTTGCGTGTACATGTATGCACGTCATCCGACGTGAAATGGTTAGAAAAAAACTGAGAAAATTGTGCCAATTCATCTTCATTTTCTCATTGCAAAGTAGAAGTTTCCATTGAAAGTGCATTCCCTTAAGAATGATAGCACACTAGCCGCAATGGTTTCACATGATGTATGATCCTCTTACATATTTACAGCGAAGTTAGAATATTTAATGATATTTTGACAGTTGCATTTTTGAATGTTTGCAAATGGTTCTCACAAAAAGCCAGCCACTTGATGTCCAAAAACATGCTTTACATTTTTTTATGATTTTGTTTTGAATAAATTACAGGTAGACTTTTTGACTTTGACATGTTGACTCCGGAGGACAGCAGTCATTCCAATCCCAGTAGAACCGTCGACCCCACCAACACCCATCAGCAACCACCTCACAACCCGCTAGGCAAAGCCAAACTTTCCCAGACGCCAAGTGAGTCGTCAGTCCCCACCGCCGCGACCGGTTTGATACCCCAGGACTCTGACTTCATGTCGATTTCCACGGTGGCACGGGCTCAGCACGCGCCCCTGCCGCTCAGAGGGGGTGCAAGGGTGCTGTCCGGCCAAACGGAGCTTGGGAAGGGAAGCACGAAAACAGGCGGGTTGCTCCCAATCAGCGAAACCTCATCTGAAGGCCCGGACGGAAGCGAGTGTAAAACCACAAAGACACGGACGGGAAAGAAAGGACGAAACAGTCCGAGAACTGATAACGTCATGCCTAAGAATAACAGGGGGAAGGCCAAGGTTAGTAACAGCAGTAGCAGGCTCACCCTGGAGGCACAAGCATCAAAATCAACGACTCAATCTGTGATCAGGCCGCGGAACAACGGACAAGCGGTAGAGGTTGGTACTCGTCATTCTTGTTGTAAACCACTGAATTTGTCTTTTCACATAAAACCCCATCTCTGAGTGATGCTCAAACTGCCGCTTTCAAGCATGCATCAGAGTTCAGTTGCTTGCCCAGGTGAAAATTCCAGTTGATAGAGGCTTGACTCAGACCCGAACCAAGTGACTTAATTGTGACTCAGACTTTGACTCGGACTTCAATCAAGTTACTCAGGACTCAAACACAGATTCCAGCTTTGACTGGAACCAAAATTACTCAAGACTCACACTCAAACCAAAGTAACTCAACTACAACTCAATCCTGATCAAACATGTTTGGATCAAACAGAAATGTCTCGAGTTTGAAGACGCTTACGAGCCTGACCACCTAAAATTGTTATTTCTCATCAGCTTCACACACTAATGGTTCTTTATCACATTCCTCGTTGACAGTCCCACCCTGTTGGTGAGGGTGCCACTTTCACCAAGGTCATCTTCAACAGCAACGGTCAGAGCCCGCTAGTCCTACACTTCCTAAGACAAAAAGGACTGGACCAAAAAGCCGGCATCGACAACCTCCTCAGGAGAACCGAGATCAAGAAACTGCCTCCATATCCTTTTGATACCACAGCCGTAGATTTTGACAGTTTTTTTTCCCCCAATAATAACACCACTCAAAATCCAAAGAAGACTGTTCAAAACATAACCTATTGAAGTTTCAGCTCAGTGGATGTTACACAGTACACTGTGATCGCGAATCACAAATTTGTCTGTAGCACTCTTTATTCCCCAAACTCGGTTAATTGACAGATCGTTGGAAATCTCCAACATTTCTTGATTTCTTTTAAATGACAGCAAGCCAGATGGAATAATCTCATGGGGTGTCTAGAGCCAGTATGATCTTTAATCCAAGTAAGCTTTTTGATAATAATTCGGTAGGTTACGTTTAGGGCTGTCCCAAATATACCGAGTATTCAAATACTTGATCCTCGACCGAATATTCGAATAGCTTTTTGCTGGTTTGAATATTCGACAAGAAAAATCTGTGTACATGCACACACGACTGTGATGTTAATTCAAATGTAAAGTTGGGTTTATAATTGTCAGATGCCACTTTTCTGTTGACAGTAACTTTTTTTGTAGACGCCTATTTATTGGTCCCATTCTTTTAGATGGGTAAAGTCCCTATGATAGTTATACAGTGCTTACTGCAAAACACTACAGTGGCCAATAATATGCATCACCGCATGCATATTTTAGCCAGCGCGCTTTGTATGCAACTTTTGAACAGCAAGGGCAGCTGCAGCATGTGTAAATCTTGATTGGCAAGTTTCCAATATTTGAATATTCATTCAACAGCAGTTTCGAATAACTGAATAGTAAATTCGGGCGATTCACAATGCAGTGCGCCACCAAGAGTTGGCTATGGGAGTCCATTTTTCAAATTTACGGTCGACAAAACATGGCTCATTTGAATGAGTGTCAGTAGGCAGCTTGAGCTAATTTGTTTATGGGGCATGGCGTTCTGCCGCCTTACAAAAAACATCATATTGATAAAAAGAAAAGAAAAGGGCAAACAAACACTCGAATCATACGCTTACGCAACTGGAAAGATTTCCATATACGAAGTTCACTAAACACCCTGTGTACAAACCCTATGAGATTGGACTGAAAAATTCTCAGTGTTTTCTAAGAAAATGCTTGTATTTTCTCACTGCTCAAATTGACCTTGATGACATGAAATTGCTATATGGGGGCTTGTTAGTCAATACAGAGGAAAATTAGTGAACTTCGTATATGGAAATCTTTCCCAAAACTGCTTACCAGAAAAACGAACAATTTCAAATGTCCCGTGTTGCGAATTTGTCGACCATCTCCCACAATGCACTGGGAAAAATAAACTCTCTGTGGCAAACTCTTGGTGGTGCACTACATTGTGAACCTCCTGAATTATTTAAAAATGGACAGCCCTAGTTAATTTTGGGATAAATGCAAATGATCCTGATTGCCTTCAAGTCTCACAAATTGCAGCTTTGCATGCATGCACTGATAATTATATTGTTTGGACTTAACTCCCTATGCACGATGGACGCCCCTACCTACAAGCAGCTGATCCAGGACACCTTCCATTCCATCAGGCATGCAGACGACACCTACCAGATGATGTATGACGATGGACTCAAGACCCACACACACTTCCTGAAGAGACAGAAGCAACACCTGCAGGAACACATGAGGTAATTTCTTCAAAACCATTATTCCTCCCCCCCCCCAAAAAAAGGGGAAAACATTCCAAGCTCTCGTAAAAATGTAATCAGGACATTTATCACAGGAAGGATATTTTAAGCAGGATGTGCTCATTTCTTTTGAAATTTTGTTGCATTGGTTAATAAAAAGTTTTCCCAATATCAGCAGGGTGACCATTTTAGCCGATTTTCGGCTAACTTTGACAGAATTTTTGTTAAAAAAACGAGTTTGACAGAAAATTTGACAGAATGGATTTTTTGGCAGATTTCTGGCAGAATTCTGCAAAATGGTTATTTGACAGAAAAACAGCAAATTTGAACAAAAAAAGTGTACATTTGTTTAAAAAAGCTTCAATCCTTTCAAACAAACCCTTGCATAATGGGAGAGGTTGGCTGGTCTAGGTGCTGAGGTTCACTGGGAAACGGACTTCGTCGTCACGTGGCCGGATCCGCGTTTTGCCCAAAATTCACCAATAATTTTACATCTTTATGTGACTAGATTGTTTATTATGTAATTTGAACCTCAATTAAGGCAATACTACCAATCTGCATGTGATTTTAAGTGTATTTCGAGTAATTCTGGAGAATTTGGCAGATTTTTGATAAATCTGACAGATTTTTGAGGTGCATTTAGCAGAATTTGGCTCTGACCTTACGGTCACCCTGAATATCAGTGTTGTTATCAAGTATCAACTGAACTACTAGTCATTTACATGTCATCCACTGGGCATAAAATTAATAGCAAAATAGAAGTATGCTAATCTTGTGTATTGGGCTGAGTTGTAATTGAGCCAGTCATGACTTGATTTCATGTAACAATTTTTTTTCATCAACTTAAAGACAAGGCCAAAAAAAAAGTGGGTTTCCGGTTACATCGCCCAAAAAATAAAGGGTCGATCGGTCAGGATTTTTGGAAAAAATGTTGCAACCTGACGCCACATTTTTCTTCATATATCATCTCAATGAAGGTCATTCATTGCAAAAATGATGATAAGACATGAATGTAGGACTGAGAAATATTTCCAATTTTGTTAGGAAATACTTAGAAAATTTTCTTGACTCTTCATAGACTTTGTACACAATCGCGGAAGTGGCGTCAGGTTGCAACATTTTTTTCCTATTTTTTTTAATGTGGTTTGTACCTGCCCATCATGCCAGTCTTTACACACATGTATTTCCACTGAGGTATGTTTTAAATTGTTAATATAAAGACAGATAATGTCCTAAGAACGACTCTTCATACTTGCATCAGAGGGCTCGAAATTAGCGGGAGCCAGTGGCTAAAATGCACCCGTAAATCTTGCAATATGCTCCTGTATGCTCTGATGTCGACAGCAACCGCTAGAGCCCGTCTCTGTTTCACCATGGAGGAATTCCTGATTTCATTTGCACCACGAAGGCTATTGACACTGACACACAAAAACTTGCCTTAATTAATACAGAAATATATTTTAAGGTTGATGATTCTTAAGAATAATAGAGGATTTAAGTTGTGCACATCAACATTCTCAACATTAGTCACAACAGCTGCTGGCCAACACCGCCCATATGCAACAAACCATGTGCTGCAGCAGAATTTCGCCGAAAAATGCAATGCTGTATCGCTTCAAGTACGAGCGCAACAACAGCGAGATAATAACATAAAAAATGGAAAATTACATATACAGAGAAGAGAGAGTACGTTCTGTGAATTTAACCTGCAGAAATAATTCAGGTCAAATTCGACAGTGTATGCTGTGTCAACCATATACTGGTTTCCGTCTTTAACTTTGGCCAATTTAGCGCGTGCAGCGGGAACCAGTCTAACATTGCTTTCACCACTGCGAAGCTTGCATAGGTATTCGTTATCCTTAGGAAAAGACTCACCAAAACAGCTGTCTAAATGACACTCAAAAGTGACATTCTGATATTTCTTGACACATCTGATGAACAGCTAGTAATGATACCTTCTTAAATATGGGCAGGTTTAATTTTGTGTGAAGAGGGCAGGGCTTTGATTTATGAGCATGATGCGGAAATTATGGGGTAAAAGATGACGACAACCAGAAAACAGGCTCAAAAACCAAGATGGCAACTTGAAAGCTCAGTGCAATGAAAGCTCGATGCTGATTGGCTGATAACAAAATAAACAATTTTCTATTTTTTTTCTATCAGCCAATCAGCTTCAGGCTTTCATTGTGTCGGGTTTTCACGCGTGTTGTGAGAACTACAACTCTCCGACTGCAAAAAAGGAAAGTTACATTTTCTTTGAAAGTGCATTTCAAATTTACAACAAAAGTGGTGTGTCCTAAAGATAAGGATTACCCTTGCATGAAGTGTGGACACCCTTATGACATACTGGTTTGCTTTGTAACAAATTGAATTGCGAGTGTTAACTTGCACCTCATTCCTGTTTCTGTTTTCTCTCCATTCAGACGAGAAGAGTCCCTCATGGCACAGCCCAGGGAGATGAAGCGACTGAGCGATCTTTTAGTCCTGGAGTTACTGGTAAGATTCTTGAAACAGTCTCATCCTGTCAGTAAATAGCGCCCTCTGTGGACAGACTTTGAACTCACATATCCTTTTTGGTGGTTCACCTATCCCTTACATGTACATTAAACATGTGGAGGAATATCAACTCAAGTCCATTCATGCCAGTCAGTTTAGGATTTTTTGTTCAGATTGTGAACCCAAAAATTTGCTCATTGAAAGCATGTGGGAGAGAAGTTTGCTCACGGGCTTACTGCTATGTACAGACACAACAATTAAGAATCAAAAATTCAGGACAGGAAAATATCCAAAAATCTGAAAAAAAATTTGTGCTGATATAGCTGTAACATTGAGGTTTCTCAGTGCCTGAAATGATGTCACACATTTGCTCATGATTATGGAAATTTGCATCAGCATAAAAACCAAAAAGGCACCAAAAGACCCTTGAAATGGCAAAACACAAATTTTTAAATAACGTTAAATGGAATACAATTAAATGTGCATCTTCAAGGATTGCATTAAACACATAACATTGCATGGGCCTGTAATTACTTTTGACTGTAATGACTCTGTGATGACTTGACTGCAGCCCTGGGTCGATGAGAGCATTCTAATAAACAATATTTTGCACCTCACACAGTTTTTGGGTCAATATTTGCAGAAAGACCATGATGAAGTCAGTACGGGTGCAGCGCTGGCCGTTGAGGACGCCTTGTTACAACAAGACCAGGTCTATACATAACACCACTACAATAGTGTCTGGGTCCTTCAAAATGACACGCAGGAAAACTTGACCCTTACTTCATAGGAGTTAGAACCTAAATCTGTCCCAACTTCGTTTTTATTATTCATGACCCGCTCTGTGAAAACGATTCATAAAGGAGCTTGACATCATAATGTTGCAGTATTTTAAAAATTTTAACTCAAATGTTGTCATATTTGATGGTATGTTTCATTTTGTTTTGATATTATGAATATTTTCACACGATAATATTTTGCATAAAAGAAAAACATACAAGAGAAATTTACATTTGAAACTTTCATTTGGAAAAACTGTTTTCATTTCATAGCTTCTTATCCATACAGTGGGTTTTTTTTTAATTTTGACAAAAGCAAACATTTAAAACCGTTTTATACCATCTTGAAATCCAGACAAGTTGGCATATTTTAGTACAAACCACATTTAAGCTTTGTATGTTGTTTTCATTATTAAATAAAGTAAAGAAGTCTTTTGCATTTTTTTTATATTGTAAATATTTTGTATGCATATTGCTGTGGTGTTTGTAAATGAAAATCAAGCTATTTATAATTTTTCTCTTACTTGTACACAAATATGTAAATTTGATACAGATCGTGTATTTATTCAGAGCACACCTATAATAAAATATGTTAGGGAAAGTAAACTGTACTTCTTTTGTGAAACGATTTTATTCCTTTTAAGTCAAGACAATAGACCCATGTATTTAGAAGAAAGAAAAAAAAATCTCAAAAATATCACTCAACGCTCCAAGACCGCTTAAAACTGAATACAATCTACTGATCTGAAAATCAGGCAAAGCTTAAAAAATAAATAAATAAAATTGAAAGAAACAACAAACACTTAAGTACAATGCATGAAGGTCAGTACTGGTTGTGGAATCAAAATTTAACACGACTGGAAAAGATGAAAATATAATGTCCTAGCACACAGCCTAATATAAACTTGACGTCTTAAGCCGCCTTTCCATATGCACGTTTTCAGTCTTTTTTTTTCTCCGTTGCATATTTATGCCTATAACCTATAGGCTCAAATATGCAACGGACCAAAAAAAAAAACGGACTGAAAACACGCATGGAAAGGCAGCTTTTATCAGGTAAAACAACACATACAAATGAAAGAACCATTCTTTAAGAAAGTCTATAGATTTAAGTGATTTTTTTTTGTTTCTGTACACAATGTACAATTCTTATTCTTTTCTACAAACTTCCTCACTAAGGAACCAAATATTTACAACAACTTTAAAATCCTAGAAATGCTGACAACAGCACTATTCCTTTGGTACAGTAAGATGAATGTTTCATGAATAATTGAGAATACATGTACTTGATTTCATTTTATGTGAATACAGACACATGTATATTAACATGAAAGTGAGACATGCGGCTTGTTTTTCTTACGTCTGAAGAAAAATGCTCTATCTTTTTGACAATTTACATTGATACCAAGTTTTTAATTCCCGTTATATTCCTGTTTCAGTATGGGTTATTCTATCAATTTGGGGTTCAGAGTGTGACATATTCCCGGTCCCTGTTACCTTGGTCCTTTGTAGTTTGCCATTCAAGTATCGTTATGAGCGACTTCAAATGATTTTTTTAATTGTTGGGTAGGTAGTTTGCTATTCATAATCACTCTGTAAGGACAACTGCATTAAAGATATAGTCCATCATTTGTAATTTGTGCATTTTGTTCGTTTGAAGCAACAAAAGTGTTCAAAATCTAATGAAGGATACTGAACAACTAACCTGATGAAGTTTCAGCTCAGCTTCAGCTGTATATGTCGAGAAAAACAGCATTCTAGGATCTCAATTTCAAATCAAAAGTTACTGAATCATGTTTTGAATTGTTTTGAATTGCAGCTATACGCGACGTCGCGCACTGATCCGACGAATTATAGCAACCACGTGCGCGTGTGCGCCGTGCCAATGCTTGCGCGCGCTTCGCCGAATAACAAAACAAACTACTAATTTAATTAAAGACGCACCGTTGGAAAGGCCTTCTTTCGTTGATTACTTCAAAATGACAGCTTCCCAGAAAGAATAATTTCACAGGGAGTTTAGTCCCCTTCATATCTTTCAATCAAGTTTGTTTTTCAACAATAATTACGTCAGTTACTTTTCGGATGGCTGCAAATGATGGACTATAGATTTAAGGAGTGCATCAGAATCACAAAATGATAGATGTCACATGGGACAGAAAAAAGGGACCCCAAACTTATAGAATGACCCTTAAACAGAAGTGTATGACTCATGACCTGGACTCCAGTCTGACTCGAGTCCCATTTTCAGTGACTCGGACTCAAGTAATGATGACAAATGACTCGGATGTGGACTCGGACTTGACCCTGCGGACTCAGACTTGGACTGGGACTCAACCTGCGTAACTCGGGACTGGACCAAAATCACCACGTATCACTTATTTTTTTCAATGATATGATTACAAATTAGTTTGAAGATGACCCTTTCCTGAGTGAAACAGTCAGTGAAGTGCAATAGAAATGCATATAAGTAATGTACATAAACAGCGCATGCGGCTGGCTTGTTTCCGATATATTGATTCGGTAAATCAATGTATCGAAACATGTACCCCAGCGTCCGCACTTGATATTGCGTAAATAAATGCAAGCTGGATAGTGTTCGGTACTAGATTATCCTTTCCAGACACTGGTGCCTGGCCCAGCAGTATCTTCCAATCATTTTTAGTGCTATATGAAAGTGACTCGTGACTCAGACTCGGCCTTTGTGACTCGTGACTCAGACTCGACCTACATGACTCGGTACTCGGACTCATTGACCCAGCTCGTTGATACAGCTCTTGACTGGTTCTCGGCAAATCTTTGTTCAGCACGTTCTCAACAAAAACCCTCATCGTCCTGAAAGTCCTCCTGCACGTCCTCCTCCACGTCATCGTCCTCCCCCTGGCCAGCGGTAGTCTCCGCCCCCATGCCGCGTCCCAGCGGGATGTCCAAGGCCCTGTGTACAGCCTCAATGGTGCGCATGTTGACGTAGTAGGCCATGTTGACTGTGGGAATGCGGCCGCGCATGTCTTCCATGAAAGCATAGGCCTAGGGGTACAACAGAAAAAGCCAACAATGTCAAAAGTGAACTCAGCTACATCACAGGTGACTTTCTTTAAAACAGGATCGAAAGTTGAAGTCAAAAGCAAGAGTGCTCAATTAATTTTCTTGAGCAAAAGGGTTGTTACAAAACCATGTGTCAATGAAAATTGCATTTTGCAATTTGAATTAAGTGTTCAATGTTTGTTTAGAAAATGCAATTTTTTGAATTCTAGTCAGAAAATGGACAAGAACTTTTTGTTGATTAAGGTTTATACTCAGCATAAAAAAACACACATTTTGTGATATTACAGCTAGTTTTGATGCTGCAAATTTGCAAAAGTTGAACACATTGCAACTCCGTTAAATTTTGCTATAAAACGTTTCACGTCATTACAAATTTGCTTTGTACACGCATAAATGTGAAATATGAATGGCACTTAATGGCATTGTAGTGGTTCAATGAAAAACAAAATGAACATTAATGTGATGATGAACATTAGTTAATACAATGAAAATTTCACTACATTAAATGGGCCTTTCAATGGAGAAATTGTTGTACCGGTAGCTTATCATGATCAGTACAGTGAAAAACACTGCATACTCACTGGTCTAGTTCGGTTACAGAAAGTACTAAACTATGAGTTAAACACCAAACTCTGTCCAGCAGTTGTGTGAATATTTATCATATTATAGGGAGAAGAGTATTCAGTGACGGAAGTAAGTGTTGTATTTTGTACCTTCTTGTAGTTTTCCTGCCTGGCATAGTGTTCAATCATCATGCCAAACACATCCCCAATCCTAACAGCATTGTCTAAGTCTGGCTCCTCCAGCAGGACCTGGCACTGCCTCATAGCCTCATCAGGATCCTCATCATACACCCTATGGGAGGCCGGGAACAAGACAGAGATTTAAGTTACAGAGGCCGCATCCCTATTGGTTGGTTACAGCTGGCTGTAACACATGGGGCAACCTTACACACTACATGTGTGCAGTGTACTTTCAGTGGCGTTTTCAAAACCATGGCTTCGATTTCAGCTTTGGCTACGGCTGGAAGTAACATATGTGTCTATATTGGACTGTGTCTTCGGCAGCTTCCATAGGTGCATTTTCTATACATCCTCAAAAATATACTCAGCACCCCCAAATATTAAATGGCAATGGAAAGCTTTGGTTCTGAAGAATCCACAAATACAAATCTCTCAATTCTTAACAGTTGAAACAAAGAATTGACTGGAGCAGGGTTTGAACCTGGGACCTCCGGATTGCTGTTCCGGTGCTCAACCAACTGAGCTATCCAGCCCATGCTGGCATTTCCCTAGTTTGTCCATTGATGTCTTTGTTCAAGGGTCGCTAGTCAGAAGCCTTAAAGCCATGTAGCCAGGGATCACGCCCAAAGTCACGATGCTAGCAACAATAGCAATGCTGCAAACCTACGAAATAGCAAACGGAACGGCAATCCGGAGGCGGCAGGTTCAAACCCCACTCCAGTCAATTTCTTTGTGCAACTTTTAAAATTATTACAATGCACCTAATCAGTTTTCCTGTGTGATTTATATGAAAATTCTTTCAAAAATCTTATTTTAAGCTCATTTTGAGGTGAATGGTCATATTTTGAGTCATTCGTATTTCTAAGGAGATATGCTACCTGCGTGCGGTGACAAACTTCTTGATGAGTCCAATGCGTGACTTGAGAGCGCCGAGTTTCTCCTCTTGCAGCGAGGCGTTCTTCATCTTAGCTTTGCTGAGGCACTTGTAGGCCTCGCTCAGCGCTCCCAGGGCCTTGTCATAGTTCTGGTATTCATCTATCTCCACCTGGCAATCACAAACAATGTCACATTCAACATCAAAGGATCATCCAGCTGCACCTCTAGCAATGTGATTTCTTCAATCACCTGTCAGCAATGCCCCACAGCAGTATCCATTGGACAAACTGGACAGTCCCTACGATAACATATGAATGGCCTCAAGTTTGACGGTTCATGGGTTCCCAACGAAATCTTAAAATGTAATTCCATGACTTTTCCAGGACAAAGTTGATGCTTTCCTTGACCAATTTGTAGGCTGTTTTGGCATCTTAGGAGCCTTTTACAATACAGTGGTCAGTCATCAAGTCACACAACTCAAGCTGAATCATGTTTTTAAAATTTTTCATGAAATGGCACCAGACTATCTCTGTCATAAATTTGAAAGGTCTCAGATATGCACAATTATTCTACCAGGGGCAGTTCCACCAATTTTGTTGTTCCAAGAATTAAAGGGCAAGAGTGCACTTCATTTTTTTATATCCTGGAATTTATCAATGGAATTTACTTCCAAACAGCATCAAATGTTCCAACAATCTTCCTCATTTTAAAAGGGCAGTGAAAGAAAATCTCTCTTCGTGTTAATTTTGTTTTTTAAGCAGTTGAGATTTGTGTGATTTCTGTGATTTTTTCTTTAAATTATTTTTTTTTCTAGATCCAGTGCAATTTTTTTTTGAACTCTTTTTATTTGTACTAAGCCGTCTTATAAACAGCTTTTCGGGTTATCCTTGGCTTTGTATTTACATGAAATACGTTCGTTTTTTATACCATTGTATGTTTGTTTGTTTGTTTTTGCCAAAATAAATAAATAAATAAATAAATAAATAAATAATCACACTGAATATAAAGGTCCATACAATGTGCATTACCATCATCAAGATGGCCTCCACCTCCCCTCACAGCTTTCCGATCCTCCCATTTGTTCATGTTAAACTTTACATATCACCAAACATAAGGAAACCTGTCACCATCTTCCGAGCTTTCATGGTACAACAAAGCTCTGAACACTACAACAACTATAGAAACTGCATATCACGTATGCACTATAAAATGCAACTAGAACTGAGAAGGCCAAATAGCCCAATATTATGCATCATCACGTATGGGTTGTGCAGGATTCCATGATTTTTCCATGACTTTAAAGCTATAGTCCATCATTTGTAATTTGTGCATTTTGTTCGTTTGAAGCAACAAAAGTGTTCAAAATCTAATGAAGGATACTGAACAACTTACTTGATGAAGTTTCAGCTCAGCTTCAGCTTTATATTCCATGAAAAACAGCATTCTAGGATCTCAATTTCAAATCAAAAGTTGCTAAATCATGTTTCCAATTGTTTTGAATTGCAGCTTTACGCGATGTCGCGCACTGATCCGACGAATTATAGCAACCGCGCGCGCCTGTGCGTCGTTCCAATGCTTGTGCGCGCTGCGCCGAATAACAAAACGAACTACTAATTTAAATTTTCCTACGGTGCTTCTTGAGATGCACCGTTGGAAATGCCTCCTTTCGTTGATTTCTTCAAAATGAGAGCTTGCCAGAAAGGATAATTTTACAGGGAGTTTAGTCCCCTTACTATCTTTCAACCAGTATGTTTTTCAACAATAATTACGTCAGTTACTTTTTTGGATAGCTGCAAATGATGGACTCGGGCTTTAAGTGTTAGCTATAAATTCCAGGATTTTCAAGGTACCATGACTGTGGGAATCCTGCAAAAAGTTTTGAGCAGTACAGTAAGTAAAATGTTGTACAGTTTTGGCAGGTTTTGAAGACAATGTAAAGTTTCATCTTAGCACCAACCTGAGCACAGGCATCATAGAATCCAGCCAGTGAGTCCAGCGCTCTCCCCTTGGTGTAGAACCCGATGATATTCTTCATAATCTCTGGGTCTTTCCGCCAGTCCAGGGACTGTAGATAGTTGGCCGCCATGACGTAAATCTCCTTCTGGCGGGACACTCCAGCGAAGAAGATGATCTTCTCTGTGTCGCCGGACTTTAAGAGCGCCCTCATGGCCTACGACAAGAGGACGAACAGCGGAAGCCATCTTTAATTGATTAGTATCAGAGTTTCTGTGGAAAACAGCTTTCGTCTGAATAAAGTTGTAAGCAAAACTGTAGCTCATTTTCCGGACAAATTTTTCGGTGTTAATCTGTTTAAAAGCCCTGGGCCCAATGTTCTGCCCTTTTTACCACTGCTGATGAATCTCTGCAACCTGAAACAAATTTGTGTGGCTTTTAGCGGATTAAGGAGTCCCTGGGCAGTCCAAACCAAAATAATAGTAGTGTTGTTGTTGCGCCGATTGCAAGTCCAGCCACAAGTATATCACAAGTCAATCCCAATTTCTGTCACAAGTAACAGGGGATTAAGATCACAAAGAAATGCCTCAGTAACAGTTCATTTATATAGTTTGCAATTCGACTAAGGACTGGATGGCTTTTGACGGACTTTGTGTTGTACTTGTGGTAGGCTTGTGAAGACGTGTAAGGATTTTTGACAGACTTGTGGGGACTTGTGGGGACTTGTGAGGACTTGTGGGGACTTGGAATGACTTGTGGGGACTTGTAGGGACTTCTGAGGGCTTAGGAGGACTTGGGAGAACTTGTGGGGTCTTGGAGGACTTGCAAGGGCTTGTAAGGTCTTGTGAGGACTTGTGAGGACATGTGAGAACTTGTGTGGACTCGTGTGGACTTGTGTGTACTTGCGTGGACTTGTGTGGACTTATGGGGACTTGTGGGGACTTGTTATTACCTGAGGACTTTTGATGGACTTGTGGGGACTTGTGAGGGCTTGTTGGGACCTGTGGGGATTTGTGAGGACTTGTGGGTACTTGCGATGAATTCTGAATTCAACCCACCTTGGCTTTGTTGCCAGCCTGCGTGTACTTCTTAGTGGCCAGGTGATAGGAGCCTTGCAAGAAGCAGATATCGGCGACCTTCTCCAGCAGCTTGAGACGGACCTCATTGTTCTTGTTGTCCTTAGAGAGAGTCATCTTCTCTGCCAGGCGTTCTGTGATCGGTACGCTCTGAGACTGGCAGAGGTCCAAGGCCTCGTTGTACTATGAATGGAGGAAACCAAAATAAAATTTTGAAATTGGTTTTGATAAAAAAAATTGGTTTTGATAAAAAAAATGGTTCTGATAAAAAATTGGTTTTGATAAAAAATTGGTTTTGATAAAAAATCTTTATTTAGGGCTGCCAGACACTCTGTCACAAGTTTTGCCCCGATGGTGAAAAAAAAAAAAGAGATTCTGTGTGACAGAAAGCGAAGTGCCTTTGCTACTAAGTGCTCATACAAATGAGCATTCCTCTCTGAAGATGTAAAATAACCAAATTCTCTATCAAATGGCATAATGGTCACTACCTGTGCCGTGTACAGTTGTCTTAATCGTGCCAACCCAGCACTGGGTGTTGGCTCTGCGTTTTTCTCACAGTTTTTGCCATCCATCATAGATTTGAAGGCTTGCCTACTACCGTCTGCACACGGCGCTATACGATCTTTGCCTACTATAATGGCGACGCTGACTTCCTGGTGCCCGGATGTAGGCTGGGTCACATGGGTAAGTGAAAAAGCCCTATAAATTTTTTGTATTTGACACAATGCGTTTGACGCAGTATTTTGATATACTCTGATATTGAATTTTCCATTCAATACTGCAGTTATAGAGTTGTGTGGGTTTGGAGTGGGGATCCTAAATCCTTTTTTCTGTTTTAAAGAAGACCTAGGAAAACTTTTTTTTTTTTTTTAATAATTAATAAAATTATACCCGAAAAATAAACAAGTATTTTCCAATCTTAGCGAACCTTTTTGGCCACCACCATCAGATCCACAGCTTTGTCGTACTGTCCATGCTCCATGAAGAACTCGGCGCAGCGGTTCAGCAGGATGGGGTCTGTTCGCTCGTCAAGGTCCTCCGCGATCAGCTGGAGGGCACCAAACTGCTGGGTCTTGAAGGCCAACTCCAAGGCCTTGGAGAAATGCCCACCCTGGAGGAATTATGAAAAGCTCAAAATGTCATTCGTACTATTATTGACCTTATCCATCACAGCAACGAAACAAGAATGATTGGCATATCATGTATAAATTTTGTCCATTGGATCGACAACCACAGGGGAAAAAGTGAGGTATGTCTTGAGTCAATATTGCTCATCAGGCCGGCGTTTGTCCTCGGTTTCCATGGCATGAAACGACTGAGAATATTTCTACTCCCCCTGGACGGGATGCTAGTCCATCGCAGGTTACTCCCCAACTCATGATGGTACCCATTTACACTCCTGGGTGGAGAGAGGCCGGTGGGGGTAAAGTGGCTTGCCCAAGGACATAACACATGGCCAGCAGCTGGATTCAAAGTGCATCAGCCCTTACTGGCAACAACTTAGAATGGGCTTTATTTTTCCTTGTTTCATAATTTGATACATTTTTTATTGATATTAAGTAGTTGTTTTTCAATAATAAAAACCCTGATACTAACCATTGCCAATTGAGTTTCTCAAGGAAGAACTTGGAAAGTGTCTTACTTTTCCATATTGCAAATGAAAGGATTTTTTTTAATGATATGAGGTGCTTGGTTGTTTTTATAATTAAAGATTCTGATATTCTGATATTGTAAAATGGATTATTGTGATATTGTGATATTGTAATGTTGTAATATTGTGATGTTGTAATATTGTGATATTGTCAAATTGTGATATTGTGATATAGTGATATAGTGATATTGTGATACTGTAATATTGTGATGTTGTGATATTCTGATTTTCTGATATCAATATATATTCTGATATTCTGATATTCTGATATCTGACATTCTAATAGTGACAGAGCCAAGTGCTGTCTTTAATGCTAATCCCTCCATGAAATCGTATTTTATATTAAGGTATATTCATTTTATGGGCTGTGACTGTGTAGGTCTTTACCTTATGGAACAGCATGACAGCTTTGTCCATGGTGCTAGAGTTTGTCTCGTAGTAGCGAGCTGCCTCTATCATGTCCTCATTAGAACTCATCAACGCAAGATTCATCAACTGATCCTCCAGGTTATTCTCCTGCAAAAACCAATCAGCAGACGTAAACATAAACAAAAGACTCCCATGTCTTGGATTTTTCTAACCTGATTGATATTGGGAAATAAAAAAAACAATTCAGCGATGAGAGATTCGGGAACATGAGGTAATACCCATCGAGTATCAAAACCTTGCAGTTGAAAACTTCATTCAATTTGGATGTCCATCGTTATTTCCGCATTGCTTTACCATTATTCTTGTCTTTATATCCCTAGGCAATTTAAAGTTATCTACTAAAGGTTGGTATACAGATACTGAATGTTTATGAGTGCAATGGTAAGAATAACTTCATGAGGAGACAGATGGAATGTTCCATTCCAAGAGGCGAAGCCCAGTGGATGAAAATTCCATCAGTCACTGAATTAAATTATTCTTTCCACTGCATGAATGTTAAACATTCATTATTTTGTTTTATACGACGCCTGAATAAATCCTCGTAATCTGATTGGTAACTTGTAAACTGGTACTATGAAGATACAGCATCAGAGTTATCATTGCTATGTGAAAGCCCAACCAATAGTGTGACCGTGCAATGGAAGTTCTATTTACCGTGGAATGAAACTTGGGACAAATAATTCAATGGCACGTAATCAACGACCAACCAATGAGACGACTGGGATTTGTTCAGGCGTTGTATAGTAGCAAATGTTGTTCTCAGATTTCTTGAAAAATAGAATCCCTTCACATTATCGGATATTACCACAGCTCAACAGCTATTAGAAACCTCTTTTACTTTTCTCTCACATCCTTTACATGTTGTTAACTGTTATTTTCAGTGTAAAACAATTTAAAACAAGGACAATCAATCAGTCTAATAACTGCTATTGGTAACTTACGTCAAAAAGGTTTTGCTTACCATCTATCCATGGAATTGTAGTCAATACTTGCTTTGAAAGATGTAAAATGAAACTTAGCATAAATTTTGTTGTCCGTTTACCTTGCACAGCCGAATTGCCTGACTGTACGCCTGGGCTCTGGTGAAGAAGTGAATGGCCTCCTTGATGTTATCCTGAAACGAAACATTGACATCAATTACAAAGTTACCACACAAATTGATAAATAAAATATAAAACTTTTTAAGAAAAATTTGAAACCAAACAACCGCTTTGGTCCTGAAGCATGCTGTACATTTCTAAACAGGAAATCTCTGTTAAAATTTACAGAAAGGGCAACAATGGAAAAGAAGTTACAATCTTACAAATAACAAATACTTCCAGAAGACACCAGTTGCTTGACCCATATTTATAAGGTCCGAGGACAAATGCACAACAGAGGACAGATGGCTTTTAAAGGTAGAGTATAGCATTTGTAATTTTTTTTCTTCGTTTAAAGCAACAAAAGTGCCCAAAATCTAAAGAAGGGTGCTTAACAACTAACCTGATGAACTTTCAGCTCAGTGAATGCTGTGTATTCCCAAGAAAACAATATTCTAGGATCTCGATTTCAATTCAAAAGTTGCCGAGTCATGTTATGAATCGCACCCGAAATCAGCATCCGGGACACGTTCTCATTCAGTCGATTGCCACTACGCGATGTCACACACAGAACTGACAAATAAAAGCAACCACGCGCACGTGTGCGTCGTGTCAACGCTTGCGCACACTCATTCACGGCTTCGCCGAAATAAAAACGAACTAACAGAAATTTCCAAAAATGCATCTTTAGACGCATCGTTGAAAAAGGCCTTCTTTTATTTGTTTTCTTCAAAATGACAGATGCCAGAAAGAATTATTTCACAGGGAGTTTAGTGTCATTTCTATCTTTAAACCAAGTATGCTTGTCAACAATAATTTTGTCAGTTACTTTTGGATAACTGCAAATGATGTGCTCTACCTTCAAGTCAAAATAGTTGTAAAAGGTTGTTTGGTTAACTCGATGACAAATAATCGCAAAAGTCATCCACAGACATCCAGCAGAACCAATTATAATGTTTGCAGCAAAGTTGTAAAGTAACAAGTCAATACAACACCGTTGTAACAGAAACACTGGGTTTTTTTATTACACAAAACTGATTCTAAAAATCTCTGAACAATGAAAGTCAAAACCAAGTTCAACAGTGCAATTGCACGGTGTGGCCAGCAGTCGTGTTCTAGTTATTTTCTCAAATGGGTTATTGAATGAGTCTGTGGAATGGAGTATAGTAGGCCATCAGCCTCGGTCCAAAATTTTGGCCACCGGTATCAAATGAGGTAAATAATCGTCATCGCGATTTTTGGCAAGGTATACACCTCCAGGGTTGGAAAATATGTGATAGCATTGCAGCGGTGGCAGCTTTTTGGGTGTTATCACCCTTTTTCTCAAAATGTCCATCAAAATGCTTGTTACCACTCTAGGGGCGGTATACCTTGCGCATGCGCACGATAATCATTTATGCCCTGATTTGATACTGACTAAACCCCCAGGCTGATGGCCTATAGGTTCAAATTTTAAATTACATAACTGCTGTCTACACCAGAATCAAGCAGATATGAAGAAACTGTGCGGAGAATCTATTTAATCATAACTTTCAAAACAGCTGAAAATGCAGTGTACACAGTATAAATAAGAATTTTCAACACAACAGTTGAAAGTTTTCTATGAAGATAACGCATGCAAACAACTGTAGTATAAAACACGAGTAAGAGAATAAAAGACAACATATTATACTCAATAGTGCAAACTTGCAAAAGACAATATCTAAAAAGTCAAGTGTTGAAAGCAGAATTATGGAGTTTTGTCGCTGAGAAATGGGACACAAAAGGTCACCACTAACACTGAAACAAAACTAATGGCAAGATTAATATTAGAAAAGAAGAACACATTCAGTTGCTTTTAGCTGAGAAAACAAAATGTTCTTGACGGCTGAACGAGGTTCACATACTGACCATTCTGGTTTCATCATCAATGGCTTCGGAGCTGCCCTTTTTGTTGCTCTGAGTGACAACAGAGTCAGGATTGAGATTATATCTTGCTGACTTTAGTCACTTACTTTACATTTTAGTCAATGTCAAGAAATCCTGTCTCAAGTCAAGTCACGAGTTATTCAAAAGAGCTATGAAAAAGGCAATTCCTTTGTCATTGTTCCTTAGTAGTTACTTATGCCCCAGACTTAAAATATGTAGCACCAAAATTAGTGACTGGAAAGCCAATTTCATAAGCTACTTTTAGATGAACAATTTACTGAAATTGCTCAATCCGTTCAAAGGATATAACCATTTAAACCCTAAAACCTCCTTCATCCAAAAATGCGATTTCAAGAATCGTTGTCACAATTGTCTTCAAACAAACAAAAATAATAAAATTGTACTGTTGTAGTTGGAGAGCCTCTCGACAAGCATATTTTATGCTTTTTAGGCAATCCCTCAGGTCTACATATGGTTCAATTTAATGTTGAATGTGTTTTAATGTGTTTGTTTGATAGTTTCATGTATAGTAACCTTTTGTAGTTTGTCCTTATGATATTCATTGTCGTGTCTAGCAATTTTTATGTATTGAATTTTAAAATTGTCTTATATTTTTATATTTCAATTGTCTCGTGCCTGAGAAATTATCTAATAACTAAATAAATAAATAAATAATATATAAACATCGCCAGCGATAAAACCTCAGTTTAAAAGTTAAAAATATTCAAATATTCATAAAAGTATGCTAATGATAAATGGTCAAAGTTTATAGGTCAGAAGTAGAGTTCAAGGGTCGAGGGTACACAAAGCATTCAAGAATGTCCTACCTGGTTTTCATACTGTCTTGCAAGATGGTAGCATGCAGCTTTGTCGCCAGTCTCGTTGGCAATCTCAGCAGCCTGGGGAAGATACAACAAATACTAAATACGAACTTCATTAGGGTAGTCTCAACCACGACCAAAACAAAAATAGGGAACCTGCCCTTAATAGTGGGGCAGATAGGGGGAAAATTTGGGGGAATTGTGCCTTTGATGATACAAGCATGACATTTGGCACACTGTCAGAGTATGTCCTAAGAAAGATATTTGGCTATAATAGGCATTTGCAGATTTGTCCTTTGCAAAAATATAGGAAGAATAACAGGCAATGGCAGCCATTTTTAAAATGGCTGCCAAAAATGTTTTCTTTTTTTAAAGAGAACATATTTCCGAAACTTTTAGGGAGGTTTTTAGCAAGAAGGGCTAAATTTGAGGCAATTTTCATTAAACTGTCTTCATAAACACACAAGTCAAAAACTGATACAGGGGAGTCAGAATTTATTTTTTTCAGGTTGTTTTGGGGTTTCGGGAGCTTCGCCCAAGTCTTACACTAAAAATACCCCTGCAATGTCAGCACATAACAGCAATAAAATTACTCAGAATGTTTTTCAAGTATGCACCTTCTCCAGGTTGCCACAGTAACAGTAGACTCTGACCAGAGACAGAAAGTCTTGGCCCGCCTCATAGAATTGAAGAGCCGTCTCCATCTCACCGGTGCTCTCCATGTACTGAGCCCACCACCTCCTCAAAGATCTAGCACGAAAAATAAATTAATAAATAATTAAATAAGAACTAAATGAAATACATCTTGTTTTCCAGAATTGATTCTAAGATATTTACTGTTAAGTAAAGACTCTAAGCAAGACCAGTGCATGGGGCTCTTTGACCATGCATGAGTGTTGTGTGGGAGGAACAGTGCGCAAAGTACGGGTGACAACTTATATCTTAAATGTGAGGTGTTCTGGAAAATTGAGGCAAAAGTGGGCAGAGGTCAAAATGAGAGTATTAGGAAAGAGAATAAAATTCTCCTTACAATATTGTTTGCTGCGCCGTGAATGGGTGCGCGCGCAAGCGTTGACACAACGCACGCGCGCGCTGTTGCTATAATTCGTTGGTTCAGTGCATGACATCGCGTAGCTGCAATCAGCTGAATGAGAACGTGTCCCGGACGCTGATTTCAGACGCAATTCAAAACATGACTCGGCAACTATTGAACTGAAATCAAGATTCTAGAATTCTCAGATACAGCATTCAGTGAGCTAAAACTTCATCAGGTTAGTTGCTAAGCACCCTTCTTTAGTTTTTGAGCACTTTTGTTGCTTCAAACGAAAAAAATGCTTGACAAATGATGTACTCTATCTGATTAATGATTGCGTTAAGAAAAACATTTAGTTCTTACTTGTCTTTGTGTTTCATGATGTACGCTTCCAATGCCTGGGGTTCGTCAAACAACATGCGGGGAACCTCAAAACGGTGGGTGTCCGATTTCTCGTAGCTGTGAAGAAAGTGACAAAATATGGAATGTAAATGGTTTATGTAACGATTTCAAAAATGAAAACAATAAAAGTGCTGGTTTTTAATGTATATGCCTTGAACCACTTAGACACTGAACTTGTCAGGGCAGGCTAAGCATTTTGCAGCTGAAGTTGCAAGCGGGTGACACAGAATTCGTTCTGAGGAACACGTTGCGTGTAACTTTCTACTCACTTTAATGAAAACTATTTGACATCCCTTTTGGGTTTATTTATAAATTGAAAAGTGGACTTCTTGAAACATTTGAAACTGAGGGAGCTGTTGCTGTGATGTCATTTCAGGAAGACTCAGTTTGGGAGTTTTCTGTTCAAATTGAGAACCCACACTTTTCTCAGTGAAAACGTTTGTGAGCAAGGTTTGCTCCTTGGCTTACTGCCATGTTCTGACATAACGTATCACCAAAGAAATGAAAATTGATGAAAGCAAAATTTACAAAATTCTGGCAACTGTTTGTGATAAAATAACTGTAACATTGAGGTTTCTGCCCGGATTGACATCACAGTTTTGCTCATGAATATGGAAATTTGCATTAGCATAAGAACAAGAAAGGCACCATACAGCCCTTGAAAATGGCAAAATGAAAATTGACAATAGGGTAACATTGAGGTTTCTGCCCAGAATGACATCACAGTTTTGCTCATGAATATGGAAATTCGCATTAGCATAAGAACAAGAAAGGCACCATACAGCCCTTGAAAATGGCAAAGTGAAAATTGAAAATAAGGTAACATTGAGGTTTCTGCCCAGAATGACATCACAGTTTTGCCATGAATATGGAAATTCGCATTAGCATAAGAACATGAAAGGCACCATACAGCCCTTGAAAATGCCAAAATGAAAATTGACAATAGGGTAACATTGAGGTTTCTGCCCAGAATGACATCACAGTTTTGCTCATGAATATGGAAATTTGCATTAGCATAAGAACAAGAAAGGCACCATACAGCCCTTGAAAATGGTAAAATGAAAATTGACAATAGGGTTAAATGGGACAAAAAGGTGCACTTTCAAGGATTGAACCCTTTAAACCACCCTCAGGCAAAATTAAATATTGAGAATAAGTTGGAGCTTCGAAACCCAATATTTTGCTAGGAGAGTAAACCTTACTTTGGTATGGCTCCATTGATGTCACCTTTGGCCTCTAGGTGTTTAGCATAGTTGTAGTAAGTTGTGCGCAGGTGGATTCTATCATGCAGCTCTGCTGTCTCCATAGCCTGGACATATGAAAATCATAGTATCGGACAATTAGGGAAATACCAACTGTTGAACAAGGCTAGATCTAACTGACATGGCCAGAGTTTATTTGTAAACATAACAAGTCCGTTTAAGATCGGCTGGGGGAATGGATGCTGATAGTAGCCTGAGCCAAAGGCGAGGGATATTATCGGTGACCGGGCCCCCAGCTGGTCTTAAACGGACTTGTTTAATACCGGCCAAGCACATATTTATTCCCATTGATAAATACCTTTTGGTCAAAACTCAAAAACAGGTCAAAAATTATAAATTTCCAACAGTTTTGTTCAAAAATATTGTTCAAAACTTCATGTTTTTTTAAACACCCCTTTAGCTATGTTATGGTATGGGCCTCTCATGAGTAGTCGTAAACAACTCTTTATATGGATATTGGCATGCGCGTGGCGCGTACTGCGTGATGTGGCGCAGAACACAGCGGTGCGAGTGTAGTGTGAATTTAGATAATATATTCTTGACCCTACCTTTCCCCATTGCCCACTAGCTATGTTATGGTATGGGCCTCTCACGAGTAGTCGTAAACAACTCTTTATATGGATATTGGCGTGCGCATGGCACGTACTGCGTGATGTGGCGCAGAACACAGCGGTGCGAGTGCAATGAATTTAGATAATATTTTCTTGACCCTACCTTTCCCCATTGCCCACTAGCTATGTTATGGTATGGGCCTCTCACGAGTAGTCGTAAACAACTCTTTATATGGATATTGGCGTGCGCATGGCACGTACTGCGTGATGTGGCGCAGAACACAGCGGTGCGAGTGCAATGAATTTAGATAATATTTTCTTGACCCTACCTTTCCCCATTGCCCACTAGCCTGGTAGAACTCATTCAGCAGATCATGTCTGGTGCAGTTCTTGTACAGTCTCTCCGCATCCTCCTACAAAGCAAACACACAGTCAGAAAATATATGTATCTCCTTTGTGCATGACCTGCTGGTTGCGCCGTGCAAGGCAATTTACGTTTGAGTATTTCCGAGTAACACTTCTTGTACAGTTACAGTGGAACGTCGCTATACCGTGCATGGCTTGACCAAACATTTGGAGATACAGAACACTGTCCTTGGCTCCTGATTTTTGTTGTAAAAAAATGTCAACAGAAGGGTGAAAAGAGGCTGTTATTTCCCCACGGAATAGAAGGGAAAATCCACGCATTGCTTTAGGTAGTAAGCTCAAATATTGTGTAATAATGTAATTCAATAGTCAGCATGTGTTCAAAGTCATCTTTCAGTATTAAAGGGAATATACAACATTTGGTTTTGCTCTAATTTTCAGAAATAAATGGATTTGGAGGATTAGTATGCTATAGAAAATATTGTTAAACTGACTTGTTTCATCTTTTGGGCTTGTAAATGCTGGGAAAAGCAAGTAAACCAATTTTGTTCTTGTAGTCTGGCTCCCTGACCCCACTTAATATAAAACGGAGCAATTTACAGACTTTGGGGAATTGTAAGGTCAGACAATCAGTCTAGCAGGCTTGTATCCCTTCACAGGTATGTAATCAATTGCAAAGAAAAATGCGGAATAACTAAATATAAAAAATTAAAAGCAATGTTTGAACAAAGCCAGTTTTCTCCAACGATGGTCGACCGGCCAGCGTTGGAAAAATACATGTTTTCTTGAAAATGTCAGCATACCAGGAGCCACGATTTTACAGAATGCTTTAGAATGTCATTCACTAACAATCCAGTAAGATATTTCGTTATAATTTCATCATTTCGTTTTTTGATGTTTGCAATTTGTATTTTCCCTTTAACTACCAGGGCGTGCAGGGTGAAGTTCTGAAGGGCCCTATTTATTGATATGTGAGTATCGGAGCACCAGTAACTTAAAATCGTTTTACCGTACGATCGCCATTATGAACATTTCTGTGGATCCTACGATGTTCGTTATCGCAGCGTTCCACTGTACTGCAATGAAGGGAATAACCCAGTTTTTATATATCTTCAAAAATATTCCATCGATAGATCCCTTGCTGTAAACTGGTCTTTGTTCCTCTGTGCACTTTAGCCCTCCTAATGGGAAGTCAATATTCAGAGCAATAGGCCAAAAAAAAAAGTCTCTGGTTTCTGGTATGTGCGCGCGTTGCCGTAGCCATGCGCGTCGGCAAAATGAAAACGTTTTTTTTTTCAATGAAAGATGATGTCTCAAAACCGCCAAACTCACTGGTTTGACTGGAATCCTGCTGCTGCACAATTTTAACGTGTTTTTAGATTGGGTTATGGTCGAAAATAAGCTTTATGTGGCCTCTCTGGACTCCCATATATTTGCACTAAGTTTGGTCGGGCACCATTTGCAGTCATCAGCCGACATTTGAAGCAAAGAAATCAGGTAAAAAAAAAAAAAAGCCGCGTCGCTGCAGCACTTTTTGGGCAAGCTCCATACCAGAAACCGGAGACTTTTTTTGTTTTTTTGGCCATATGTTGGGGTATTTTATTTCTTATCCACTTACCAACTGTCCCAGCTGTATGCCCAACATGGCTACCTTGGCGTCCAGCTCGGCTTCGTTCTCCACCTCCCGCATCGCCCTTGCTCCCCGCGCATGGCCCATGTTACCCAGGCACACCTTGGCCACGTCCAGTCGCCGGGTCTTCACGCACATCTTGGCCATGTTTTCCCAGACTGTCTCGCTGCGAGAGAACAAATTAATTTTCCAAATAGGCCATACATGGGATGGTGTGGTCCAATGGTTACGGTGTTCGACTCGTGTGCCGTGGTACATGGGTTCGAATCCTGACCATGGGCACATGGTGCTTGTGCTCTTGAGCAAGGCACTTTACCAGTATTGCTTCGTCCTTCGGATGGGACGTAAAGCCGTAGGTCCCGTGTGTTGTGTAATGCACGTTAAAGGACCCAGTAACACTTATCACTCCCCGGTGTTTCTGGCAGTGGCTGCAATATGCGCCACAGCACCTTGTAAACCATTATAAGGTGCTACATAATGGGCCTCATATTTCTCATAAACTTTATTTACCTTTCTTTAATAATAGACATAATTTCCAGTGCCTTGAGTACCTAATTGTTGGTAGATACGTGCGCTATATATGACTCCGATATTATTATTTAACATTTGATTGAATCAGGGTACTTTAACAATGCAATTTGGGGTACAAAGAGACATGAAGCACAGAGCAAGTTTGATCCACATAGGAGTACAGTTTGACTAACTCTGGTTTATCAACTCTGGTGATAGCGGTTCGTCGTGATAACCTTGAGGTGATTTTCCCTTTTAAAAGCCTGGGCCCTTTTTATACCAGGATTTTCAATGTTAGTGAGAGTTACACCACAGGAGGCCAGTCCACGCTCTTTGGATAGGCATTCATACACTCGAATTCTGCAGTTCACGCATGCATGAATGTAAATCGTGTGCCGCAGCGATCACAAACACTTACAGTTGACAGTGCATCAAATTCAGGATTTCTTTTGTTTGTGCAATAATTTAAACAATCAAAAGAAGAAAACATGGTTTCATTACTTGACAAAAACAAATATAACGTTGGATATTATGAAAAATCCATGTGCGTTTAGGCCTCTGAGGAATGAATCAGGCATGCCTAACAAGTCGTTCAGTCAAGCGGTACTAATTGTTCCCTGCTGCCTTAAGGAGATAAATCTTGAGATAAGAGAGATCAGTAAGCCGGTTCTCTCAGGTTTTGAGATAAAAGAGGATTCACGGCATGGCCCTCTCGCGGCGGCGGGCTATCGCTGCTGTGGGTAATCATGTATCTACAACAACAACACGTATCTGGGTCATTCCACCGGGTTGGGAACCAGTGCATGTTACATCCATATATTTGGTTATATTATGAAAAGTATCAATGCATTCTAAACAATTGCTCAACATGATATTTGTCTGAGGGTGTTTCAATACTTGAGAAAGTTTGAAATCATTTGAAAGTACTTTGACAAAAATATGAGCAAAAATGTATTAATTCGGACGTAACATTGACACCGTGTCAATGTTACGTCCAAAATGACATTTTTTGCTCATATTTTTGGCAAAATACATTGAAATGATTTCAAACTTTCTGCAGTAGTGAAACACCCAACAACAAATATTATGTAGAGCAACTGCTAGCAAGGCATTCATGCTTTTCTTAATATGGTCATATGTCACACTTTGTTCCCCAACCCGGTGGAATGACCCATCTAAAATAAACGGTTACATGCTGTTTATATTCAGATACCTGAATATAAAATATCCGTCCCTTCCCAGTGTCCCGGATTCCAGTACTCACTCCAAGCAACAACCAAGACCTACCTCTTAATGAGCTTGATGGCCTTGAAGGCCTCATCCATGTTACCTATGGTCAGGAAGTAACTGAAGTTCATCATGGCCTCCTGGGCATTCTTGTCTCCTTCCTCCAGCCCAACAAAGTCCCTCATGACCTGCTTGGCTACCAGGGACCCTGGGGACAAGGAGGTGACTCCGTCGCTCTTCTCGCCAGCCTGTTGATGGAAGGAAATGTTTCAAAATTGCACTCAATAGAAAGATCAATTCAGGCAATTCACAATGCAGTGCGCCACCAAGAGTTTGCCAAGGAGAGTCAATTTTTCAAGTTTACGGACAAAACATGGCTCATTTGAATGAGTGTTAGTAGACAACTTGGGCTAATTTGTTAAAGATTGGGGCATAGCGTTCTGCCGCCTAACAAAAAAACACCATATTGATAAAAAGAAAAGAAAAGTGCAAACAGATACCTGAATCATATGCTTACAAAAATACCGACCGCAAAAACTAACAATTTCAAATGTCCCGCGCTGCGAATTTGTCGACCATCTCCCACAATGCACTGGGAAAATTTAACTCTCCTTGGCAAACTTTTGGTGGCGCACTGTGAGAATCGCTCGAATTGGCGATTGTATAGTTACGGGTCCCTCTTTAGTTTTGGTCAAATTAGAGTTAAGGTTATTTTTATCATTCCAAAATGACTTTTGACCGAAAGTATACTTCTCTTAATTCTAATGACACAATTTTCTGTAATTTTGAACAGTTTCTTGCGGTAGGAAATGGGATTTTCATATGCGTTTTACAGTTGGCATGGTTGGTGCCGTGCGAATCAACGCGGTTTTACACGTTCTCGGTGTGTCGCAGTGATCGCATTAATGTAAAATTTAGCCTTCTTGCCAAATTTTTAAAGAAATCCAACTGCTTTTATGAAGTAATTAAGTATGAGTGGTTACAATGATAGGAATAGGGTCGGTCTAGTTCCTCACCTTCTTGATGAAGTAGAAGTATGGTACTTTCAGTCCAAGCAGGTGGCTAAAGGCTGGTGCCAAACCAAAGCTGTCTTGTAACACAATGCCGTGCTCCAGGGTACTAAACAGCGATATAATCATTACATCGGGCTATGTGAGGGGAAAAATGACAAATATCCTTGAATAGTAATTGTAATTCTTTTGATGAAAATAACACTATAATACTTTTTCCATTTGCCAATAAATATTTCTTTGACAAAAACTGTTTGCACGTATAGGGTAAAAGAGTAAACATGGCAAATACCATGTGACTTGGTTTTGGCCAATCAAGAGACAGCATTTGTGGGTGAGGTATTATCCATTATACAACGCCTGAATAAATCCGTCATCTGATTGGTGGGTTGTTGATCACATGTCATTGAATTATTCACCCCAACCCACAGCACGGCCGCACCGCCAAAAAAAGAAGTTCTATTCCACGGTAAATAGAAGTTCCATTCCATAGTGAATAGAAGTTCCATTGCTCGGTCACACTATAGATAAATCCAGCTGCAGCCATTTTCTGCAGTGGCATCAGGCTCACGTGAGTTGCGCTCAGTTAGTACACACACACTCCTGGCTCTACCAACCAATAGGAATACCAAAATGCGTGTACGCCTCGTCTTTAAGAACGCGTGCAGCATGCGTGTGAGTATAACACCACCGCAGTACAAGCTTCTAATTCTGTTATAAGATGGATTTTTTTTAATTTTTTTTTCGAACCAGCCAACCGAGATTCGAACCAGCCAACCGATCCCGTTAGCTCGGTGGTCAAGTGGTAAGACATCTGCACTAGAAAGCAGGAGGTCGTGGGTTCGAGTCCCACCCGAGTGATTTTTTCCAACTTTCACTCGGGAGGTAACACACTGAGTATACAGTGTTTAAACGTCGGTGAAGGGCAAAACCTAATTTGACTTCTAATTCTGGTTGCCGGATTCCACTTTTGGTGGCACTGACCAATCAGATGACGAGGATTTAATCAGGTTTTGCATAAAACAAATAATGAATCTTTCACATTTGTGCAATGGAAAGAATAATTTCATTCGGTGACAGATGGAATGCTACAAACATTCATTATTTGTATACTATCCACTTTCCAACACGTAATATATTTGTATTACAATCACATAGACCACAATATATGATGGGATAGTAGAGGTGAGTGAACAAAATGCTTGTGACTGACTTGAATATTATCGACTATCCACCCTCCAACACATACTATATTTGTATTATAATCACACAGATTGAAAGATGTGATGGGGATAGTAGCGTTGAGTTTAGCAACTGGCTTACCGGTGAATCTTTCATGGTCATTAGCAGGGAGGATTTCTTGGTGGCGGGTTTGTCGTTGGACTCTGACAGCTTGGCCTGACAGATGAGCAGCTTGGGTTCGTTGGGGTCCCAGTGGACAGCTTGAGGGTAGCGACCAGCGATGTCATGGGCAGCTTCTGCACGGCCCCTGTAACGCAAAAAGGAGACGGTTGTACAATAAAATCTGGTGGTACAGTAGGAATTTTCAGGGGAGTACAGCCTAGCGGTTATGGTTTGTGACTCGTGATCATCAGGTCAGGGGTTTGAGTCCAGCTGCTGGTCATTATGCTGTGTCGTTGGGCAAGCCACTTTATCCCCACTTGGCTCTCTATGTGCACCCAGGAGTATAAATGGGTACCAGCATTAGCTGGGGAGTATTAAACTTGCGATGGACTGGCGTCATTCATTCATTCATTAGTTTTACTGCAGTAGAGAAAATAAGAGTTTTTCTCCTTTTCGATACCAAGTCCTAGCAGGACGATTTTGAAGTCGTCAGAAAATCCTTGCGCTCAATGGCTGCTTGGCGGCTGCTTGGCAGAGCTTGTCTAGGGTCAAGCCTGTCTGTAAGAGAACTTGCTGTTGTAAAGTCCGACGACCCAATTTTCTGTAATGCGATCAAGCTAAATGAGTCGTTTGTCGACCACGGTCAAAAAGTTTTATTACAGATTTGAAAGGAGCACAATCTCAGCATTACTGATGTGAAAACCGCATGCTGGTACCATCTTTAGTTCAAAAATTATGGAAGTCGGAACACCAAGAGATGTGATGAACTGATGTGATGAAGTGGCCCTATTTTGGCCTGAATCTCCAAATGAAACTTCCCAACAAACGACTCATTTAGCTTGATTGCATCACAAATGTTATTGGAACAATGTTATGGGAGTTTAGCGTTGACCATGTAGTTCTGGTGTTGCCCCAAACCTCCCTGCCTGTTACTCCCTGCAACGCCCCAGCACTGTATGGATCAATGATTTAATCAGCGAGTAAATACAACGTTATGCAAATCTTAATGGGTTCAGCTAACCTTTCTGCATCGCTTATTTCATCGTCTTGACTACTGTAATCTTCCTGGTCACCTCGGCCAGTAGCCAGGTCAAACACGGTGACAGTACCCAGGTCACAATCCCACACGTACAGTTTACTATCAGGGGTCCCGTTGGACTGAAAGACAAAACAAAATGCACACAATCAACGTAGGCAAGGGCAAACATTTTGGGAGTATTCAGGAAAAAAGGAATTCTGGATGAAAAAAAAAACAACCCGCGGGATTTAAAGGTACAGTCCATCATTTGTAATTTGTGCATTTTGTTCGTTTGAAGCAACACAAGTGCTCAAATCTAAAGATGGGTGCTGAACAACTAACCTCATGAAGTTTCACCTCAGCTTCAGCTGTTTATTTCGAGAAAAACAACATTCTAGGATCTCGATTTCAAATCAAAAGTTGCTGAATCATGTTTTGAATTGGGCCTGAATTCAGCATCCGAGACATGTTGTTACTGAGCCGATTGCTGCTATGCGATGTCGCACACTGATCCGACGAATTATAGCAACCACGCGCACATGTGCGTCGTGTAAATGCTTGCGCGCGCTTCGCCGAATGGAAAAAAAAAAAAAACATATCGTTGGAAAGGCCTTCTTTCGTTGATTTCTTCAAAATGACAGCATGCCAGAAGGAATAAAGTTCACAGGGAGTTTAGTCCCCTTACTATTTTTCAACCCAGTATGTTTTTCAACAATAATTACGTCAGTTACTTTGTGGATAGCTGCAAATGATGGACTGTAGCTTTAACAATCTGTTGAACTTTCCACTCAGTGGATATTACATTTTTTCGAGAAAACAGTGAACAAACATGCACAACCTTTTGATGATGAAATACAATTTTGTCAATAGCACTCTTTATTTCCAAAAATCAGTCAATTTTCTGATCATTGGAAACCCCCTACATTTATTGATTTCTTCTTAATGACAGCGAGCCAGATGGAACAATTTCTCGGAAAGAATGTTGCAACCTGACACTGCTTTTTTCTTCATACATCACCTCAATGAAGGTCAGTCATTGCAAAAATGATGATAAGACATGAATGTGGAACTGAGAAACATTTCCAATTTTGTTAGGAAATGCTTAATTTTCTAAACGCTCCATACACTTAATACACAACCGCTGAAGTAGTGTCATAATGAATACTGACCTTATTGGCTATGACGCAGACCTTGGTGCCATTACTGTTGATCTTCCCCATGGTGATAGTGCCAAGTCCTGTTACGGACTCACTCAGGTTGATGGGGCTACAGTGTGGTTTGGCCTCTCTAATAAATGAAAAACAAATCAGTTTTTAACTTAAGGGTATATTTACCGCACGTCATATAATGGGAGACTTTTGAGACGTTGGTGGCAGCAAACACACCGGTCCTTTTTCAGTTGTTTATACGTCATGTTTAAGCTAAAGCACGCATGCTTAATATGACGCAAACAATGGAAGGACTGGTGTGTTTGCTGCCACCAACGTCTCAAAAGTCTCCCATTATGTCACATAACATTTTTTTGGCTTCTGACTAGCGCCCCTTGAACAACGACATTGACAAATTGGGGAACCGCCAATAAATGACTGGATAGCTCAGTTGGTAGGGCGTCGGAACGGTAATCTAGAGGTCGCAGGTTCACACCCCGCTCCAGTCAATTTCTTTGTTCAGGTTAAAAAAATTCCTCTATCAAGATTAGCTTCAGAACACATTTCCAAACAGTGGACCAAGATTTGTGGGTAATTCGGCAGACTGTGGGTCCGAGCCCAGACTTATGGCTGGAAATGTGTGTCCTTATGCATACTTTATCACTTATTGCTCCCCACATGGTCGTTGTGTTAGATTTTGCCAGTTGGGCCAATATGGCCGAGTTGAGCTGTATCTTCCAAGGGGGAGCTGAGACAGCCTTTTGGCAAACAAAATTAGAAGCCATTTTTGAGGTGGAATGATGTCCACGCGCATGCCGCACGCGTTCTAAAAGACAAGGCGTGCGCGCATTTTGTTGACCCTATTGGTCGAAGGTAGGGGTGTGCATTTACGGCTAGTACATGAACCGGGTACCCGATTGAAAAAAACACGGGTAACCGGGCACCCCTTAAAGAAACCCAACGCCAAACATGCCAAAATTCAAATCTCGGGAGATGCTTTTAAGATTGTTTGCAAAGGTCCGTACGATAATACTACCACATCAGCGCATCAATACAGCAAGATAAAAGTGTGTACAGTGTGTACGGTGTCAACTGCAGCTTTTGCGAGCGACACAAATGTGAAATATGTTTTGTTTTCCCATGTGGCCTGGTTTTCATTTTGTGGCCTGGTTTACATTCCCAACAAATGACTTCAAAATCTTTCTTTTTCATTGTCTCAGAAGTAACCAAGTAATTTGTAAAGTTGGTTACGGGTACCCGATTCCATAATCTGGAACCGGTTCCTGACATTAACAGTCGGGTACTCGGGTTCCCCGTTCCGATGCACAGCCCTAGTCGAAGGAGCCTGGAGTGCATGCATACTACCTTAGTGTGACTCAAATTGGTCTATAATGATCCTATACCTACAGCATCAATATTGGTAGATATATATGCATTTTATAAATACACTTCATTATTATTCACAGACCTTCGGGACACATCAAAGACTTTGACAAAGCCGGTGGTTGTAGTGACCACCAAGAAGTGACCGCTGACGTCCATAGTAGCCGGTTCCCCTTCCATCTCATTCAATGGGATCAGCTGCTTCACTGTGCCCTGAATACAAATAAAATGTCCGACATGGGCACCCGTGAACAACCCTTGATTTTGACTGTGTTGGTTTTATAGGAAACATAAGTTGTAGTAGCTTTGTTAAACGCAATGACCCTAAAACCTGTCTCGTCCAAAAAAAAACAATTTATTGTGTGTTTTCACTGTTTTGAACAACCAAAACACAGACACAGAATACTTGTTTCAACAACTGTCAACAACTGTAGTACACAATATCTGTATTTACAACCCTGGTTAGGCAAACAATATGATTTATAAAATCCACTTTTTTGCAAAGACAGGCCTTCAAAAGGACTTTGTTGAATATTTTTAACTTTTACACTAAGGTTTTATCGCTAGTGATGTTTGAAGACAATTGTGACGATGACTCTTAAAATTACATTTTTGGACGAGACAGGTTTTAGGGACATTGTGTTTAATGGTTATATTCTCTGAACGGATTGAGCAATTTCAGAAATTTTTCATCTAAAAGTAGCTTATGAAATGGGCTTTCCAGACATCATTTTTGGTGCTACATATTTTTTTAAATATGAAATATATTTTGGAGGTTTGGATTCCCCTTTTTGGACTCACCCTGTAGAACAGACCGAGGGTGGCCACCCTGAGGTGGGTAAGGGGTTGTTATGATGAGCCCGACCACTCACCAACCAAATTAACGATTCCCTTCAAGGTTCATTTATCATATCATGTCACTTTATTAAAGAGTGGGGTTGAGATTTTATTTGTGACCGACTTGTGGCTGACGTTAGATGATTTGTGATCGACCTGATTATACTTCTGGTAGGAAACATATAATATGGATTTGTGCATGACATCTGACTTAAAACCAAATTATTATTAAAGGGTGTAATAAAGTGAAAGACAATGATGGACATAACAAAATCTACCTGGAAATTTCTGACTTGTATCTTGCCTGGTTCGGTGGTGTATGCGTTTTGCTCGTACAAACACACAAGGTTGGAGTCCGTGGAGAAAGTACCTGAACAGCAAGAAAAGGAATATTACTACACACTTAAAACGAATTGTTTATAAAAGATTACGTCATATTTAAATCATGTAGCCACACTTGAAACTGACCCAAATGTACTTGCATATCGTGTGAAATAAGGCTGTACCAAAAATATTTAAAAATAATTTTCCTTTTTCTTTAATTGAATATTTATGAAACAGGTATTTGTAGAGAAACGACCAGACTTGTATTTGTAGTTTCTTGTATGGAGCGTGGAAGTCTTGCCAGTCCACGTTCACTTTTTCGGTGAACGTCTTGGTACCAAACACTGACTAATAAGTGAGAGGTTTGCGGTAACACCATGTGGAAATATCTCTTTTGTGAGTATGTGTGGTTCTGAAGAGAACCTGTTGTCTAGTCACAGACTCCCGTGTTAGAATTTACCCACTTGCTATCTGTGTGATCTACTGAACAGAAGTTGAGATTAACATTTTAAATTTTATACTAATCAATTCGCAATATTTTCAAAACATTGTAAATTGTCATACTTTCCCTTATTGAGAAATACATTTCTCAGTAAGTAAGGGACAGCATTACAATGCTTTCCCTTATTGAGAAATGTATTCCCTTATTGAGAAATGTATTTCTCAATATGGGAAAGCATTACAATTTACAATGTATTGAAAATATTGCAAATTGATTAGTATAAAATTGATTGCCCTGGATTGGAAGGGCCCAGTCAGGACACAAAATAAATGCACAAAAAATAGGACGTTACACACGTTGTAGATCCTATACATGGTGCCCGGATATGCTGTATTCTCGTAAAACCTTGCAGGTTTTTGAAGTCAACTTACACGCTCTATTGGCTAAGACCTTGGTTAGGTTATTCCTTGCAATCAGCAAATAAAATGACAATGATTACCATGTACAGCTGTGTGTATAATTAAGACAGGAGTGCTCCTTCAAGTGCCACAAATTTAAAAAACTCAATCATGAGGAAATTGGGAAACGTGTTGCCAAATTCAAATTGATTCAGACCCGGTGTCAAATGCCCTTAAAGCAACCACTCTCCTTACCAGCTGCCCTAACAGCGGATGAGATGTCGTACACAACTACCTTCCTGCCGTTCCAGATAGCTACATGTTCCTGAAAACGAGCAAAAAGTGGCATATTATACAACAGTTGTTGGACAAGTCTCCTATTCAAATTGGGTTTGTTTAGAGCTCAGCCTATGTCTCATTAATAAGGGAATAAATATGCGCTTTGCCGGTTGTATACAAGTACAATGAAATGCCACTATAACGAACACCTCTACAAAGAACATTTGGATATGACGAAAATCCCCATTTGGTTGCCAAAAAAGTAAATTCTTTTATAATGCACATCCCTATTAAACAAACGACCACTATAAAGTATAAGGAACATTTGTTATGGACTCCATCATGTTCATTATAGTGGTGTTCTACTGTACATTTAAAACCAGCTAGGGGACTGAACGGGGATAATGGTGCGAGGGCCATTATGTTCTTGTTTAATAGTGGCCAAGTACATAGTTATTCCCATTCATTAATACCTTTCGGTCAAAAAATTGATACACTTCCAATGATTTTTTCAACACTTTCCCATGATTTTTTCAACGCAGTTTACTATATTTGTCTTCAGGAGGACCTCATTTCTTTGAGTTACCTTGGTAGTGTAGATGCCCTTGATGTGAATGTCTGTCTTGACCTCGTGGTGCGACCCTGACCCCAGGATGTCTAAGGTCATGGAGCTGGGTCCTGTCTGGACAGCAGCAACCTACATAGCAGTGGGAGAAATGTAAGTTATACATGATTCCTAATCGAAAATTGCACTGAGCCAAATTATTAGTGAGAGAGGAATAAGTACATTGAAAGTTTGACATTTTAAACAGTTGGGAATAAATACGTGGAAAGGTCAAATGTTGCAATCATTCAGTATGAGTGGCTTGATTTCAGATGCTGTTCTATAGAAGTTAGTTAATATATAAAAGTAATACTGCCTGTGCTCTTCGACACATTCAATTTTGTTTCTTTCAACGAATTTTGACATCTAAATGGTTTATTTTAACAATAAACAATTGCTTTTTCCCCCTATTTTGGGGTGTCTGCAACCCTCTGATAACATAACATAATTCAATAGTCGGCACGTGTTCAAAGTCGTCTTTCAGTAACTACCAGGGCATTCAGGGTGAAGTTCTTAAGGGCACTATTTATTCACAATTGAGTACCGGAGCAATGGCAGCTTAAAATCGCTATACCGAACGATCACTATTAGGAACAATTTCTGTGGATCCTGTGATGATCATAATAGAGGTGTTTCACTGTAGTATCAAAAGATCAATTACTATACCATTTTACATACTATACCACTTTTCTTACTACACCATAAATCAATATACACAGTACATTGGCATTTTTGGAGAGTTACCTGATCTTTGATGTGGGCATTCATATCGAGTGCATGGAGAATGACCACACTACCGATGCTATTGAGGGCCAAGTAGTCCCTACTGGTACCCCACTTGGCCTGCAAGATGTTCCCTTCCAACACAGATGGGGCCTACGACGGGGTATGAAATAAACAAAAATGTTGCCGTTTAAACACTCCAAGGGATTCAAAAACCCCTAGAGACCCCACAAGTCCATTCATAGTCAAATCACCAAACATACACCCTTTCTTCTTTATAGTGTAGCGGTGATACACAACATGCTTTTGCTGTAATTTTCAGAAATGCATGAATTTGGGGGTTAGCATTTTATAGCAAATATTGTTACACTGACCTGTTTAAAGGGAATGTACAACATTTGCTTTTGCTTCAATTTTCAGAAATAAATGGATTTGGAGGATTAGTATGTTATAGAAAATATTGTTGAACTGACATGTTTCACGTTTTGGGCTTGTACACGTAGATGCTGGAAAAACCAAGAAATCATGTTCTTGTAGTCTGGTTCCCTGACCCCAATAAGATGAAACGGAGCATCATACACTTTAGGGAATTGTAAGGTCTGAGAATCAGTCTAGCAGGCCTGTACCCCTTCAGAGGTGTGTAATCAATTGCAAAGACAATTCAGAAAACTAAAATATGAAAAATTAAGAACAGTTTTTGAAAAAAAAGCCAGGTTTTTTTCCAACGCTGGCATTGGAAAAATGCAGTTTTTCTTGAAAATGTCAGCAAACCAGGAGCCACGATTTTGCTTTAGACTGTCATTCCTAACAATCCAGTAAGGTATTTCGTGATAATTTGATCATTTCGTTTTTTGATGTTTGCAAATGTTGTATTTTCCCTTTAAAGTTTGTGTTCATAGATGCTGGAAAAACCTAGAAAACAATGCTGTTCTTGAAGTCTGGTTCCATGACCCTAATTCAGATGAAACAAGCAATTTGCAGACGTCGGGGCATTGTCAGGTGGTCAGGGAACCAGACTAGCTGGCTTGCAACCATTCATAGATGTGTAACCAATCGCAAACAACAAGTGGGCTAATTAAAATTTGTAACTTGGGGGCAGTATTTGAAAAAAAAGTCAGTTTTTTTCCAACGATGGTCGGCTGACCATCATTAGAAATTGAGACAAAAATTTCACTTTTCTTGAAAATGACAGCACACCAGGTGCCATCTGCTTGAGACTATTATTCACCTACAGTAAAGAAAGCTATTTCATATTAATTTGGTAGTTTTGTTTTTTGATGTTTGCAAATGCTGTATATTACCTTTAAAAACAACATTGCTTAATAAACATTGAAGATTTAGAACATTGGGAATAGCTGAAATCGCTCTCTTCTTAAAGAAAAGGAAAACAATTTAAAAGCATTTAAGAAGACTTCAAATGGTTATATCAACTAAGACTCTTTTGCTAATCCAGTAGGACTCAAAAGTCGGAGTTTATGACATTAGCTATACACAGTGACTCGGTCTGTCAGTCAGTCAATCAATCAATATGTCAATCAATCAGTGACTCTGTTGGAGGATAGTAATCTAATGGGCTGTCCTTTGGCTCAAGCTAAATCTGAACACTTCTATAGCTTTACAATACCTGCAGTTTCCACTTGGTTTCTCCGTCCTGTTTCCGTGCCATGATGCCCTGGGATGGGGCAAACTTCCACATGGCAACGCGGCCTTTGTCCGTCCCACCAGCCAGAACTCCTGCAACAGGTGGAGGTTGAAAACAAACGATTCAAATGTTTAGGAAATGCATCATGTGCAAATGAAAAGCAAGTAAGGTTTGCTCTAAATGCCGTGCCACTGGTGTGCGGTACTCAATTGATTTAGAATTGGTAATAGTTTGTCTATAGCATGGCAGTTCCCTAAACGCCGAGCCAAATTAGTTGAACTATGAGAGTGGTTTGTCATTATTACAATGAACTTCAAGCAGTTCAATGCACTTCCTATAAAAAAAAATACCACACAAAAACTCTTGCTCAAACTTGTCAGTCTAAAAAATTCAAGACAGTCATATACTGAGACTATCTATGTAGTGTTCAAAATTAACAAGAGAGCACGGAAAAATTGTTTCCATATTAATCGTCTGTATTTTTAAATCATTCTACAGAGTGGCGCAAAAAAATGGAAACCCACTTTAGACAGGAACTTTAACCTACTTACTTAACTTATTTGAACAATTTTTGGTATAATGTAGTGAAGTATAGCTCTTCAACCATACATAGTGAATAAAATCTTTGAAAAATATTCAAAAATAGTGTTATTAAGCTAATTTGAATACAAGTCGCCAAAATCACTGTTTTCCACACTCAAGTCTAGTGTAGTGTTTTTTGTCTTCAAATCAAGCTCTGGAGCTCAGTCAAGCGGATGGAATAAAGCCGTCCGTCGACAAACAGGTTTGGCAACTGACATTTTTAAACTACCGTATCTCGGAGACAAAATATGCATTTGCAATCATTTTTTCATCACTTATGTTTAAAGATCAATTTTTTTAATACCATTAAATTGAATTTTTGAAATATGCTCAACAAGTAGGTGACAATTGCTGTCAAAAGTGGGTTCCCTTCTTTTTACACCACCCTGTGTAACAGTGCATAGCCTCCCTTGGTGATTAGTGGTGATCCCTTCCACATGTATTTGCACTGGATCAATGAGGGAGGTAGTTTCACTGCACCACTGAAAAGCAGGCAGTATCTTTCATAATGTTCACCTTTCTTGGAAGAGTAGGCAACACAGTTGATGCATTCTCCTGTCTCAAAGCCTTGCTGTGCATCCAGACCCAAGATGTAGTTATCGTCTTTGTCTAAATCCCACATCCTTTCAAAAGATTGTTTTATAAAGTATGTTTACATTTGTTTCTCTCAACATGGCAATTGTACTTTAGAAAATAGTGTGTACAATATTATACACATATATACTGGCAATGAGGTCAGGATAAAGAACAAGCAAGAGGTGTGTTATAAACTGGAGTATGGCACTTGACCAGGGGTTTCCCTTTACTTTTTCCTTTACTGGCCGGCCGGGACAGTAAACCAGAGTTTTCACTGGCCCGCAACCTTTTTCACTAGCCCACATGTTTTAATAGTAACTTTCAATCAAATCACCATAAGCATTTTTGATAATAAATTATGCAATATGAATACAATCGGCAATTATCTTAATCATGAACATAATATTGCATGTAGTTCCTTTTTAAGTGATGTCAATGTTTCTTTAATCGTCCATGCTTTAACATAGAGCAAGGCTTTAATTAACAGGAATCAAATAGGGGGAGAAGTTATAATCAAAATTTATGCAGTGTGCTTCGTTCCGAACTTAAGGCTTTAGGTGTTCTATTTCCGACATGTTTTGATAAAACACGAACTAAAAAAGCGTTATCTTGAGGAACAAGAAAACATTGCACACAGTCGTGGTATTAATGGGAGTTTACCAAGTTAGTAACTGAACTGTTTTAACTTGTTTGAAAATGAGTGAGAAGGCCAGTATTTTCAAAAAAACATCTCTCGCGCGCGCCATGCATTTCTAGCGAAGAATGGTGCAATCAGCGTGCCTAGCCAAGAAACGCTGCGGGCGGGCGACCCATGAACTTACGCTGGTCACGTCAATCCATAACATTTTCCGGAGCACGGTCCACTTTACATTCACTAGTCTTTACATTCAAAATAGGCCCCTCAAATCTCATATTGTCCTCATCTTTTCGGTACATTCGTTTGATAGTGTTCAAGAAATCATCCCAAGAATCCGTTCGGGCACAAGTTTTGGCAGGGAAACTGTCATGAAAGTTTTCTCCTCACCACGTTGTGTGATACGAATACGAAGTTAACGTACGTACGTCCGTACCATGTGGACTGCAGACGAAGTAAATCACGTGCGCTGCATGTGTGCACAATGTGTAATGGCAAATACACGTTGATTCGCCTCATGTTCGTCGTTGGGATTTCAATGCACAGCGCACTGCGAATATACATGGAGTGATACGAATTCGAACTACCGATGTTTTTATTTCGGTCGGCGTGGCAAAAGTATTCATGTGTTGTATCACCCTTAACTTTTTATTTTGATTGATTGAAAAATACTGTAGGGAAAACTTCGTTATGTTTATTTTTTTTAACAGTTTTTTGACTCGCCCGTCGGACTACGGAGAGGAGGGTTTTGACTCGCCCGCCGCTGTTTTCATTCGCATTTGGCGAGCGGGCGACCGCTAAGGAAAACCCCTGACTTGACTATAAAATGCATAATTCACCTCTTCACTTTCAATTCTCTCTTTAGTTATTTGATGGATGATGATGGAGTCTCACGTCGTTGCCGACGCACGAGTACCCAGCAATTCTGTCGAGTTATGTCCTATTGTGGGCTTTTGAATGGGAGTGGAGTCCAATTCTTGATCCACACACTCGACCACACATCAGGCAAGTGAAGCCTGGGATAGGGTCTTATGTGCTTATGCACTACAGCTTCAGATTGATTTAGGTACTCTTTTATACTCCTTGGTGGAGAGCGGCAATTGTAGTAAACTGTCTTGCCCAAGAACACAGTTACAAGATTCAATGCTCCTGAAGCATAATATGGCCCCATATGACAAAGCCAAGGGTTTGAACAAACTTTCCAAAAATAATGCCTCTTGCTTTCATGCTGAAGACCTACCTGATAACACATTCTCCGCTAGCCGTTGCTAGCAGGCCCTTGCCTGCCCAGACCATGTCACAGTCTGTCTCGGACGCTTTACCACTCAGCTTGACCTGTTCAACAGAAACAGAGAGTATTTATTTCCAGAGGCCAACTTTATAAACCTGTATAAGAATAAACAGTATATAAGTATAAAGTATGTCAGGATTATTCAACGCCAACTTCCCTAAATTTTTGAAAAGTTGTCAGGTGACCATCTCAGATTTGGATGAAACTTTTTTTTTAAACTACCTATGTGGTTCTTATAAATACACAAGGCTTATAGCAGTGACTTCAGTCTTTACTGGCTTCATCACTCATGATTAGCTGTGGAAGATGGTAAACAAAACGCGATGCTGCGCGGAAGAGGACAGTGTCTAGTTCGCGGGGCTTGACTTCGTAATGCACATAACACCATCTGACTGGACCACATCGTATGAATGGGCAATTTATAGATCATGTGCTGAAAGTGTTGTTTACTTAAACGCGATGTTTTTCAGCACCAATCCAATCTGTGAGCGCGTTCCTACAGCGCGCATGCTCAATAAGTGTTTACAATGTAACAAAACTGTCCCCATGTGTATGTACTTACACTTCGCACATACAGTTTGCAATGCACAACGCTCAACACTTTTTTCCGAAGCTGTTCTTCTGGAAATGAGATCGCTGAAGTTCGGCGACGTACTACCACATTTCTCGTGGCATGTCTTTAGAATTAATTGAGCTACAGAAATAAATTTGGTACCATAAGAAAGCTAAAGAGTTGTTCGTTTACATGGTATGTAAAACTCAAAAAGTCACCCGTGGGAGTTATTTTTCATTATGCATGGCAGGTCACATATATGGCCCTGGCCCATTTTTCACTTTTTCTATTGTGTTGGACAAGTTTATTGCATTTTTGAAGGCCTTTATCTCAAAATTGCAGCCAGATTCCAGCCTGAAAATTTTTTGATGCAGGGTCCAGCCTGAAAATTTTTTGATGCAGGGTGAATGGCATCCAATGTACATAATTTCACTGTCAGAAGTCCACTGCCATGTTCCTGATAGTGTGACTATCCATAGCCACAAAACAACATTTGATCTGGCTACAGCTTTTACCTTCATTGTCTCTGTGGTCTTGCCATCTGATGACAGACTGTACTGAGTTAGCATGAGTGACTGAGTGACTGCTACCAGGATATTACGATGTCTGTTGAACAGCAGCTTCTTAATTGGCCCATCTGTGGTCAGGACCTGGTTGCAGGCTCCTTTATCATCGATGAAATAGCCTTTGCCTAGAAACAATGAGCAAAATATCAACATTTGTTTTCGTGGAAAACTAAAAGTGTCCCTTTGCAGCCACCTTAGAGGTGTTATCTGTTATTCATAAATACCAAAGCAGTTTACCCATTCCTATTGGTTGAGAGTCCGTCACATGGCCGGTCTTAAACACTTTTTCAGTGTCACATTAACCTTGGATTCCTTTGAAATCCGGTCCCTTTTACCCTTTTATTAGTTGAACGTATACAATCCTCCGCTAAGCATGTGCAGTATTACCAATGAGTGCGTATTTCAGTCCAAAATTCGCACTACATCGGCACAGCTGCATTCTGCGCGTGCCCATCTCCATATAAGGAGTTGTTTACAACTACTCGCCAGAGGCACATACCATAACATAGTGAGAGGGGTGTTTCAAAAACTTGTTGAACAAAATTGTTGGAAACTTAACATTTTTGACTAGGTTTGACTGTGTGACCGAAAAGGTATAAAGCCGGTTTTAAAGGCTATGTTTAAGAACGGCTTGGAGTCTGGACGCTGATAATGACCCAAGCAGAAAATCAGCGTCCAGACTCCAAACCAGTCTTAAACATGTGTTTAAAACCGGCCAAGCACACAATTATTCTCTTATTTTGATTCAGTAAAAATAAGTACTATTTATATCACACTTCCAAGTAGTGACCATCAACGTAAATCAGTGTATTGCATACTTTTGGAAAAGCACATTTACCTTCAGAGCCGCCGACGTAGCAGGTTAAGCCATCCGTATTAGATCCAGGAAGCTTGAGGGAGCTCTTGTCCCACGCAAACATGTCTAGCGCCCTCTGGTCTCCGCTGACGGCTGCTCGGGCAAGGGCTGACGTCTCACTACAGGAAGACCAAACACAAGTACTTTTGGAGGATTTTCGAGGATTGAGGCTGTTTGCAAAGCGCACGATCACCCGCAAAGAGAGGGTAACAAATATGTGGCAAAGCAGCCTCCCCCGAGGAAGGGGGGGGGGGGGAGGCAAAGCCTTGTACTAGATATCATTCTCACTGCTTCTGGGTATTATGTGCAACATCTTGTAAAAGTGTTGGATTTTTTTTTAAACTGAGGCATTGGTCACCTCTAAGCCGAGCAAATTCGAGAAATAGCACATGATTTTGGCGAGTTAAGGCAGTATCAAATTCTACATGGGGGCAATGGAAGGATTTTTGTAGGATTAGGAATGTATCCTAGCCAAAAGAGCCCTCGGGCTAGGGTTAATGTTCACAATTCGCCCAAAAACAAATTGCCGCTTTTCAAGATGATGATTTTTTTTTGCTGATTACCCAAGTTTGGAATTGAAACCATAATTTAAATGTAAAAAGTGTAGAAACTAAAAGTACACGTATGATTGTGGTAACTAGCAAAAGTGCAAAACACAACACCAACATCATGCAATAAATGCAACTACCCAACAACAGTAATCATTTCTACTTGCGTTCATTAATAGTCAATACGAATAGGTGGCTCAGGCTGAAACATCATCCATTGGGAAATTGTGGTGACCTGGCGACTCTTATGTGATACGTAAAAACAGACACTAAGCAATTGGAAACACTCTTTGTCATGTACCATTTTTCTGCTTTCTGAACACCCTTCAAAGCTAGCCATTGAAGCATGCTGCTTGTGTCCCCAAGCAGGACACTTCACTGAAATTTCTCCTCTGCAAACCATGCCAGGAGAGAGGTACATGTATCTGTGATGGTCCACTGAGCGGACTTATTATGTTAACTTACGCAGAAATGTCTGTGTCGATGCCTGGCTGGAACACACACTGTGTTGGTACCTGGTTCAACTCTTCCTTGCACAGTGGGGTTGTTGTGAAGCGCCCTCTTGTGTCACATTTCCACATGATCACCAACCCCGTCTGTAGAACGGGTTAAATAACATGAAAATTGTCATTATCAGGAGCAACAGCCAGGAGATATACGTTATTTTAGGCTTACATGTAGTGAATCAAAAAAATTTGAATTAGTTTGATTCTGTCAAGGATAAATGATTTCCTCCAGAATCCATTCCAAATTAAATCAGCAAACTAGAATTGGGCAAACTCCATACCATCACTGAAACACTGAATGCAAGGTCATGAAAGGATGTAATCCCTCTCCTAAGAACTTTTTGGGGGCAATGGGGCTGTACCCATCACCCTTTGATGTACGATGTTTTCTTTGTTCTCCATAGTTATTTCAATGGGATTTTTATTCTGTACAGTAATTCTCCACGAGTTTTCTTCTAAACAGTACACAGCATGCACATGAAACTTGGAATAAACATCAAACCTGATCCCGAGGTGTGCATATTACTGTGACATCATGATGACGTCATCAGGTATCGAATTACAAGCAATTTTAGTTCAAAAAATGACCATCTTCTATCATTCATAACTCATAAATGATATGAACAATCACATTCAAACTTTGTGATCTGATAGACCATGTATTGGTTAACACTTTTTGTTTACCAATACTGTTTGGACACATTCACACAGAAAGCTTACCCTATCTGCCGTCAGTGCACGGCTCCCTGCATCGTTCCAGACTATCAAGCAGACCTCTCCTTTGTGTAGCTTGGGTGCTTCAAACAGCTCGTGGTGCTGCTCACTCCATATATGGATCTCGCCATTCTCCCAACCGACCGCGACCGACTGCTTGCTTGGGTTCCAGGCTAAGGCTGATGGGGAAAAGGACCGCTGGACATTGGAGTTCTCTATGGGCTCACCCTGTGTACAGACGTCAAGGGAATTTTGAAATAATGTTAAAGTACCATTTAGAGGGCATCTGCATCCAACTTGAGAGTAAACTACAGGGGATTCCACTTGCTGCACATGTGTGTGTGTACTTGTTCTACATTATCCCGAGGACAGACACACAAAGGGAGAACAACAGCTCCTTTCAGTCCTTGGGAGTTGGGTCTTTTGTTCAAAATGGTCCTCTGTAGCAGGTTTGTGTGCTTAGTCTATGGAACAGTGTTATATTACAGGGACGAAGGAAAACACAAAGAATTGTCCTCGGGAGTATAGTAAAACAAGAGTGTGTGTGTTGCAAATGTGTGTTACAAAACTGTGTTGCTGTGCTGCCAAATTGTGTTGCCAAACTGTCTTGCCACTGCCAACGTGTGTTGTCAACATGTGTTTACCAAACTGTGTTACCAAATTTTGACAATCTGTGTTGCAAAGCTGTGTTGCCAAGCTGTGTTAATTGCCAAACTGTGTTGCAAAACTGTGTTTCAAAACTGCGTTGCTAATCTGTGCTGCAAAACTGTGTTTCAAAACTGTGTTGCTAATCTGTGTTTCAAAACTGTGTTGCTAATCTGTGTTGAAAAACTGTGTTGCAAACAATTATGTGCTCAGCAAACCATTATGTGTCACAAGACTGTGTTTCCAACCTGTGTTGCAAAATGTAAATCTGTGTTGCAAAACTGTGTTGCAAACAATTATGTGTTCAGCAAACCATTATGTGTCACAAAACTGTGTTTCCAACCTGTGTTGCAAAATCATGTTGCAAAACTGTGTAGCAAAAATTGGATAAACAACTGCAATGTTTGTACATCAGAGAGAAGACTGTTGGGTTCGTTTATGTGCCAAGCTGTGTTGCCAAACTGTGTTGCCAAGTTGTGTTGCCAAACTATGTTGCCAAACTGTGTTGCAAAGCTGTGTTAATTGCCAAACTGTGTTGCAAAACTGTGTTGCCAATTTGTGTTGCAAAACTGCTCTGCAAAACTGTGTTGCAAACAATTATGTGTTGCAAACCATTATATGTTGCAAAACTGTAATAAACAACTGCAATATTTGAACATCAGAGAGAAGACTGTTGGGTTGGTTGATGTGCACGGTGCCCATAACAAAAAGGGAAACATACATCTAAAGGACCACACCATTAATACCTCTTCATTGTAAAGCTGAACGTAGCCACCCCCTACTTCGCCCCTCGTTGCCACAGCCAAGTACGGATGGGTGGGATGCCATGCAATGTCCACATTAGCCCCTGCAGCAGGAGGCTGCACACGATGGTCAAAATAGACTGTCATGTCTATGCAAGTGCACTATGCTAAAAAAAAAAGAGAAGAAGAAAAAAAGGCAGGTATGTCAGACAATCTTACATTTCTTAGAAATAGAAGATGGCTGCATTATCCTTGGCCCATGCCTTCAATACAAAATCTGGAGAAATTCTGACTTTTTAAAACTTTTGCATCTACATTTATATTTTACACGTTGACTTAAATACTCATGCATATGTATGTGTATGCACATAAAATGGACTTCCACAATTTCTTCTTTAATAACCAGTTCAATGCTAGTGTGAGGAGAGAAAAAGGACGATAATACTATTAAAAGGCAAGGGTTTTTTTCCCCTTTTATTTTTGGCGGAGAGAGGGAAAGGGTCTCCTTCTTTTTAAACCTGAGGTACTAAACCCCCTTTCATGTCTCTAACCCCAAAAATAAATGTTGTCCCTTTTAATTTTAAAACCTGTCAGGGGTCAAAATTTATTGAAAAAAGTGGCGTCAGGATGCAACATTCCAATCATCATGATCATATTGTTTTGAATGCGCTACTGAATAGTAATGTTTGTTTTTGGTGGGTTTTTTAATTAATAATAGAAACTTGATACATGATACTTGATGGAGTAATCCCTTTGCAGCCGGTGACAGCTAAACTGGGATGCTTAAACTAGAAACCTTAATTAAATTTAAACTTTAATTAAATTTAAAGACTAAAGTGTCCAAAACTAGAATGACAGACTGGCTCCGGTTCCCCAACACACGTATTGTCAATGTCCATTCGGACTGGTTCCTGCCTCCCACTATCTTGCCAATGACGGGTACATTCCTCAATCACGGAGACACCGCCGCACACGTACACAAGGATAAATTCATCGTGTTAATAAAAACAGTATTCATAATCAACACATTAAGTGTGATGAAGTAAAGTCTTACCTTTCTAAAGGCAGTCTCAACCCCGAAAAATTAGGCAGATTTTACCATTTCTTTTTGAAAACAATGAACGACGTCTGTGCACTCTCCGAACTGCTGTCTAGCATAGCAACACAAAATATGTTGTATGTCGGGGTCATAGGTCACTTTTGCAACGGCTGATGCATGTCTGTGTCTTGTATTGGTTTTTGACCGCTTGCGCTGTATTATGCTGGTGTTAACCAAATTTTCAACATAACAGTCGTCGAGCGCTAAAACGTGCACTAAACAACGCTTGCACAGTCGAGTCGCAGATCGGCCATCGCATAGGTTTTTCTGTGAAAGATTTCTTCCAACGAGGGTGAGTTTGATTGTTGATTACTAGTTTTCACTGCAATCAGTTGGGTTGTGTTAAAACTTAGCATTTAAACCCTTGAAATGTGAAGGAACTGCCTACATTGGTTTCGATCCAACTCTGACCCAAACCAAGTCGGACCCAAGCCAACTCGGACCCATGCCAACTCGGACCCACTACCAACTCGGACCCACGCCAACTCGGACCCACTACCAACTCGGATCCACAACCAACTCGGACCCACTACCAACTCGGACCCATGCATGACCAACTCGGACCCTACTCCTAGAACTATGAGGCTCCACGTAGTGGAGCCTCATAGGTTCAGAAGCCCGCAAAATTGTTGTCAGCACAAAACACTAATTAAGTACAAAAACGTCCATCCCAACCAGGCCGTATTTCACAGAACCGCTGCACAGTTTGCCCCTAAACTCCATACAATACCTCATGACATACTCACGTTATGTGCACCCAACAAACATCGGTGGATTCTGTCTGTTTTTCGGCAAAAATGATGAAAAATATGCCCTTTCTGCACTGAGCCAACCTAACACTTGAAACGAGCACGCGTACAGAATGATCGCAGTCATTTTCGGTTCGATCGCTCGGAGCGCGCCGCGCGGGGGGTATCCGGTTCGTTAGTAAAAACGTCATACACGCGCGCCCACCATTGATGACTAGCGCCTATTGGCTACAAACGCTCGAGATGCGTTAACTTCCGGTTCCAATCGTACAGAAAAGTGATGGAGGTGACGTCACACTAACGAACAGGATGGTGTAGGAGCGGAACGATAGTATGCACATGCGTACAAGTGCAAGTACGTACCCCCCGCGGCGCGCTCCGAGCGATCGAACCGAAAATGACTGCGATCATTCTGCAAGCGTGCTCGTTTCAAGTGTTAGGTTGGCTCAGTGCGGAAAGGGCATATTTTTCATCATTTTTGCCGAAAAACAGACAGAATCCACCGATGTTTGTTGGGTGCACATAACGTGAGTATGTCATGAGGTATTGTATGGAGTTTAGGGGCAAACTGTGCAGCGGTTCTGTGGAAAACGGCCTGGTTGGGATGGACGTTTTTGTACTTAATTAGTGTTTTGTGCTGACAACAATTTTGCGGGCTTCTGTACCTATGAGGCTCCACTACGTGGAGCCTCATAGTTCTAGGAGTACTCGGACCCATCGTTTACAATCATTTGACAGCGTTTTCAATCATTCGACAATTTCATAAAGTTTGTCCACTTATCATCTGTTAATACAGTTATGCTGTTAAGTATAAATTTTCATTGTAGTTGTCAGGTAAAATATCTGTATTGCAGCAGTTTGTCGTCGTAAAGCGCATTGAAATGCTATTTTGAAATGCGCTTTAAAAGTGTAATTAATTATTTATTTTTATTATTTGTTTCCATTGAAACATATTGCGCTTTAACCAAAAGTAATTAAAATTAAAGTTTAACCAATTATTCATTTTCATATTTTACATCGTTCACGCCATCTTGCTCAATTTAACATTTCATTTTTAATTCAAACCACATAAATTCAAAACAGATCTTCATAGAAAAATAAAATTGGAAAGTATGACATTGAAACATAAACACTTTCAAACATGACATTATTAATTCAATAAATATAAGTAAACATTATAAGTCATTAAATAAAATAAATAAGGCATAAAAACGAAGTCTATTCTAATCTCGGTAATCCTTACTTTTAGGACCCCGTTCCTATAAGGTTAAAAGACTCACCAAAACAGCTGACTAAATGACACTCAAAAGTGACATTCTGATGTTTCTTGACACATTTGAACAGTTGGCAATGACACCTTCTTTAATATAGCAGGTTTAATTTTGTATAAAGAGGGCAGGGCTTTGATTTATGAGGGGTTAAAGACGACAATGACAAACAGAAAATATATTTAAAAAGCAAGATGGCAAACTGCAAAAAAAGGCAGAAAAGTCACATTTTCTTTGAAAGTGCTTTCAAAATGACAACTAACATGAGTTTATCTGAGGAAAAATGACTGCTTTAGCCTGCAAAAGTCACTTCGGTACTGGACAGTCACCTGCAAAAGTCAGTTTTGAACAGAACTCGAAAAAATAGAGGTGTCCTAAAGATAAGGATTACCCTAATCTCTACATGTACATGTATTTAAAAAAAAAATAACCACATAAACACCATTGCATACACTGCAAGAAAAACGAAGGTTCCATATTGAACAAAAAAGGTTAGTCAAAAAAGTATAAAAAGTTACACAGTTAAAAAAACACACAATTCAAAGCCAGCATGTGAACTAAAAAAAAGATCAACTTATTAAAAACCCTACAATTATGAAATGTCAATCATCAAAAAGGAGTATTGGAGCTCTGGGAAGATTATCCTTCAATTAAGGCCTTACAGGTAGCTGCCTGTATACTATGATGTTCCATTGGGTAAAAAAGTTAATCAAAAAAGTATAAAAAGTTAAACAGATTCGTAAAAAAAAAAACAATTAAAAAAACTAACAATTACATGAAATGAAAGGCCTATTTCAAATTAATAACTTCCTCACTGAACAACATTTTTGTGACATATTGAAATCCTTCATTGAGTGTGATTTAATTTGGTTTATTATTTGGCACACACACAAAAAGCAGATGAAAAAGGAAAACATTGCACATAGATATCCATTTCTTCACGTGAATGAGTAATAAGAGAGCAAAATCAATGTAGTATAATCAAACAACAAAACTAAAAGCCCCATTCTGACCAATATAATTACAAAATATCTTCACTATATAAGCACTGTAACATTAAGATGACCTATAAATATAATCTCTGAAACTAATGATTAAGTCATTGTTGGGTCCGAGTTGGTCGTGCTTGGGTCCGAGTTGGTAGTGGGTCCGAGTTGGTCTTGGGTCCGAGTTGGTAGTGGGTCCGAGATGGTAGTGGGTCCGAGTTGGAGTGGGTCCGAGTTGGCGTGGGTCCGACTTGGCATGGGTCCGACTTGGTTTGGGTCCGAGTTGACCTGATGCCCCTACATTTGATTTGAGAGTTGTTGGCGGCTAACTTGGAAAAATGGGGGGGGGGGGCTGGACCGGCTACAGACCCCCCCCCCCCCTTCCTTCTAAGTTCTATCCAAACTATGTATGAAAATTAATGTTGTTTATTTGCCCTCAGTGTAAATTATGACATAATTTTTCCCCCCAAAATGGAAACAATTTTCGGCTTTAATTGTTGTTCAGCATGCCAGTTCAGTTCGGTATTCCAACTCAACTGCCTTAGTCATGTTAGTAGTGCCTAATACTAGTAATAATAATATGGGCACATCAAGATTTGACAATTTTTCTTTCGGGACAAACATTTCATCGTATGCGTTCAAAAGCGTAGCAGAGTACCAGCAAAATTAAAGAGATCGTCGTGTTCTAAAGTGACATTTTTCAAAAAACGTTTGGACATGCGATGTGTTTTAGGTGTCTTTATGGGTGTCCAAACGTTGTGCGAACGAAAGTTTCCATGTCTTTTCGATTGCATAAAAAATGGCACTGAATACAGATTCGGTTACCACGTCCCCCATAGCCTTGTGTGCATTTATCTGCCGCATTTATCCCGGAAAAAAATAATCATAGAATCTTGTTGTACACATGCGCAGTTGGAATAACGAACTGGCTAATATTAATTAAATTAATGTCTTTGATTTCTCTAGCAAACTAGCGGGAAGCCAGCCTGGTCGATATGACGTAGATGAGCAAATGCCAATCAGAGAAAAAACTTCTGTGAAAATAATACGGTCTACTGCCTTTCTGGGCCAAAATCACAAATTTTCCAAAACGTTTGTGATTAAAACTACATACATGTATGTATCATCCATTTACACTACCATGACAACTAATAGCTTCCATGCACCTCGATCGCTCAAGGTGACAGATCAGGCATTGCCGGCTATTGACTGCATGTCACTTTGTGGTTCCACAGCTATTCATGATTTATCACTTTGTGGTGCAACCAACAAGTTTTTCTTTTTCTTGTTCCCACAGGCCTTGTATTGTAAGTTTGTTACTGTCATCAATTCAAGATGCCACTTCTCCCCAGTAATAAATTCAACACAAAGAAGACGCCGCCCCGGCGATCGCTGTCACTCAACAACCTCAACAAGCTTGAGAGTTCCATCCGGGAGGAGGAGTATGGAGCGGACTATGGTCAACCTGCTATGCGCATCGCGGGCCAAGTCATTAAATTTGACTCTGAAAACGGCATCTGGATATCAGGTATGGTATCAACTCAGCTATAATTGATTCATTTGCAAGTCAAATCACAATGAGGGCACATGTAATAAACTAATTTGAATAGCTTGAGACTACATGACTTGTGATTACAGGACCTTTCATCAAACTGTCCAAAATCTCTATGTTGGACCCTGCAGTCTGGGAACTTCGTTCACACTAGCAAGAGTCCAACATGGTTCCTACAAGGGTCCGGGGTTCTACACAGTTCTGGTGCCCCAGCATTTAGTTCAATTCGGGCGATTCACAATGCAGTGCGCCACCAAGAGTTTGCCATGGAGAGTCCATTTTTCAAGTTAACGGTCGACAAAACATGCATGGTCCATTTGAATGAATCAGTAGACAACTTGAGCTAATATGTTGTACATTGGGGCATACAAAAAACACCATATTGATAAAAAGAAAAGAAAACAGCAAACAGATCCTCGACCCATAAGCTTTCGAAACTACTGACAGGAAAAACTAACAATTTCAAAGTTCCGCGACTAGAATTTGTCGACCATCTCCCACAATGCACTGGGAAAAATGAACACTCCGTGGCAAACTCTTGGTGGCGCACTGCATTGTGAATCGCCCGAATTTAATACCCTTCCGTAACGTCACACTATTGTTTTTTCTTGCCACTATTTTGCATTATTCAGCATCTGATGAATGGCCTAGGTGGGTGAAGCCACTTCATATAATTCAGTAATTTAACAGAATCACAGCAAGACACTTAATGCTTGTGTCATGTTTGTTCTCCTTTTTTCCCTTCAATTAACAAAATGGTTGCAGGAAAAATTGACATAGCAGGATTCGAACCAGGGACCTTTCAATCCATAGCTCATCTTGTTAACCAATGGGCCACTGCAGCAGCTTGACGACTACCATTCTTTTAAATGCTTGAAATGTAACTAATTCACTAAATAATAACAAAGATGTGACGTCATTGTTCTTTTTTCATAAATAAACAAACTTGATTTTCCCATTTTAACAAATTCAACAATGAAGATGTGCAAAGGCCTTCGTTCAAGCAATAAAGAGGAATTCTTGGAGGGTGTTAAGTGGGTAAATACACTCGGTAGCGTGCCGTTCGTAGGTGATGAGAACACCTACGAATGGCGCGCTCCTCGTGTATTATCCTTAACCAAAATTACCCTAAACCCACTTGCAGATTCTTTATTGATCAGTTGCTAGTAAAAACTTGTTTTTGCTCCCACATGTATTTAGGAGTATTTTGTTTTGTGTTCCCAACCCTACTTTTGATTTTGGAGTGCTTGCTGACACAATTGGATAAGGCTAGCGTCATTAAAAGGCATAGCTACGTTTAGACTCCGCTTGGTGGAGTGTCATGGCCAAGCGGTTAAGAGCACCGGACTCATGTTCTGGTGTTTCAGAGGCAACAGTGACGTGGGTTCGAGCCTGCCGGCGGACACTTGTACCCTTAAGCAAGGCGCTTAACCATTCTTGCTTCGTCCTTCAGATGGGACGTAAAGCCGTAGGTCCAGTGTGTTGTATAATGCATGTTAAAGAACCCAGTAACACTTGTCGCTAAGAGAAGGGGTTCGCCCGGTGTCCTGGCAGTGGCCGCAGCACCTTATAAACCCTTTAAAAAGGTGCTACATAATGGGTCTCATATTTCTCATGTACTTCATTCATCTAATAATAGACATAACTTCCAGTGCCTTGAGTACCTATACTCCGTTGCGATAATGCCTGAATAGGTTTCTGTAACGTAATCATACAGATACAGATACAAATATGGAACGCATATGATTTGCAATTTTTCTGCTTAGAATTTTCAGATTACAAACCGTTACCTTGATTTCTATTCTTTGTTTCAGAAACGTCGGGCAGCAGTGGCGGCGTCAGTCAGAGGGAATTCATCAAACTACGCAAGCAGAATGAGTCACTAGCCGAGGAGAATAACCTGCTCAAGCTGAAGATAGAAATGCTGCTGGACATGGTATGTTACAAGTTTTAACTCAAAAAGCAACATGACATCGACTTCGAGCTGTGATATTGGAAGGCTAGTGTTGGCCCAAGGCTTGATTTGAATTTTGTTCCCTTAACTCTAACCCTCCAGGGTATTTAGGCTAGAAACCCTGCCAAATGCAGCAACATGCAACACTTGTCTAAGTGACAAGCCTGCCCAGTGCAGCAAGATCCATAAGGTCAAAAGTCTCAAGGCCAAACTGCCTCAGAATCTGTGGTCACCGAATGCAGCAGGATACAACTGTGGCGTTGTTCAATGGGACTAGCTGCCATTGTCTCAGGACTGGCAGTTTATGCACTTGTGTTGGTAGCTGAATGCATCAAAGTGCACCAGACTTTTCCACCTGATGCACTGTGTTGCGTCTGGCAGGGTTAGGGTTAATACTGATGATCTCGATCCCTGGTAAGCCTGATCAAGCCACTGCGGCAGTAGAGGGCGCTATCATCAAGATGAATCAAATTCACTCTTTGGAATTTGGAACTCGAACCAAAAAAAAAAAAGAGACTTGCCTTGTTTTGTTCTGTAGAATGGTCATGGTAGAGAAATCATTTTTTTCCTCTGTGATTCAGATTGAAATTTGATGGTTATTTTTATTTCCCAACCTCAGCTGGCTGAGACCACTGCCGAGAAGCAGGTGTTGGAACGAGACGTGGGACAGTACGGATCTAGAAGCCAAAAGTCAAGCAGGAAGAGATGATATCCTCGATTTGAGAACAAGGACTACAGACCATTATCATGTAGCAGCCATTTGGAGTTTCCCATTCAAATCAACGTAACCAAAGCGAGGCTGGACGGAAAAATAGTCTGGGTCCTTTTTGTACAAAAAACATTATCACTCAGTACTGTTATTGGATACAGGGAACATGACTGAAATGGTGGCAGCATACAACTCAACCAGGCCAATCGTGAATGCTTAACTGGCCTATGCACACTACGAGAATAAACTCATCACTAGGTTGTTGTAGTACTACTACATGTACTTCAGTAGTATTCATGTGCTATTAGTACTTTAAATGCTTAAACCTAAAGTTTTTGCAATTTAATTGGCCGAGAGGGAGTCACATGGCATTTGCTATTTTTACTATCTTGCTAGCTGTGCACAGCCAAAAGATTATAAAACGTCTGCCTCGGTCTGAAACAAGTACTATTCGCATTGACACCAACGTAGCAACCAGAGGTCAGTGTGCACATGCATACGGTGGCGCGTATTGTTTCCACGCACTAGAAAGTTTGGCTCACTAAAAACTTGACAGGAGGTTCTTAATGAGGACTACTTTCAGAAAATAGATGAGTTTGGTGACAGTACTGAAATGTTTAATAAAGATGCGCGACCGTTCAGGTCACTGCAGTGTACACAATCAATCAGGTCCATAGACGTCCTCACACAAAAATGGATATCATGAATTATTCTGTAAATTACACACCAATATTGAGATAGCTAGTAAGAAGGTACCTCAGGGAAAAGCTGTGCTGTCGATAAATACTCAATCAGTAAAAACGATCCAAATTTGGAGGAAAAGTGAGTGTGACATCCACACAACTTTGTCGTTGTATTCACACATTGCAAAGGGTATACGTGTATAGCATCTGAGAATAACACGTAATACAGACCACTGTATTGTGTATATCACACTGTTATTGCCATTGATCGACCAATCAGGATCAAGTAGTCGAGTTTGCTTGACGACAAAGTGCGTTCACTTAAAGGTGCTCATTCCTGATAGTTTGAAATTGCTGTATGAAAACAATTCTTGTATAAAATATGTAAATAAACAATTTGTAGAGACAGTTGTAAATAAAATTTGTTGAAACATATTTTATTGTCAGACATTCTCTTCTTTACAAAGTGTCAATTCCTTCATAGAAGCACAACTCAGGCTTGTGAAATACTGCAAGTAAAACAATGACATAGAAACCATATAAAAGAATGCGTCCATTACTGAGATTATGTACTGAGCATGTGTGTTGCTGATGAACATTTCCCCTAAACATGCCCTGGACAACCGCAGAGCTTATTGGGGACAAAGTGAATGATTCTACCAGCAACTTGTCCGGAAGTCGTCCTGGATATGGATTGAGACGGTTCTTAATTAACAAAATAATATACAAATAATGAATGTTTATGAGTGCAATGGTAAGAATAATTTCATGAGGTGACAGATGAAATGTTTCATTCCACGAGGCGAAGCCGAGTGGAATGAAACATTTTATCTGTCATCGAATGAAATTATTCTTTCCATTGCACGAACGTGAAACATTCAATATTTGTTTTACATAACACATGAATAAATCCTTGTCATCTGATTGGTTGACTTTTAATAGCCAATTTACTTAGGTTAAAAACTGTTTAAAAGTTTGACAAGTTCATCATATTTAATTTATGCAAACTGTTCAACAGGTTGAGAACCATCATATTCAATTTATCTCGATTTAAAACAGCGCCACCACCGGCAGCAGTGACACCGTGCAATGGAAGTTCTATTCACCGTGCAATAGAACTTCCATTGCACTGTGCGCTGCGTGTCGCGCGCGCGCCGTGCGTTGGGACGAATCATTCAATGACGTGATCAACAATCCACCAATCAGATGACGGGGATTTATTCAGGTGTTGTATAATGATTGATGTATGACCAGAATAAGAAATATGGCCAGAATGGGACTTGGGTAAAAAACGACAGTGCAGGAAAAGGGCAGAAAGCACACGTAACTGTTTGTCATGATAGAATCAAAGTGGGGCACATATTCCATTGGGGATTGGAAAGACATTGTGACATATCGTCACCGTTTTCACGAAGAGCCACATATGTCGATTTTGAAGAAAAATTGTTTGAGATAATCGCAAAAGAAGTTTCTCATATTTTAAAACTGCAAACAATACCACTTTGCAACAACTTTGTGAAGCAAGGAAACCATCACACTATTCTGTGTGAGCTGAATTTTTACATGAACCCAGTAATTAGACTTAATGCAGCAGTTAAGTAGTGAAAATTAATTAGTAAAGATATGTGGCTCTTCGTGAAAATGCAAATTCAGGTTTCCGACAAATTGGCCCTTTCTGTTCAATGTGTATTTCCATAGGCGCGCGTGAGTATGCGCGCGCAGCTGAAAATGTAACAAAGATATGTGGCTCTTCGTGAAAACGCAAATCTCATTTGACCTACTTTTACGTATTTCTGTGCAATGGGTTTTGTACGCGTTCAAAGGGCCAAAATGTATGTGGCTCTTCGTGAAAACGCAAAATTCATTTATCGAGATTTTGGCCCCTTGCAACATTAATGTAACTTGGAAATTAATGATGTTTTGCTTACAAAAACATGTCAAAATGATTAAGTACATTGTTTTAAAGCAAAATATTGAAAAAAAATCAAAATCGAAAAAATGGTAATTTTTGACATTATGTGGCTCTTCGTGAAAACGGTGACATATCAGACCACCAGAAGGTACTTCGTATCTCTGCCAATTGTTTTGTCTACATAAAAAAGTGATACACTTTATTGAAGCTTATTCACAAAACCATTTTAAAATACCAAGTTATACAAATCTGCTTCCCAACACCCTCATAAAAGCAGTCGTTTTGTACATCTGCATCATCCGTTGCACTATTTGATACAAATAATCTTAATGTTGAACAAAGAAGTTGACTGGAGCAAGGTTTGAACCTGCAACCTCCGGATTGCTGTTTCGGTACTCTACCAACTGAGCTATCCAGCCCTATGTTGGTGGTTGCCCATTTTGTCAATGTCTTTGTTCAAGGGGTGCTGTACATGTGTGTCTGGTTCTCTGACCCAAAAGATTCTGATTATTTCCGACAAATCTTAGGTCAGGTAGGCGCCACAGCACACGAGAACAACAAGCAGGATCCTGGCCATTTCTAAAAAGTCTTGAGGTTTGCTGGGCAGGGCTTTATCGCATTAAGATCTCTTTTTGAATGGGACGTTTACCTGACCTATTTGTCAGGAGATTGCGAAGTCAGGGAACCAGACTCTACAGATATCAACTAGAAGCACGGTCCATAACGGTGTATATATTGCCTTCTATCTTGGCATGCCTGGTATGGGTGGCGTCATTCCTCCTGGTATACCCCCTGGACCAGACATAGCAGCATTGGGCCCAAGAAGAATCTGTTGAATGTTGACAAAAAAACACAGATAATAACTGTTCATTCTTTGTTGATTTCTCAAGGGAAAAACCCATCTCTATTAACTCTATTGACCCTAAACCGAACTCAACCCATCAAAGTCTAACAGCAGGTGTTGTTAAAATCTGTTGGAATGGGTACAGAACCCCTACACTGATGGTCAACCACTGGGTTTGGCATTCATCCAGAAACTAAGTCCAACAGTGTGTGTGTGCAATTTCCCATGTGGGTGTTGGAATTTGCCAGAACGGGTATGGTTCCTAGTAAATTATGCTAGGGAGTTGGGGTTAAGGAAATCAAATATTATAAGGGAATAGAATCGGATACAAAATTATTTTAATTGAAAATTTCACATCATCTGAAATTGGATTTTGTTTTCTTTTGGAAAAATATTAAAAGGCAAGAAAATAAACACATTACATAGTAGCACCCCCGCCCACTATGAAGTTTGTTCAGAAACAGTCAGTGGTACTTCTTTACTGCTTGTAAGCACTCTGTCGGAAGCATACTAAGCGAGCATGCACTGGTACAGCCTGACTGTCTCTGGCGCTAACAGCGCTCCTCTTTAAGTTTAACAACTCATGCTTTGTACAGTTGCTTATTAAGGCCCGAGTGCAGTTGCCTCCTCAATCACTAAAAATATCATGGTAGCAAATTTGATAACTGGAAAATGTCTGATTTCTCACTTCGTGAAAATCGTTCTGGCTTTAGAACATCATTAACCCTAACTCCCTAGGTTGATTTAATACTAGGAACCTTCCTCATCCTTGCAAATCCCAACACCATATGGTAAACTGTGCACAAAGACAGTTGGACTCTGTTTATTTGTGGTATGCCTAATCCCACGCAAAGCACAGTCAGTTTACTAGTGCAGTACTCATCCTAACAGATTCCAACACACCCTGTGTTGGAGTTTGGCTGGTTGGGGATCGTTAGGGTCAATGTGATCTACAACTATTTGCGGAAAGATTTCCATATACGAAGTTCACTCAACACCCTGTGTACAAACCCTATGAGATTGGACTGAAAAATTCTAAGTGTTTTCTAAGAAAATGCTTGTATTTTCTCACTGCTCAAACTGACTTTGATGACATGAAATTGCTATCTGGGGGCTTGTTAGTCAATTCAGAGGACTTCGTATATGGAAATCTTTCCCTATTTGCCATTACTGCAGTTGTTCAGTTACTTAAAAAAACATTTCCAGGTGAATTTTCTCTCTGATTCTGGGATCTTTTTTTTTTTTAACACGCTTCAACTTTCTCCGATCATTGAAGTCCAAAGTTGCATGACTCCCATCTTCTGAATACATAGTCGCAATAATGATGCAAGCATGGCACCAGGGCCCAATGTCATGGCTCTGCTTACCGTTAGCGAAAAATCCCTGCATAGCAGAAAATTCCGTGCTAACGGTTAGCCAATTTCAAAGGTTAGCAAGGAATTTGGGCTTCTGCGCTTGCGTACATCCCATAACTAAGGATTCTGTGCTTACAGGTTTAGCACAGAATTTTTCTGCTAGCTCGGTTAGCACAAAATGGTGATCGTTAGCACGGAATTTTGTGGTTCGCAGAGCCATGAAATGTGGGCCCAGATGGCAAGCCGTGAATACATGCTTGCCATTCACCGTTGCTCTCTGTTGATGCACACACCACTCACCTGTCGCTGTTTCTGCAGCTGCGCTTGCTCCATCTGGGCCATCTCCGTCTCAAAGATGATTGGCAGCATCAGGACCATGAAGGACGTGCTGGCAATCCACAGGGCGCTGCGACTGAAGTTGTACGACACCTTGACGCCCGTCAAGGAAGCACTCGTCAGGAGGGACACCCCGTTGCGCACGCTCTGCGGAACCATCTCGGTCAGGCCATACAGTCGCTCTGCTAGAGTTTCATCCTCAAAGTCCTATGCAAAAAAAAGCAGGGAAAGTAATCAATAAGGGAATAAATGTGTGCTCTGGAGGCTTTTATCACTCTGTTTAAGACCACTTAGAGTCTGGGTGCTGATAATTACCCGAGCCGGAGGCGAGGGTAATTATCAACACCCAGACTCTAAGTGGTCTTAAACAGAGTGATAAATACCGATTGAGCACATATTTATTCCCATTCATAAATACCTTTTTGGTAAAAAAATATCAAATAATTCGTTCAAAAAATACCGATTTGTTCAACAAGTTCACTTCATGCTTTTTGAAACATCCCTCTAGCAAAATAATGGAGTGTTCAGCTGGCGAGTAAGATGTAAACAGCCATTTTATGGAGATTGGCGCGCGCGTGGCATGTTCTGAGCGATGTCGCGCAGAACGCACCTGGCGCGTTGCGTTTTGAATTTAGAACTATAAAATTCTGACTCGCTGGTAGAGTTGCGCATGCCTACGTGAGGATTGTGAACGTTCAACCAATGAAACGGTAAGAGGCACTGGATTTTTAGGGGTCTACATTTTATTGCGACACTGGAAAAGTGTTTAAGACCAGCTAGCCATGTCTTTATCATCCGTTTAAGACCTGCCACGTGACGGGCTCTCGACCAATAGGAATGGCTAAACTGTCTGAGGTATTTATGAATGGGATTTAAAACATTTGGAAACACAAATTGTCAATGCAAAAAAAAGACTCCTGTAAAATTGAATTGAGACCTCAAACTAAGCTGTAGTACCCGAATTCCTAGATATTTCTTTTGGCACAGTCAGCTGACAGTTGATTGATGCAGTACTGATGCGGTGTTGGACTGGTTGTTTCAGGTGCCAGTCTATTTTCTTGTATTGCAGGTTTTCAATACACTTACCTTAAGTTTTGGGACTCTCATACACAGTATTGAGAGTCCCAAATTTTCGGACTATTTTATAACATGACAATGACAACGACAAAATGCAACACGAAAATAAAGATTACCGCGATGTACCGTGAGCGTGCAAGGCCCGCTGGATCGCACCAACCATCAACCGCATACGAAAATTGTTATTTCTACCCCTAACGTTAGAACTCAGAAAACTGTTTAAAATTACAAAAAAGGTTTCATTTAACATGTTTAATACTCATATTATGGCAATTGTGTAGTGTAGGGCCCCTGTTTAGATTCGATAAAATTAGAGTCAAGGGTGTTTTTTACAGTGTTGTAGTCGAGTACTTTTCTGAGTACTGAGTACTTCTACTGCAGAGTACTTAGGTTGCTGAGTCTGAGTACTTGTACCTCCGAGTACAAGTACAGGTCTCCGAGTACGAGTACTTGTACTTCCGAGTACGAGTACTTGTACTCCCGAGTACAAGTGCGAGTACAAGTACTTGTATTTCCGAATACGGCCATACAGCAAATGGTTCATTGTGCGTAATTGGCCCAGGCCCAGTCAGACCGACAGACCCACTCACGGCTAGCTGTTTGCGTTTGTCTGGACGTACACAGAGGAAAATCAGTAAACTTTGATTTCTCCACAAGCTAATCAACCATTTCAAACTGAAAGTAACGATAAAATAAGGCCGTGGTAAGTCAAGCTATACCATTTTTTCCACCGAGTACTGCTATTGGAGTAAGAGTACTTTGATGATCGAGTACAGTCAGTTCGAGTAAGAGTAGGCCTACTTTGGCATTCGAGTAAGAGTACGAGTACTCAAAAAGTCCTTGAGTAGTACTGAATCGCATAGTCGGTTGGTGCTGTGCGATTCAGTACACCTTGCGTATTCACGGTACATGCATCACGTGGTGATTGTCATCTTTATTTTCCTGTTGCGTTTTGTTGTTGTCATTGTCATTTTACCTCCAAATTTCCCTCAAAAATTCAAAACCCTGCCCTTTTATCTATGACATACCTGTATTTTTAAATGGTCATTTTTTTTTTAATGATAAAACAACACCCTTGACTCTAAATCGATCGAAGGTACTAATGGCCCTACACGATCGCCTGACTAGTTGGTGACATTAATAACAACATACAGGTATGTCATAGATAAAGGGTAGTCCGAGTAACTGGGACCCAACTTATCGCCTTTTTTAACATTCGGACATGGTCTGGCGATAGCAGGGCGCAAGCTAATCCTTATAATATGCCGAGCAACACAATTCTGTCATTGACCCAAAAACCCAACATTGCCCAACAAAACATTAGATTTCACCCTCAAAACGGCCTCCAAATTCAAATTACTAGATACGCCACCTGAGGTACAAGTAGACCATATCCGAATGTTAAAAAGGCGATAAGTTGGGTCCAAGTTTAATACTCGGACTATATTGAGAGAAGTCTGCTCTAGGTTGAAATGTCAATTTTTGAGTAATAAAAACACCACTGACACTAATTTTATCAATACCAAACTAAACAGGAGCCCTGGCCCTATAGTACCTACACCTCAGCGTTAACATCCAGAAGTGGACTTTGCTGAGTACCCGCGTAGATGTAGATGTAGACTACACGATGGAAAACCTACACGATCGCCTATACTTGTCCCATCACCACTTCGCCCCATCACAATGGGCGCAAAATGGGGCAATATATGACTGACACCCGGCGTCCAAAGTTACCTTCAATTTTGGGCTACAGTTTTAATTGGGTTTCCCGAGCTTTTACTAAGCACTAGCTTCACAAAGTATAACAATGGCAATATAGCATTATACTTACATCATCTGCTGGCTCGATGGCTTTGACACTTTTGTCAGAATCTGCCATATTTTGGGGGGTTTATAACCAAACCTACGTAGGCCTACTTCTTTACGTATGGAGCTAACTCGCGTGTACATTATGCATGTATGCACATGTGCAACACATGTTTGTGTATTGAGGGCGCACTACTGTTTAGGCCGCACGTGGTTATTTTGGCGGACGTCGCGTGCAATTAGTTCAAGTATTTTTGTCTGTATCTGTATCTGTATCAGTTGCTCCAGCTAAACGGTAGAATCCGCATCCCGCTAGAGTTGGGGCGGCTGTGCTGGAGCTAGTTGACTTGAGTTTTTGTTCCCTCCCCGATAGGCCGATGACGTGGTCTACTAAGGCTTGTTTAAACTGGTTTAAGTCGGGTATGGTGGTGATAGTGTTTGGCAGGTCGTTCCAGATGGGGATCGTTGACGGGTAGAAACTGGTGCTGTAGAGCTTGGATTTAATTATATTAGCGTTGGGTCGGTGGTATGAAAACTGGTGCGAGCTCCTAAGACTTTTTGTTTTGGGCCTAAGTTCGTGTTTGACTTCAACGAGGTTGTGAGAGATCTTGTACATCATGATTAGTCTAGCTATGGAGCGACGTGTTTCTAGTAGAGGGCAACCAAGCTGGTTCAACATATCTGTGACACTGGCAAGCCTGGTGAAGTTGTTACAACACATCCTGGCAGCGTATCTCTGGATACCTTCAAGTTGATTTTTTTCTTCCTCAGTGAAGGTGGCCCAGCCGCAGACACCATACTCTAGTTTTGGGCGGGCGGGCGAGAGACTGGTAAAGTTGGGATTTAACCTTTCTGCTACAGGATTTGAAGTTTCTTCTGATGATGCCAATATGATCTGCCTAGCGTTGTTGGTAATTTTGTTGATGTGAGACGACCAGCTACAGTCAGCACTCAGGATGAGGCCAAGATATGTATAAGCTTAGGCTTTTTTCCTGATCCCCCATCTGTCACCATTTACGTTTAATTGATCAAAGTGTTGTACATGTATTAGTATTCTATTAAGTTTAGTTATTGTTGTAGTAAATAATCTGTTGCATTTGCATTATATTAATTTGTGACAAATGGAAATAAAACAATACAATACAATACAATATGGGTGATTGGTAGTAGTTTGGAGAGGTCTCTGGTTGATTTTATACGTACTGATAAGTGGTTCTTTTTTGGTGGTGATATGCATGACAAAGCATTTGTCTGAATTGAATTTCATTTCCCATTCACTCTCCTTGCTTATTATGAATGTTATCTGGTCCCGAAGCCTTGGAGGGGTTCAAATCATGAAGTTTCTCGATACCCTCAGCCACAATCTCAAGTGATTCAATGTCTGGAACAGACTGCTGTAGATTAGGGAGGTTGGTTCTTGGTTCTTGGTTGGTTCTTCTCCTAAATACTCCACGTGGGAGTTTATACAGGAGGGCAGAAACACCGGGGCAAACCCCTTCTCTTAGCGATAAATGTTTACTGGGTTCTTTTACGTGCATTTATACAACACACGGGACCTACGGCTTAACGTCCCATCCGAAGGACGAAGCAATAATGGTTAAGTGCCTTGCTTAAGAGCACAAGTGTCCGCCGGCGGGCTCGAACCCACGTCACTGTTGCCTCTGAAACACCAGAACGTGAGTCCGGTGTTCTTAACCGCTAGGCCATCACACTCCATGTGGTTGGATGTGTTTTCCTTGGTGAAAACTGATTTGAAGAAGGAGTTGAGGATGTTTGCCTTCCCAACTTGGTCTGAAACGGTGTCAGTGCCATTCTTCAGCGGGACGCCTACATTGTCAGTTCGTTTTGATTTGACATATTTCCAGAACTTTTTTGGGTTGTGTTGGAGATCTTCCTCAAGCATATTGGAGATATATTGCTGGTGAGCTCTGTTGAGGTTTCTTTTATACATTTTCCGGGCGCTTCTGAACAGTTTGGAGTCCTCAGCAGAGTTAGTTTTCTTTTGTTTATTATACATACGTTGAAGCTTTCTGCTTTGACGACGGAGCGCAGGAGAAAACCATGGCAAGTTAGATCTCGACCATCTCGTAGAAGAGTACTTGGATGGAATGAACTTTTCAGTAAGTGCGTTGAGGGTGTCCCTCAGAAGAATCCAATTTTCATTAACTGTCCTTAGATTCAATTCATGGAGGAAATTTTCACCAAAGTTCTTCAAATCATTACGGAGGTCTTCAAACTTCCCTTTTTTGTACAGGAAGAATTTGCGACGAACTGGTTTGGCCGAAGAGTTACACATCCAGCGTAAATCAGAATTTTCACCATGCTGTGATCTTCACAACCAAGAAGCACCCTGGTGGATTCAACGATGGTGGGGTTGTTTGTCATAAACAAGTCAAGAATACTTTCCTTCCGGGTGGGCTCAAAAACAAATTGGTCCAAGTTGAAGGAGTTACCAATCATGTCATGCGAGCTACGTGCATCGTGTATTCCTCTTTCAATCTCTTTGCAAGTGATGTTCATCGTTCTGCTTGTGTGGTGAATTTCTCTTGATATACCAGCTTTATGCATGATACCTTTTCGATTTTCGCAATGCATTAATTCTGTAATATAGGCCTACGGACAAACAAACCAAAGCCAGACGCTAGTGATCAAGATCGAGCGACAGTAGTCTTGGCCCAGGACGTCAGTGATCAAGAGACCGATAGTAGAAATGTTCGGTGGCGATATTTTACGTTCTCTCACTAATGTCTTGGTCATTTGTGCAGACATGGTGACCAAGAGTCTGCCTTACTCTTTCTTTGTCACCGTTGAGGGGAACTTAATTACGTGCGTGTGTGGATTCCATACAGGATATTGCCATACAGAAACATTCAAGAGGTAAACAGCACATCAACACATTGTCTGGTGTATATGTACCCCTACAACACTAAGAAAGAGTTAGGCAGATATGTTTGCCATTGTAAACCTTGGGCGCATACAAGGATATCAAGCCGCAAGTGTTTGTGCTCATTCCAAAGGAAACTAGTGACGGTCAAACAATATGTTGTGTTCCAAATGAAACCAATTCACACTTCATGCCTTTTTTTTACCATCCAGGAACCAACAAGACAATATACTGGTAGCTACATTCCAATCTTGATTACACATACGTGCATCTCTGGCACATATCTACAATGAGTTCCACCAGCGAAATCACCATCAAGCAAGAGGTTCAACCGGAGCCCAAAGTCGTCAAGGAAAGGAAGCAAAGGCATCATTCAAGCCACATCAAAGGAACGACATTTGCTCGCGAGAGTCATGGAAAAGAATTATCTACAAGTGATAACCGGCTTCAAAGACAACAGCGGGTCCATGAGAAAGCATTCATTTGTGATATTTGTGGCAAGTGCTTCTCAGCGAAGAATAGCCTAATACAGCATGACAGGTTCCACACCAACGCGAAACCATTTGTTTGTGACATTTGTGGCTGGGCATTCTCAGAAAGTAACCTACTAAATCATCAGAGGGTCCACACAAATGAGAGACCGTTCGTTTGTGACATCTGTGGCAGGTGCTTCTCGCGAAGTGGTAGCCTAACAAAACATCGGAGGGTCCATGCTAATGAGAAACCATTTGTTTGTAACATGTGGCAAGGGCTTCTCGCAAAGTAGTGGCCTTATACAACATCGGAGCATTTCCAATTTTGTTAGGAAATACTTAGAAAATTGTCTCGACTCTCCATAGACTTTCTACACAATCACGGAAGTGGCGTCAGGTTGCAACATTCCTTCCTTTTGATCACCATATTTGCAATGACTTTCTTTTATTGGGATGATAATATGAAGAAACAAGTCAGGTGGTTTACAAACACAAACGCCCCGTAACCGTGACTGTTCCCATGACATAACACCACTCTTTTAACATCAACTTACATGTACCTTGGTCACATGGAACGTTCATTGACAGCATTAGTGTTTTCTGTAGGTTTTATATGAATAAATCCTATGATCTCAGAATAAATATAAGATTTCTATTGTTTTAGCCACTGTGACCTTGACCTTTCGACCTCCAATGCAATAGGCTTCTTCGGATTACCAAGAACAATCCACATACAAATTTGAAGTTCACATGTAAAGTATTTCTCAAGTTATCGCGCTGACAAAATTTCTTTTGTTTTAGCCACTGTGACCTTGACCCTTGACCTTTCGGCCCCAAATGCAATAGGCTTCTTAAGATTGCCAAGGACAATCCACAAACCAAATTTGAAGTTCACATGTAAAGTATTTCTCAAGTTATTGCGCTGATATTTCTTTTGTTATAGCCACTGTGACCTTGACCTTTCGGCCCCAAATGCAATCTAGGCTTCTTAGGATTACCAAGAACAATACACAAACCAAATTTGAAGTTCATATGTAAAGTATTTCTCAAGTTATCGCGCTGATATTTCTTTTGTTTTAGCCACTGTGACCTTGACCCTTGACCTTTCGGCCCCAAATGCAATAGGCTTCTTAGGATTACCAAGAACAATATACAAACCAAATTTGAAGTTCATATGTTAAGTATTTCTCGAGTTATCACGCTGACAAGATTTATCCGGACACACCCACCCACGGAAGGACAAGGTGGAAACAGTATGCCCCTTCGGCTTCGCCGCGGGGCATAAAAAGTGGCGTCAGGTTGCAACATTATTTCCAAACAAAACTCACTCTACACAGATCTTTTTCCTGGTTCTGTTTTCAACGTTTGTTTATTCCCTCAACTGTTCATATGGTCTAACATGGCGGCCCATCTTTGCTTTTATTAAACAAGTGTACAATTTTATGGGTTTTCCCTTTATAAAGTTGTTGCATTCTGCTAGCCCCCCCCCCCCCCCCCCCCCCCCCGCCCTGTCGGCTCCCTGTCTTGTTAAGTTATTGAAGGAGTATCGAATCAGAAAAAGAAACCCAGCATTTTTCCTCCGACGTGCTTCCGTCTCGCCTCTTCGTGATCCATGATGCCACTGGATGTTGTGAGGACGACATATCTAGAAGAAAAATGAAGAAAGGAAAACTGTGTTACTGGATGGCTTCATTAAGTGCAACAGCAAGTCAAAATCAGTCACAAACATACCTGTACATGTAGTTTTGCAGTAAATGCATGTCAAAGCATTAGCTATCTTATGGACCAATTAACATGCATTTTTTATTAATTTTTTTAACTGAAAACATACACTTTAACTCGACTGCTTTTCCAGATTACATATACATGAACAAGTTGGGTTTGAACTTTTGACCTTTGGACCTTGTATCGAGTTCGTTAGTGACTTCGTCATACGCGTGCGCACCACTGATTACTAGCGCCCATTGGATAAACACTCAAGTTGCGTGAATTTCCGGTTACAATGGTTCAAATGCTACTTAATGTGCAGCGGGCGTAGTTTAAACTGATGTGATGTCACAATACTGAACCGGATACCGACAACTTGTAACCAGACTTGTGATGGACAAAAAGCAATAAATGGGGTTTTTTTTGGGGGGGGGGGGTTGGGCTCACATTATCTTTAACTTTCACTGATCGGTCCATATACTCAAATGCAAATGAAAATGTACGACAGAATTGAAGAAACAGACTAAGGAACTGTTTAGATTACAGAGCCAAGTTATGCGACAGTAAACCAATCATCTTCAAGCTCCACACTCACCCAAACTGTCTGGACGGAAGCAGGCTACCGGTCCAGGTTTCTATCTCCTTCAGCGATACGTCAAAGCGAGGGCTGATGACACCACACTGAAATCACATACGAGACAACGTCAGTGTTGTAGTCGAGTACATTTCCATTATTACGAGTATGAGTACTTTGTCATAAGTACGAGTACAAGGCAATGTTTTTCCCTTGAGTTCGAGTATTAAACAAAAAATGTACTCGAGTACGAGTACAAGGAGGTTTTTTTTTAATGACAAAAGAGTGTTGGTCGATTTTGGAGGATGCATTGTGTCGACCTTGTAGGCTTTACCCAGCATTGTTTAGGCCAAAAAAAAAAGTCTCCGGTTTCTGGTATGGAGCTTGCCCCAAAAGTGGTGCGGCGACGCGGCTTTTTTTTTTTTTTTACCTGTTTTTTTTTTTTTTTTGGCTTCAAATGTCGGCTGATGACTGCAAATGGTGCCCGACTAAACTTAGTGCAAATATATGGGAGTCCAGGGAGGCCACATAAAGCTTATTCTCGATCATAACCCCATCTAAAAACACGTTAAAATTGTGCAGCAGCAGGATTCCAGTCAAACCAGTGAGTTTGGCGGTTTTGAGACATCATCTTGTATTGAAAAAAAAACTTTTTCATTTTGCCGACGCGCATGGCTGCGGCGATGCGCGCGCATACCAGAAACCGGAGACTTTTTTTTTTGGCCTTATGTTCAGTCATGCATTTATTGAAACCTGCATTATGCTCAAGAATGTCATCGGCACTGCCCAGGTATGAGAATGAATTTCAATAAAATTAAAAAACCCAGAAAAACACGAAACTTGTGCAAAAACACGAAAAAGTGTGAAATCAGGCCCCCAAAAAGCCCCAAAACAGGCTGAAAACAAATACAAACACGGAAATTTGGGTCAAAAAAAAAATAAAAAATTCCTGATTAAACATCAAGATTCTCATGCCTGCCCGACAGCTTCAACTTGTTCACAGTGATTGTTGAAGGATTTTGAAGGAATGTGGCAACGGTTGCCCTTCGACCGAATAAATTCAAGAAATAAGGGATGATTTTGGAGGATTGAGGCTGAATCCAATTTTCACATGATGGCAATTGGAGGATTTTGCAAGATTGAGGATGGTTCCAAGCCAAAAGGGCCTAGGGGGTTAGGGTTCAACAAATGCAGAAGCCTCCCAAACACCAGCAAATTGGCGCTTTTTCTGCATGTAGCTCTTAACTTTTTTTAAAAGTTGTTGTGGCAGAACTTATGCGAAGAAGTGTACGAGTACTATAACACTAGAAAACTTTAACTCAAGTAAATGTGATGTGATCAAGCTAAATGAGTCGTTTGTCAACCCCGGTCAAAAATAATTTTTATTACAGATTTTAAAAGGGCACAATCTCGGCATTACTACTATGAAACCGCATGCTGATACCATCTTTAGTTCAATAAGTATAGAAGTGATGTGATGAAGTGGCCCTTTTTTGGCCTGTATCTCCAAATGAAAATTCCTGACAAACGACTTATGTAGCTTGATCCCATCACAAATATAGTCTGTGTCAATAAGGCCTTTTCACACTATCTCCGTTTCGAACCGTGTTGAAACCTACCCGGATCCAACCCGGTTCAGCCCGAGTATTTTTCGACACGGATCGGAGAGACGCGACGTTCACACTGTCCTTTACAGGAACGGCCGCTACGTGAACCGTGTAACGTTCAATCCGGCTACGGCCCCTGTGAATTCACACTACAAATTCTCGACACGGATCGCATTCGGCACAGGGCGCTGCGAGGATTTTCTCAATCCCATTATGCATTGCGACGCACGCGGCTGCTGCGCGCACAAGGCTTACGGACAGGCCGGTGTGCAGCGTGAATTTACTACTCTGTGAAATACGGACTCATTGGTAGTATTGCGCATGCCTATTAGGAGAAGGACCTGTCACGTGAAAGGGTTTGACCAATAATAAGAGAGTAAACGAATCCGATTTGGGAGTCCGATTTTTGTAAGACACCAGCGCAGCTGTGTGCAATATTTCCAAAATGGCTCCGGTCATTTCGTTAGACGATTCGTTCTATTTAACATTAGAAATGTACATTTTTGGGGTACATTTTGCGGACCTAATACAAGCCCAGACTCGGTAAAGGATGCTCCATACACCGATACATTATTGGATGATAATTAGGGAGCGATTGTTTCGGGATCGGTGTTTGTGACGGCAATAGTGGTGGAGGGAAATATTATGCACGGCGTGTCAGATTTTCGGTAAAATGTCGGCCTCAACTCAACACGGATCTGCCCTGAGTGACTCAATCCGGGGCGGTTCACACTATCATTTTCGACACGGTTCACGCCGAAAAATGCAATTTCGATCCGGGTTGAGATTTTCAACCCTGGTCCCTCCCAGGGTTGATTTCGATCCGGCTAGAGCACGCTACCCGGGTCGGAACCGGGTTGAAATTTTAGAAGTGGGAAAAGGGTTGAAAAAAATCTCGGGGTTGGAACCGGTTCCAACCCGGAGATTTTGGACAGTGTGAAAAGGCCTATAGTGGCATCATGCCAACAGACAACTGACAAGCTCAAAACAAACTTAAACATCATTCTCCAGTTATTTTTTCGCGTTCAACAGTAAAATGGCAACACGTTTGAATAAACCACTTATATTTCAAGAGATATAGCGATGTGGCATTGTCTACTGAGAACAATTCACATGGTTTTGAGAGGATTTGAACTAAAATTCTTGGAGTGGTTTGTGAATGCCATGCAAGCAAGGGGCTTCTCTAAGTTTCGGTGTGAAAGGCAACATTTTGTCAAAATGAAATGAATGAAACTGCATATTTAGAAAAAAAAATCCAATGATATTTTGATGAGAAAATGCAAATGGCAAGTTACACTGAAAGCACATTAATCCACGAGTCCCTGCACTGCGTCAAACCGCCCTCCCTTTTGCTCTCTGTACCGCTGGATATAATTATTGCGGGAGCACTCTATGGTTTAATAGATTCTTTAAGGAATAAACACAATGTAATATAATGCCAATGTAATATAATGTAGTACATTGTAATACAGTGTAATACAATGTAGTACACTGTAAAACAACTTTCTATAGGTTGTGCATATGGTTTAACATGGTGTGTCCTGGATGGTCTGCTTCGTGAACCACATGGGGCAAACATGTCAAATTGAGCATCTTCAGAATTGTTCTGCTGATTTTTCACAGATCCCAAGCACTCTATGGTTTTAAGGATTTCTTCAGGGAATAAATACAATGTAATGAAATGTAGTACATTGTAATACAATGTTGTACAGGTGCTATGGTGTGTCCTTGATGGTCCGCTTCAGAAAACACAGGGGGGCAAATGTTACAAAGTTCAACATTTTCAATTTTTTCTTCACAGAAAAGCCAGGTAACCATCAACGTACCTTGTTGAGACGCCCAGTCAGGTTGACCACAATCTTGCCTCCTCTGTGGTCATCGATGATCTCAAACTCACCGATGTAGCCTGTGACAAATAAAAAACAACAACATTCAGAGGAATTTAATACAGCCATTGAAGTACATATTTACTGCTTGGAAGGGCTACCAAAACAAATTAAAGAGAGAAACAAAGTTACTGCACTTTCTGCTTAACCACTTCAACGTTCCAGCCAGTATGCTCTGACCGTCTTCAGGAGAGTCAGACGGTCAGAGCATACTGACCGAAACGTCGAGTTTATACCTCTGGTTCTTTTCAGAACCACTATCTTAGTTGAGAAATTATTCGCACGTGGTGTTTCCGCAAACCTTTCAGTCATTAGTATCTCCACCATGCAAAGCCTAAATCTTACTCAAGACTTACAAGAGCAACACTCTACCCCATCCAAGAACTTACCATGCTTCATCATGACCATGAGAAACTTGATGATGACCTTGGAGCAGGGTCTGATCATCACTTGGCGTTTGCAGCGCTTCTCTGCATTGCAGATGCACCGGAGTGCGTCTGCCAGAACACTCATCCGAACCATTGTGGCTTGGCTATAAACAAACAGATAAAAACTCTTGTTATATTTTGTTTCATTTCATTACTTGGACGTGGCTTAATTCATTAAAATTGCATTGCAAACCTCCGCCAGGTTCAGTCAACAAAATATTGAAAATACATGTAAGCTTACAATGAGTCAATTATCTGCGATTGAAAAATATTGTATGAATTCAAGATTTAAGATGCTTGGTCTAGCTCCATGTACAGGTGATTGTGTAGTTACGGGCCCCTCTTTAAAGGGAATGTACAACATTTGCTTTTGCTGCAATTTTCAGAGAGAAATGAATTTGGAGGATTAGTATGTTATAGCAAATATTGTTACACTGACTTGTTTCACGTTTAAAGTGAAGATAAACATTTGCAAACATCAAAAAAACGAAATGATCGTATTATCACGGAATACCTTACTGGATTGTTAGGGATTGACAGGTATCCTGTAAAATCGTGGCCCCTGGTGTGCTCACATTTTCAAGCAAAATTGTATTTTTCCAACACTGGTCGGCCGACCAGCATTGGAGAAAACTTGCTTTTTTCAAAAACATGCGGAGTTGTGCCGAAAAAACAAAAACTCCGCACGTAGACCGCGCGCAGTCGTGTCCCGGCCCCTGCTTCACGTACGTGTTTGTATGTGTACATGATGTACGTCCATACTACCATATACAATGCGTTGAAAAGATAAAAGCCAACGCTTTTGAATGATCGCTGTGTGATGTCTGTTCAATAGTGGTTGAATTTCACGGATTTTCAACCCAAAAAATATTTGTGAGTATCATTGAAGCCCCATTACTTCATCTTTGACATGTGGAAATGCCAGTAGGTGCTTTCAAAGGTATTTTTTTCAAGTATTTTGCGTGATTTTTGTGGTGAACTTTGAAATTGTTACTTTTTCCGTTGTGGGACGCTAGTACGACAGACCAACATCCCAAATGTCAAAAAAGTAGTTCTAGCGCCCCAGTTTGTGGGACTAACTTACCCTCATTATAGGCTAATCAGAAAGTGCTGCCCTTTTCAGATGTCTAATTTTCATGAAATTTCATGTTGAAATTTTGATACGCAAACGTGTGCAAACGAATCTGGAAATTTCACGAAAAATAGACATCTGAAAAAGGCAGCACTTCCTGATTAGCCTAGTATAAAGAGGGCGAGTATGCTTCTAAAGCAAAAAAACAAAAACAAATTAGGCCTAAGCCTAAATGTGAAAATCAAAATTTGACAAAGTTCGACTGTTTTTGTACATGGTGGAAGTGTGGCCTTTATTTACGAAGGTAGTCCAGTAAATTGGCCACATTTATGGGGCTATTTCCTAACAAAATTGGAAATGTTTTATCATCACTTTTGCAATGAATGACTTTCATCGAGATGATGTCAAAACTCAAATGTCATGAATGTGGCTTCAGGTTGCAACATTTTTTTTCCGATCAAGAAACTGTTCAAATTAAAAAACAAAATAGCAATTAGCATGAACAGTGTCATTGGATTTGAGAGAAGTTGACTTCAGGTTGAAAAGGAATTTTTTAAATGATAAATAACACCCTTGAGCCTGGCCTTGACTCTAAATTTGATCGAATTTAAAAGGGGCCGTAACTACACGATCTCAAAATGTACTGTATATATCACTGTACAACTGTACAATGTATATCAATTATCATGTAGGCCTAACGAGTGTACGGCATTGATAAAAAAAAAAATAACGCACAATTTTAGTGATCAGTTGGGGAGTACCTTAACCAAAACACATCTCTTGGGGGAATAAAATCCAGATTTATCAATTCCTAATATATTTCAATGGAAATGTTGTTTAAAATACAGGATGTTTTGGGATTTCTATCCCTGTTCGTAAGATCACTTACAGGCGAGCTGTGGGAAATTGGAAAGAGGGTTCAGACAGGCTCCAATTTTTACAATGACAAGTTTACACAGGAAACTCGGGGTATGGAGTCTAGGTCTCAGACTAAATTTCAACCTCGTATAATTTATATTTCGTTCATAATGTATTGTTATGAGAAAGGAAATCCTTGGCACTGAGTATGAATGCAGCAACAGCAACAGCAACAACAGCAGCTGACAACCGACAACAACTTTTTCCCTTCGAATTGCGACGAAATTTGTCGGTAATTCTGTGTGTTTGATAAAATTATGCCCTATAAAATAAGGCAGTGTATCTGGTCTGGGAAAGAATTCCATATACGGACGTCACTTGACACCCTGACCCTGTGTATAAACCGGTACAAACTGGTCTGAAAAATTCTAATTGTTTTTCTCACTAAAATTAAAAAGAAAATGTTTCATTTAATAATATTGACAATATTTTCCCTGCTAAATTTGACTTTTTTGGGACATGTTATCAGGTTATCCCTTTCTGATGGCTGATGCCGGGTCATTGCAGGGAAAAATAGTAATGTCCGTATTAGTTGGAGTAACTTGGACCCAACTTATCGCTGTTTATTGGTAGATCCGAATGTTAAAGAGGCAATAAGTTGGCGGGTCCAAGTTACTCGGACTACGTCCGAATATGGAATATTTTCCGGCCGGCCTGGGCCAGGGTCATCTGGTTGCAATTCAACTCGGTCCAAAATCAACTACTACTAGGTTACACAAGTCAACCCGGTCCCAAATCAACTCGGTCCAAGTCAACTCGGTGCCGCAGTCTGCATCTGATAGTCCAATGACTAGCTGGAGTTACCCAGCCCTGAGTTTTATCATTGGGTTGTCTATTAGGTTGTCTATTATGCCTAATAGACAACCCAATGATAAAACTCAGGGCTGGGTAACTCCAGCTATCCAATGACCAATAAGTTGCCATCAATATTCCAGTTCGGTATTTCCATCATGCATGCAGGAAATTATTGAGCCCCAGGCCACTCGGGGTAATCGAAGGCATATGAACGCACTTGAGACAGGCGCTATGTGCTAATTACAACCAGAAGGGGCATCCGCGTAACATCGTGTATTATCACGTCAGCGATTTTATCCCAAATGACCTTTGACCTGGGCTACTTCATTGAGATACCGAACTGGGAAAGAATGTTGCAACCTGACACCACTTCAGCAGTTGTGTACAAAGTCTATGGAGAGTCAAGACAATTTTCTAAGTATTTCCTAACAAAATTGCAAATGTTTCTCAGTCCCAGATTCATGTCTTATCATTTTTGCAATAACTGACCTTCATTGAGATGATATATGAAGAAAAAAGCAGCATCAGGTTGCAACATTCTTTCCCCGACCTGGCTTATTAATTTTGGGTCAGGACGTTGTTGTAGAAACCAACCACTGCGATCATGATCACCGGCTGCCGCAGTGTTGCCAATCCTCTTTGTTGACAAACTTCAAGTTCGAGTTACCTTGTTGTTAAACCCTTGTGAACAATTTCAGTGTCGTGAAATTTAGCCTGAAATTCAAATACAGTCAGTGGGACAGTTTCGGATCATCGACAGTTCCGGATCACTTGATTCAATAAAAATTAACTCAAGTGTAACCAAACTTTTTTTATTTGAGATTTTTTCTCACCAATTTGCAGGTCTATCATTTTGTAGTTTTTGGGGAAAGGAAATTTGGGAAATCGCTTAAACATTACCTATGATCCAGTTCAGCGAAACATCTGCGTGTTTTGTAACTGACCTGTGAAAGGAAGCGCGTAAAGACAAAAATTAAGTAGGGACACATGGCAAAATTCACGTAAGGGGTCGCGCCATGTTTAATAGGGGACATCAACAATAAAAGACCTTAAAATTATCAGACCTTTATTTATGTACATATCTTTTTTTCTATATGGACCGAGTTGACCATGAGACATAGTTTGTAGTTGACTTTGGACTGAGTTGACTTGGGACCGAGTTAACCTGAGACCTAGTTTGTAGTTGACTTGGGACCGAGTTGACTTGGGATCGAGTTGACCTGAGACCTAGTTTGTAGTTGACTTTGGACTGAGTTGACTTGGGACCGAGTTGACTCGAATCGAGTTGGTTTGGGACTGAGTTGACCAGCACCGGTACCATCATCATCATCATGTCACCTCCACCACCAGTGTCTACTCACTTTGTCTTTGCACATGTACATGTAGCTGTTACGCCCCACCACCACCCCCCCCCCCCCAAAAAAAAATTGTTGGGTAAAGAGAGCTAGAGAGTAAAGTTAGTCTGATTTGGTTTTGCAAATTTGTTTTGCACTCAGGGTATCACTATCAGTCTTATGAATAATCAAATTGTTTTCTGAGTTGGACAGTTTCTCAATTCAATTATAGCACGGAGAATGGCAACTTTGACTGATGTCCAGCACAACCGGCGAAGGGAGAGGTCATTCGCTGGCAAGCCAAGACCTGTCAAGAGTGGCATTGCATTGGCCAGAGTCAAACCAGTCTCGCATCGCTCAGAAGTACTCTTAGATGATCAGGTATTAATTAATGTCTGTATAATTAGTGGAAGACTAGTCCAACAATTAGGGACTCTCATGAACATCTTCATCCCTTAAAAATTCGTTAAAGAGCCATTTTCCCTTGAAATTTCTGCTAATTAAATTTTCACGGATTTTTCAACATATGAAAACATCCTTAGGAAAGTCCTTTGTTTACCCATGGAGATAGACCCAGTGTACCGTTATGTATAACCAATGATAATCCTCAGTGGCCAGGGTCATTAAAAAAAACGTGAAAATAGCCTTACAGGATTAGTCCTATATAAGCCCCATGTAAATGTCCGTGAAACATCTCTTAAAGATTGTTTTCACGGAGAAGTGGACTTTTAATAAAAAATTTAAGGGACCAGATGTTCATATGCAGTCCCAAAACTTAAACTTTAAGGTACTGGTAATGAAAACATGCAATACAAGAAAATAGACTGAAACCTGAAACAACCAGTCCAACAACCCTTCAGTACTGCATCAATCAACTGTGCCAAAAGAATCGTGGCATGTCTGGTACTAGTCTCTATTTTTATGCATTTTTCCCATAGTTAGCAACCAGACTAATGAGTCCTAATGAATAGGTCAGTCTTTTCAAACAGTTGGACCATGGTTTGACATGTGCCAGTCTAGTCCTTAGCCTCATTTTGAAATCACTTGACTTTCCTCTAATGTCCAAAATATTGAAGAAAAGTCTCCTTTAAAAATTGAATTGAGTCTCCAAACTTAGTTGGTGAAATACTGAGGACCTTTTCCCTCGGCTGCCCAATGAAAATTTTGGAGAATTTTGCTGGCTAAAGAGTGGGTAAAGTTGGCCTGCATGATTTTGTTTTGCATGTTTTTCAGCACTCAAGATCCCATCTGGTGGAAGACCAGAGTAACATACATTTATCCCAACTACTGAAGACTGGCCAAATTCCTATTACTTGTTTTTGGTTGAGTTTTGACATTTTTATAAGTGAGAGAAATTGTATTTGCCACATTTTTAGTGAAGGCAAGCTAATATTTTGCCATAAGATTGAATTTGTGTCTGGGTGATGTAAATGTAATATTGGGTTTTGTCGAGTAGTTTGTAAAAATTTTTCTTGCAGTCGCTTGTGAAAACACTGAGTATATAGTGTTGATGAAAAATATGTTGGTGACCACCGAAGTAGTTTGTGATTTTTTTTCTTATTAATCACTTGGAAAAACATTTGAGTATTTACAAGTAGTGTTGAAAAAAATATGTCCACGAAGGGCAAAACCCAATTATTAAATATTTCGCCAGTTCAGATGATTTCCAACCCTCTTAGGAGATTTCTACGGGGTTAGCACAACTGCATTGTTTGCAGGTTTGTTTATTTGATTACTAAAATGCCTGGAGTTTTGGCAAACATGGCAGATATGTTCACATTAAGATTTCAAGCCAATACGCTTAATTGGCAAAAGGTTGATATTTTTAGACTGTAAATGTGAACATCCGAACAGACCCTACATTTTTTAAAGGCCCTACATTGCAAGGGTCGTCGTACAAATGCTGCGCACTTGTATAAGTTTGTGTACTCACACATTTAACTTGCCTTTTTCACAGATTTCCCTGGTAACCCAAACCCAAGATGAGTTGGAGCGAGCCATGGTGTGTCTGACCAATGCCAGGAATGACCTGGAGCTGACCCAGTGGAGGTCAGAGGTCGGTAACCTTAAGGCCAAGTGCGACGAGATGATACTCATACTCACGGTGAGTAGTGAAGATTAAAAGCACTTGAGTTTTGCAACTAAGGCCAAAAAAAAAAAGTTTCTGGTATGGAGCTTGCCCAAAAAGTGGTGCGGCGACGCGGCTTTTTTGACCTGTTTTTTTTTGCTTCAAATGTCTGCTGATGACTGCAAATGGTGCCCGACTAAACTTAGTGCAAATATTATGGGAGACCAGAGAGGCCACATAAAGCTTATTCTCGATCATAACCCCATCTAAAAACACGTTAAAATTGTGCAGCAGCAGGATTCCAGTCAAACAAGTGAGTTTGGCGGTTTTGAGACATCAACTTTCATTGAAAAAAAACTTTTTCATTTTGCCGACGCGCATGGCTACGGCGACGCGCGCGCATACCAGAAACCGGAGACTTTTTTTGGGGGGGGCCTAATATGGTCAAATTAAGAGTTCAAATTGGTTTTAAAAAAATGTCTGGAGTCCATGGATGCTTAAAGTCTCTTTGATTTTGACTCAGGTGGTATCCAAGTTGAAGGCGGAGCTTATGTATGCCAAGGAGGAGCTGGAGAAGGCGGGGAAGGAAGGAGGCGACATCCGGGAGCCCAGAAGACGAGTGGTGATGCTGGAAGATAGGATGGAGAATCTACTCAGCAGATATCGCAAGATGCCCAGAAAAGTGCAGGTATTACTACTGTTGTGAATTTCCATATGCATGAGTAAGAGTACGATTAAGAGTACTTGCTTATGCAGTCCTTCTGTTTTGAGGCGTGCGATCACACCCCCACGCCATCACACGCCTAAATGCTTCCTGAGAAGTGCGAATAATCACACACCTGAATCCCTCAGTACCGCACACCTCGACATACATTTACGGCATAATTATACTTCATAATTTGTGAAAAATAAAGTACGTCAGTGAAGAAAATATGGCTTTATTGTAAACCAAGATGAATATTTTGAAAAACAATACCAGATTGTTCAGTCCCAGCTTGAACCACAGAATCACACACCTAGAAAAATCACACGCCTAGAAAAATCACACGCCTAGAAAAATCACACGCCTAGAAAAATCACACGCCTAGAAAAATCACACGCCTAGAAAAATCACACGCCTAGAAAAATCACACACCTAGAGAAATCCAGGTGTGCGTTTTTCCACACACCTGTGATTTTCAAATCAGAAGGACTGCTTATGAGTATTTTGCCATGAGTATGAGTACTTAACCATGAGTATGAGTACTTAACCATGAGTATGAGTACTTTGTCATGACTCATGAGTATGAGTACTGTGCCATGATAATGAGTATTTTGTCATGAGTATAAGTACTGTGCCATGAGTATGAGTACTTTGTCATGAGTATGAGTACTTTGCCATGAGCACGAGTAATGTGCCATGAGTACTTTGCCATCATAATGAGAACTTTGCCATAAGTATGAGTACTTTGCCATGAGCACAAGTACTGTGCCATGGCCCATGGGCATGGGTAGTTTTCTTCTGTATGTAAATACAAATTAATTTTTTCCTTATGTTCATGCAAACTATCAAATGGAAGCAAAACTTATTTCATGGAATCCATTCACTTTTATTAATGAAATGCCAATATATATCAAATAATTAAAAATACCAAAAGTATGTATATTCCCCCGTGAACCAGACTTCTGAAAACTGAAACCTGTTAATAACATTATTGCTCATGAATATTACTAATCACTTTTAAATTCTGTGTTAATGAAGCCGTCTGCTGACATTGAAAAGAATGACCAGCCCCAGCCAACTGATCAACAGGACGCTCACATTGACAGCACAAACAAAACAGAACCCCTCCCTTCAGAGGTAGAAAAACCACCCCCGGAAAATGAGCAGATCCAGGAAGACGGTGGAGGGGATAGGAGGGAAGTGCCTAAACCAGAACGTTCCATTCTGAAGCAGGGGGTTTTAGGCAGCAGGGGAGCTGGTGATGGCACAGCGACACCCTCTGAGAAACGTGGGAGCGAACGGAGGCTGTCGTTTGGGCAAGGTGAGAGGTGTTGCCGTCTTGCTGCTGCAGCTTTTATTGCTGCTGCTGTTGTTTTTGCTGTTGCTGCTGTGACTGACTCTATTGCTTCTGTTGATGATGCTGATGTGATGTTGTTGCAAGAGTTGTTCATTTCTTGCAGTGGATCCTGTTGTTAAGCTACTGCTCTTTTTTGTGGTTATATTAATTTTTTTATCCTTGCAGTTAACAAAAAACTTAATTTCTTTCAATTTGGAGATGTTATTTGCTGCACTACTGAAAAAAAATACATCATTGAAGACACTGTATTTAATATGATTACAAGTAACATGTCACAGTGATAAATGAAAAAAACTGATATAAAATAGGCAATACTTTTGCAGAAATTTCAAAGATAATTGACCTCTCTTTTGTCTTTTTTTCCAGTTACTCCCACTGGGTCAAGACAAATCCTTGAAATGGGCCCAACTGCTTCTGGAAGTGAGGTATGACCTAACAGAGATAAACAAACAGACTCTATTAAAGGCATATAGGATCATTTGCATTTATCCCAAATGTAACCTACCAAATTATTATCGAAAATCTTACTTGGATTAAAGATCGTACTTGTACTTATTAAACATCCTTTGAAATTCTTCCGTCTGGCTTGCTGTCATTTAGAAGAAATCAAGAAATTTAGGTGATTTGCACCAATCTGTCAACTGACTGATTTTTGGAAATGCACGAAATTGTGTTTCTTGATTAAAAGGTTGTGCATGGTTTTTCACTGTTTCCTCAAAAAGTGTACATTCAACAACCACTGAGCTAAAACTTCAACTCGTTCGGTTTGAAACATTCCTCAGTGGATTTTGAATGGTGTTATTATCAGAAACTAACACATTGCATGAAAAACACATGATCCTATATGCCTTAAAATAGCTCTGCGCTTCAAAGGCCCTTCGTTGTTTTATTCAATTAAGTGTTGGGTGTATCTGTGTACATCTCGTAATGTACAGAGCACTAGCTCGCTGTACAGAATAAATGTCAGAAGTCACCAAAGTGTAAATTCTTGTTGGATGTAAGAAACACAGAACTGAAAACAATCCATTTAAAGGGAATGTACAACATTTGCTTTTGCTGCAATTTTAAGCAATAAATGGACTTGGAAGATTAGTATGTTATAGAAAATATTGTTAAACTGACTTGTTTCACGTTTTGGGCTTGTAGATGCTGGAAAAACCAAGAAAACCTATCATGTTCTTGTAGTCTGGCTCCCTGACCCCACTTAAGAAGAAACGGAGCAATTGATACACTTTGGGGAATTGTAAGGTCAGAGAATCAGTCTAGCAGGCTTGTACCCCTTCACAGGTGTGTAATCAATTGCAAAGAAATGTCAGAATAACTAAATATGAAAAATCAGGAAATGTTTTTGAAAAAAAGCCAGTTTTCTGCAACGCTGGTCAGTCGACCAGCGCTGGAAAAACACACTTTTTTTTTAAAATGACAGCACACCAGGAGCCACGATTTTAAAGGATGCTTTAGATTATCAGTCCCTTACAATCCAGTAAGGTATTTCGTGATAATTTGATCATTTCGTTTTTTGATGTTTGCAAATGATGTATCTTCCCTTTAACATAACAACCAGTTTGGAAAATTGAAAATTAAATTGAACTGTACGAATTCTGATGATTGGATGATTGTTGTTGTCAATAGGGAGTGGATTCAGGAGACAGTGATGATGATGACGATGAGGATGACGATGAAAGCTTTGAAGATGGTAATCAAGACACCAATGTCTTCATCACAGAAGGATCCCTGTCAGCACTGGACGGACCCTATCATCAGCTGCTGGCTCCTATAAACCAAGGTACGCTGTCTGCACATCACAGGAACACAGGGTTTTTTTTAGAGAAAGAGGTTTTCCCTTCTGGCGTCATCATCAGATGTGTCTGATAAACAAGAGGATGTGACATTTAAATGAAAACATTTCACAAATGTTCCCAAACAAGGATGAGAAGTCCAGTGTGTTTCCCAGTGGCTATATAGCCCTGTTCACACTACAAGTATTTCCCGGGAAATTCCCGGGGAATTTCGGTCGGTCTGTTCACACTACCACAGAAACTCCCGGGAAATAGCTTTTCCCTGGGAAATAATTAACCCTGTTCGGGAGCAAGGTTAAGGGAGATAACCCCGGGGTTAAACATTTTTCCCAGGAAAAAAGCAACTAGTGTGAACAAAAGTGGGTTTTAACTGACCCCACCTTGTTCGATTTCCCCTGTATCGCATTTTCGCGATGCAATATTCACAAAGTGGTCCGCACTTTGGGAATAAATCGCACAGTGTGCGATGCAAAACTTATGTGATTGTGAATATAATAGTGTGTTCAGTTTGTCGATCGGGCCGTCACGTTACTGAAAGACTCCCAACTTCGCGTATGCTGCGCCTGGAAAATCTCACCAACTTTTATCCCCTAAAACAGACAACTATTTTGCTATCCAACAACGTACGTAGGCACGGCATTCTCCATGAAAATTTCTTTGATGAAAATCACGTGCTGAGCTGCCGTGCACAGTGTGTGTGTGTGTGTGTGTACACATGTCACCAAAGTGGATCACACCATTTACGGTCTAGGGGTATACTAGCCTGCCTGGCTGCACAGATCCTAATTTCTATCAGAATCTCTGCTACTTTTGTGTTGTTTCCTCTCAGCATAGCTCTCAGAGAATTGCATTAAAAAAAATGGAGTTTTCCAAGTTTAGTTTTAACTTTTAGGTCGCACTAATGGGCATATACATGTATTTTTACACATGAGCATTATGCACAGTTAGTCTGCGCACAGCTCACACATGCATATTTATACAGTACGTTACTTGGAATGTGTGGTGTTAATTATTATTCATAAACTGCACTGTCACAAAAGCGCATGCGTAACTTTGTCCCGCTGGCGTCAGATTCGAATTAGGAGCAGGACGCTCCTAATTTAAAAGTTAAAATTAATCAATTGCTTACTTATCGTAGGCTGATTTTTTCGTGCAATATGTCATTGGAAAACTCATAACTATTAATGTAATGCTAGAAAATTATCAATAAAATTGAAAATCTATTTTTCAGGGTGCTACACCCAAACAGCACGTAATAATTTGATTGGTTACTTTTGGGATAAATGCACTGATCATAAGTTTGTTTGTTTTGCTGTTCACAGATGAAGCAGACGGTGATGGTGATGATGGCAGAGATTTAGCTGCAGAGTATTGGATGTCGCCCCACCACAGGTAGCTCAGTCAACGATTGTGTGTATTTTGGATGCTGCCTTGCACTAGTTTCAGATTGGCAATTCCAGGGTCATACAGATTTCTACACATGAGAGTCCTCTAACATTGACTGTTGCAGTTGCTCGGAATGACTCCAGGGTCCAGCCAATGGAAAGGTTCCTTGTGAAGTCTGCTTTTTATTTGGGTTGACTTGAGTTGCTCTTAAAGCTATTTTGTTCCGGTATGACTCTGGAATACTAGTCAGAAATGTGTCCAGTTTAACAAATCTTATGCCTCTCTTTTTTAAAACCTTTGCGGAATGTGTTGTTGTTTTTGTAGTGCAAATGTGGGGGTGTGGCCTAGTGGTTAGGGCTATTGACTCATGATCAGAGGGTCAAGAGTTTGAATCCAGCTGCTGGCCATATGTTGTGTCCTTGGGCAAGCCACTTCACCCCTACTTGGCGCTATCCACCCAGGAGTATGAATGGGTACCGGCATTAGCTGGGGAGTAACCTGCGATGGACTAGCATCCCATCCAGGGGAAGTAGAAATATTCTCAGTCGTGTACACTACTGAATCAGGAGATAAACGCAGCCTGATGGGCCACATTGGCTCATGAGACAGACTTGATTTGTTTGCTTGTAGCGCAAATTAATTACTGGTTGTAGAGACCAATATCAAAAGGACAATTATCCTTCGGATGCATATAGTAGACCATTGAGGTCACAAATTTGATGTTTTAAAATCTTGCAATTGTGCCAGCAGACAGGATTGATTACTACAGATAATCCTGATCTGATATGACTTGATCTGATCACATGTGATCATTACAGTTATGTTTCACTTTTCCAACAGGTTTGAGTACAGTGAACAACGAGATGTGATCACTCGAGAAAATCCTCTGTCTTATCATAACCTAGGCTTAGCCGTCCAGTCTTCCTTCATTGAACCAGGTAAGGCACGTTGCTTTCATTTACTTCATCAATGCTAGAACTCCGTAAACTAATCTGAAAAACACAATGCAGCGATGTCAGTTTTCCAGCTATAGCCATAATTCTGGCTTTAGCTGGAATTCCGGCTGTTTCATGTTTTTTGAAAAAACTCTGGCATTCCATTCCTTTGCAAGTCCGACAAATGTATCCTCATGTTTAAAAAAAATACAACGTGATATCGTTCAGCAAATAGAAAAATCCATTAAGCGTTGTTTCATCGTCGTTCATGAGCCAATAAGAATATTGGTTAAATGCGCTATTTGTTGCCAGTGTGCTGGACTCATACAGAGTGCAGTTTTCTGCATGGACGCACGGCATTTACATGTGTACAGCAAATGATAGTTTAATAGCTAGATTTATACGCTTTAGTATTTTCTGTCATGTTACAGTAACACCATATATGACAACAAATCTCTTTTATGAGTTTGTGTTGTGTGAAGAACTGGTAGAACGTCCTCATAATTCCTCACGAGTCAATTACAATTCAATCACAAGTCCTAAGTCAAGTCCATCTTCTTAAGTGAACTGTAATTAAAGGCATGCCTTCGTTATTGTTCATCCTCTTTTATTTGCATTGTATTTCTGCCTCAATTAAAAAGGAAAGAAACTCTCCCCTAAGCGATCCCAAAGCCAGCCAGCGATGTTCCTGAATAGTAGTAAGTGAGGAGCACAGTGCACCCCTGTCACATGGACATAAACCACCGCACTTACAAACAAGCACCATCATATTACCTCACCAGTTGCCCACACTGTCAACCAACTTAAACAAAAGGGTGGTTGCTTCGGCGTTAAATTTGTTATTTTTCATCCTTTTTTTTCAAATAAACAGATTTCAGTTCTGCATGAGTTTATTTCTGCATTCAATAGAGGATGTTGAACAATAGAGGACAATAGGGTCTCCAATCTCCGAGAGGTCCCCAATTTGGATTCGTGTACAAAACATATGGGAGGTCTTCCTAAAAAGTTGAAGTACAAACAAAAGAGGGACAATAGGGGGTCCCTGTTTGCAGGCAAATACACACTTGTTTTGTAGGCTCACTCCCATTTTTATATGAAGATGCAAATTGATATTTTGCATATTATCACAAATTTTACCAAGTTGTCATAACATTGTCATTCTTAATTACCTTATTTAAAAAGTGTTCAGTGATCATGACAAATTAAATGTGTATTATACAATTATTGTTTGACTCACATCGCTGGTGCACCTTCACATGCATCCTACATCTACATTTCCCACCAACATCAGCTTCTTGCAAAATTTCATAATTTGTCATACGGGTTTCGCAAAAATGTACCTTCTCCTTACAAGCCCATACCAACACTGCATTTGGTCAGTTATACGCACAACCAAGAAAAAGCAGATCTATGACTATGACATGTGATAGTTTTTCAATCAATGTGTCCATAGTTAAGAGAAGTTTGCCGAAACACCATGTGAAGTGACTGAAGCTGTGTTAGAGTTAGGAATTTCACATGGTGTGTCCATAAATTCATCCTAACTTGTCCTAAGCAGTCTCCTGACGATGACTAGAGCAGGTTAGTTGAAATGTTGAGACCAAAGACAAGTTCTTTTAGAACTTAAAGCAGAACTGTTCTTATCAGAACTAAAACTATTTAGCGAAAGTTGATAATAAGCAGGACTAGTTCTTATCAGAACTAAACATCTACTGAGCGAAAGTAGTTATTACCACACGGGGTTACCGCAAACTGAAACGATACTAACTTGTTCTCATATACAAACCTTCAGTTTATAGTTATGACATGTCCACCTATTTATAAGACAATGAACAATTTTGTTCTTTAGGATACATTTTATTTAGACCAATACAATTTATACATTGGCTCGATTAAACTAAAACACACAGGTGTCTTCATAAAATCCAAATGAGCTACTCGATGCTTAGAGCCAATTTTTTTCCTTGACTCACAGAAATCTCCCTTCTGGAAATAAAGTCAGTTTTTTGCCACATTTTCTTCAGCCCTAGTCACACAGTTATGGTTTGGAGCTACGAATATCCACGGTTTACCAAGAATCAATCGATCACGGTGAACCGTCGAGATTCGTGGAGAAATCGACTTTCTAAGAATTCACTACAGTTTCAGGATGGATAGTCACGACTATCCTACGATTTCTGTACGAGTACAACACGGTATGTCAACTTAAATATGGACGGATCGGTGAAGAATATCGACGGTATTACTAAGAATAATGACGTTGTCTGAGATTGGGCCATGGATGACCAAGGTTCTCCTACGAATAAAGCGTGGATATTTGTGGTACAACCTCAGCAGAACCCTAGCACATCCGGGAATATCCATAGGTCATTCGTTGCGAATTCGTAGAGATTTCTACCACGAATGAGCTACGAATCTCCAAGAATATGTACGAATAGCCACGAATAACACTATGAATCGGTACAGTTGTCTTACGGATGTCCCACGGTTTGCACTCCAGATTGATTTTCATGACGTTTCACCACGGAAGTTTTAAAACTTTCGTATTCCCTCCACGAATGCCCAAGGAAGATGACGGATAACCACGAATGTACTAAGGATGAATACGGTACTCCCTCGGTTTATCACAAATTTCAAACCATGGAGATTCGTAAATCCAAACCGTAAAGTGTGACTGGGGTTTTATTGATTAAATATGAGCTCTTTATAGCCTCACTCCTCTATTAGTAATATAAACTCCTTTTTATCACAACTTTCTTTCTGAAGAAATTTAAAAAAGAAATTCCCATACGCCTTTTTTTCTCATTCACCCTCTCCTTGGCACAATCCTAGAGGAAAATATGTCTTGCGTCTAACAAGCACAAAGTGGCCGAATTGGTCTTGAGCTTGCACTTCATCACTATGAACATCTTCATCCCTTAAAAATTCGTTAAAGAGCCATTGTCCCTTGAAATTACAGTTAACTACATTTTCAAGGATTTTTCAACATATTAAGCCAGATTAGGAGTCCGTGAAAAAACCCTTAAGAAAGTCCTTTGTTTACCCATGGAGATAGACCCAGTGTACCGTTATGTATAACCAATGATAATCCTCAGTGGCCAGGGTCCTTAAAAAAATGTGAAAATACCCTTACAGGATTAGTCCTATATAAGCCCCATGTAAATGTCCGTGAAACATCTCTTAAAGATTCTTTCCACGGAGAAATGGACTTTTAATGAAAATTTAAGGGATCAGATGTTCTTAAGTTCAGTGCTGATAATTAAGTTGTTACCCTTTTCTCTTTGGTAATTTCAGCTCCGCCTGCAGTTGAAGAGCTTCCATGGAGGCCGCGCAGACGAGGCAGCGATCTACCTGACGTGCATGTGAGTTGGAAATTCAAAAGAAAGCAATCAAGAACGAGCCTCTTAGTGTTGATTTTGCAATAAATGCTACCAAAATCTACCTTATCCTGCCGCAGCTGTACGGTTGCTTTATATAACCCTGGTTCTTTTCCAGTAGACCCCTCCCAAACCTACCTTCTCTTGCCCCCTTTTTACTGCAGAACCAACCCCGTCTCTGACCCATCCATCTCCTACCAAATATAATTTCCTGGCTTACCCTTTCACGGGAATTGCGTCTATCCTAATACCCCATTCCACCCTTTTCGAGAAAATGTCTGATTCCCTTTTCCCTGAAATCCTTTTTTCAACACTTACAGAACAACAAAACTTCCTTAAAATCCTGCCCCTACTCAAGTAGTGGTGTGCATTTACGGGTAGTTCGGAACAGGGAACCCTATTGAAGTAAAACATGGGTACCTGGGTACCCGTAAAAGATACCCAACCCGAAAATTCAAATCCTGGAAGTTGTTTGAAGGGTTCCATAGCTTTACGGTGTAAACCGTAACTTTCGCGAGTGTCATATGTTGCACGTTAAAATACACATTAACGTGAAATCTGTTTTGATTTTCAATATAGCCTGGTTTTCATTTGAACATTCCCACAAATGGCATTCAAACCTTTCTTTTTCATTGTCTGAGAAATAACTAAGTAATTTGTAATGATTACGGGTACCCGATCCCATCATCTGGAACCAGTTTTTGACCTCAGCGGTCGGGTACCCAGGTACCCGGTTCCAATGCATACCCCTTTACTCAAGCAAAAAATGTCACCGGTATCTTTCCCCATTCGAAGAAACCATCAATCCCAATCTCAGCAAAGAGAAAATTTGCCTTTTTTTCATAAACCTTTCCATAGACACCTCCTTAAAAATATCAACAAGATAAAAGGAGAGTTTTATGTGTAACTATCCACAAAATCTGCGTCCCAGATAAACAGCGTAGTAAATTGCATCATGTCTTCTGTACATTTGTGTACAGTGAAATCTCGATTTAAATAAGTCAAAACCTGTGGACTCAAAAACTTAACCGCCAATGGGAGACTTTTGAGACGTTGGTGGCAGCAAACACACCGGTCCTGTTTCCATTGTTTGCGTCATATTAAGCATGCGTGCTTTAGATTTAAAGTCTCCCATTGTTGTTGAATAGAAAATCTGGAAAACTCAAAACCCTACTTAACTCAAAATTTGAGCCAACTCCCCTGTTTATAACCCAATTAATTAAAGAGGTTGCTGCGTAGCACTGATAAATTGTATGGAGTAACCATAGAGCTATATCAAATTACTAGAGCGCTAACTCGTCGTTCTGCGCGCGGAGACGCTTTGAAGCCGTCCTGAGTGCAGACATTTTGAATTCATGTGCGTGTATGTAGAACATAATGAAATTAGATGGATTGAATTTTGAAAGTGTACTCTACATGCAACGCGCAAGTAGAACATACGCAAACAACTTAAGCGCGTCATTGACGGTTAAAAAAAACGTGACGGCAAAAAGCATCTGCAGCGAATACGCGCACGCGTTGCGCTGTTTGCGTAGAGTAAAATGACACGCTCATTTTGCTGATCGTGCATTTTGGTTTTGGGCGTATTGGCTTCGATAACGCACTGGTATGGAATACAAACGCATATATATGCAAATAGCCGTACAAAAGCCGTACAAAATTGCTAGGTCTCCATAGGTTTGTGCACAAACATGGATGCGCCCAGCAGGCATTACTTTGTACACGAAGTTAGCGCTCTAGTAATTTAATATAGCTCTATGGGAGTAACATAAAGATTAAACAATTAAAAGAGGAGCCAAATTTTCGGACGGTGTCTCAGTACACAGTCTCCGTGTGGTATCAACGTGGAATTTACAGAGTTACATCTGCCTGGCACGGCAGTTGCTATCCAGCCCTGAAGAAGGACTGACCGTCGGAAAATTTGGCTTGTCTTTTCATCTTTTCATCGGTGAGCAAGTAACCCATTATGGTACCCATTATGTCTCAAGCTTTTTAAAGCTATAGTCCATCATTTGCAGCCATCCGAAAAGTAACTGGCGTAATTATTGTTGAGAAACATACTTGGTTGAAAGATAGTAAGTGGACTAAACTCCCTGTGAAATTATTCTTTCTGGCAAGCTGTCATTTCGAAGTAATCAACGAAAGAAGGCCTTTCCAACGGTGCGTCTTAAGACGCACCGTAGGAAAATTTAAATTAGTAGTTCGTTTTGTTATTCGGCAAAGCACGCGCAAGCATTGTCACGACGCACACGCGCGTGCAATTGCTATAATTCGTCGGATCAGTGCGCGACATCGCGTATAGCTGCAACCGGCTCAGTGAGAACGTGTCTCGGACGCTGAATTCAGGCCCAATTCAAAACATGATTCAGCAACTTTTGATTTGAAATTGAGATCCTAGAATGCTGTTTTTTCCGGAATATACAGCTGAAGCTGAGCTGAAACTTCATCGGTTTAGTTGTTCAGTATCCTTCATTAGATTTTGAACACTTTTGTTGCTTCAAACGAACAAAATGCACAAATTACAAATGATGGACTATATCTTTAATATACATGTAATACTAAACCGCATAATAATATCCCCATGATTAATACTGTCATTTTTTTATCGCCTGGTTGCTGCCTGACAATCTGCTTCTAGATGGAGGGTGTAAGTTTTTTTTTCCAGTTCTTTTGGTCATTCTCCATTCGTTTGTGCATGGTGTGATCTGTTCAACAAATTTTTAATCTGACATGTTTGCACTGGACATAATCACATTTTTGAGGGAAATTAAATGTGCACACTTCCAAATCATGGTTGCATGTACATGTAGGTGTTTAATGGTTCTACTTAATTGGTTCAAAATTGGTTTTAATCAGATTGTCATCCTTGTTTTGTTTTTTGTACTACTTATTATGATAAAGGGCGATACTATAAGTGTGAAAGGGTACTGGTCATTTCATCCAAAACAGTAGTCATTTTCCGGCGTTTTTAACATGGTAAAATTGACTTGGTCAAATAAAGTGTGCAAATGATGATTCCTTAACCATGTAATATGGGCACGTTTGGTCCTAGCCAAAAATTGTATAATTATAAGGGGGAGTGCTTATTTGGAAATGGTTGACCAGTGCAAACCAGATTTTTTTTGTAACTGTTCTGAATTTCAGAAATATTTTTCAGATAAATTAAGCCTATACTATTCATAAGTTTACCAAAATAATAGGTTACCATTACCCATCAAAAATCTACGCCTCCCTAGTAAACGCCCCCCTCCCAATTTTTAGTCCTATAAGTGACCATGGTTAACATTTTTAACAGAAATTGGGCAACACACAACCCCCCCCCCCCTGTAACATTGCCCCCATCCCCACTCGCCCCTGTGGTGAGAACCCTCCCTGGCTACAGGCCGCTGCCATTAATGGCAACTGTTTGGGGCTTTAACCTCTTTCCGCGACTCTGGAAAACTGCCCGTTTGTTTTGGTTAATTTTACAGGGACTGTATGTCAAACTTACATGTACTCCCACGGAGGCCCCCTTCAATGGAAAAGCATTGTGCACACGACGGTGTAAAGCTACTGCCCCGTGACGGATTATCTGAACAATAGCTAGCACCATGACAGAAGCATAGTGTGATTGGTCTATTCAGGCTTTCTTCATTCGACTAATAGAAAAATATCAAGTCATTTTCCAGTTATTTTATTGACTTTTAAAGTGTCATGGACCACTGGTATTTCTGTCCATAAAAATTTACACAGCAAAAGTTGGGATCACATGACAGTCACCCTAACCTAAATAATTTTATTTTAATTTTTTTTGTATTTCCTGGGAGTACTAAGTCCAGTGTAAACACGGCTCAATCAACTTTCAAACTCATTTTTTTTTGTTGACTGCATTGCCATTAACCATTTTGCTGTGTTTTGTAACCAACTAACTGTCTGTGCCTGTGTGTGTGCTATGTTTCCCAGCTTCAACGCCATGCCGACTACAGTCCACCACAGGTTGGTTGATCAAAAGCTCATTTTTTTCTTGCAACAAACTACCAAAACAAAACCCCCAAATATATATATGTGATGCGATCAAGCTAAATGGGTCGTTTGTCGGGAATTTTTAAGTGGAGATACAGGCCAAAATAGGGCCACTTCATCACATCACTTCATCACATCTCTTGGTGTTCCAACTTCCATAATTTGTGAACTAAAGATGGTATCAGCATGCGGTTTTCACAGCAGTAATGCTGAGATTGTGCTCTTTTGAAATCTGTAATAAAAAATGTTTTGACCAGGGTCGACAAACAACTCATGATCGCATCACATATACATGTACATAGGTATATTTCCATGGAATTGTGCTAGAGGATTCTTGCTTACATCAGGTTTGTTTGGAAAGAGTGACAACATTTTACAAATTTCAAATCAGTGTTATCAGTGTAGTTCTACGTTATAATTTTGTTAGCATGGCATTACAACTTACAGAAAAAGTTCTTTATTGCAGAAAAGGAAAAGTTTTCTGTTTTTGATTTTGTCAAAATCTGGTCCTGCCAGAACAGATTTTCTTCTCACAAAGGATCCTTTAGCACTAAACAAATGGTGTGAAAATTTTCTTTTTTTCATATTTCCTCTTTGATTTTATACTCATAATGATAAAAAGTGAGGCAGAAAAAAAGAAAAAAATGTTTGCGAACTCATTTAATAATTTTTTTTTCTCCAAAGTAGGTTTTGACTTTCCTCATGCAGAAAATGCATGTCAGGCACTCAGTTCATCACTGTGATTTCACTGATATTATCGGAATCGTGACTGTTCATTTGTGCCTGTGTTTGTCACAAAAGCTAGTCAAATGCCATTGCATAGATTTTTTTGTGTTACATACTTTGCAGTGGAACTCATCTATTTTATTAAAAGTGGGGTTGGTATAAACTTGGTATTTGGGTGTTCTAAGATAAGTCAAAAAACGTTGATGGTAAGAATTCAACTCGATTTCTGTGGCATCAATAATGTTTTTGGCCAAAATCATTTTATTAAGTTTAATGTGTATGTACAGGGGGTCCTGAAAAAAATGGTGCATGTAAACCCCTCAATTTTTGCTACTTTACAACCAGAATTTTCTGCGGATGTTTACACCATCTTCAAGGTAATAGATTTAGCTTGAGAATACTGTTTGTTTCATTGAGATTGCTTTTGTAAATCCAAAAATATGTTTGAAGAACGGCAAAGCCAAGAAACCCAATTTGTGCCACTTTCTGTGAAGCAGTTAAAATCAGTATAGTCCTAGTCCAAAACCAAATCACTTTACTGTAACAGTTAGTGATTTTAACATTTTTTAAGCAGAGTTTGCAATATTTATTTATATTTAATTGAACTCTTTCATTGAAGTTTTAAAGAAGTGAACCTGTCTGTACTATTAAATTGTTTCAACATAAGAGCAAAACCCTATATCGTTGTGTGAATGGAATGTTTGTCTTACACCCATACATGCCATAGGGATAATCTTATCAAAAGAGCCATACTGGCACTGTCTGATCTTTGAAGCACTCGCTTCCTAAAAGTGGCACAGAGTGGTTTTTTTTGGCTTTGCGGTTATTCAAACATCTCTCTGGATTTACAAAAGCAATCTTAATTAAACAAACGGTATTCTCAAGCTAAATCTGTAACCTTGAAGATCGTGTAAACATTTGCAGTAAATTCCGATTGTAAATTGGTGAAAATGGCAGGGTTATAATTAATACATGCACCATTATTTTCAGGACACTCTGTATGGTCTTTCATGTACAAACTGGCTTCAATAGCCCACGAGGAAAGTGTCAAGGGAGAATTAGATAAAGGTGGGCTTTATAAAATATTGGGTGCATGAGAACACAATGTGAACAGAAGAGTTTTGTTAATTTATGAGCCGAGCTCCATCCATTTTAAAACATTGTAATCATTCGGTGACGTGCCTGACAAAATTGAACATATATGGGAAAACCAGATGAATTTTTGTACCAAAAAATAAATCAAAAGGAAACTTTGCCAGATGTAACAAGAATGAGTTTTGAGACCATTTCAGAAGCATTTTCTGAGCCTTTCATAATTGTGTGATGCACTCACCCCGTAAAAAATGCAGAAAATTGCCCTGGACAAATTGTCGGAGCGGATCCACAAGATCTGGAACAAGATGGAGGACGCCACAAGGAAATCTATCGACTGCAGTAACAGTCAGATCAGTGAGCAGAAAGGATCTATCATCAGACACGTCGAAAGTGAGTAACTCCTGAACAAAATTCACTATCATGATGGAATTGTGTGTGTTTTTTTCCGGAAAGATATAACATCAATACTGGTTTTTATTCAATCTTGCTTTTTCAGGTCGCCTGAGTGAAGACTCGGCAAGCTCTTTTCTGAAGGTGAGATTAGTCACAATTTTGGTTTGATACCAGAAACTGTATTTTTTGCCATTCCGAGGAAATTTCTGGGTTTTAAATGAGGCAAACCCACTTCTCATTTTCTTGCCTAACAGAGGCAACAGTGACGTGGGTTCGAGCCTGCCGGCAGACACTTGTGCTCTTAAGCAAGGCACTTAACTATTATTGCTTCGTCCTGTGGATGGGATGTAAAGCCGTAGGTCCCGTGTGTTGTATAATGCACATAAAAGAACCCAGTAAACACTTATCGCTAAAGAGAAGGGGTTTGCCCCAGTGTTTCTGGCCTCCTGTATAAATCCCCACGTGGAGTATTTAGGAGAAGAACCAACCAAGAACCAAGAACAAAAGTCTGAAATGTCTGTAAGCGTGTATGACATGCACAGCTGTAACATGCAGTGTGGCGTTGGAGAGGAGAATGTGTTAATTGCCCATGTGCGCAGTGGGCGCGATCGACCTCTCTTTACCCCTTTTGTTGGATTGGTTCATATATTGTTTGCTTTTCTTCATCAGAGCGACTCACTCAAGACAAGCAGGTCCTCTGCCCGGGGGTTTGGCAAGGGTCCTGCACCCCCATCTGACAAGGCCTCAGGGGAGAGTGTTGAGGTACCCAAGGGGCGTGGCAGAGTGCTTCCAGGAGGGCCTATGATGGTGTACCATCCACGCCCGGTGCCTGAACCAGAGATGCTACCACTCACAAGAACGGTACGATTGTCTTCCCTGTTATCTCCATTTTTCTGTAATAAGTCACATGCATGAGAATGATAATAGATTAACACATAAAGACGTGTATCTCTTTAAAGCATAGAGTTATATTAAATTACTAGAGCGCTATGCAAAGAGCTGCTTTTCGCCGTGACGTTTTTTGAACCGTCATGACGCGCTTAAGTTGTTTGCGTATCTTCTACTTGCGCATTGCATTTAGAGTACACTTTTAAAATTTAATCCATCTATTTTAACTATGTTCTTCAAACAGGCACATAAATTCAAATGTCTGCGCCCAGAGCGGCTTCAAAGCTTCTCCCACGCGCAAGAATGAAGAGTTAGCGCTCAAGTAATTTAATATAGCTCTATGCTTTAAAGGCATATAGAACCATTTGCATTTTATGCCAAAAATAACCTACTGAACTATTATCTAAAAGCTTACTTGGATTAAAGATCGTACTGGTACTAAACACCCGTGAAATTATTCCCTCGGGCTGGCTGACTTTTAGAAGATTTCAAGAAATGTAGGCGATTTCCAACAACCAGTCAGTTGACTGATTTTGGAAATACAGAGTGCTATAGATGAAATGGTATTCCATCTGTCATGTTTCATGATCAAAAGGTTGTGCATGATTTTTCACTGTTTTCACGAAAAGTGTAATACATGTATCTACTGAGCTGGAACTTCACCAGGTTAGGTTTTGGACCTTCGTCTTTGGATTTTGAGTGGTGTTATTATTGGAAAAAAAATAAAGTGCATGAAAATTGAAAAGCAAACGGTCCTATATGCCTTTAACCAGTTCACACCGGGAATATTTTGATAAGAACGGAACGAGGCGCGGGATTACTTTTCACTCGACCTCAATGCCAGGCGGGTTGAAGCCATCACCCTCGGGCAGCGCAATCACATTTCCGGCCTCGCTCGCTGTGAGCAGGTCGCTGACAGATATTTCTGGGCTCACTCCCAGCGTGCTTATCTGTCATCCGTTCCGAATACCGCAAATCTTTTGCGTGTATACTCGTCATCCAGCACGAACTGGTTAAATAGAAATATGTAGTTGTTGTGCATGCTGTTTGTAATCAAGGTTAATAGTTGACACTGTTATGTACATCAAAGTAGTGCATTAGCTTCTTTGAAAAAATGAAGGATGTCTTCAAATCTTCCCAAAATGAAATGTAAATCATGTGGAATTGATTTGTCCAAATTTTCTCACACATTTTACTGTGCATTTTGTTGGTATTTTTTTGCATCAGAATCCATCCAAGAAGTTCCCTCGAATATCGAGCGACTGGAACGACACGCGCCAAGAGTCCATGGATCCAACGCTGCGATTGGTCAATCAGATGAACGTCGCCAAGGAAACCAACTTGTTGGTGTACAAGAGCAAAGATAAGAAACGGAAGAATCTGACCATGTCTGCAGCGGCCAGACAGCAGGAGGATACTGTCAGGTAAACAAACACAAACAAACAAACAAATTTTACCGGCAGAATCTCAGCAATTTGCTTGTTTTCATATTGAGTTTAAGTTTACCCTTCGTCAACGTTTTTTTTAAACACTGTATTCTCAGTGTTGTCCTACATAATTAAAACTCTAACATACAAATAATGTTTCAGTCTTGACTCAAATTATTGAAATATCATTTGTATTTGAATGCCTGTGTGTATCTAGACTGGATGACAAGTCGTTAGATAGTCATATTTTGTCCGTGAACTTCAGTCGAACTCCAACGGCGCGGCTGGTATAAGACTAGAACGTAATCGGCCGGGTTGCGACATATCTAAGGACTTGACGATTACGGATCATACCGTTATTCATATATGCAAGCAGCGCAATACATATGCAGTGCATGTTTGCGGTGAGATCCAATGGCGCAACGCTATGCAAATGAGGACTCATTCATTCCGGATACATGGGGAGTTCTTCTCAATGCGTCGGGGACAAGTATGCAGATCTGGCGACGTTTTAAAGACCAAAACAGTCAGCTGAAATTGTGAGGTCAATTGTGTATTGAAATAAAATGTATCATTGTGATATATACTGATTTATTTGTGTTGTGCATGCCCTAAAGTGGTTTTTGTAATGTTACACAACACAAAGTACAAACCCTCGAAGTAATGAGAACGATCTTCCGTGGCGGCCTAGAATACGCTCTGGAATCTGAACTAATCAGAGTGCTCGCATAGAATTCGCTAGCGATGCAAATTACTCCCATACGTTGTGTTCAAAATTGAAACGTATTCGCCAAGTCGGTAATTGAACATCATTTGGTCTTGGAACCAGACTACGCGCATTCCAGCATTTATTTTGCGTGTGTGGAGCCAGTAACTGGTACCGTACGCAAAACAATTACTGACTTGGAACCAAGTCTAATGTGTATCTGGTTCTCACTCGGCTGAATAGCTTCAAAGCATTTAGCATTTAGCTGTAAAAATGGGTTTGTTTTGTAAAACATGCATAACTTTTGAAAGCATGGATTAATTTCAGTAATTCTTTTTTTCTTCACATGAGTGGAAGAACATGCTTGTTTTATACGTGCTTCATTGGTGTATCAAATTTAATTACTTTTTAAGGAGGAAAAAAATTCATTAATCCAGGTCACTTTCTTTTTGACTCACCCTGTATACTAACCATTGAAGCACCTGTAGAATCCACAGACCTTATTCACATGGAAGCCATGTTGGACTGTGTTCCCTGACTGGTTCCCGCCCCACAACCAGAAGCCAGTCTGCTCACAAAGCAGATCTGTTCGTGCCAAAAACAAAACCCCCTTTTTTCAGGGTTTTGCAGACATCAAAAGAAGGTGGTAAAAGGAGATTTTTTGGGGTTGGAATAAAACACACAAGTTGACATTTTTAAATAGAAAAAAAAAATGGAATTTGTTGGGGAGCACGGGGAGCGAAACATAAATGCTTCAAATTTTTCTAAAAATTCCCTTTCCCTCATTATATTTGGATTTTAGAAGGAGATGGAAGATAGCTTCCAACCCAGCAATCACGGTAGCAGCAGCTGTTGCTCACGTCAACACAAGTAAGTCTTGAAATTCCTAAAAATTCCCATCATCATAGAAATTCTCTTAACAGAATTTGTGTCGAGCAGAACTTTAGTAATTATGCTGTAAACTAACGGATGGGTGTGTGATCTATTGATCAGAGCTTTTAAACTGTTTTCAAAAGAATGTTGATCCTTAAGTATAAATTCGAACAAAGAAATGGACTGGAACGGGTTGTGAACCTGCGACCTTCGGATAGCCATTTTCGGTGCTCTACCAATGAGCTATGCAGTCCTATGTTGGCGGTTCCCCAATTTGTCAGTTGCGTTGTTCCAGGGTGCCAGTTGAAACCCATGAATCTGTGTGTGTTTATTCTTGTTAAAAGAAGCTTGAAATGCTTTGGTTTAGAGCCGACACTTGCCCATGATTTCAAGACAAATTTCACTAGTGTGTAATTAAAGTATCTTAAAACAAGAACAAAAAGAGACGCGTATATATTTAATGAAATAATTACAAAGTAAAGCCTTTAAGGAGGTTACTGTAAACTCTCAGCAAATTATTTGGAGGGATTTCCTCTACTTATACTCAAGTCTATCAAACAATGTAATAATTTTTGTTTGTGTTGAAAAAAAAAAGCTTTAGAGGCTGTAATTCTGATGAGCATTTCTTCTTCTTTTGTTTACCCCAAACTGCAGGGAGAAAACTCAGCACCCTCAACTTAGATAAAGACAGCCTCAAATGGAAGAGAATATTGGTAATTAATTTATCAAGTTTTTGTTTTGTATTGTTCGAAATTATATTCATTAATACCTAAGACAGTTTACCCATTCCTATTGGTCAAAAGCCCGTCACGCGGCCGGTCTTAAACGGATGAAAAAGACATGGCTGGCTGGTCTTAAACACTTTTTCAGTGTCAAATGCAATTTGGACTCCCATGAAATCTGGTGCCTTTCAACGTTTCATTGGTTGAACGTTCACATTCCTCACGTAGGCATGCGCAATGTACTACCAGTGAATCAGTATTTCATGGTCCGAAATTCACTCTGCACCCGCCCAGCGGCATTTTGCGCGACATCGCGCAGTACCTCCCAAACACACATGCCTTAATAATAATACTAATTTATACTTTTACATTGCGCACATTCCACATGAATATGATCAAATGCGCATCACAATTATTATCCATGTTCGTCAGGAATGAGGCCACTTTTTCTGCAGCAGCTCGAGATCAGTGCATTCTGGTCTCAACCTTGACAGGTACCCATTTCTACTCCTGGGTGGAGAGAGGCAATCGTAGTAAAGTGCCTTGCCCAAGAACACAAGCACCATGTTCCCTGTCAGGGTTCCAACCCCTGTGCTACACACACAAGTCGAACACTGTTACCATTGGACCACAGCGCCCCACACATCGGGGCAATTCCATGGTAACCCACGCAGGGGGGGGGGGGGGGGGGGGGGGACGACAGCCCCCCCCATGAAACCTTGTCGCCCCCCCAGTCGCCCCCCACTGAGATTTTGAGTTTTTAAAAAATTATCATTGATCTACATGACACCCCCCATAAAATGTTCCAGCCCCCCCCCCCCCCCCCCCCCCCCCCCCCCCCCCCCCACTGAAAAAATCCTGGCTACGCCACTGAACCCACGTAACGTTTGGAGAGGGACTTCCATCAAATTTGTGCTCTATAAAGTAAAAGCATTGTGGGTGGATTTTTCTCACCGAAGATTCCCGTGAAATTAAGAGACTAAACTACCAAAAAGGGCCAACAAAATAAATTTCTTTTGGTTTCACTTTACAGAAAAGGACATGCCAAAAATGTCAATACCCTGCATTCGAAATCTTCCTTAGTCTGTGCAGTGCACTGATGGAAAAATCTTTTTAGTGCCCTTACATCATTAGGGTGTAAGTCGTGGTACCATTTCATAAAAAATATAATCAGGCATAAAATCTCATAGAATCTCATGTTTTGGTAACTCATGTTACAGTTTTTCCCACCCACATTTTGTACAAGTTAAAACATATATGAAACTAAAAATTAAAAAAATTCATAAAATATGAACCTTTTTTCCTGCCTTAAAAACAAAAACCCATAATAACCGTAAGTGACCTTTTTTGTATGTAAAAACAAGGTTCCATTATCCAAAATGAATACCTAAACTCCATAATATTAGCCAAATTAAAGATTTGTTTGGGACAAAAATTCATAACCATATTCCATCTCAATGCCATATCACTAGATTGTTGTCCCCTTTCATTTGATACCACAGTTGAGGTTGTGATGCTTGCAGTTTGAGTATTTCATACATTTTTCATTTTTCAGCCATGTCCACATTCTCATGGAATAGTCCATTGACAAAATTTCTAAACTACACATTTTAAAAAGCAATTACATGTATAACATTTGCTTTTGCAGCAATTTTCAGAAATAAATGGATTTGGAGGAGTAGAATGTTATAGCAAATATTGTTAAACTAACTTGTTTCACGTTTTGGGCTTGTAGATGTAGGAAAAAACGAAGAAAACCAATCATGTTCTTGTAGTCTGGTTCCCTGACCCCACTTAAGATGAAACGGAGCAATTTTTTGACTTTGGGGAATTGTAAGGTTAGAGAATCAGTCTGGCAGGCTTGTAACTCTTCAAAGGTGTGTAATCAATTGCAAAGAAAATGCAGAATAACTAAATATGAAAAAGTAGGAGCAGTTTTTGAAAATAAGCCAGTTTTCTCCAACGCTGCTCGGCTGACCAGCGTTGGAATATACAATTTTTCTTGAAAATGTCGGCACACGAGGAGCCACAATTTTACAGGATGCTTTAGACTGTCATTCCCTAACAATCCAGTAAGGCATTTCGTGATAATTTGATCATTTCATTGTTTTGATGTTTGCAAATGTTGTATCTTCCCTTTAAGCCATTTGATTCTGTAACTATATAGCATGACATTTATTTTTTTCCCGCAGGATATTTTGCAAAGGCTATCGTCAGAACGGGTGGATGAACGGAGAGATGCTGCCATGGTAACAACCCTCATTACTCAGAAGTCAGCCATTTGCATAGGAAAATACAGCATCATTGCTACTCGAAATAGTTCAGAATTTAAGAGCGACATCAATATGTCAGACAGAGCCTGATTGGATATTAGGCCAAATGAAATAAAAAAGTAATAGGGTTTTTTTTTTTTGCCAATGACTGATCCAAGATGGCAAATGGTTTTTTTTTTCTTCAAAACATGCACTGCTTTCGTGAGATTTTTTTCCAAGACGGCGGATGTTGTTTTATCTCAAAATTGCCATCACTTTTCTATGACTAGCTTTTTAGCCTCAAAATGGCTAGGCATTTGTGTTGGAAACAAATATTAAGACACAAGATATTTCTGATGGTGAAAGATTTCATCAAGATATTAGATTTCGTCATTAAAAAAAGGGAAATTTAAAGATAATTGATGTGGCAGGAAAAAGGATGAAGCAGGGACAAGAAACTGGTATATTTTTTTTGTTGACCTTGGCCAAGGGGTAGAATCTAATTTTTTCTTTAATAATCTGGTGTTGAGAAAATTTGGTGGTGTACTGCGTGATGTGGTTTAACAGCCATTTGAAGCTAAAGTATTGGATGCGACTACCTTTTCAAACATCCTACTTGATGTTTGTCTCTTTGTCCATATAGCATCTTGGCTCATTGGACTGCAGCCAGAGAGAGGTCTTATCAGCCCTCATGAAAGTGGTGAGTAGGCTACTTCATTGATTGATTCATTGCGTCAATTTTTTCAGTCATTTATTAAAGGTATAGTCCATCACTTGTAATTTGTGCATTTTGTTCATTTGAAGCAACAAACGTTCTCTGAATCTAAAGAAGGGTGCTAAACAACTAACTGTAGCTGTATATTCCGAGAAAAAACAGCATTCTAGGATCTCGATTTAAAATCAAAAGTTGCTGAATCACGTTTTGATTTGGGCCTGAATTCAGCATCCGAGACACTTTCTGACTGAACCGATTGCAGCTACGCGATGGCGCACACAGATCTGACAAATTATAGCATCCGCGTGCACATGTGCGTCGTGCCAACGCTTGCGCGCGCTTCGCAGAATAAAAAAAACAAACTACTAACGGAAATTTCAAACGGTGCGTCTTAAGACGCTCCGTTGGAAAGACCTCCTTTTGTTGGTTCCTTCAAAATGACAGCTTGCCAGAAAGAATAATTTCACAGGGAGTTTAGCCCCCTTACTATCTTTCAACCAAGTATGCTTTTCAATGATAATTACGTCAGTTACTTTTTGGATAGTTGCAAATGATGGACTGTAGCTTAAATCACCTGATCCTGGGGTGGACTTCAGCTTGCAATTCAGCTTCTGCTGCGAGTAAGGATGATAAGCCTCCCAAATATATTTATTTATTTATACAGGAATGTTAACTTTTGGAAAAATGTCGTATTCCTGACTTCTTCCATAACGAACAGAATTTGCAAAACTGTAATCAGAGCAACTATATTGCCAAACATGAAAATAACACCACCTACCTAATTCCAGAGCAGTGTCGGAGGCGAGTCCACAGTAAGTCATCAAAAGTCTATCACAAGTCACACAGCCCCAAGTTAAAAATAATCACAATTTATAACACCTCACCCACAGATTCTGTGTCTTGATTGGCCGAGAGCGAGTCACATGTTACTTTCTAATTTTGCTATCTTTCTGTGCACGGCCAAAAGTACTATACCCGTAGCAACCAAAGTACTATACCATTAGCAACCAAAGTACTATTTCCACGGCACGGTATTTGTGTGCAAATGGATGCTGGTGTGCGCGTTGCGCGTAGCGCGTATTGTTCCAAAGAGAGCGCGCCACAGACTTGGGTTCAAACATTTCGTGAAGGGGTAGTTTGAAAGAGAGAAATACATTTTCCACCAATTTTGTATTGAAATTGAAGTTTGTTTCAACTGTGTTCAGATTTAGATAATTTAAAATATTAAAATCAAGCAGAATCTGTCGGTGAAGTGTTATAAAACAAATATTGAATGCTTTATCTCGTGGTGAAGTAAAACTAGCCTCCCTCAGTGATCCATGGACCATTCTATTTTCCCTCGGCTTCGCCTCGGGAAAATAGAATGTCCATGGATCACCTCGGGAGGCTAGTTTTACTACACCACTCGAAGCATTCAATATTTGTATACTATTCAAATACCGGACTACAGGGTGAGTAAAAAAAACGAGACCCAAATGTTGGGACCATTGTTTTAGGGAAGTTCTGCATGTAGCAGTTTAAAAATCTAGGATATGAAAGCCCAATTCATAAGCTTTCTTTTAGTACAAGAATCATTCGAATCACTTATGTACTTTTCAAGTTACGGAATTTTAAACACAACCACCGTTTTAAGGTTCTGTCCACGGATCACAGAAAAGGTGTCCGTCCTTTCAGCAAAATGAAAACAATTCACGCACATCCCTATGTGATTTGTTTTCGTTTTACTGAAAGAACACTGAACATTTTTGTGATCCGTGGACAGAACCTTAAAACGGTGGTTGTGTTTAAAATTCGGTAACTTGAATAGTACATGATTTGAATGATTTTTTTACTCAAAGAAAACTTATGAATTGGGCTTTCATTTCCTAGATTTTGACAATGCTACATGCAGAATTTCCTTAAAACAATGGTCCCAACATATGGGTTTCGGTTTTTATACTCACCCTGTATAGTGAAAGGACCTGTGAATTAATGTGACCAGACTTGTAATGGATTAGTTTAAGGATTGTGGTGTTTATTTTTGTGATGTTTAATGTTTGTTCCTTCGTGTTTGTTTCATAAATGCAATATTTTGGTTCATGTATCTTTTGTGCATAAGACTAGTAAATTACTGTATTTTTGAATTGGTGTATTGATGTATTTTATATATTTTTTATGTGTAACATACATGTAATTTGGCCATCAGGCCAAGAGATGTATGTGAATAAAACCAAACCATTCAAATGAGCTGTGACAGAGGCATTCCTTTGTAATTGTTCATCCCCTGTTACATGTGACCGGACTATAGTAAAAGGACTTGTGAACTAATTGTGATCAGACTTGTCAGGGATTAACGATGGACTAAAACACTGACCCAGAGGGAATAGCATTTCCAAACATGAAATAACAATGTCTACCTCTTCTTTGCCATCAGGTTCAAAACGACTCGGATTCGCGGGTCCGTTACGAGGCGGCCAAGTCCATGGTATCTCTTGGATACTGGAGTGAGCATGCGCTGGAAGTTATCGTCCAGCACATGGAGGAAGGGAACTGGGATGTGCGGTCAGATCTGGTCAAGACCCTGATCAATGCCAGGCACATACAGCTGGCTAACAAGGTAAGAAAGAAATGTTCCTTGCCTCGTCCATTTTTAGACTGGCACTCTCCAACATCACTCCCAGAGTCCCTGTGTGATTCCAAGGGTCCCTGCGTGATTCCCAGGGTCCCTGTGTCACTCACAGGGTTCATATCTGATTCCCAGGGTCCATGTGTTATCCTCAGGATCCATGTGTTATTTCCAGGGTCCATGTGTTATTTATTCCCAGGGTCTATGTGTTATTCAAGGTTGTCAATCGCTTTTAAAAAGTGGAAGGGGAGGACCATATAACTTGATTAGAACTAATGCGAGCGCAAAGCCCTAACGGGGTTTAGGCCCACTTAAGGGCCCCTCAAAATTTTTGGATTCTATTATGCACTCTGTGGTACAATCAGAGGCGATTTCTGACCACTTAACCAATCCGAGGTCTGTGATCTGCTGTGGCAATGGCGGTCTGCTCAAATTCTTCTATGAACATGTTGGCCAGAACCAGGGATATAGGAGATCCCATAGAGGTTCCAGCCGACTGCTCGAAGAATTTGTCCCGCCATCGGAAGCTGGATGAGTTGACACATGCGAGCAGCAGATCATGAAGCTGGTCAGGGGTGAGGTCGGTGCGGTCCTTGTATGAGGGTGAGGTCTGTCCTTGGCGATGGTACTGGCATCGGAGGTGGGGACGTTAGTGAAGAGAAAGACGACATCAAAGCTGACCATGATGTCTGGCTGGCGGGTGAGGTCTTTGATGAGGGTGGCAAACTGGTCTGAGTTCTTGATGTGGTGCTAGGTGTTTCCTACCAGGGGGTGAAGTATCCTTGCAAGATGCCTGGCTGTGTCGTAGGTGGGGCCTCCCCTGGAAGTTTTGATGGGGCACAGGGGAACACTTCATCGCTTCCAGGCATCATATAACCCCTTTTCACCGTTGGAAGCCCTCAGTCTCCTGACAACGGGCAGAGCAAACTGTCCGAAACGTTGAGTACCCTCCGGTTCTTTTCAGAACCACACATACTCACAAACGAGATTTTGCCACATGGTGCTACCGCAACAACTTACCTTATTATTGAGTAAAACAAGATAGAAACAAGTTGTAAAACTTGACACTGCAATCCTTTTTTATTTTCGTTTAATAACAGGCTCATAATTGTGGAAATTTTTGTTATTTGATTTGCAGCTATATAATGGTTAACCGTAGATTATGCTCAAACCTGCTACAAACTGTAACCAGTTGCAGCTCAAAACTTTCCTGTTTTTTTTTATATACAGAAAAGCCCCCACACCAAGAAGCTGATCTCAATCCTGAGGGATATCTGTGGTTCCAAGGATTCAGGAGACCTAGGCTTTGACTGCGCGGTCTGCCTGGGCTGCTTTGGTGTCGCGGACGCTGGCGCTAAGAAGAAGCTCAAGGGAAGCTTGACCAGCAAAGACACTAATGTCATATCAAGGGTGGGTTTTTGTTTTGGTTTTCAGTTTGTTTTTTTTTGGGGGGGGGGATGGATTTTTTTAATGGACATCATCTATACACAAGGAAGAGGGCCACTCAAGATTTGAGCTTAGAACTAGAAAGGAAAAAATAATTGAAACATGACCTCTTGGTCTAGAGCATTGAACTTGTGGTCTGCGGGTACTTCTGCCGGTTATGGGTTCGAGTCCAGCCTAGGGTTATGTCAGGCGTGCCCTTGGACACTTTGTCACTCATTGCTTCTCCCCACCCAGGAGTATATGGGTACCTGTGAGGGCAGAGATGGTTTATACTGTGATTGATTTTAGCTGCTTTGCGCCGAAATGGCAGCATTGAGCTGTATTCTCCCCAGGGAGCTGAGATGGTATTTGGAATGTTTCATTGGCCCAGTGAGCAGGGTAATAAATGATGTAGCGCCTTGAGCACCAATACTGGTGGATACGTGCGCTGTATTGAATACATTAAGGAGGTACATGTATCTGGACTCGGACCCCTCTGCACCGCGAGACAACTCCATTGCCTATGGCAACTCGCCCACGACAAGACCAGGTGGCCGAAGACCAACGTGAAGGACTGATTGCGGCTGCGGGATGTCAAATCCGTCTACCGCAGCTGCAGTACACAGTTTATATGTATATGTATCTTAACATTTATTTTACTGTAAAGGTGTTGCTTTTACCTATAAAAATTAATAGAAATTGGTATTGGGGTGCCTTAAGGCAAATACAAACATATACCACAGACCCCACGGTGCTCTGTGGGCCTTGTTGGTGACCCTCAAACCCTCTCTCGATTATGTCATGGATTTTTTTCATTCCCCACCCCTCGACCGCACCCCTGATGGGGAGGGGAATACTAGTACCATTTGTGCCTCCCTTTCGGGATACCCCACTGGCCTTGGTTTGCAGTGCGGCTGATCCACATGGTAACCGTACCCTTGTTTGCATCATTCGCAGTCTCTAGAGATCCTCGTCAGACAGATGGATGCCAGGGAACCCGACGTTATCAAGATGGTCCTACATCAAATGCAGTACTCCAAGTCCTGGAAGCATAGGGCGGCTGCAGCCAGACTACTGGTCCTTATTGGTGAGTACAGACATATGGGGTCCTTGCATGGATAGAAGATTGTGAGAGCTCCACCAATTGGACACATTGCATTCAGTATGCAAGACTATCGTAATTTTCGGAATATAAGCCGCGGCTTATGCGTTAATTTTGCCCATGAAAATGTTTACTGCAGCTAATACGCCGGTGCGGCTAATACGCCGACTTCAAATCTTAATTTGCAGATTTTTGCGTGCTGCGGCTTATACTCCGTGCGGCCTATATTCCAAAAATTACGGTAATTTCTATGTAGCATATAGGATCAATTGCTTTTCATACATTTTGTTCATTTCTATTAATAGCATCACTCAAAATCTAAAGATTAATGTTCACCTGTTGAAGTTCCAGCTCAGTGGATATTACTCTTTTCGAGAAAACAGTTAAAAACCATGCACAACCTTTTGATAATGATCTCTCGTGATATTCCGTCTATAGCACTATTTTATTTCCAAAAATTAGTCAACTGATTGATTGTTGGAAGTCACCTACATTTCTTGATTTCTTGTAAATGACAGCAAGCCAGATCAAATAATTTAACCAATCATTTCAATGAAATAATACTTGTTGATAATAATTTGGTAGGTTGCTTTCACAATAAATGCATCTTTGATCTAACATATTTGCATAGCTGCCAACTGTTACTAATTTTTCGTAATTATTACGAATTGTTTGTTAAATTACGAAAATACGATTTGCCACTAAAACATTACAAATTTCCCATTTTCTACCTAACGAAAAAAAACCATACTTGTAAAGTATCGTTTTTGACCGAAAACCTCTGGTGAAATGTCGCGATAATGGATGGACTGGTGACAAGTCTAATAAGAATGCAGTCAAGCACCTGATAGACATCAATGCAGTGTGCGCAGTGGAGTACTTGAGGACCAGACTAAAACTATTTTTCAATGGTGTGTCATTTGTGTGCATCTCGTGGATGTGTGGGTGTGTGTGTATGTACTGTATGTGAGTACTTTTCAGTGACGATCGTGAGCACATTTGGTCGCTTATTGCCGGGATGAGACCCATCAGTGCCAGATTTTAATCATGGAATTTAAAAAGAGTATGGTTGGAATAATTGGTAATAGAGTTTGAGTTTGTCACAACGTCCAGAAAAGATAAATCAGCATGCGTTTGCAAGGTATGTTGGCGGGATATTTCTATTGCATACGATACGGTGGCCCTTAAATTTTTCATTGTGTGTAAAAACATTGATACAAACTCGAAACTCCACATCGATAGCATGCATCTCAAAAAAAATATGCGCACATGTTATTATTGTTATTATTTATTTGACTTCAACAAACAAATACAGACATTAAAACAAAATTAATATTTAAAATAAAAAAAAAATAAAAAATATATATTTTTTTTTAATTAGCTTTTGGCCTACAGTACAACAAGAAGGGTATGCACATGTATGTGTACATGTAAACCATGTACCTGTACTCGATGTTAGTAAAGCTTTTGATAAAACGAGAAGTTGAAAATGACCGCGCGGGTTGATTACTAATTGGGATTTTGAAAAGTTGGCAGCTATGTATTTGTCATACCAGTTTGTGTGTCTTTATAATAGAGGTGGTCCTGCTATTTGTACAGTGTTTGTTTTGCTGAATTGGAGTTGATTGGTTGTTTCTTGCAACCATTAACAATTTTTACAATGATTGTTATATCTATTGTATTTTCTCCAGGAACCAAGAGCATGAAGACAGATGAAGATGTACAGATGGTGTTCAGTATCCTAGAGAGAAGACTGTATGATGATCCTAGTAGGGTGAGTACGGTCAAGCTGCCATGACAGTAGAGGGCGCTATCAACAAGATGAATCAAATCCAAGTCTTGGGAACTTTGGCACTTGGACCCGAGTGCACTATAAAGGGACAAGCATGTCAGTTTGGAAGAGAAAAAGGTTTCGAGATGATCCAAGAAGTGTTTGTATTTTCAAAATTGCAAAAATGCCCACATGAATCTTAGAGAGCTTACCTTATGAGTGAACCCAGTTTTAACCATTGAAACTTTGGTTCGTTAGACACAATCGCCAGCAAAGATATCCGACTCTTCGTAAAATTTGAATATTCTATTTGAACTCGTTTTACAATTTTCTGTGCAATGTGTTTTGCCACAGGGAGAGGACACACATGTTCATGTGTAAGCGTCTGAAAATGTATCGTAGATGTCCGTCCCTTTGTGAATGTAGAAACCTCACTTATTCTACTTTTATGCCCTTTCGTTCAATACATTTTGTGCACAGCATGTTTGCGTCTCTTTGTGAAATAGCATAATGCAATTATGGAGATGCAATTACTGGCGTTTATCTCCAGTTTCCTTGGCATAAAACAAATGAGAATGTTTCTGTTCCCCCTGGATGGGATGCTAGTTCACGGCAGGTTACTCCCCAGCTAATGCCGGTACCCATTTACACTCCTGGGTGGAGAGAGGCAAGTTGGGGTGAAGTGGCTAAACCCCTGACCCTCTCATAATGAGCCACAAACCCTAACCACTAGGCCACACTCCCCAGCCAATCAAATTTGAGACAGCCTTATGCAAGGGGGAACGTGTGGTCTAGTGGTAGAGCACAGGATTGATCGTGAGGTTGTGGGTTCGAGCCCCACCGTGGCCATGCGTATTGTGCCCTTGAGTAAGGTGCTTTACCTCAATTACTCCTCTCCACCAAGGTGTTAAATGGGTATCGGCATTATTCAAGGCTGGGAAGGTAACAGACTCGCTGTGGAGGAGGTGTGGCGATCCCCCGCAGCAGCATATGAGTCTGGCCCAATTGCTGAAGAAAGAGAGATGGGAACTCCGTTCCCGTTAACACAGGTTCGTCCCCTTTACCTTAAACTTTTTAATGCAAGATACTTTTTGTCACACAGGAGGTGCGCAGCGAGATAGCCACTACACTGACATCCCTGGATCTGAGAGAACTAGCCGCAGATCTTGTGGAGAAGTAAGTGGGCCAAGATAATTAGCGTGAGAATTCATCTGTGTTTAAAGAGATCTTAATAGCTAAACCTTCGATCACATCACACAAAAAATTTCTACCTGAAATTTGGACCAAGATCATTAATTAACCAACATCCAACATGCACTGCATACATGTACCAGTGCCAGTGTAGGGCATTTATTAAACTGTGTGAGATGTGTACAATGTATAAAGAGTTTTGTTGAAACAAATATACAAGTAAGATGTGAAAATCTACTATTTAAATATTTTTTTTTTCTTGGCAGGAGGTTAGAAGATGATGATGATGATCACAGAGCACATGCAGTCATAGCAGTGGTAAATATGTTCTTTTAAACATGCTATCAAGATTACTTGTACGGTTGGGTTCTGCGTGGCACTTGAACCCTGGTTTTGAGAGCAAGCGGGCACTCCCTGTGACCTATGGGTTCTATACACTATAGATTCCGCAAGCTGCACTTCGACTGTTGAAAACAAACAGCTTTTTTTTGCTGTTGTTTTTTTGATGGACACAAAACATTTAACAGCGCAGTGGAACGATGTCTGCGATAAATTAATACCCTTAAATCAGTCTATTCCGTGAAATTACGACAAATGCAGATGGTGTCCATTATCTTTAACAGCTCCCTGATATTAGACCCTGGTGTGATAATACTTTGAGCTACTAACCCTGCTTTACCTGAAATTGGAGCCTTATTTGAGATATTTTCACCACCTACTTCCTAGGGCGTCTTGGGCATGAAGGCAGATAAGATCATCCGGACCCTGCTGGAGATGCTGGAGCTTGACTCCTGTGACTACGTTCGCCTGCAGATCATCAGGACTTTCGCAAGCCTGGGCCTCACTAACATCAAGATCATGAGAGCGCTGAAGGAAAGGGAGAGATCCGAGGGACCGCTGGCAAGGTATGAAAGAATAGGCTACCAAATTGAGGCCAATTACATTATGCTGCTTTACACAGAAATCATTTGATAGGGGATATGGTTACCTGTCAAAATGCCATATGATACATATTGCCATTGACTGTTACTCGGCTATAATTTACTGTGCACACAAGCGGTGAAACTGGCCCCAGGTTTAGGGGAAGTGGTGTCATTGAACCACTGCTTCTTATGAATATTCATGATGAAGTTTAGCTCGGACCTGTCATTGGTCAAGGCATGATGCGCTGTTTAGTCTACAAAGCAGTGCTAAGTATTTTATTATGAATACAGCACAGCATGTATACAGGGTGGTTCCAAAAAAAAGGGAACCTACTTTTGACAGCAATGTTTACCTACTTGTTGAGCATATTTCAAAAATTGAAATTCGTGGTATTAAAATATTGATCTTTAAGCATAAGTGATGAAAAAATGATTGCAAATGCACATTTTGTCTCTGAGATATGGTAGTTTAAAAATGTCATGTGCCAAACCTTTTGTCCACGGACGACTTAATTCCATCCGCATGACTGAGCTCCGCAGCTTGATTTGAAGACAAAAAACACTGCACTAGACTTACACATTGACAACAGTGATTTTGGTGACTTGTATTCAACTTTTTAAAGATTGTTTTCCACAATGTTGGTTGAAGAGCTATGCTTCACTACATTATAAAAAACAGTTCAAATAAGTTAAGTACATTTGTAGGTGGGTTAAAATTCCTGTCAAAAGTGGGTTTCCTTCTTTTTGCACCACCCTGTACAGCGCAGTTCTGTTGTATTGTACTGACACTGTTAATGTCTGTTGCTTTTGCAGGGAAGCTGCTAAATCGTTAAGAATCCTGAATGACCTGAAAGCTTCTCAGGGCTCACGGAGTGCCACCCGCACCCCTGATCGACTGAAAAGCTCCTCTAAATGATCACATGGATCTGGACAAGGAGGTGGGCCAGCAAGGGGCTGTGAAGTCACGTTCAGAACAGTGGTAATGTGGTATGGTTTAAAGGGTCCCTGTGTGATGTCCAGGGTCCCCATGGGATGCCCAGGTGCCCTGTTTTATTCTCAGGATCGCTGTGTAATTTCCAGGATCCCTCTTAAATTCCTAGGGTCCCTGTGTGATCTTCAGGGTCCCCGTATGATTCCCACAGTAACTGTGTAATTCCCAGGGTCCCTGTATGATTGTCCCTTTATGATTCCCAGGGTAATTATGTAATTCACAGGGTCCTTGTGCGATTTCCAGGGGTTTCATGTAACTCCAAGGGCCCCGGATGACATGGATCTCCCAAAATGCAGAAAAAGTTGTGGTTCATTGTAGATGGAATTTTATTATAACTAGTGCAGAGCCCGTCGAAAATGTGCAGTTCAGAAGGGGCAGTGCTCATATAAACAACGCACACGATATGTGTGTTGTTTTCACAGGTTGAATGCACACTCAAAGGTTAAACACAGAATTTGTACATCCCCTGGCACTGATATTTACTCATTCTGGACAATTGTATTGCCCTACAGTTAGGGTTGCTCAGTTGACTGCTTCTACAGCGATGGTTGCTCAGTTGACAACAAAATGCATGTGCCCGTGCAGCCACACACGTACACACGTACACCACACACGTACACCACACACGCACCCAGTCGTTTTTTGCTATGCTTCCGAGGATTGGCTTTGTGTTTTCTTTGTTCCCTGATCTAAACCTTTCCCATAGACTTAGTGCACAAACCGGCATTCGAGGACAATAGGCACCGTCGTTCGAGGATGAATGGCCCCTTTGTGCTCCTTTTGTTGTCTGTCCTCGAGTGTAATACAATACAGAACGGCAGTGCGCGTCACATTGAGCACGCGCGCTTTGGCTCAAACATGACGTAAACAATTGAAAATTACTGTGCGTGTTCTAGGCTATACTCTGCCACGTTGAGGCTCAGAAAATGCTGCTTTTTTGCAGCTTTTTCGAGAACCGCTCGTCCAAACAACTTCCAACTTGGCACTGCACATTCTGTGGTCCCGATCAATATACTTGCCAATTTTCAACTTCATACGGTGCCCGGTTCTGGGGATAATCGACGTACAGACAGACAGACACACAGAGATTCCCGGAATTATAGTATAGATTCAGCAGACCTACCAAGTCTTACGTATCCGGCATCTGTCACATACCTCAGAGTCCATTCACAGCTCACACGCCGAAGAATTGTGCTAAAAATATATTTTGGGAGTTGTTTTTAAGGGACCAGAATACAGAAACATTTTTGTGCTTTGGTTAAGCGTTTTTGCGACTTTGGTTCTGCGCGAAGATCACATAGTGGCATAAAGCATGGTAGAGAGACACCCTCATCCCCAGGGCTAGCCAATGGCCCGGTAAAAAAATTTGGTTCAGTGCTGCACCTGCAGTAAAGTTGCAGCTATCATGTGCCAACAATGTGTTGGGTGCAGACCAGTAAATCGACTCTCATAGACCTCAGCGATAATTACATGCACTAACTTCCAAAAAGTATTAAAACAAATACTCACAACTCTACAGGGTGTTTGAAACTTCCATCAAATTAAAGCTTATTTTATCATCCTTTATTTTCTTTGCTGGATCGCTACAATTTCATCCGAATTTCACAGAAATACGAGCTCGCAGTCCTGTGCACGGCTTCCACCCATCTTTTTTGCAAACCATCAAGTTTATGGCCCACAAAGTGTTCTAATAGCAAAAAGAATTGAGGGCATGCAAATCGTGATTTGGCCCGTGTGGGCCTATTACTGGTCTGCAACCTGTTGTGCAGTAATTTCTCCTAATGTTGATGTCCCCTAAGGCCAAAAAACAAAGTCTCCGGTTTCTGGTATGGAGCTTGCCCCAAAAGTGGTGCGGCGACGTGGCTTTTTTTTTTTACACTTTTTTTCCTTCAAATGTCGGCTGATGACTGCAAATGGTGCCAGACTAAATTTAGTGCAAAATATATGGGAGTCCAGAGAGGCCACATGAAGCTTATACTCGATCATAACCCCATCTAAAAACATGTTAAAATTGTGCAGCAGCAGGATTCCAGTCAAACCAGTGAGTTTGGCGGTTTTGAGACATCATCTTTCATTGAAAAACAAACTTTTTCATTTTGCCGACGCACATGGCTACGGCAACGCGCACGCATACCAGAAACCGGAGACTTATTTTTTTGGCCTAACAGGCTTGCACCCTAACATGGCGCACCCCTAACTTGGCACACTTGGATTTGTTTTGCCTCTTGTGCTTTGTTGTAGAGCAAAACTTTTACCTCCAATTTTTACTAGTGAAATTGCATCAAGCTCTGAACATTCCCTTTCATATATCTTGAGTTTACAAACCGGTTACAAAGTTAACAGGAACATTTAAGTTTGATGTGATATTCCAATTTTTTCTTAAGTGCACAATGAAACCGTTTGAAATTCGCCCCAAAATAAGAAAATAATTTGCTAACAAACTTGTAGTTTGGTACGGGAGTGCATATAATGATTTATCAGATTTTGTTCACTTTTAGAAATTCTTAAACGCTAATTTTGGGATTTTTCAAAGTGCGCCACGTTGGGGAACACTCGGCCGATTTTGTGCCCAGTTTCCGGACGCTACCGTTTGTGAATTTCTGTCTTTGCCGCTCGCACTGTCACTGGCCAAGCTTGTGTGTGATCTTGGTATCTCTGATTCAGTGCATGTGTAGCAAAAGCTATTTCCATGGTGAAATGTCAAATACCATCCTGGGACTTTATAGTTTTGTGACGGTGCTTCAAACAAGTAAAAAAAAAAACTAGTTGCAAAACTCGATACTGTAGTCCTTTTTAATTTGTGTTTTAATCAGCTTTACATTATATAATTCGATGTTGCAGTGATGACATTCTCAGTGATCCGTCCAACTTGCATTAAACCAAAATAGCCCTTTGGTTATTATTTTTCTCATCAAAATAAAATATCATTGTTTTTGTAAATATATTTTTTTGTATATTTTGTACATGATGTATCCACATTTTCAACAAAATAGTTTCAGTCAATTCCAGTTTAAAGTAACAAAAATAGTTTTTGCAGTGTACAGAGTGTTTTTTTTTCCTTCCTATTTTTCATTTTTGCATAATTTTTATTTTTTTAATGAGTAATTTAAAATCCATCATTGTATCATGTAGAACACTGGAATAAACTAAAATATTACGGAATTGTAATTATAGAATTTTCAAATATAATGTTTGCTTTTTTAAACGGTGGGTTTTTTTTTCTGTCGTCCAATAAAGTTTTCTAGATTCAAAATAAACTCCCGTGATTTTTCTTTTGTGCCTCATATCGTCACCGTTTTCACGAAGAGCCACATATGTGGATTTTTAAGAGAGCGTTTTCGAGATAATCGCAGAAGTTTCTCATATTTTAAAACCAACAACCTTCTGCAACAACTTTGTGCAGCAAGGAAACCACCACACGATTCTACGAGAGCTGAATTTTTACATGAATCCAGTAATAACTTAAATAAGACTTAATACAGCAGTTAATTGGTGAAAATTAATTAGTAAAGATATGTGGCTCTTCGTGAAAACGCAAATTCAGGTTTCCGACATATTGGCCCTTTCTGTTCAACGTGTATTTCCATAGGCGCGCGTCAGTACGCGCGCGCAGCTGAAAATGTAACAAACATGTGAAAACGGAAATCTCATTTGACCTACTTTTACGTATTTCCGTACAGTGGGTTTTGTATGCGTTCAAAGGGAGAAAATGTATGTGGTTCTTCGTGAAAACGCAAAATGCATTTGTCGAGATTTCTGCCCCTTGCAATATTAATCTAACTTGGAAATTAATGATGTTTCGCTTACAGAAACATGACAAAATGGTGAAGTACATTGTTTTAAAGCAAAATATTGAGAGAAAAAAATCAAAATCGAAAAAAATGGTAATTATTGCCACATACATGTATGTGGCTCTTAGTGAAAACGGTGACGAAAAACATATGTTTTGCACATAACTTTTACTTAGTAGATTATTGAAACAGACGTAAGTACCAAATGATCTTAATAACTATGAACATTTCAAAAGGGCAGGCTGCTTTTTAATGTTTGTTTGGTGTGAATACATCAGGCAAGTTCTTTTAGCAGTCCGTTTGGTAATGTTCTGAATAAATATTCATGCTGTTTTCTTTGTGTAATGAGCAAATGAAATTTACTGCAGGTTTTTTTTTTTTGGGGGGGGGGTGCTAATTCTATAGATCATTCCATTGCTGTCATATTTAAAGTTCCATTCAGTATGTTTGACTTTTGACATTCCAAACATTGTGTTCTCTCAGCAGTATCATTCCGATTCCCTTTTCTGTGCGTCCTGTACAACTTGACCAACTGTTGTTATTGTCGACTTCGTCAACAGAATCGCTTCTCAAATCAATATTTTCACGTGCTTCCCTCCGTTCTGTATTGACGTCATTCCACACATCTGTCCGGAAACATCCGCAATTGCTGGCGCCGTCTGTTGCAATGGCGGGAACATTTCCCGCCAACTGACAGATATCGTCCGATGGCGATCCGCGTATTGACGTTTCGCGCCTCGAACCATCCGATTGACTATCGGTAAACTTGAGGCCATCCTCTAATTGTGTTATCTCGCGAGAGGCCAGATTCACTCTCTTGCCGATACAGCCCGAAGCCGGTTTTGCAGGAGTTATTCTCCCGATCTGCGTATAATCCGATCTCGTTGCCTCCTGATGCGAGTCCCTCAGGAGGAAGGGAGGAATTACCGCCGAGATATTGGTCCCGGAGGCAGGCGAAGTCAAGGCATTGACGTCATGCCTGGTGAAGGGCGCGCTGGTGATGACGGGCCGTGCGAGTTCGCCCGTACTTGTCGGCCTGTCGTTGTACCGCCAGCCAAGTTTAAACTTGATCCCTCGCAGGCAGTCCAGCTGCCGTGGGGCCGTGTTGGCGTTTTCCCGGTCGCTGTCTTCCGTTTTCCGCTCGGTGGTCGCGCTGATAGTGTCGGGTACTCGTTGCTGATGGACGGTAGTGGATAGATAGGTGTCAGTTTTGGAGGTTGAGTGACAGCGTGGAGACGAAGCGGTCGCAGTCTCGTGTCGATGAGGTGATGGCTGTGATTGGGTGATGGAACCGCGTGATTTACTTCCCGTCCGATCCTTCTTAGTAGCGTAGCATCTCTTACCATCCTGAAAGAAAACAGGGGGAAAATTTATATCGATCTTAGAAAAGCAGGCAAATGACGTAGCCAGGGGGTGGGTGGGAAGGGATGGGTTCGGCTGGTAACGTAAGATTCGAACTGTCTGTACCCTTCTAGTATAACCCTCAAAAGCAATTGGCCCCAAACCAAAATAGTTATGATCTTTTACCGAATGACCCAAAGGCCCACGTAGAATGCCAAATTTTATATTAATTTTTGCTTTGCTTCCAAAAGCTGATTATTAATTCGCATATACGTTGGCGTGGCATCCCGGAATTGTTTACATCGGATTATCTAGCGCCCAGACCTATGTTCTTGAAACTCAATGGTTCTTGAGTCTGGAGTGCTGATTGGTTACACATAGCAACCGATGAAATCTATTGCAGTGGTGAATGGAAACACAGGCCTAATAGCAACCGATGAAAACTGTCGTCACTCCAAAAAACATTAACAACTTGCTGACAATGTGAATTGAGTCACGCGACATCGATCGAATGTTGCATGTAATCGTCATTACGGTGATAAATTTGATTAACTAACTGGCTGTAAGTAGGTGCGAACACGGTCACAGCGCGTGCAGATGCAACAAGGCCATACACGCGCCTCACAGCTGACGTACACGGGGCGCAGGTGTAGCGTGAATATCCGACTCCGTGATATGTGGACTCATTGGTAGTACTGCACATGCGTGAGTACGATAATATGCTATTTTTAGGATCATTATGGGAGAGTGACCTGTCACTTGCGAGGGATTAACCAATAATTGGGAAAAGGGGTCCGATTTTCATAGGAGTCGGATTTCCACATGACACCGGCGATGTCGAGGCGTTGCATGCGCTGCGTTTGACTCCCACGGTGAAGCGTGTGTGTGTGTGTGTGTTCGCTAATTAATCATTCAAAATAATAAGCGCCCGCCCACGATAAGTCGATATATGTGGGCGTTTGACTTACGACAATCAGGCATGCCGGTTGAAACAGCCATATGGCAAAAAAAATGTCTGGATCGTTAATTTTTAGGGTTTACTCTTCTGGTAGTTCACTTCATTTTTGCATTTTTGATATCAAGATGTCCTAAATTTCATTACGCTGGCACAAAACAGACAGTGGCATATCCAGCAGGAAGGGGGATCGAGAGGGGCAGAACGTCAGTCGTCCCTGGCGACATTTTACAACACAACACAACAACCCCCCCCCCCCCCCCCCCCCCCAGTTTAGGACCTAAAAGTTCTAGCAACTGGATTAAGAACTTATGTCGGATTTACTGGTCATTTTGGAAAGGAAACACCTCATTTCTCCCCGGCCCTGAACATAAAATCCGCCACATCAAACGCATAACATAAGCCTTACTTTTAAAGGTAATAGACAACATTTGCAAACATCAAAAAACAAAACTACCAAATTATTAAGTTCCTTACTTGACTGTAAGTGAATAATAGTCTCAAGCATCCTGTGAAATCATGGCACCTGGTGTGCTGTCATTTTCAAGAAAACTGGAATTTTCGTTCCATTTCCAACAATGTTCGGCCGATGATCGATGGAAAAACACTGACTTTTTTTCAAATACTGCCCTCAATATTATTTACCAAATTTAGTTAGTCCACATTTTGTTTGCAGCCTGTTACACCCGAGAACGGGTGCAAGCCAGCTAGTCTGGTTCCCTGACCTGACAATTCCCCTACGGGATTGCTCCGTTTCGTCTGAATTACGGTCAGGGAACACACAACTTTAAAAAGGTCAGTGTAACAATATTGCTATAAAATACTGACCCCCAAATCCATCCATTTCTGAAAGTTACAGCAAAAGCAAATGTTGTATAATTATTACCTTTAATATTGCTTGAGTGAATTTGCCCAATGGATAACGGGTATTGTGGAAAGGGAAAAGGCACTGGCATTGCCCCCTCCTTCTCACTGCTTGTAGCTATTGTGTAAATATCACTCGGGCATTTATTAGCAATTCATTCTGCATAGTTTTGAATGGCTATACAAAGTATAGGATACAGAGTGATATTGGAAGGATTTCGAAAAGTCCTTTTAGAAAATCTTAAATTTGGAAGCAAACGGTGATTTATTGGAACAGAGCATCGACTTCACGAGGAAAGTCCGGGAATTATTTTAGTCTTCAAAAATAGGCTCTGGACCCAAATTTCGTTCAACTTTCTCAGCTGTTATAGTTGCGGTCCAGTATGACGAATGAAACCTTATAATTATGATTCTGTTTGTAAGAACTATTCTTCGGCCAACGTGGCACTGTATTCTCCAGCGGAATGGTTTCGCGCGCGTGGGAGTTCGGGAAATTTATCTACCATAAATAACGCGTGCTGCCTACGTAATGCATGATGTTATGTTGATGCATTACTAGTACATGTATAAACACTGAAGGCTTTTAGAATGTGTTGATAAACACACCACAACCGCATTGTAGTGGTTCCTATAATTTGCAATTTACGTGAAATAGAAAATAATAGTTCCATTGCACACGGGAAACGCTTTGCCATTTATTAATGTTTATACGAATTTAAGGAGCTAGGAGTCGAAGCTATATCCGATTGCAATAGGACTGTATATATATAGGCCATATTGAAAAACAGTGTTATACCGCAACGATATTGCTTGTACCACATCTTTAAATTCTAAGAAACAGGTTGGGTATTATTTTTGTTGTATAATTCTATCCCACCCGAACTTGGCTTATATACCTATGTTGTGTTAATTTGGTTTTTACGTTGGAGGAAAATTGACGAAACGGGATGTTGTGGTCACGTGATGCTATCAAACGGTTCCCTTCTGCACTGCATGCCTTGAAAAATAACTGGTTTAAAGGTGTTGACACAGGCCTATACTATTTAGCCTATAGGCAAAACAATCTGCAAAAGATGTTTAAATGTTTGGGCTGCCCGGGGGGTCTCTCGGCGTGACGTTACAGGGCAGTCATCCAAGTCACAAAATGATATTTGAATGATTTCGGGTATTAACATGATAGGCCTAATGACAAAAAAATGGCTCAATATAAATATTTACTTCACTCTCAAAATGTAGAATTTTTTATATTTAAAATATATTAAAGGGGGGGGGGAAGGCTGTAGTTTTTGCCCAGTATATAATTTACTCACTGAGAGTTGGTGTTTTAAATTTAAGGAATTATATTTGGTATTTTCCACGCCATGTTGTTTTTCTTCTTTGTTTTTCACGCTATTTTGGAATGATATTATTTTCTTCAATTCATTGAATCCTACCACCGATACTGATAATTTCTTGCACCTCTATCAGAAACTATTTCACAGTTGCTTGATTTGACCCACATTCATCCAAGAAAAACCGCGATTGAGCCATCAGATTCAGCCAGGCAGAAAAGAGCCTATAAATAATTACCTTGAGCATCACCGCATGCTGTGGGCGTTCGCCCGCAGATCGGCCCCCGTGGCACGTCCCACGCCGCACGTTGAGTTTACGCTGTCGAGCCCTGTCATTGGCAATAAACGAACCATGGTAATTGATACAAGTAGATTGCAAGTATTGCTGTGTTTTTAAGATGAGCAGTTGAGTTATTGCTGTGACTAAAAACTGTCAACCTCTTCGGGGGATGTTCAAGGGAGACACTCACTTATACCGGATATTAATATTGGATGCCGTTTTCTTATGACGATATGATGGTTATTTCGTAATAGCGTGGTTCCCGGTATTTCGTGTAGTCTTATATCGATATTGCAGATTTCGTACGTTGTGAAACAGCTGTTAAATTCTACCGACAATTTGAACTGCCTCAGGGATAAATTACGTTTTACCACACGGAAGAATGGACTATATTGTTCTTATCATTTATTTTCTCGATGAGATTTTCGTTTTTGAATATATCCCGAATTCTCAAAGATGTTCCACAATCACCATATAGATTTGGTGATTTGGCGATGGGTCATTTATTTGATGCATTTTAATAACCATTTTATTTTAATAAATACATCTGTGTACTTCAGGGCACTCACATACAACACATTTGTGCCCCAAAAAATGAGATTGCGGGGGGGGGGGGAAGCAATATCTTATGAATTGAACCGCCTTTAGCAGTATGGACAGCAGTAGTCGTATGCATCGGCCTCATCAAACACGATACCGCCCACATTTTGAACAAATAAACATTCTTTGACGGCACTATAATGAAAATGATTAACATTTATCATCGACCAATAATGACGTCAGGAAAATAGCAATATTGACAACAAAAGTATCTTTCGATTTACATAAATACATTGCTGCACAGGGTGAGTAAAAAAAGACACCCAAATGGCAGGGCCATATTCTTAATAAGGCTCAGCGTGTAGCATTTTCAACATCTAGGATTTGAAAACCCAATTAATCAGCTTTCTTTCAGTACAAGAATCATTCAAATCACTCATGTACTTTTCAAGTTACGGAATTTTAAACACAATCTCCGTTTTAAAGTTCTGTCCACGGATCACAAGAAAGGTGTGTGTTTTTGTTTTGCTGAAAGAACACTTACCTTTTTTTGTGATCCGGAGACAGAACCTCAAAACGGAGGTTGTGTATGAAATTCCATAACTTGAAAAGTTTATTGAATGATTATTATTGTACTGAACGAAAGCTTATGAATTGGGCTTTCATATCCTAGATTTTGAAAGTGCTTCATGCAGAACTTCAGTAAAAAAATTGGTCCTGCCATTTGGGTTTACTTTTTTTTTTTTTACTCGCCCTGTGTACGTTTACTGAACACAGGCAGCATGCTATACCCAATTTCAATATGATTTAAAGCCTACCTTTCTTTTCGTTGCTGGAACAGTTTGATCAGTGTCACATCCAAAATGTTCTCCTCGGGTTCCCAAGTGTTGAATCTTCATAAAAAAAATAACAAATGAAAATCAACATTATTTTCTGCAACTTACTACATATGTACCGACATCCATCTCAACTATGTTACAATGTGCAAACGTAATTTATAAGGGACCAGAACATTTTTTTGGGGGGGGGGATTGGGTTTTTTAGTTTGCTTGTTTCCTTAGTTCTTTATATCTTTGCTTTCATTTTCGTTAAATTACATTTTTATTCCCGTGCAATATCTCCAGATTTTACTAGTTGTTCAAAGCAGAATTTTTAAATGACATTTGATTCTCCAAGTTATGTTTAATACAGACATTCATTTACCATATCATTTTTCCTCAAGTATAAGTTAGAGTTAGAGACCGTTACTGTCCTCATTTCTTGGTTTGTTCGATTTATTTTTTTTGAAGAAACGATTAACGACTGGTTGTTATTACTTTACCCATTTCTCTAATTTGTGCGGCGGTAAAAATACATGTCCTATGCTGGCTTTTCACAGCAAAATTTAAACACTAAAATTTTTCGTGATTGAACACTTTCGATCCCAGTTAAAACTGATTGATATATGTTTTCCAATGTGCCGCAACAATCTCGAGACTGGGGTTTGTTGTGGCCATCGGAGGGTTTATCATTAATTTTTTTTTCACAAAAGTCGGTTCCCTCACAGAAGGAGAGGAATATACGACGATGTTTGTCAATCAACTCTTTCCATGTCAAAACTGAACGTTTGACATTGCATCCACAAAAACAAAAACAAACGCCGGGACCAAAAAAACTTACTTTGTGGGCCATCCTTTCCATTTTACTAGGTACTCCAACCCGCCCTGCAATAAACAAAAAATGGGATTATTACAGAGTTTATGAAAAAGATGACTTATTTAGGCCTAAAAAAGGAACTTAAATGGCGCCCTCATTTTTTTAAAGGCATTCTGAATAGCACTTTCCAGATCTAGTATATGCAAGCCCAATTAATAACCTTTTTATTAGTGAAAGAATTATCCAAATCGGTAATTTACTTTTCCAGTTATGGAATTTTGAACACAAACACCGGTGGTTTTTTTTTTTATCTTGTCCACGGATCAAAAGGGTATATGTATCACTTCAGTAATAATGAAACCATGTATCCTGTAAATGATATGAGAATAATCACATAAGTCTCCGGGCCGGGGCAGCCAAGTAGAAGGTAGGGCAAGACTATAAACTCTTGACATTATAAAGCATGTAATTTTAACATTGGAAGCAGCAGGTTTTTAAATAAATGTTGTGATAGCAAAACGAAAACTGTTCATAATATATCAAAACACACATCAGAACACTCTCATAACCATGATAACTGGCTCTTTATTGTGATCCGTGGACAAGGTTAAACAACGGCGTGTGTTCAAAATTCCGTAACTTTAAAAGTACATGAGCGATTTGAATTATTCTTTCACTAAAACAAAGCTTATTAATGGAGCTTTTATATCCTAGATCTGGAAAGCGCTACATGCAGAACTTTATATATAAAATGGGTGAGCCGTTTGTGTTTCCCTTTTTTTTTGACTCACCCTGTAGGCCTGTGCAACCATTGTGTGTAAAAATAACGCAGTTGTATTTCTGTTTAGAAGGTCATGTCTGGTGTGGTGAGTGTGTGATTCCAAGAATAATAGGCGATGTCGCATTCTTCTGTTTGGTGATTCAACCCCGGTGTATAATTCTACCAGTGTTGTCATAAAAAGTAGGCATAATTAACCCAAATAGGATTTTTTTTCTCCAGAATTTTTAAAAGTCATATGAAACCGGAATGCAGATTTTCACAATGCTTTGCAATAATAAACAAAACACATTTTGTGGTTTGGGACTATTTTCGACGCACTGCAAGTGAAGTTAATGTAAAGCGGACATTGTTGAGGAAATAGTTGGTGTCGACCGCAGAGATATTTGTATCAACACACAACCCTTGGTTTTTGTTTGTTTTGTTTTACCGCAAACTCATCGTAATTTTCAATTATAGGGTATGAAAACTACCTGCTTAATTTGGAATGGACAAAATGAGAAAATTTGTGTTAAATTGAAATCCTTTGCATAAGTTATTATTACCGAAATTATTTTCGCAAAAGTGAATCGAGAAATTATATATATCAAAATTATTTTTGCAAAAAAATGTATCGACTTTTTTTTAAAAAACGTATGTTAAGTTAAGGCTTGGGTGAGCGCATTTAAACTTATGTTATTGTCATTTGTTGATGAGTTTATGGAAATATTACATATTCCCTGTAAAGAAAGGATTTTAACGTTCCAAACCCACCAATAAAAATGACTTTTTTTTGTCTTTCATTTTGAGTGCTTAGATGAAGCATCTTCAACTTTTTCAATAAAATATGTGACCGATTTAAATCTCTTCCAAAAAAAACCAGGCCAATTATTTAGTTCTTATTTGGGAGCAATCTAAGTCATCTTCAACCTTCCAAGGTAAAACATACCGATGGAGTGTGACGTGTAAATTCGTACTTTTCAAATGAAACAATAATATTCTTTGCAAACCCTCACCTTTCTGCGGCGTGTTTTCCTGATGGAATCCGCGATATACACCGGTCCCATATGGTGCAGAGAGTCCGTAGCCAGCACCGCATCGCCGGTTGCCATCGCGCCGTTACCCGGTAACACAACCTCCGTTCCTCTCATTGCCCCTTGCTGCCAAAATTTCTGAAACTACTTCTCTTAATTCTGTCTCCTTTAATACTTCTACCGATTCCTGCGCAACCAAGGATGGAATTGGTGACTGCTCGACCGATCCCGATCGTTTATGCAACCCACGGACTGTTAAATAAAAACATATGCCTTCGTCATGATTATCTTTATCGTTTGCGGTATTTCGCGCGTGGAAGCGCGGCTAGCAGTATGACGTCATTACATCGACGTGACGTCATCCACTCAAAATGAGGCCGGCCGCGTTTGGGAAATTGATGGTGCGGAGTTGAAGTGCGATCGAAGGATCGAGATTGCTTTCAAGTGGGTCGTACTCATATGGTCGCATACCGGGGCTGGTGTTTCCGATTTTTGTATCGCGGCTGCTGATAAGTCACCAACACTCTCCTTATGCTGATTAAAGTCAAGAGAAAGGGAGGCCATGACGTGTTTATACAAATCAATTACAGTATAAATTGCCCGTGGGGAATGAATGCAATTGTATACAGTACATAATTTTAATCAACGATATCAGGTGGGCTTCTTTTTGTTTTCCTTGGCCGTTCGGGAGATGGTTAGAGGCGTTTTTTGTTGAGATGCCGCGGTGTTTCTTAGAAAATTATTGACGGCACACGTCTTTGCGGTTTCACCTAAGATCATATTGCCACTCGGTGGTTTTAGTTATGTCTTGTCAACAGAAGATTGCTTTTGTATACACGCACATACCGAATTCGTATAGTCAATTAACGTCGTTGTTGTGCTTTTCGCTATCAAAAACGAAAAAGTCAATATACAACACATTAGCCTAACTATACGGCAAAGCATGTTTAAGAACTGTTATTCGGCACTCAAATTAAACTGTCATGTGCTTGCTTGCAATTTATTAAATAATTTTGCAGACATGTTTTATATATACAATATGGATAGCTACGTTTCTTGGGTAGTAATACATTTTGCCCTAAATTTCACGGTTAGACTTTAAACTTGGATGCTCTTTGCTTGCAAATATTGAAATGATGTCTTGCGCAATCGTTAGTTATCACGATGATGTAATTCATGAACTGAGCGTCCGCCTATCTCAAAATGCCAACAGTTTCAGCGGTTTCAGCCCGCCTCCACGTCAAATTATACCCAGCACGAATTGAGACGAAGGGGTACCCCCCCCCCAATCTCGCTATACCCTATGAAAACCATAGACTATTCCCCCCTAGAATTATCTCAACAGAATTCCTGAGATTCTGGTAACACAATGACCAACACAAAGGAAGGAAAGGGGGGGGGGGGTTCCCTCAGTCTCATATCGTGCTACATAATGTGTCAAATGGGACCCATTATAGTCCCCGCCCACTGCGCAGGAAACGACATGTCGTCAATGGTTGACGTGACTATTATGCAAATTGTTGCCGTATACAATAATATGCCTTATGCCTCATCAGGTTCAATTCAGTCGTCATCGGGTGAATTGCTGAATTTATGACTGTGCATGCAATAATTTTCGTGCACAGTCACTGCACACCAGCGTATATACTTGCTGCGTGCAAAATTTTGGAGAAAAAACATTGGTTACATGACATATTCATCAAACAAAAGTCGAGCTTTTTCCGAGATCTTTCCAGACCAACCAACATCGTTTTAATTTTCCGCTGCAGATTGAAGTCTAATAATGAACCAATGTAGTGCAAATATTAACGAAAGACAAGTTCCCGGTATTTCACCCCCTCCCCGTCAACATTTAACCTCGGGCAATTTGTTTTCCAGAGGAGCGGATTGAGAGTGCCCCGTTTAGGTCTGATCAAGGTCATTGCGAGATCCTTTTACTCCACGAAATGTCGAATCGAGCTTTTTTGGTTGAACGTTCAAAACCCAAGCACTGTGAGTCTTTCATTTCTAACACCGGAAGTAACTTTTATCTGAAGTCATGGAAAAGATCTTGACGACGGGGGCATAGGGGCATTTGCCCCCCCCCCCCCAAGTTGTTTCCTTGCCCCCCCCCCACCCCACCCCCAGTTTGCCCCCACTTACCAGTTCTCCCCCAACACTTTACAAATAGATTAATTATGTTCATTTTCTTCGCTGTTAAGATTCATAACAAGTTGAAGAGTGAAGAATCATAAACAAAAATCATCACCAAAAAACCTAGTAATTAAAGACGTTTATGCTGATGTGATGGTGGATTTTCATTTACACTTGATACTTCCTTTAATTTCCCCTTCCCCTAGATATCATCAGATTCATTTAGACTGCCCCCCTCCAAAAAAAAAATTCCTTGCCCTCCTGCCTCCAAATTTTTTTGGGGAGTCTGGCGCCGCCACTGACAACTTCAGTTATACTTAAACGTTAATGCTTGTGGTTATTTTTTATTCCACAGCTGGCCGCGTGTTCGTGTCAAGTCAAACATTATTTTTCAATTGACGAGTGTCAATTTTGAAGATTTTCTTTGCCCACGGGTGACGGTCTGTCATTGTGATGATGACGTCAATGTACTGTGTGTCCTTATTAATGTTGGTGTTTCAATGATAATGAAAGCAATGACGAAAATGTTGCCAATGGCAACGGTAAGGTAAATGCTCGCCGTACAGTGGATTTTTGCGTATTTTTGTCTCATTTTGTCTTTCATGTGGTTCGCGGCGTAACAAAAATAAGCCTCTGTACTGATGACGTCACACTTAGTTTACATGTGCACTTTCCTATGGGGCCAGTGGGGGCCACGGTCCACTGAGGCTTATTCCTTACTAAAATAGACTGAATCAGATGCAGAAGCATTGATTTTACTTGGCTCCAGTGCTCCTGGAAATGTCATAGGGCGTTAGTCGGACCATAGCAAAATAGGACAGATTATTACTCTGCATGTTGTGTTATGCATCGTTAAGCACATGATCACTGCAGTACACCCACACACAGCAGGAATGCGGGCGATCCACGCTCAAATTGGCAAGAGTTCAGTCCATGAAATCCTAAAACTAGTCGTGGATTTTCTGGCCTCCCCCTCCTGTTATTTCTAAACGGGCGGTGAGCGGTGACTAAAATAATCACATGAATACAGACTGAAATATTTAAAATCTGTTGTATTTTCATATTTCTTGTAAACGGATTCTTTGAAAGTAACATCGTGTCCGACATTGACATTCTTTGTTACTCCTTCCTGAGTAAGCACATTCCCCATAGCACATTTTTTAATGATTTTGTTCAGATCATGTTCAACCAGACATTATGCAAATTTTGCCTGGCACAGTTGAAGAGTTTTCCTCTTAATTCAGGATGAAGTACGGTGCTTTCGTTCATCATTTCCCACTTTTTCAATTTAGTCCGCAAAATTAATTTCCATCGGTAAAGTGATCATGAACTTCAGAATTTACGTTAGATATCATGTTTTTACGGGTCCAATATTTAGCGCCCTCTATCGACAAAATGAACAGCGCCCTCTACCGATTATTAAATTCGGATCGGTCATGCGCAAATAAATAGCGCCCTCTATTACATATAACAGCGCCCTCTACTGACCTTAGCAAGCACTATTACCAACTCGCCCCCCTTTTTGCCCCAAACGCGGGAAGTCAATGGAGGGCGCCCTTCATTTTATCAATAGAGGGCGCTATTTATTGGATGTGAAAACTGAAAAAAGGGAAGACGTCAACGTGATTCACGAAGAAACAAATTCTGGATTTTTTTTGTTTCCAAGCAGGTGTTTTGCTAGCTAAGTTACCAGCAATGACATCGACAGGTGAACAATGCTATCCACTGAATTTGTCATAAAATGTGGCCAATTTACTGGACTACTTCCGTAACCAGGTAACCAAGGCTACACCCGCGCCAGAACGTTTTTTGTTTGGCGATCGTGTGGTGTAGCTGTAGGGCCCGGGACTATTATTAAAGGAAGGGAACAAAATCCATTTAAAAATTATTGGACCTACCAAACTTGTTGGCGACATGCTCAATAAACAGGTATGTCATCAGGTCATAGATAGAAGGCAGGGTTTGATTTTTTGAGGGAAATTTGGGGGTAAAATGACGATGACAGCACGCGCGGCGACAACATGCAACCCGAAAATAAAATAAAGATGGCGATCACTGCGCGATGTTCCGTGGGCACGCTTGGCGCACTGAATCACAAGGCACAAACCTTGCAAGAAAATCTTGATTTCTACCCCAAAAATCTGTTCAAAATTGCAAAACGGGTGTCATTAGAACTGAGAAAAGATTGCTTTTGATTGTAAAGGTGATTTTTGAGCAATAAAAAACATTTTTGACTCTAGTCTAATTTGATCAAAACAAAACAGGGGCCCTACACTTCACAAATCACCTTTTGTTTTCCTTTCGATATTCAAATGCAGACTTTGTTGCAAGTTTCTTTACGCTTTGGAAGCACACTCACCTTCTTAATACTAAGACAAATGGCTCCTTTCTTTCTGAGACGTCTACTTGTCATGTAATTTCCAAAGGTCAATTTAATGCTCATATGTAATGGTATACATGGTATAGTGAAATGATTTTCATGCAGAATCACGCTAGCCACAATGCCTACTGTTAGTGTGACCTGCAGATCAACATGTTTGATGTCAGTCACGCAGTCACGCAGTGCGCAGCCGGTTCGGCGACTGTCTTTAGTAATCTTGATGTATAGTACGCATGAGCAGATGAGGGTGCACTAAACACCGAGGATTACTTGCCGAGCCCTAAGTCTACCTCCATGCTCAAAAATAGCACAGCAATAATTATAAGATGGAATTTTTGCGCCGGGGTGATATTATTCAAATTAGGTTTTGCCTTCACCGACGATTTGAGCACAGCAATATTTGTTTTCTCTAGCGCGTCCATTATTCCAAAATGCAGCCTGGGAGTCTACTGTAATCTACACAATTTGAAAACTTTATGTAGTGAAAAGCCTGTTTATAAAATTGTCTTCTTTTTTTAACAGTAATTAGAGCGAGAAGATGAAGAGAAAGCAGCCGATGAGGTGAGGGAGGAGGCAAACTGGCAGTCCAGACTGCGAGGGAAGGAGCAGCAGACATGGCTGGGATGTGAAACCACACCCTGTGGGATGATGCAGGTAGGCTTATCTATTATAGTAAGGGAGCAGGGTAGAGGCAAGGAAAATTATATACTCTCGTTTTGCTCTAGTGGAAATTTTTGAACATGGACACAGACGATGGGAGCTTTTTGTTTATTAAAGTTCAATTTGTTTATGTTAAAAAGAGTGTGTGCGTTGGGTTTTTCTGGGAGCTTTTGGGATAAACTGTCTGCTCTCTGGCTGGAAAAAAATCGTGACACCTGTGGCAAACTGGTCCAGGTGAAAGGCAGTCTTTGGCTTGTCAGATTCAAGATTCAGATTTGTGTAGTATTACAATTTTGTTATGATGTCATTTGTCAGGTTACACTGGGCTGAGCCAGGAGTCATTTGATGATTGGGTGAGCAGACAGCAGCAGAGCAAAGAACGGCAGCAGCGATGTCAGGGGCCCCCACAAGTCTTGGTATAGCCACGCGGGCCTTGACTAAAGGCTACAGCTGTTGCGGCATCTGGACAAATTGCTGCAGGAATGTGGCAGCAGGTTGGTGGAGAGAGACAGTGATAAGGTCATGGAGAGGTTCACCCAGCTATCACAGGCACCCAACCAGTTAGGAGAGGAGGGGAAATTGCATTGATCCTGCCTTTAGATGAACCCCTATGCAATTCAGGCTCTGTGGTTTATATTCCTATTAGTGCAATTTATGTGGTTTGAGCAATTTACCAAAACCCAACATTTGCTTTTGCTGTAATTTTCAGAAATGGGTGGATTTGAACGTTAGTATTTTATAGCAAATATTGTTACACTGACATGTTAAAAGTTTTGTGTTCATAGATGCTGTAAAAACCAAAACAAAAGTGCTGTTCTTGTAGTCTGGTTCCCTGACCCGACTTCAGATGAAACAGAGCAGTTTATAGACGTCAGGAAATTGTCATGTAACAGAACCAGACTAGCTGACCAGATGGATGTGTAACCAATTTCTTTTTTTTGGGGGGGGGGGGCAGTATTTGAAAAAAAGCCAGGTTTTTTTCCCAACGATGGTCGGCCAACTCACCATTGTTGGCTGGCCATCGTTGGAAATTGATACAAAAATTTCACTTTTCTTGAAAATGACAGCACATCAGGTGCCATGATTTCACAGGATGCTTGAGGCTATTATTCACTTACAGTCAAGAAATGTATTTCATAATAATGTAGTAGTTTTGTGTTTTGATGTTTGCAAATATGTTATTTTACCTTTAAGCTCTATGTAACTACCAAGTGTCGTTATTCCTAGCTGGTTGATCTTTATGGTGGTAAACAATTGTTGAATGGTGCAATGTTGTATATGGGTGCATTATATCCATACATGTAATTTGAACATGAGTTTATATCTTTCATTTGGATATAGAGTCTGAAAACAACTAAAACATCATTGTCCTGATGACCTTTGTCACCACTGTGCCCTTTATTATTTGAATATGACTTTTCACTAATCCATCCAGTGTCCTCATTAAGCATGTCTTAAACTGGATCTAGGATGTATTGATGCTTTTTTAAACTAAGTAACAAGGCTTACATCAATCTTCTTTGCGGGTCCCAGAGTGACCAACCTGTAGTCCATTTTGTACTTGATTGAATCACTGACAGTGTTGAAGTCCCTGCAAGTTTTTACAAGTCCATCACAAGTCCTCCAGTCCCAATTCAACTCGTACCAGCTATTCAAATGATTTATTTGTCACAGACATTCCCTTGTTATTGTTTATCCCTTACCTGCAACTGAACTTGTGAAAGGACTTTTCATGGACTTGTGATGTACCTGTGATGGCCTCAACTACAACACTCGTCACTGACTCACTAACTCACTCACTGACTGTCATTTGTGAATTAGACTTGCTTAAGTCTCACCTTGGCCCTAGAGTTTGAAATGGGATAAACCCTGTAATGCCAATGACTGGGATAAAACCGACCCATTGTGTAGCCTGAGGCCACATGCATAACAAGGCTTCCAGTGAATAGCCATTCTATACTGTTTGAATATAAGTTTGTGCACTCGTAGACCAACTTACTAGGCTTTGCCCTGACTTGTTATAACAGTGCAGAAAATCTTCAGAAAGTTGCTTCAAAGGGCTCTTTACTGATTACAGTACTGATTACATGTTCAGTCGACTCTTGTTAACCGTAACTCCCTAGGGGGTGTGCAAAATTATATTAAAATTGGAGGATTCAGGACTGTTGGGGCTAATACAAAGTAATCCGGACCTAGCCAAAATGTTTATTTTATCAGAATTTTGTATCAAGCAGAGTGCCAGTCCCATTCAATGTTTGATGTATTAACCAGAATTTGTATTAACAGAGTTTGTATTAACGAGAGTCAACTGTATTTAGTATTTGGTCATATTAATTCCTTTTTTTTATGAAGCAAGGGAAATTTGAGTTTTTTTAATACAAAATAAAATATTCTGTGACTAAAGCAGTACAGTACATGTCTCAATTCAAGTGTCAAATTATTGATGGTTTGGTGTCATTTGTTTCATATAGAATATCCAAGTTGAAAAAATAGAAATTTCAAATTCGTTGAAGGAAACAAGCCCAATGTTCCTGGAGGTTTTTATTCCCATTTTCTCGCCTTCATCTTCAAAAGTGCAAAAATGATATACCTAAGTATTTTGAAAACAATTTGAGAAGTGAAACATGAAGGTATATTTATTATTAATTGAGAAGGGAAACATGAAAGTATATTTATTAGTTATGTTAATATCAATTTATTTGATATTCCAAATAAAATATAAAAATATAAAAGTATTCAATATTTAGCCGATTTCAAGCATAACATTTTTAAAGGGAAAACAAAAACTGCAAAGCCAGGACTCGAACCAAGGTCGCCAGATTGGGAGTCCCATGCTGGACCACAAGAGTCAAACCGGTTTCACATAGGTTGCTTGTTCTGCTAAATGTTGACAGTAAGATAGCCTTCTCTGTCGCTTTACACAATCAGGCCGATGTACGTTTAGACTCAACACAGTCTGATAGTGTAATCGCGCGTTAAATTTAGTGATTTGTAGTAAATGAAACTGGTTTAGCTGATAAGAATTTGATTGGAAAGGGTAGAAGGTGCAAACTGAGCTAAAATCGTGTAATTCGAGAGCTCATAACAGATACAATTCTTGGTTTCAACACGAAGCACACGTGTTCAACGGATGCAGGAAAGCCCATTTCTTTTGTTAATTTCCTTTGTTCGATCCTGCGTTAACAATAAAATGTTTCCATTGAAGGAATCGGATTAGAGACCTCGATCTTTTTTTACGCTGGAATGCCTCTGAATGGGGAATATTCAAGCGGAAAATCACGAAATACAGCACTTAGGCAGCGTTTTATCCCACATAATGATACTTTTTGAAGAGGAAATTACATACTGAAAACAACTGTAGTTTCAAAATGCGAAAATTCGCCGTATTTAAAAAGTCAAGGTAAAATTTTTGGAAAAATTTTGCCCAAACTTTCCTCTTTCCAACGTAGGTGGCGCTATATAATATCACACCCGTCCAGTGCGCTAAGTTGGTTAGCGCATTAGCTACAGCGTGTGTGTACGGCAATAGGGAGGGTATTTATCATGTTGGTGGTTGGGCTGGCTTTAATTTTGTATACATTTATGATTTGAAATCATAAATGTATACAAATCACTGATTTACAGCTCACACTTGATTGCATCTGAATGGGAATTTTTGAAGCAGAAAATCTCGAAACCTTATGCAGAATTTAACCATCGGGAGCTATACCAACAAAAAGAGGAAATTGCACACTGAACATAGGCGTAGTTTGTTAAGGCCATTTAACCAGCTTCCCCCCCCCCCTCAATATTTTGTAAAGAGTACCCTTTTGTTTAAGAAGTGCCTTTTTTTCTGAACAATTGCCCTTAAAAAAAAAAAAATGGGCCCATTTTGTGAGATTTCGGCCGCTCCGGGCGCCCTAAATTTAACGCATGTATCACCCTAAAAAGCAACATAAATTGTATGTTAGTGTGCATAATCGTCGGTTTTTGAACAGCGCCCATATCGACAGATGGTACCAGCCCCCCCCCCCGCCCCATTTATGATTAAAAATCATACATGTATACAGAATTCAAGCCAGCCCCACCACCACCATGACCAGGACCCTCCCTATTGCCGTACACACACGCAATAGCTTATGCGCTAACAAACTTAGCGCACTTGATGCGGTGAGCGCGAATGAAATATTATATAGCGCCACCTACGTTGGAAAGAGGAAAGTTTGGGCAAAATTTTTCCAAAATTTTTACCTCGACTTTTTAAATACGGCGAATTTTTGCATTTTGAAACTACAGTTGTTTTCAGTATGTAATTTTCTCTTCAAAAAGTATCATTATGTGGGATAAAACGCTGCCTAAGTGCTGTATTTCGTGATTTTCCGCTTGAATATTCCCCATTCAGAGGCACTCCAGCGTGAAAAAAGATCGAGGTCTCTAATCCGATTCCCTCAATGGAAACATTTTATTGTTAACGCGAGATTCAACAAAGAAAATTAACAAAGAAAATGGACTCCCTTGCATCCGTCGAACCCCGCGTCTTTCTTAATAGCCCATTAGGCTACACGTGCACCGCAGAAGCACAAGTTCCAAACGCTTGTAAAATAGACCACTATTGTAGCGCTGCATGCAGATTACAGAATAAGCGAAGGGGTGTGTTTTTAAACCTCGGACTTGTTACCAGCTTCAGAAAATTTTTCGGCTCAATAAGGGGGTTTGGGTTCAGCTTTAGGACAATCAATCAAGCCGAGATTTGGAAAATGGCCCAAATGCTCAGTCTTTCAGCGCAATTAATGATTTGAATAATATGAATATTCACATCAGACCTAGGTACACATTCACTTTAAATTAGAGATTTGGAATATATTTAACGAATTTTCTATATCAAAGCTTTTTAGTGTAATATCTAGCTTGCTAAAATAATTGGGTTTTTTTTCTTATGGAGATTGGTACAACCACATAAAGATGTTAAAATCCCAACATATAAAATGAACACAAATAAACAACAAACTGTTTACATGCTGTGTTACTACTCTCCGGCCGTTACTCTTTAATCATGCTTTTATTTAAATCACGTACAATTTAAGTATGAAGGCAGATTTTAAAACAATTCAAATATAAATATTGATATTATAGACATCTGTGATTCTATTTAACAACCATAACATTTTCATAAAAGCATTCAATGTACAGAATTAAGAAGTGAACCGTTCCATTTGGTGGGATGTTTCAATTCAAATATTTCTTTTATGCATTCCAATCTTTTCCTATAAAACCAATCCACTGCATGTCCTTAGTTAACTTTGCTCACATTATATAGAACGCCGTTGTACCCAAAAAGAAAAAAACCCGTGCGAAACAACATTTTTGTATATAATTCAGTCAAAGGAACAAACGTTTTCCCGCAAAAGTCAAATGCGACAATATAGAGCATTTGCAATTATGACATATCTACATTGCATTAAAACATTTTGTATTTCTGGAGTTGTTGCCCCCCAAACGAGTTTGGTCGTGGATAATTATCGAGACCACTATTTATGTAACGCACCCTTGAAAGAATATTGGTGCGGATGCTGCACTATTGAACAAAAATAACCACTCAGTTTCCGATCAATAACTCAAGAAATACAAGATGTATTAAACTGAAAGTTCGTGCAATTGTTTTCCACGATGTGTAACAGAGGGGTATTGAATATCATGAGAAACAGTCCAACGATAAAAATAATATGATCGTAACAATGTAGTGTTTTACACGCGAAAAATACACATTGATTTTCATTGGGATTGCATTTGTGGCGCTTAAAACACTGTATTATTACGGTCAATGTTGCTTCTTTGTTTGACGGTCTCTTATGAAATTAAATCTCGTAATGACAAATCACTAGACGAAAATTCAGTTTAAAACATCTTGTATTTCTGGAGATATTGCACCCCCACAAAAAAACCCCGAGTTTGGTGGTGGATAATTATCGAGACCACTATTTATGTAGTGCGCCCTCTATTGAAAGAATATTGGTGTGGATGCTGCACTATTGAGCAAAAATAACAACGCAGTTTCCGATCAATAACTCAAGAAATACAAGATGTATTAAACTGAAATTTCGTGCAATTATTATTCACGATGTGTAACAGAGGGGTTTTGAATATCAAGAGAAACAGTCACATAATAAAAATAACATGATCGTAACAATGTGGTGTTTTACACGCAAAAATACACATTGATTTTCATTCGGATTGCATTTGTGGCGCTTAAAACACTGTATTGTTACGGTCAATATTGCTTCATTGTTTGACGGTTTCTTATGAAATTAAATCTCGTAATGTTTGATCATGATGACAAATCACTAGACGAAATTTCAATTTAAACAACTTGTATTTCTGGAGTTGTTGTCCCCCAAACGAGTTTACTGGTGGATAATTATCGAGACCACTATTTATGTGGTGCGCGCCCTCTATGGAAAAAATATTGGTGCGGATGCTGCACTATTGAACAAAAATAACAACTCAGTTTCCGATCAATAACTCAAGAAATACAAGATGTATTAAACTGAAATTTCGTGCAATTATTATTCACGATGTGTAACAGCGGGGTATTGAATATCATGAGAAACAGTCCCATAATAAAAATAATATGATCGTAACAATGTAGTGTATTACACGCGCAAAATACACATTGCTTTTCATTTGGATTGCATGTGTCGCGCTTAAAACACTGTATTGTTACGGTCAATAAAGCTTAATTGTTTGACGGTTTCTTAAAAAAATTAATCTCGTAATGTTTAAACATGATGACAAATCACTAGACGAAAATTCAATTTAAAACGCCTTGTATTTCTGGAGTTGTTGCCCCCCAAACGAGTTTACTGGTGGATAACTATCGAGACCACTATTTATGTGGCGCGCCCTCTGTTAACTAAAAGAATATTGGTGCGGATGCTGCACTATTGAACAAAAAATAACAAATCAGTTTCTGATCAATAACTCGAGAAATACAAGATGTATTAAACTGAATTTTTTTGCAATTATTTTCCACGATGTGTAACAGAGGGGCATTGAATATCATGAGAAACAGTCCCATAATAAAAATGATATGATCGTAACAATGTAGTGTTTTACACGCGAAAAATACACATTGATTTTCATTCGGATTGCATTTGTGTCGCTTAAACACTAAATTGTTATGGTCAATATTGCTTCATTGTTTGACGTTTTTTTATGAAATTAAATTTAAACATGATGACGAATCGCTAGACGAAAATTCAATTTAAAACATCTTGTATTTCTGGAGTTGTTGCCCCCAAACGAGTTTGGTGGTGGATAATTATCGAGACCACTATTTATGTGGCACGCCCTCTCTTAAATGACGTACATTTCTCAAAGTGGAAATATAACCTGTATAGGCCTAATAGTTTATACCAGTCCTAAAGATACATTACTCTTAAAATCTTTATGTACAGTAACAAAAACTCTAAAATTACTACATTATTCCACGTAACAGTTGAGAAATAAGAAAAATTGTTTGCTACTGCTTTGTCGTTTTAAAAACTTAATCTTACATTTACAAAAACGCACTTAAAAATACCATGCTGATCCCATTGTAAAGGAAGACCAAAATAACAAATTCTAAGATCGTAATGAACTCTGACCTCAGTCCAGACACTGAACTTTGACATCACTTAAACACTTAACTTTTAGCCGAGTCTGAAACAGGAGTTCTTGTTAACGGCTACGAACGGCCGTCGATTCTCTGTGGTGCGCCAAATGCAGCTTAAAGCAGCAAAACATGGCCTATAAGAAATTCAATTCTAATCGTTCAAAAATAGCATCTAGAATATCTACATTATGATACGATTAAATCTTACTAAATAGCCAAGAAGCCGACATAAAGCGTCTATTAGTTAAAACTTGCTCCACAAAAGGCTTCACTAATTATTAAACTGTATTTGCTAATTTTTTGCTATATTTGCATAGTGATCTGCAGTCTAACCAATAAGCAAATTCAGCTAGTATTTCCTTATTATTTCACTTCCAAAAATCGTTTTCCCCATAGTTATGAAAATATAAACCAATAAAAGTACATCAAGTTAATGATAGAAAACTACCTAAACCACTAGAAAGAAACTTACCGAAACTCGACCAAACTATCCTCGCTCTCAGTACATGTAAGCAAGTAATGATACCAAGGGAGTGCTTCCTATAATGCTCTTCTTTTCGGCTCAAATTCCTCCTTACTGACCGGCCAGCGGCTCTCATAACTGATCACCAACGGAGGACCTATATAGGGGAAAGGCAAAACAAGAAAGCAAATACTTAATGGAGTGGTTAGGTATACGTCTTTTGAATATCGAGAGAAATCCCCAAACAACAACAAATAATATAGCCAGGACAATGTAGTGTGTTAAGCGCGAAAAATGCAGTCCACAATGAAGTCAACTGTCATGAAACAAAAATTCTCATGTTCCGGACAATAACTCAAGAAGTACTTATTGTATTGAACTGAGACTTCTTCTATTGATTGTTCATGATATATAACATTGAGAGAAATTGTCAATCAATAAAAGTAATACAGCCAAAACAATGTAGTGTGTTAAACGCGAAAAATACCATCCGAATTTAAGACAACTGAAACAAAACTACACACTTGTTTTTCAGACAATAACTGAAGAAATACATATTGTATTGAACTATATAGTGCTAAATGCCAATACTTCTAAATTCGTTTTAAAATACTCCAAACTCTCACATGTATCAAAGCTGCACAGAGAAATGGCGATCAATATGTCATCTTTTCTTTTCTTTTCAATTTTCGGTTGGTTGACCATTGACTTTTCAAGAAAATCTCACCCAAAAAAGACGACCACTATTTTGTCGACAATATGAAAAAAATAGCGCCACTTTCGAGCTCAATTTGCATCCAAAATGCTCAAAATTGGAAGTCCCAAGTCTGGGCCAGAGGTTCATTGCCATATTTGTTTTCAATTTCCAAATTGTATGGCTCTCAGAACTCTCTATTATAGAATATTTTGAGGGCATAACTTTTATTCATGATCTCGGCGGCGGATATAAATAATATACCCAAAACAATGCAGTACGTGTGTTAAGCACGAAAATACACAATCCCAATTGAAGTCAACTTTCCTGGAACAAAAAGAACTCACTAGTTTTCCGGACATTAACCCAAAAGATACTTATTGTATGAAATAGAAACTTTGTCTCTTGTTTGGTCGTGATATATAACGCAATTCGACAGAATATAGCCTATTATAACCAACCAGCTTTAATGTGTTGAAACGAAAAAATAGAATCTGATTTAAAGTCAACTTTCATAAAACAAAAAACAACACACACGTTTTCCGGACAATAACTCAAAAAGAGCCTGTTGTATTGAATTGAAATGTTGTTTATTGATTGGTCGTGATATATAACACAATTCGACAGAATATTGGGAGCATTTGTCAAAAAAATAACCAAAACAATGTATATATGTGTTAAGTGCAAAAAGATCAATCCGAATTAAAGTCAACTTTCATGGAACAAAAGCAACACACTCGTTTCAAAGACAATAACTCAAAAAGAGCCTGTTGTATCAAATTGAAACGTCGTCTGTTGATTTGTCGTGATAGATAACACAATTCGACAGAATGATAAGAGAATTCGTCCCCCAAAATAACCAAAACAATGTAGTATTAGATTAATGCGAATTAAAGTCAACTTTTGTGGAACAAAAATAACACACTCGTTTCAAAGACAATTACTCGGAAATACCTGTTGTATTGAATTGAAATTTCATCCAGTGATTGGTCATGATGTTTTAAATAAGCCTATTAAAGGAAAGGAAATGTCAAACATTAAATTAAATACAACCAAAACACTTGAAAGAGTGTGTTAAGCGCAAAATATGCAATCCGCATTAAAGTCAACTTTCGTTGAATTGAAATTTTGCCTATCGATTGGTCTTGATGATAAAATTAAGTCTGCCGAGTTTCCAAAGGAAATGTCAAACAATCAATCAAATACAAATCTCCAAAAAGAGTGTATTGAGCGCGAAAAATACAATCCGAAAATATACAATGTGACAAAAGAAAAACCCATACCCATTGTGCAGACGATAACTGAAGTACCACAGATGTGTTGAACTGAAATTACCACCGTTATCTAAAAAAAAAAACCTGTTAAAACTTGCTGTAGAAACCTTGTGATCAATGTTAGTGTGGAGTTTAGTCCGAAAGTCAACCAGACAATATGCAAGCCTAGTAAAGATGGACCAATCTGGTCTCATATTAGGGTCTATGTAGTTATCCGAGTAAAACTGGATGTTCTAAACAATCAAATACATTGTATATGATTGTGTAACTATCTCAATTTATTAAACTACTCTGTGGCAGGAAGAATAAACATTCTAATTCAAAATATAAATTATTTAAAATAAACGCGCAGTGAGAACGCGCGAGGGTGTAAATCGAATAAACGCGCCAACTGAAGAAGCCAGGATCGGTCAGGGCCCACATCAGACGGGTTCCGACACAAGCATGTGCTTTTTTCACTGATCTCTATATCTTTTCCCCCTCTGTGGCGACAAGCTTGTGTGGTTGTTTCTGCTGTCACGTGTGGTACCATACACTCAATCAACACGATCGATTTAGCGAAGAAAATGACGTTGGATGCGTGGTTGCGATGATGTTACATCCAGAACATCTTTGACGCTCGTCCAACAAACTGTCATAATTCTGAGTAGCTCAATTCATATGCGACGCTCTTCGGAGAATTAGACATCGATGATTGATTTTTTTTTTCTGAGAAAGAGTCAGACAAGCTGTTTGGCTGATTGCAATATGTCTTTCGGTGGTTTGAAGTGGTTGACTGTCGTGTTTACCGTGATATTGGTTTGGTCCGGCGAATGTTACGGAGTGAGCGAGTCCTGCGGGGAGTTGGCGCACCGCGTGGTGCGAGCTCTGGACGGGGCGCTGGGCTTCTTCGACCGGGAGTACGACAAGGTGAACCTGGACGCGGTGGTGGGAGTCCGAATGGCGCAAAGTAAGTCCAACAACGTCCGAGTGATGAGGGTGCATTTAAATAGGGGTGGTTTGGTAGTGCTGTGGTCAGTGGTCGAGACCGTTCCTGACAATTCCTCACAAGTCCAAAATCGAGTCACAAGCTGTTCCAATTAACTGTGCCTCATTTGTACATTGGTTTGTTATTGTTCATCCCTTAATGACTTGACTTGCGAAAGGAATTGTGAATTTCTTGAGACTGGAATTTTGATGGACTCGGCAACAAAACTTGTTTGGGTGGCTAAATCCAATGTTAATTATTTACGTATTTTCTGGATATATATATACCTTAATGCCAAATGTTCTTTCTTAACAAAAAGCCATGCTGCAACTGCAAATTCTGGATCATTGAGTTATAGGCTTACATGTTTCCAGTTTACGTTTTACGTTTCACCTCAGCACCACAGCCACTTTCTTGAAAACGCTTGATCCGCCACTGGCTGCATGTATATATTGAGGTATTTGACTGAGAAACTTGTCCAATAGAGGCCATCACCCATACTCTCTTATTCCCAAAGAATAAACCAGACAATTTTGAGTGAAAGTTATTCCAATTCTAGATTGAAATAGGGCCTACTTTGTAAAGATAATAAATTTAGCGGGAAACTGGAATCGAGTGAAAAAAACTCGATTTATTTTGATTGAACGAATTTCACAATCGTTTTGTAGGCTACTTTTAGCCCGATAGAATGAATTTTCACTCGAAAGGAGTGAATTCCCGCATTTGGAAATAAACGAGAAGTGTGAACTTGCAAGACTTATAAATTGTAACGCCGCTATGAAAGAGATCATTTTGACTTCGGGATGAGTAACTTTGAATTACTGCTGGTCAGATTAAGAAGTAAGCACTACCCCTACTTCTACTTTCGGACTGGCAAATCTGAACAAAAATAGTTGTTGAGCAGGTAATTTTGGCCAAGTCAAAATCTTTCATTTGAACGCCGACCCACTGCATCTCGTTATCTTGTCTGTTTTCGTGCCATCATCAATGAAAATTGGACAAGATAATGTCTTTCAGGGCTTCAGTAGTTGATAACGACTTGTGCTTCGCTGACAACGTCGGACAGAAACCCCATAAATCCTCTCAATTTGAAGATGTACCCTTTCTTTCTACTTGTCTTGTTATATACTGCATGTAGTTCTTTACGAGATAGTGGTCATTACGTTCCTTACACGATGCTATCGTGTTACGCCTGCCGGGATTTCTCACTCTTCTAGCAAAATGCATATCGACGTTTTTCCCCCTCCGACGCGGTATTTTAGCGAAACGCGAGCCTAATTCGATACGATGGAGTAAAATGGGAAGCTTGATGTACGAAACACGAAACCTGTCTCCCGGTTTGTCTTTAAGTTTTGCATTTTTAAGGGAAGCAAGATGCTTGTTTTGATAAATTCATATCTGGACGGAAACTATCTTGACAGATATGCCCGATATAAATTTTTTTTTTTACCGGAAATAGGGGCCTACTTAATTAATTGACTGTTTGAAAGTTTATATCAAAACAAATGTTTTCTTATATGTCAAACAAATGTTCTCTTATATGACTAGTTTTCTAATTTAAACAATGAGAAATTATTATACAAATTAGAAACAATTAGCCATTGTTCTTCTTTCAACAGTAACACACAATTAAATCCTCTCAAAATCAACCTGATATATGCTCTAGCCCGTAATTGTGCAAAGATGCAAAATATCACGGGCAAAATCATCTCCAATTTAAAATGACTCATGTTTCAAAATGTTAAGTTCGATGTTATTTGGTAAAACATAATACCAACTAATTTCATATCCGTGCCTTTCGGGGAGAGCTATATGGAAGAAAAGATTGGCAAGACAAAACCCACAAAAGTCAGATCGTGTTCTGCTCGGTAGAGCAAAAGTCCGCTCTATCTAGTAATTAGGTCATATAATTATGTGTAGGCCTACCACTTTTAGTTTCAATACATCTTTAGATGGAGAGTATTTAATCAAGTTAATTGATAACATATACTGAGTAAAATCCTGAGCAAAACCCTGATTTCTATCAGTTTCTACCTATAATGAAATCTGTATCCTGAGCAATTTACAATCGTGTGGGATTTAAGGGAGGTCCATTGTTAAAGTCATTATTATTGTTATTAACCCCTTCGCCTCCAAAAAATGAAACCCGCCCCTGATTTTTCCGGCTATTATATAGGCGTCATTTACACACCAGTAGTTTCGAAATTTCAAATTTTAACATTCTGACTTCGCTGAACAGAGACCTCATTTTCCAAATATCTCCGTCTCTACAAGCATTGCAATGTTGTCGTGTCACAGCCTTTACTTTACGCATCGTAAGCCCCCAAGGACCGTATAGCGTTTGGTTTTCCGCATCGGTGTATTGCATTTGTTTTCCTTCTTTCTCTCTTTTTACCGTCAACACGACCCAAACCCCCCACTCTAATCTCACGGAGAGAATGCCAACCCGACCCTGCGGCGGTGCGTTGATCCCTTCCGCTGCACCTTCCGCTAAATCTGCAACTAAAAACTCTTGCGGCCCCGGAGCTAGACCGAAGAGTTGGCGATCCTCCGCCGCTTATGGTTGTCTTATCCGTACACCCGCGCTCTCTTTCTCTCGCTCTGAAAGATAACTGTCCGTGCTATTCACACCGGAAAATAAATGTTCTTTTCTGAGATGGCTATTTAATTTTTTATTTGATGTACAATGTGTCCCCGAAAAAGCTGGCCCGGACAAATCAGCGCCCATATCTAAACAAATATTCATGTGAGGCTAATTTTTTGGGGGTGTTTTTTCATACTGTTGATCACACACGAACACGTTCCACATGCAAACAAGAAGTGACTACATGTATTCAAGGAGCAATGTTTAATTTCATCAGAATCAGATTTTATTTATGAACATTACAAATACATGTGTTATGAAAAAATAGACTTAGTCTCTATTTGTTTGCATGTGAAATGTGTTCGGTGTGATACAGGTTCGTGGTCTCACTCTCTCCACTAATTTACCAGCACAAGCTAATGCCGCAAACAAGTGTAAATTTCGATTTTATGGAGCTCTTACGTTTCTAGTCATGGCTTGAAAATGTTTCAATCAATTCAGTTTATATTTCCACAGGCAATAAACAACATCAAGAGCACGAAAAAACACCAACATAATTTATGTGAACTTGTTTAAGTCCCCACGTTAGGCAACCCTTCGCCTAATGTTAAGCCCGATTTACGGACACCTCCTTTCAAAAATAAATGAATAAATAAACACACCAAAATATGGGAATAAAATATATACATGTACTACACAGGGGCGATCAAAAAAATTACGATTTATGCAAATAAGGCACCCTTCCCAAAAGAATTTCAGGTGTCACGCCTTCTAAATATTATCTTTAAGGCTATTAAAATCTATCTGCCAAGTTTGGTGCTTTGGACCAGTCGGTCACGATTCCGAATATATGCCTCCTGACTATGGATGACTGGGAACATACATCATTAAGTCGAAGATTTATCAGGAGTAAAAAAATAGAAAGTGTTGAAGAGCATGGAGAGTATATCTTTAAGACATTGCTCTCTGAGAGAGATTTATTTTAGGAGTGAGCGGAACACTACTTCCATGGCGATGGAACACGGGACTAAATCAGGTTGATGAGTCGACTCGGGGCAAGCTTTTAACTCGGGGTACAAAATGGCGCTCTGAAAGGTATCGTTAGTGAATCTCTAAGGGTTTGTGCTTGTCCCTGAAGCTTGCATAAAACGATCATCGGGTACAGGATATATTGCCTTCGGTTTGCTGCTAAATTGATATTTTTAATGGCTCAAACGCAAAGGACATCGTTGTAATTTTATCGTTTTAAGCATTTTTGGATGGAAGCTGTTATTTCAAAGAATGTTTTGCCTCTAAGAACTGAGGGGTATAAGCAACTTCCAATTGTTTGTAATAAACCCTAGAAACCTTTTATTCAATTTAACAGGATTTCAATGTTGACAACGACGCAAATCAGTCAAGAAGCCTGCGATACAAATTTTTCGTAAAATACCAATTATTTAAAATACCAAGCTTGCTGTAAACGTTGTGACTTTGGCTTAAGAGAGATGTGAAGAAGTAATGCGTATAGGGCGAAATACATTTGGGTCAATGCCGGCCAGGCATAAAAAATATGAATATTATTGCGCGCATTTACACTGCACTGAATTGACTGATAAAATGTGATTGGTTTAGCGTTACCTTATGCCTACAGGCCAACTCCAAGCTGCACTCGCTGAGCTGGATGCGGCCAAGCCACCAGAGCTGAAGTCCTTGCAAGACGAGCTGCAGAAACTATCTGACCAGGCAGAGACCATCTGCGATCGGGCCATCCCTGTGGTCAAACGGCAATATCCCAAGGATTACAAAGGTGAGATACTGGACCCAATATCGAGCTGCTCTGCATTGCACAGAAATCTTCCAAGCACAGAAAATATTTGCAAGGGCCTATAATAGAATGTTATAATGCAGTTCTTGGAGTGCACAATAAAGGGGCCATGAAGTGAATTTTTCTTAGAAACATATTTCGTGCAACTTTCTACTCCTCTTAAAATGTACGAAAAATATTTGACATCCCTTTTTTGGTAAATATGATTGAAAAGTGGATTTAATTCTTCAAACATTAAAACAATAGTGTTTTTCCGTACAACTGAGGGCGCTATTGCTGTGATGTCATTTCAGGAAGACACTGTTCAGTTTAGGGGATTTCTGTTCAAATTTTGAACCCAAACATTTGATCATTGAAAACATCTTTAAGAAAAGTTTGCTCACTGGCTCTACATGCATGTACTGACGCAACGAGTCACCAAAGAACGTATGGTGCTAAAATAGCTGTAACATTGAGGTTTCTGCCTGAAATTACATCACAATTTTGCACATGAATATTGATATTCACTTTAGTATAATAACCCCAAAAGGCACAAAATACCCATGAAAATGGCGAAACAAAAATTTAAAATAAGGTCAAATGTGATATGAAGGTGCATTTTCAAGGACTGCAATAACAAAATTACATTGCATGGACCCTTTAATGTCCCATTCATCTTTATTTTCAATCTGCATATTGCCAATTTTCAAGGGTATTTCGAGGTCTCGTTGGTTTTGCTGCTCATGCGAATTTCCATATTCATATTCACTTCAGTGTTAAAGCCGTTTTTCGTGACAACGAAATAGCCAGTTGTGCCTATGAAAGTTTTGAACCCAAGCAGCTTAATATGACCTTTGACACTTTGTCAGTCAGAAAATAAATTGAAGGGATATCATGATAAACGAAAGAAAAATGGGTGGCAGCATAAAAGAGCCATGTGTAAAAACGCGAGAATGATTACATAAAATGATTATAAATTAATTTCATCAAAGTTGCATAACATGTGAATGAGATGAAATTCTATAATCTTAAGAAAAGCATATTTTAGTATGACTAAACACAACACTATCCACTAATCAGTCACTCGGTTTTATTTATTTTTGTACCCGTATACTGGGCGAATTTTTTTAGAGTAAGGGGAAAATCACAAAGGGTTTTTGCATAATGATGGCAAACTCTAACATCACGGTTGACATTTGGAAAGTTAAGAGGATGAATTCTAAAAGAGAAGGGCATTTGTCATGTTCAAGAACCACTCAGGAATGGCCTTTCAAGGCTACCGCACAATGCTTGCATCTTCCTTTTAAAGCATCCGTACAATATACAGCGCTTTTTCCCATTGATATTGGAGAATAATAATCCTATCAAAAGCTTATCCGTGTAATTAAAGGGGAAAAGACACTCAGAAGGGACGGTATTCGCCAGGCATTGAAAACAATACAGGTCCACGGTAACAGAAAGCCTCCGAGTTGAGGATTCGAGAATCATTTGTCTAAAGCAGATTCACTTCTCATAGGCCTATTCCAACATCCTTAGAAAAGCAATTGCAATTTTGTGTTGTTGACGACTTGACTATATATCACTAAAGCAGCCGAAAATTATGCAAGAACTAAGACCAAAAAAACGTCCGCTTCCAATTACATGGCATTTGAAAATAGGGTTGGTTGGAAGGGAATTTTGTCTTGGTGTACGATCATATGGAGGTGTCTACGTGTAGTCAAGGGTAAAAGGTAAAAAGGGTAAAAATTGATGATTTTCGGGTTTTGCCCTCATTTTTCCCAAAAATAATTAGGGTAGGGGCTGTCAAAATAAGATAGGTAGGGTAAACGGAAGCAGAACTATTATTTGTTTTGGCCTAAAACAACTGGAAGTAGTTGCCAAGATTTCAATTTTCCAAAATTTCGTTGATTTTTATCCCTGTAACTGGAAACTCGACATGCAAAAAAACCTTCGTAATATAGCATTTATCGATTCACAATCGGCTCAAATGACGCCAATAAAGATGGCGAGATGATAATTACATCGAAAGATATATCACTCTGTTTTTAATTAATTCCGTACTCAGAGAATTCTCTTTACTTTTCCAAGGTTTTAGTTTTGCAATTTACTCAGTATTAGGCAGTGTGTGAAATTTGCTAATATATTTGGGATAAAGTGCAGGTTGACACCCACATGAAACAAGACTATGAACAAAGACCGAACTAACTATTTATGGGATCCCGGAAAAAAAGGGTCAAACGCCCTTTTTTCGTTCCGTATGGAGAATCAGTTCACGGCCTCGATATCTTCTCCGTGCTACTGCAGCTGCTTGTCTGATGCAATTTGTGGTCCGTCCCCCGCTTGATGATAAAACCTAATCATCAGCATCAGGTGGGACGAGGCACGCGGACCGGCCCTGTATAAATGGGAAACATCAATTTGTCTCTTCGGCCGATCAACATTGTTAGTGAAAAGGGCTAAGTGAATGCACCTGCAGTGTCCGTTCGCGTATATTATCATTCTCCGCGACTGTTGCAGTTTATTAGTGTAGTGGCTTCGTTAGTGTCGAGCATAATATAGCTTTGGCATGGCGTATAAGGAAAGACCCGGTCACGTAATTTCCTCAGTACAAGGAAGGAAGGGCGGAAAGGCCTCCTTATTAAACATAATTACACACAGGTAACAATTATTATTGCCCACTTTTTCGAGTTCATAAGCGTGTTTTTACTTTTAAGACTCCTTGGGTGATTCTCTCAATAATTGTGTACAATTATTCATTCCCATGGTTCCTCCCGCATATTGGAGAATTCTGTCTCCCGGAAAAAAATCCACCAAGCCTCTTCATTCAACACAGCGTTGTTTTAGCAATACATGTCTTTTCTCAAATAAGCGGAAACTAAAGACGAATCCAGGAACAGCGATCAAGAAGCGGCTGAAGCATTGTGTCAGTTGTACGAAGCTACTGCCCCTTGACAAATTATCTGAACAATAGCTAGCACAATGCTATCGCCATTGAAGGGGGCCTCCGTGACAGATGTGACCGCGTGCCCGGATTGGTTTATAGAGCATGCAATTTCAAGACTATGAAGCTTTAAAAATGAAGAAAAAGGTTTCCTCGCCGGATCATAAATTAGCCATTTTAATCATTTTGGTCTTTATGTTTATTCTGTTTTACCCACACTGTTTTTTCCCCTCAAAGTTGGTGTATACGTGCTTGTTGGGTGTGGCACTTGAAAATAGATTTTCAAATCGAATCAATAATTTTCTAGCATTACATTAGTTATGAGCGTGGCCAATATGACATCGCACGAAGAAAATCGGCCCACGACAAGTGATTAATTAATTAATCTCAACTTTTAAAATTAAGAGCGGGACGCTCCTAAGTTCGTTCTGAATAGTGTGCACAATTTGTGAACTGAAGCGCGCCATTTAAAAACCACATTTTAAAACTGTATAAAGGCCTGCAAAAACAAACATACACATTTATTTGTTACAGGACATTATATTCCTTTAAATTTCGTTCGGACAATAAAATCAAATTTTATAAAAGCACGTGTATACAAACTTTGAAAGAAAATATTTGACGTTTAGTGACAAAATATTCCCGTACGACAAAAGAAAAATTTATAAATTTAAAAACTGTCAATAAATGTACATGTTTGTAATTGTTGATTGTAACTCACATGCAATATAATGAAATGTTTAAAGCATTCACAATGACGCGTATCGAAGGTAGCAACATAATAAAAAGCCCCTCTCCTTCCAGATTTAGGCCTGCTCATCAGCGGCGATTTCTGGAATGCTGGGAGTACGGCGGAGAAGCGGCAGACGGACCGGTCTCTGGGCAGTGCCCCACGGCAAGACGAGGGATGGGAACCCCTGAGCGAACCGCTGACAGATCGGTGCATCAGCCAGCTCCTCGGAACAAAGTCAGTATTCAATCTATGTTGCTTCCTACTCACCAAATGATCAAATTGTTCTTATTTCCAGGAAGTGTTTTCAGAAAGGGACTTAAGTAGCGTAAATGAGTGGGGAAGTCTCGCAACCTGACGTTCACTTTTGTGTTAATGCCTTAATTGTTTACCAGGCCTGCAGCCGACGTAGGCGGGGTGGGTTAGTGGGGGTGAGGTGGGCGTTGATTGTTGGGGTAAAAAAAGTCCCAGCACATAGTATTACATGGCCCCACTTTTAGCAGTCAATCGTATATTAATAACTGACAAAATAAAATAAAAACCGTGGACCTTATAACTTTCAATGGTTCAAAATAAAGATTTCTAGCAGTTGTGCCATTGATACACCATTTCTTTCAGTAAAAAGTTCACTTTTAGTAAGAAAAATCCAACTTCCTTTGTAAAAAAAGTTCCAACACTCCCACCAGGCTGTCTGTGGACGTGGTAATCAATACACACTAGTCTAGCCACAGACTCTTCTGTCTATCATTATCAAATGGTGTCAAACCATTTAAAGTGGCCACCACAATAGGAGGGGTTTTGCCAGACTGCGGGACTCCGGCTCATACAGATAAAATGAATTTTTTTAAACCGGTGGTTGGAACACATTTAGCGGCCTTCGTAAAAAAAATGCTTCCTGTCATTTATTATACAGAACCGAGCCGTGCAGCATCACATCGTTTTGCTGGCTTGCGATGACGCCTCGAGGCTACCGTAGCTACTCGCTTAGCCACCAGGTCCTGTACCTCACAGTGGGATCAATGGTAAATTCATATTACAAATGACTTCATTTTCCTGCATAGGGCTGTTTTCTAAACCCTGGCATCATCTCCGTCTCCGGCTCCAGCCCCATATCCAAACATCATGAATGAAGCCAGAGACGCACACAAAGCCGGGGTTTGGAAAACGGCATGGCTACTAATTTCCAATGGACGGCACATTATTGTGAACGAATGAGGGCGGTGTTACATCGGCATATTCTGGGCCGGTTTATCGAACTCTACTTCAATGTAAACTTGATTCCTCTTTCTTGTTTTTAACCCCAAAATAACGTCTTTGGGGTGACCGGACCCCATTCAAACTATAGCATATTGGTACTGATGTAATCAACATATGGGCTCCATTAACGATACATTGTCTTCTTTTTTATTCAAAAACAAAAAAAACTTATTTATTTTCTGTACGCTGCACATTCGGATGCGGATTTCGAGTGTCCCTGATGCAGACTTTGGAGAAAGATGAGACTCACCCAAAATGGCGCATGCTGGAATAACTTCCCATAACAAAGAGAATAACGGTAACAAACTGAGCGAGCCTGGTTGGTATATGGAGTGAAGAGAATCGTGATTGGCTTATTTACTATTTTATATGCACGCGAAGTAGCTTGCCTGAAGAGGGCGTACGTTGTGGTGCCTTCCCGCTAAGGCGCGTGTTCGCCCGTTCCCATCGCCCTTACCCAAGGACGCTGGTGAGCGCTAATTTTTTTGAGCTTTTATTTGATAAATTCTGTATAAACAGTGACCTGGGGCCAGTCACATGCGAAGGAATAAGAGATTTTTGAGCGTGCAAACATTAGCTTGAAAATGTAGCAAAAAAATTGAAAAAGACCAGACGTGTTTGCTGCCACCAAGCGTCTCAAAAGTCTCCCATTGACCAATCCGTTTGGCTCCGCCCACTGAGTACGTGGACAACAATGGATGCGCTTGTCCAATGCCACAGTGCATGCTGGAGCCGTGCGCATTGAATTCACTTAAAATGTAATTATTTTTTCATTCATTCGTCATTGCTTCCAAATCATTTTTAAATTTGCTCTGTCTGTAAATATTTCATAGCGATTTACATCTTCCCCCACTTCTTTTTCTCGAGATGGGCTGTGAGTCTCACATGATAAAGCGACTCCATACCCCTGATGAGACTGACAGAACAGGCGGGTCGATGCTGGACTCACTCACGGACGGTTTCTGCTCTGACGTCTTGAGGGAGGCAGAGGCGACGGCTGGAGAAGGGTACCCGACTGGAAGTCAAGATCTCTTCATGGAACAAGGTATTGGTGCAGACAATTAAATGTCATGGTCAACAATGATTAATACCCTCGCTTCAATCAATCCGGGGAGGAAAAAAAATCATCAGCACTACCAAAGCGTTTGAATCATCTATCAAATTTAAGCTTATGTAATCCTCTTTTACTTTCTGTTCATTTTGTTTTGGTACTTACTAATGACTTTGGGGTGATCGCCCCTAACGGTAGCTCTGAAGCCCTTCGCCATTTTGAAAAAATTATCCCTCCACCCCATGTCAAAATAGAGCGACATAAAAATGTATACAAGTTGAAAACCCGGATTGGACCTTCCAGTGCTACGAACCCTTAAACGGAAGGGTATCAAAACTCTCTACTTAGGGAGATACATTCTAAATAAGTTACACTTTAGCCTAAAATCGTTACCACCGTCATGAACCACACATGATGATATTTTTTCCGATGAAAATCTGAGGAAACATTTGTGTTTCTGGACACGAAACCTCTCCGAAACCAGCGATGCCACACATGTAGGCTTGTCCCCCCCCCCAAAAAAAAATACGGGGAACATAACCATTTCACATGACTGTATCATGCGTGAGCATAATAATCTATGTGAGAAATCATGATCATCCTATCCTAACACGATACTTAAAGCCTATGAACTTTGGGCAAACCAAAGACTCTTTTTTAAGACTTTAATATGCCAATTTGTATTGGCAGATTAATTTTTTTATTAAAGTGTGTGCATTGACGTTGTCTTTTGTACCTGGAGTCAAAAACTACAATATAGAAACGATACATCGGCACATAGATAAAACGAGTCAGCGATGCACAAGGTTGCCATGGCATCTGCTGTGCTACAGGCAATGTGGTCAGGAAATTTTGAAGTGTAAATTTGGAAAGCGTGTATAGTTGTGATCTTGATTATTAAAATCGCCGTCAAATCAAATTTATACATTTCTTCTGTACCTTCAGTGCTTCTGTGTGGCCTGAAGGGATACGAGGACTTCTTCCGGTTGCCATGGTTACAGGCTGTGCTCAGCTGGCAGGATGCAAGTGGCTGCTTCAAAAATGATGTCTACCGCCCTCATGCGTCTGACGTGGATCTCGGTAAATCCTGCGGAACCAAAAAATAATTTGTGTGATAACTGATTTTGGACATTAGAAATGACGCTACAAGGCGTCATGTCATGTGTATTCTGTGTAGGGCTAAGCACAATTTGACAACGGGGTCTCCTTGGGATCTTGAAAGGAACTTTAATTCCCAGATTTTTGAACCAGAAAATAATCGATATGTTACTGAAGCTGGGACTTAAAGCCAACAGGTGGCGCTCTGACAAGTCTGTCCTTATAAATAAAACGTTATGGTGACTCGCACAAGATTACAACAGATTCTACGAACTTCAACATAGTAAACGATTATGTATTCATGGTTGTATAGTGCTTTCAACTGGCTGCCCAACTTGCTGCGTTTGTTTATAGTGTAAATCGAGGACACACAAGTGTAACATATCATCGGTGAATCGAGGACAGCTAGGAACCAAATCGAGGACGACCTCGATTGGAAAACGTGTACAAAACCAATGAGAGCTGTTGCGAGTACAAACAAAGGAAAGGGGAAAACAAATAAATATCCTCGATTTACACCATAAACAAACGTGGGTGCACGGGTGGGGGTGTCAGCTTATGTTTAGGAGAGGGGGTCCCAATCTCCAGGTCGTTGACATTTAGTGTGATTGAAAACGTACTAAACGCCCAGCAGCTAATATAGTGCGCCCTCGCAGACAGTTAACGCTGGAAGATCACTGATCACGAGCGTCTCGAAGAAAGCCTAAGATATGTCAGACTGTTTCAATACAATTCCGAAATTTGTTAATAACACTTTTTTTTCATAGATGATCCGAAGAATGCCGATGTGTCTGGTCACGTCAGGATAAGAAGACGAGAAAATGAAGTTAGCGGTAAGCCTTGAGTGATAAAAGATGAGCTGAGATAAAAAGAGACTCGAGTCCCGCCAACAATTAATTATGTTCCCATCCCCGTCACCAATAGTGCGAACGTAAGAGGGCGCTAAACAGGTTAACGGCATCGTACACGAGACAATTTTGCTACTACTAAAATAATATGATCGAGAATTTTTAAAAAGGAAACATGGTAAGTTGGCTGACATTGTGGCACTGTGAAAATGAAGGGAATCTAGTCCATAACTAACCTTTATGCCATCAGCCTGGGGTTTGGTCAGTATCAAATCAGGGCATAAATGATTATAGTGCGCATGCGCAAGGTATACCGCCCCTAGAGTGGTAACAGACATTTTGATGGACAATTTGAAAAAAGGGTGATAACACCCAAAAAGCTGCCACCGCTGCAATGCTATCACATATTTTCCAACTCTGGAGGTGTATACCTTGCCAAGAATCGCTATGACGATTATTCCCCTCATTTGATACCGGTGACCAACATTTTGGACTGAGGCTGATGGCCTACTTAGTCGCACAACTAACCTTAGTCGCTGGCTCATTTTGTTTGAAATTTTTCTGCTTTTTGTGAACAAAACGTGCCGGGATATGCCAGTTGACGTTGTTTAGTTCTTCATGCTTACCTGTTCAACTATTTTTTCACTGTCCTTTCCTTTTCTTAATCTACGTCATTAATGAAAGTAAAATAAAACGACGTCAATTCCGACCGACCGCATAGGCACGTAACAATTCTCTGAGGTAAATACATTTTGTATAATGAGCCGACGATATTTATCTGCGGCTGCAGGTAGTCATGCATGGTTGCCATGGATACATGTCCCATTATTTTTAGAAAAAATACGGGTATGGCCTGGCACGATTGTTAACAATGGTGGAAGTCATTGTCTAAACTGACATAATGTCGTGCCAGGGTTATTGGACGAGAACTCGTTCTCCCGAGCGCCCAATATGAACTGTTAAAAAAATAATGCTGCGTCATTGGACAGCTACAGAGCTTTAAAGGCAAATTTTTCGGAGAGAATTATTTGACACAGTTTCTCTCTTTATAGAAATTAAAAATAAAACAAAATTTAAACGAACAAAGATCATTTTTCTCTCTGCTTTCTTTTTAGTCTTTCAAAAATACTGTTTTGTGTGTGATGTATTTGGCTTAATGCTTGAAATGCACTAACAGCTTTTGTGTCAGAAGTGGGACGGACTGGTGATTGTATTCGGAAATTAAACTATAAAACAAAATCGAAATTGAATAAGGTTAAGACTATGCCTTAAAGATCAAGAGCAATTAACACACAACATGTCAGTGACGGGATTCCAAATTGAAGCAATGTCAGTTGATAAATACAATAGGCTAATGTTCATGTTCTGTGCCAAATTTCCGAAAAAGCAGAAAGTATTATTGAGCTAATTTATTTCCCGAACGAAAATTAACGGACAGCTCAGCCACTTGACTTTATCATTATGGTTGATATCTTTCGTCGCTTAACCATTTATTTCGCTGTTAACATATTTACGGAAATCGTTCGTTGTGCATGCGTCAGTTGTCAACCGAAACAAAATCCTCCATAGCAATGAATCATAAAGAAAAAAAATGAAATACATACTTCAGTAAAAAGTTGGATTTAACTTAAAACAATAAAATTAAGAAAATGTTTGGTTTGTAAAATAGAAAAAACCAAACAACAACAACTTCTCGCGAGATTCAAGCCGCCCGAAGCGCTTGATTCGGTGCAGCATTTTAAAAACCTGATATAGATTCGGAATATATATATATATATATGTTGCAATTCCGTGCTATAGCCGTTGACAAATATGTTACGGCTTCCGTGAAAATAGCCACAAAGACCACTGGTATACAGTAGGCCTCATCCTTTTTGCATTGACTTAATAATGATTTCCTTCTCCTTTTTTCCTTTCAAGGGACTGGTTGTCTGATGCACAAGACGGCAGTGGGCACGGGGTTCCTGTCAATTTACCTACGGATGCTGATAGATACCATGGCGACGGGAGAAACTGTGACAAACTGCCTTTGAACTATTTCCTGGCCCGCAACAATGGGCATTGTTCGTACAACAATCCACTCGGAAGACGTTGAAGAAATAATTAGGCCATAGTAAAACTGAGATTTGCAATCTCATGCGAGGATTGGTTAATCCACTTATAAATATTTAAATTAATATGTTTCGCATGTTTGTTTAGAAGTCCATTTTGCCTGTGTGGTTTATATTTATGACTTTTTTTTATAATTAATGTCTTATATGCGTCATTTTGTGACACTGGAAAGCACATGAGTTTTATCAAACTCAAACTATACCTTAACTGAATATTCATGGTATTGCTACTAAAGAAAATGAATCTTGGAAAAAAATCGGAGGCAAATGACAAAATAAAATGATGAATGATATCATTCTTTAATTTTTTTGAAACAGAAATTACGAAATTGGGTAGCGGAGGGAGGGGTCGTTGTCTGAGTATCACCCGTTATCCACGGAGCCAAGTCTCCTGTATAACGTCTGATATGTCTAAACATGCTGATATAGCCTATGCACTAAAAGGCGCGCAGAAGCCAGTCAGAATTGGAGTACTAAAATTGTGATTTCATTCCCAAATCAGGACTAAAACTGTGATTGGTCAATTCGAATGCAATGTTTTTGAACAACAGCCGGGCGCGTGTCGCGTATAATACAGAGAGCGTGACCACAACCTTTGTTGCCGTGTCTAGCGGGTTTTTTTTTTTTTATCCATGTCTAGACGCGACAACAGGTGAATGTACGAACACCCGACAAAGAAAGCGCCCGCAGATTGGTCAAAATCTAGAGGTCAAGATGCGGTTGTCTTGCATAATTGATCAGCAAATCTGTTCAAAAATTATAGAACATGGCGAAAGACTGAAGGGGTGGGGGTCTAGCGCTAATATCAGATTTGAGATTGGTTTTCATCGTGGTAAAAATGAAACTTCAATTGTGTTATACTTGAAGATAATTATCCTGTCTTCTTTTCAAGATGACTACAGGACAGACGGCAAAACTTCACAAAATTTCACTAAGGCTTCAGGTCAGATACATGTACTTTGCCGGAGGTGAGGGTAGGGGGGGGGGGAGTTGCGCCTGTATACTGCTTATTCATTTTGTTGACAGAAATACTTCGGCAAACAGGAGGTGGGTTTAGTAATTATACTGCCGTCCTTCCCCTTGTCATACCGAAAGGGATACAGCTTCTATACAGAGAACAAAGTATGGTAATAACCAGTGGGGGTTACGAGGTCACATATGTAGTTTATGTAAACGCAGTAATTTACACGTTACGTAGTTTAATTGCCTTAAAGCGAGGTGAAAGCTATCATTATAGAAATAGAGTAATCTCACTGGGTCTGATTGTGCGTGTTTTGTTCCATAATCCCGACAACTCATTTCCGTTGTCTCAGTCGATTTGGTCCCTTGTGTACCCCGTCAGGGTTTGGTCTTGCACGCGGAAAATGTCAGCTAGTATTATCTTGTGTTATAAAGCTTGCAGGTTCACAGAGTGTTATGACGGCATGTGTTTTAAACTTCTCCACTACAAATAAAAAAGGAAAAGAGGGAGATGTGTCCCAAACAAAGTCAAAAATTATTGTATTTTATTTAAAAAAAACGTATAGGTAGCAGGTGAAATTGCTGGATATGTAGTCTAAACGCAGCAATTTACACGTCACATGCACATATATTAGTGGTATACATGTACATACCAAACCTATGGGTTGGTTACTTGAATTTATGGGTTGGTCTCATAAACAGCGCCCCCTAATGTCAAATGTCGAATTTTCTGAAGCCCCCTCCCAAAAAAACCTGCCCACTTCCTGACACCCCACTGCAGAAACGTATAAGTAATGGACACAATAGGATGGCACTATGAGAAGTGGGTAAACTGTGTACTTACCCAACTTTACCCAGCCCAGATAGCGCACCCTGTACATACATGCCGAAAAAAGTTAGTGTCTGGTTACAGTTCATAATATCTGCGTTTCTTAGGCACAATGAGGACCTTCTAATAGGATAAATAACAAACTGGGGGAATTTCAAGGTTTGGATGAGTCGCATCCTGGTCAAAATTCCCGCAAAATTAGGAATATATAGCTTAAAACGTAGTGCATATTAAAAACAATATATATTTTTCAAAGACGAGTGTACAGTTCAGTGTGTTTTGTTGTTTGTTTTTGTTTTTTGTTTATTCTTTTGTCCATAAGTCGGTTGCAGGGGATCCACAAAGGTATTTTCTTTTTGTTATAACGCAACAGCATATGGATTTGTAACATTGACATGCAGTTTGTTAGAAAAAACACATTTCAATAATCACCATGCAAGCGATGTTAAAAAACAGAATTTTAAAAACCCAGCTCCAGTGATTAGCTTCTCTACATTTCTCACATATCAGATTGTCTCATATTGGATACCCCACGAGTCTTGTAATAGGCCTACCTGCTGATTTTGCCGATGACAAGGCGTTAAAAATCAGTTGGATGAGAAAAACATATTACAGTGGCCTTGTCAAAAAAAAAACCCCACAACGATTGTCTGTGTACATGATGAAATATGACTACTTTTACATAATTGGCATTTTCTTAGCAACCCAAAGAGCTATTTACATGATTTTTCAGTGTCTGAAAGAACAAGCTCTCGGCTTCACCCCGATACCCAAAACATAAAAAACCACCGATCCCTTTGTTTTTAAAAGGCAAATGTTTTAGGGTTGCATTTTTGGGGGTCACCCTGCATAGCGATGCATCACACACTTTTCGTAATCTTGGAAAATTAATAAATCCGCAGCAAGCTGCTCATTGATTAATTAAAATGACCTGAAGTATTGAAATCACAAAACGTACTCGTGTGTCTCTTGCTTTGTAAGCTACTGTTTTCATGTCATTTTACCGTTGAGAAAATCCCTCCGTATCGAAACATCAGGCCCTACACTTCGTTTTGATTTCGTAATCTTGACATTTCATAATCAGAAAAAGCTGTAATGAGCTTCCTTTTTTCAAAACACTCAAGAACCCGGTCGGGGCCGGAAACTGAACGCTCGTCGGATCACCCCGGAGGCTTGTTGTACAATGCCTCTCAAGGAGCTGCGGAGGAGGTCTAGGGCGGACCCAGAACACAATTCTTTTTTTTTTAGGGGGGAGGGATGTCCCCCCCTAAAAAAAAAAAAAAAAAAAAATGGGGGGGGGGGGGACCTGGCCCCCGTTCCCCCAAGATCCATCGTAAGGGGAGGTGACGCTATACTTCGGCAGCGTATCTAAGAGCGTCTGATACCTCTTATTTCTTTGAACTCTCATTTGATGTACAGTGGAACGTCGCTATAGCGAATACCGCTATACCGAACATTCGGCTAGAACATCAGCCTTGGCTCCCACTTTTTGTGTACAAAACGTACCGAACATTGTTGTTGGAATTAAATGTCAACAGGAGAGCGACAGATGGCTATTATTAAAAACTGTGTAATTACATAATTCACAAGTTGCACGCGTTCGAAGTCGTCTTCTAGTAACTACCAGGACGTACTTGGTGAAGTTCTGCTACGGAAGTGAAAATATTAAGACAAGTTTGGCGGCTCCGCGCGTGGTTTGTAAATGCAACTACACATTAACAATGAGTAAAACAGGGCGCCACTAATGTGAAAATCGCTTTACCGAACGATCGCTCGTTTTACAGAAGAAATCTTTAAGACTGATTAATGGTTCTAGTTTTAAGGATCACTCTGCCCCGCTATTTGTTAAGTTAACACCTTATCTGTATATGATCTTTATAAATATAAATTGTGTGCTCTAATGTATAATTTGAAAAAAACATACTGCCCTTGAATATTAAATCGTTTTTTGTAATGAACACGGATATTCATCATTACGACACGAGGTCGTCAAATAAGCTTCATCTTAATAAAGTTAGAACATCCCTACACCTCTCAACTGTACGACACCAGGGGCCCCTCCTTTGGAATAAAATTCGATCTCTCTGCCCAATGACCTCAATTAGAGCATGTAAATTGTATTATAAAAAACTACTTCTCACTACGGCTAATATCAATGGTGATTAAGAGCAAAATTATTACTTTATTGCCAAGTAAAATTATTAACCACACATTTTAAGCCAAGGATGGTAAATTTACTTCAAGTAACTTATTCTTTTTTGTAAAGTTTTGCATGAGCTCGTGAATTTAATGTAATCACATATTATTGATATATCCTATGATTATTCATGAATTGTATAACTACATGTATTCTTTGTGAAGGGGGCAGACCTAGTACAAGCTTCGGCTTCTTGTCTGGCCTCCCCATACTATTATTTCAAAGTTTCGTTAAAATGTTTACCTGATGTATATTATTCAACTTAATTACCTTATAGTATGGAAATAAACCTAAAACCTGAAAACCTGAAACCTGAATCGCTATAACGAACAATTTCTGTGGATCCCACGATGTTCGCTATAGCGACGTTCCACTATATTTTGTATATTATACAATTTGACCACGCCCAACTCGGGGTTTAGCCTTCCTCTCACGACCCATGCGAAAGAATAGGACGTATCTTTTTTTGTACCAGGTGAGCTACCCACAATGCTTTGCTTCTCCCGTGTTGACATTTTTTGTTCAACAGGCTGATAGCGGTCCCAGCACCTTGGATTATTGGGACGAGCGAAGTGTAGATGGGAATTCATGATTAAGGGGGCGGGGGTATATCACTCGAGACCCCGCCCACCTCTTCCATCGCCCGTGGCTCCACGCGAAAAATAATCCCAAGGTTTGGTGAACTCCCAAGATTCAGTGGACAGATGTTGCACAGGAGCCCCTGCGAAGCTGCGTCCCACCTCCTCCATCAAGCCTGCCAATTTCAATATTAAACCTAGACATTATTTCAATTCATTAATTGTGTTCACAAGTCACAAGCCTTTATGCGTTAACCCTGCACTGTTAAAATATGTCATGAGTTCTCAGTTTCCCTTCGTTGAAATCTTCCGTTTTTATAACTGACCAGCTCCATGAACTTATGCACTGTCATTGAATTTCTTCGAAAAACAACAATGTCCCGCCAAGTGAAACGAGCCGTGCGTCGAGCTATACATGAAATTAATTTTGAAATCAGCGACTCGTGTGAAAGATAACGAGTCAGGGTGGAAGGAGATGAAATGCCACACACTGCACGCGACGCATTTCTCACTGTTCACGTTTCAGCCGGGGGAGTCAAGATGAAGCTCGCCACCATTAAGCTTAAAATGAGCCTTTATATAGAGACCGAAGTGAGGCATGCGTCTGGTTCACTCCCGTAGCTTAATAAGTGCGTGAAGAAAAGACATTCAGCTCGCGAACCGGCGTGTGACTCACCTGGGCCCAATTTCTTGGCTCTGCTTACCGTTGGCTAAAAATCCCTGCTTACTGTAGCAGGAAATCGTGTGCTGCCGGTAATTGTATTTCTCGGATTCACGAGGATTTGTTGCTTATGCGCATGCGTACATCTCGTAACTAACGATTCTGTGCTTACAGCGTTAGCACAGAATTTCTCTGCTAGCGCGGTTAGCACAAACAAATTGTGATCGTAAGCACCATATTATATGGTTAGAAGAGCTATGAATTTGGCCCTGGTGAATGAGCGTCACAAAGAACGAACTGCTGAGTCCAACAGGCCTTATTTAAGATACAAAATAATAAAAGAAGAAAGAAAAAAAAAAAAAAAGAAGGGAAAAGAATGTGTGTATTATTTTGTCCTGGCATCAAATGAAATCATCGGCACCTCACTAACGCCTACCACGACTGTTCAATCTTCACAGCTCATGGTCAACGATGCGGCACAATATCCGTAACAACATGAAGACAATAATGTCGGCGTACTCCAGCCAAAGCTAAATTGACTTAATTTCCCTCCGTCGTGAATGACATCAAAAACGTACCGAAAATCCTTGTGAAATGTCTTGCGTAGGTAGTTCTTTTACCAGCTGTTGCTTCGTAATTACAATTGGTATTAAATCACGATTGAAGGGCAGCAAAGGCTATCGTATCCGGAAATACTTCATTTGATTTCAAAATTCAAAATTGAACATGTTTCGCTCTCCGTTGAGTTAAGGGAAGACAGTCTTGTAGCCACAGAATCTAAAGAGCCAAAACCGAACTTTTCATAAGAATTCCTAAACAAAACTATTAACATGTAATGAAACATCTAACACAATACCATAATTCCAACTGTGCAGAGTTCTTTTCTTGAATACACGAAACAACTTTGTACACATCACAAATGCAACTCCGATTTTTGAACATTGATAGAGACTAATACTTGAAAATGTACGGCAGAATCTTTCGCGCAGGTTCCATAACAAAGGTGCGGACTCCTTTTTTTCCATGCGCTGTTCCCGTCTTACTGTGATATCCTATCCTCCCTCCGGAATGATGACGTCAGAGAAAATATTCGTGGAGAGCTACCTCAATGTATCTCGTGGATCCTATATTGATGTGGTTATTAAAAGCGCTCCAAAATCATACAAGCTCATAACAGGAACATGTTATTATTGTAGGCTTGATTAATGTAGGCTTAAATATTTTCATTAGTAAGCTTAACCCATAGACAAAGAAAATACTTCGTAAACTTGGGTTGAAGTGTGCATGATTAGAATCTTAAGGTATTTGGTAAGTAAGAACATTTTGTATATCTTTGGAATTTATTTGTTTTATCTTTGAGTATATGAATATATTTCCAAGCCCACATTTTGGTATAATGTGGCTTCCGTTATTAGCGGATATTCCACCTTATACAAGGATGATGCAAGGTACAGCCAGCAGTTGCATGCGTGAGCTGTTTAGGGGGGGGGGGGGAAGCAGCACAAAGCATCAACAGCAACATTTTGTAGCCTGTCAACTAAAACCTGCGTTCCCTAACCTTTACCTAAAGCTAGGTCTCTGGATCTGCTAAATGATTTACTTGTAACATTCACGGTGTTCACATTCACTCAAGCGAAACGAGGTGATTATTAACTATAAATTACCCACGCCAATTTCAATCAATCATGCGTGAGAGGGAACACCCATGCTGTGAACAAAATTCCAAGACAGATCATCAAGAAGGTATCTTCTAGGCAGACCGAAGATAAGATTGAGCAAAAATGATGACATAATAAAATCAAACACAATGAAGACCAAAGTGGAAGCTAGACTGTTCTGAAGGCTGAGTCGGAAGACTGTTGATTCAAGTGTGGGTTATCAGTGACTCCTCCGTGTGCTTATCATGTGATGATGACAGAATGAGCTGATTGGCTAAGAATGCAGACGGCCGCGTATAAGCATCAGGCATCTGCGTGAGTTACTTGTCAGTTAGCAATGGAGCGTCTACAGATCACCACGATTGGTACGGGACAAAACACCACAGATGTAGCGTTGACGGGAGGTGAATTCGCTGACGACGTTGAAAGGCGCCATGTCTTCGGGACAGTCCTATCTGCCGTCTTTTTGTTGATCATAATTGTCCTGTCCATTCTTGGGAACATAGCTGTGATCATGGCCGTGCTGAAGACCCCTCGATTGCGAGAGAAAACATCCAGTATATTTCTGATTAACTTAAGCATGACGGATCTGTCCAATGCAACTTTGGTCATGCCTAGCACTCTGGTGTCACTCATTGCAGGCCAGTGGCCATTTGGGATGTTTTGGTGCTACGCCCAATGTGCCTTCAACTACTGGTTTATCATCGTATCCATGTTGACTCTTGCCATGATCAGCATTGACGGGTTTTACGCTGTCATTCACCCGCTGCATTACATGAACATAATCACGCCAAAAGTGACCAAAATCGGCATCTGCTACGCGTGGTTCCAGGGGTGTGTGTTTGCGCTGATTCCAGCCATCTACCGCTGGGTCGTCTACGATTACTGGGAGGTGGTGTGCGCCATCGATTGGGACAGCTACAGTCAGGACGGGGCGCTGACGTACGTCATCGTGGCATTTGTTGTATGCTTTCTGATTCCTGGCATTGTGATGACCTATTGCTACACGAGGATTTGCCGTGTTGCGAGGCAGAAGGCAGCGGCGGCACCGGCGGAGCGCGGCGGGAAAAACGCCCGTAAACTCATCAACGACAAGCGGGTAATTCAGAGCTTGGCCCTGATCGTGGCTATCTTCTTCCTCTGCATGACGCCTTTCTGTGTCACCAAACTCATCAAGATCTTCACCAGCACCAGTGCCTTGCCGCCCTATCTCTATCTGGTGTCCTCCTGGTTCGGCTATCTCGCCAGCGCCACTAACCCCTTCGTCTACGCCATATTTCGGCGGGACTTTCGCCGGGCGTTTGCCAATCTCTTCTGCCGGGGTCGGATATTCCCAGGGTTTGCCACGTCATCCCAAGACGCTACCATCCGCATGAGCAATACGGAGCACAGAAGGCGAACACAGGTCCAAAACAATGATACCAACACGGTGACACAACTTACAGAGCGAATTGAATTTCAGTCATAGCACCTTCTTACACCATGCCTGCATGGGGCAAGCAAGATAATGGTCCACATTTTATCTACCACTGACGATTATACTGGATGGGAATTTGGCCACACCAAAAATATATATAAAAACAAGCCTACGTTCTACTATAGACAGATCACTTTGATGCTACATCATGCACTGACAAGAACAATAGTTCTCAATGTTCCCGTAACCGTAATACCTTTTGTTGTTTTCCTTCTTTGTTTGACTCAATGTACAGCTAACTGTTAGAAGACACGTCACAATGCACCAAATTGCCTTTTTTGAAAGGTGTTTCTGCCGATCAATTTTCAAAACAATGCGTTGGTAATTTGGTGATTTAGTTATCGTGAACGTACATGTATGGCTTTACAATAGAGGACAGACACACAAAGGGAGACTGAACAAAAGATCCCTTCGATCCTCGAGCTTTGTGCATGCTTTTGTTGAAAACGGTCCTCCTATTCTTCTATACGCTGTGTCTGATCTGTTGGCCTCATGGCGTGGTGCACGTATCAATATTCACAGTTTTGTGCCATGTGTCTGCGCATCGGTTGAGCGAGTTTTAATAACAATCTAATGTCACAAAGTGTTTATGTCATCGTTCTGTTACAACTGGAGGACGTAACATCCGAACCAATGTCGCACTATCCATTTAGTTTTAAGTAAGCTCCCAAACTTCCATATATTTGGTATGTTTGTTTGTTTATTAAGACACAATCGTAAACGTAATAACTCAGGCGTAAACATTATGGAAAATTCATGTATTTGGATATCATTTGTGAATTATGTGACACTTACCTTAGTAAGCTTTTGTAACTTCGAAAACCAAAGATTCCATGTGGATGCACAAAATGAATTCTACACTATTGCATAATATTGTCTTGAAATGTCTTTGCTGCTTAATCGTTTGAAGAATAAAAATGCGACACTCTTTTTAATTCAAGTTTTTTCACGAGTAACTTTTTTACAACGCCCATACTATTTCCAAACACAGACGCAACTTAGGTCATTACACTGTAAAAAAAAAGTTAGGCACAATTAGTTGATAATTCGACCAATGCTGGTCGAATTATCAACTGCCTACAACAGCGAATTCTTCCCAATAGTTTGACAGTTTTTACCCTATGCAACACAATATGAGGTACTTTCATACCAATACTGGGTAAATTACAATGCGCAACAGTGTTTTATCCAACCCTTTTTACTTCAAAGAATCATAAAAGCATAGTAAACCGACCTCAGATTTTTTTTTCAAACTGATGTGTCACCGAAGATGACAACTTGTTCATGTATTGCTCAAGGAATAGCATCAAAGAACTAAAGGTCCACATCCTGCTAGGGAACTTTGCTCTCCCTTCCCATAATCATAGTTTGGAAGGGGCAAAATGAGCTCTTTATTGTTAAAAATGCACTGAGTGCCCCCTCCAGGTAAAAAGAGAATTCTCCAAGTGCCCCTGCAAATTGCATCCCAGTAACATGCGTCACTTTTACAGCACTTTCAGGTGGAAATTTTCATTAGAATTATAGCCCTCAGTACCCTCCAGTGACGCGTAGTTGAAAGTAAAGGCTAGTCGTGTCCAGGGGCGGCGGAACCGGGGGGGGGGGGGATGGGCCCCCCCCCCCCCAGATTTTCCCAAGTGCCCCTTTTTGCGGCCATAAATGTGCCCCCTCGAGCATTAAAGTGCCCCCTCGAGATAAAACAAAAGTGCCCTTAAAGTATCTTACTATTTCTTAGAAGTTACCATTTCCGCATAATGGTATAGATTTTTTTGATATAAACGAGGAATATGAAAACCAAGTCCCAAAACCCATACAATAGGCCCTGAAAATGGGCACATAATGCATATTTAGCATATAATCATTGATTTTACGGAGGCCAAGTGTCCGGCGAAAAAAACGTGTCGACATTTCAGCACGGGTTTGCAAGTGCCCCTTTTTGGTGATGCCCCCCCCCTCCCCAGTTTCAAACCCGTTCCGCCGCCGCTGGTCGTGTCTTTAATGAATTGAAAATAATTTGCAGGATTTTAAAAGGCACTTATTATCAGTGTTTTGCAAGCATGCAGAAATAAGACTTAGCACGGATTAGGCAACATGCAACCGACCGCACCGTTCCACATTGATCGCTCTGAATGCTTTTCTTCGAGTACACATTATTTGCCATTTGATCTTAATTCAGTTATTTATCCTAATCACCGAAGAAAAAAAAAACAATCACAAAGCTCTTTTTTGGGGTTCCGAGGCAACTTTCGCTTGATGATGGTTCTAACGTTTTAGGGGGTTGGGGAATGATTTTTGAAGACCAAATTTCCAGTGAAATTAAAGGATTGAGATATATGTTTGACTGTAAAAGGTATGTCTTATGATTGTGTTGATTGTGATGGCCGTGTGTAATAGAGCGCGGCGAGCTGAGCCCCCTCTCGCGCAGGCCCGTTTCGTAGGCCCTAGGCACCAGTGTTCCGAAGAATGGAGAAGGAAGTGGGAAAGGAAGAGGGAATAAGAACAAAGTGGAGAATGTAAATAATAAACACCGCTGCTCAAAACTCCGCGAAGCTAAAATCCGGTTCTGAAACCCATGTCAACAGATTGTACATTCTGTCATGTTGGCACAAGTTGCCGCGCGAAGTCGCTTCAAATATGGGGGTTGACATCTACAGCATGTAAAAAATATAAGAATATAAAAAATTCCACTATAGGATTAAAAGACCCCCCCCCCGCAGTCTGGGATCAGGGAACAGGCCTGAACAAGGTATGCGCAAAGGTACTGAGCATGTACATGCAGTTTTGCGACAATGAAATGAAAACATTATAGCTGGATTGAATTTTGTATTTTCGAGCAATTTAAAAAAATAATTTCGAACGATTACCGTAGAAGCTCTCAATATAACACATCAATCATTCTTGCAATTGTCTTCCTATAGAAAAGAAAGAAAATAAAACAAAAAGTTATGTGGCGATGGCCAAGTCTTCAGGAGTCGGACTTATGACCCTAACTCAATGAGCCCCTTACCGACTTCCAATATAGAACTCTTCCGGGACTCGGTACCCGGCCCACCACACCTCCTTCCCTGTCCATCCATGTAACTCGAAAGTCAGGCACCATAAAGGGAGGAAACGAGGTGGCACCCTAAGCCTTGCTGCCGAGCCAGCAAAAGAACCCCGTACCTGTACGCAGATGCCAACCTGGACCGACCGACCGAGCTAACTGCTGTTGGTAAATGACGACGGGAAATTAATGCTCTTAAATGACAGAGCCACGGGCATCAAAACCCAAAAAAATGACACCCAGCGGGTTCGAACCCCTAACCCTGGGTCTGCTGTCAGACAGCTTAACAACTAGGCTGTTTCACTAGGTGCTTTTCTCTTTGCGTTTAAAACATAATCCTTATTGCCGAAGTGGGAGAGTTACTTTGTGTTTCATAGCTAGCTGCACGAAAGATGCATCAGCATCGTGCTATACGCACGAATGCTATTACGTAACTCTTTTCTACAATCATTCTTATGTACCCAGCAGTTGACTATTCAGAGTCACTAGGAGCAATTAACCTTACTAATAAGCTCGTCCTTATTCTGTCCATCAATTATTGTTTCGGCCAGCACTGACATATCGCTATGATTGAGAAAAATTCTAGCAAGTTTCCCCTACCTCATTATATTTATATCAAACTACTGACCCGTTTACACATTTTTACGAGGGAATTTTGTTTGTCTGATTCTAATTCAGCTCCCTTATGATCCGGTGGCATGAGTAGAATCGTGACCACGCGAGTGCAATGACGGCCGGTGGCGTAAATCCGTGCTGGCGAGTGGGGGGGGGGGGGGGGGGGGGGGGGGGGGGGGGGGAGGGGGGATGGGGGATGACCAAAATCATAACATTCGGGTGATTCACAATGCAGTGCGCCACCAAGAGTTTGCCATGGAGAGTCAGTTTTTCAAATTACGGTCGACAAAACAAGGCCCACTCATTCAACAACTTTAGCTAATTGGTTATAAATTCGGGTATAGCGTTCTGCCGCCTTACTAAAAACACTATATTGATACAAAGAAAAGAAAAAGGCAAATTTATACTCGAATCATACGCTTACGAAACTACTTACCGGAAAAAACTAACAATTTCAAATGTATATACCTCCACCCCCACCCTACCCCGGGAATTACGCCCCTGATGACGGCGCACGGAGCCAACGAGCCTGCCACTCGCATGGTCTTTTTTTCGTGTCCGGGTTGCAATACGCCTTGACTCAAGTCTACGGTCACGAAAAGTCCTTTGAGATGGAACAAAGCAAACCCATGAACCTTGGGTGACTGAACGATCTAAATCTAAAACCTGCTCATGTAATACGCCAATCGGCGGCGGCGGAACGTTTTTAAAACTGGGGGCATCAGCAAAAAGAGGCATTTGCTCAGGAAAAAAGGCACCTTCCGTCAAAGAGGAGACATTATTGTGTAACTATTTTCGTTCACATTGCAAGGAATACATGTTACCCAGAGCAAAATTTACTACCAACATTGATATACACTTTTTAAAATGTTTGCATTACATTTTAAAAGTGTAAGGAGCAGTATTATTTCCTTACGGGCCAGTTTTCCATTTTGAGAGGGGCACAATTTTTTTTTGCGAGAGGGGTCATTCGAGTTTGCGAGGGATAGTTTTCCAGCTCGAGAAGGTTCACAATCTTGTTAATGCGCGAGGGGTATTTGTGTTTTTAAGGGGCACTTTTGCATTACAAGAGAGGAGATCAGTTTTAAACGTGATCATAATGCTTTCATGTACGTTTGAGGGCAGTTTTATTTTCATCTCGAGGGGGCATATTTTGTGACCTAACTTGGCAAAATGCTATGAGTAATCAACGCCTGAAGTTGGATACACTAGGGAAATCATGTAATAAGAACCGGAAAATGTCCCTGTCTAAAAAACCCACATAATAAAAACTGTGGCTATAAATTAGGCCTATTGGGAGTGGGGGTACACCAGAACACACTTTTGTTGGGGGGGGGGGCTGTACAAATCAAGCCAGGCCAAACTGGTATAGGTCCTAGCCATAGAGCTATATTAAATTACGTCCTAGCTCTAACAGCCTGCTGGCACCGATTCTCGAGGGCGTCATTCGCTTCTCAAAGTGGGGGTGGTACATAATTATATGTGTATCTTGATCAGTACTAATTGTGCGAGTGCGAAGCCTAAACGGCACTGGGTTCGGGGCCCGCTTACCCGGGCCCCTGAAAAAAAATGGATTCTAGACGACTGCCAAAGTTTTAGCACAAGATCATCATTTAAACATCTTTTTCGAATTTGGAGTCATTGAACCAGCTGTTCTGAGTTGTAGAATCAAATGTAGGCTACATATTTTTTATTCAGGGACGGAAATCGTTGGGGAACGACATTCTGAGAGAGACCCTAAAACTTTTTTAAAAACTTTTCTCTGCGCGTGTGGGTGTGTGTGGGTAGGCCTATGTGTTTTATGGCACACTGCGGTATTTTCGTAGGCCTTCCCCCAAGTTTTCGTAGGCCCCAATTTTTTCGTAGGCCCTAGGCACAGTGCCTACTGTGCCTAATGGGTAATCCGGGCCTGCTCTCGCGGCCGCCTATGGGCATTATACACTAGGTGGCCCTTTGTCTTGCTATAATTTTTGACAGAATGATTTCTAACCGTAATTACGCATAGAAGCATTCATGTTGGACGTTTATCTTGGTATTCAATTCAGAGGAGGGGGCAAAAAAATGGTACTTCAAAAAGTGGGTCCCAAAAGGGCCCCGAAAAATTGTTCGATTCTAGATGCTCCGTGACGCAATCTGAGGCAATTTCTGACAACTTTAAGCATTTTTTTGAAGAAAAGATGGTGGTGTGCGCAATGCCTGTATTTATTGCAACTTCAAAAAAAAGGTTCTTTTTTATTGAGGGGGGGGGGGGGGCATGGCCCCGTTGCCCCCCCCCCCATCCTTCCCTGAAACTGACTACATCACGTCTTCGTTTAAGCATTAAAACGAAAC